GATGACGTCGACAAGCTTCCTCCTTTACAATTCCCACATGGGTTTAACCAAATGTATCCAAATCTCATCTTCGGAAACTCCGGAATCGGAGAATCATCATCAACAGCATTTCCAGGTACCAATCTTGGGTTCTTGGAGAGTTGGGATCTTGGTGGCTCTTCTTCAAGAACAAGATCAAGAATAGCCGATACAGCAACTACACAACGAGAGAGTTTCGATCTTGATAAAGGAAAATGGATCAAACACGATGAGAACAGCAATCAAGATCACGGGTTCGACACCAATCATCAACATTTCTCTCTGACCAATCCTTACAACAACAACAACAACACTTCCTCTTATTACAACCTCGGACATCTTCAACACTCGTTAGAGCAATCCGGTAATAACGTTACTGTCGCAATACCCAATGTTCCTAATAACAACAACAATAACCTCAATTTGCCTCCTCCTTCGTCGTCCGCCGGAGACGGATCTCAGCTGTTTTTTGGTCCTCCTCCTCCGGCAATGAGCTCTCTATTTCCGACATATCCTTCCTTCCTTGGAGCTTCTCATCAACATCATCATCATCATGTCGTTGATGGAGCTGGGAATCTTCAGCTCTTTAGCTCCAATGCCAATACAGCATCGCAGCAACAGATGATGACGGGTAATTCGAGTTTGATTAGACCGTTTCATCATTTGATGAGCTCGAATCATGATACGGATCGTCATAGTAGTGACAATGATTCAGATTCGTGAAAGATTCATATTTCTATACTATACTTACATATATGTTATAGTTTTACGTATCTTCTAAATATTCATAAATTTGCGTACTGTTGATTGATTTACATATTTTCTCTTGTATGTATATATAGAGTTTTAATAATCTTGATCAGTCTCCGATTTGGATTCGAACAAATATATTCGTGTTGCGAGGTTGGTGGTTTATATCTATCTATTTTAAGTTTTGACATGTCTCATTAGTTTTTGGTTGATCTTGAAATTCTATATATGAATTCTCCTAGATTGTCTTCTGTATTCACTGACTAGTATAATTATATACACAATATAGTACTTAGTCAAATAAAAGGGGTAGTACAATATAGGTTTGTCATAAATATCGAAACAACTATGTAGAGAATTTATAACATAATCTGTAGTCTTGCGTCTTCATGTATAATTTTGATTAGTAATCACCCTGGATAGTTATATGTCATTAGTTAGGGTTTGAGTTTTATAAATATGGACTAGCTAGTTGTAAAGATTTGGATTAAAAAAATAAAGGCTCATCACGTAAATCTGTATCGGTTCACTCTGTACATAAAAAGGTTACGTCTACTGTTGTAGATTTCGTTATAAGTTAACTCCGAGTTCATACAAAATTCTCTCTATGCTTCACTTTATTGCTCAACAAAATTGTGAAACGGCATTGGTATTTTAAATAAATAGTATAAACACATTATATACAACCCTATTTTCCCGAAACTTTCGGTTGAACAATAGTATTGATTTTATATATTCTTTCAAATTTGATATCGCAATGTTACTTTTAAACAAATTTTGTCAGTATCGCCACAGATATATCTCAACTATGATTACATAGTCACGATTTGGATACAAATTTGGAACTTATCTTTTAATTAACTACGAAATTTCTACCGTACACTATTGCTAAACATTCTTTTAATGGCATATTTAGGAAAGTTATTCTGTGCACAATTCAAATGGAAGAAACATAAGGGGTCGTTGCTTGTCATGCGTCAGAAAAAAACACCAATAAGTTTCCAATAATTGTATGTCCACCATCATTCATTTTCTTATAACCACTACGTATATTTTGTACATGCATACTCTATATATAGATACAGAATCAGAAAAGCAACTGATTAGAAGTATAGATAGGTTGCTGTTTACAATGCCTAGACGTACGGAAATATATAATGCATGCCAAACCCTAGCTAGCCATCGTGTGTAAATATGCGTCACACCCACGATCATGTATTGTACATACACGCATATATACATAATACATAAGTATTTACTAAGAATTGTGAGCATGTACGTACATGTATATATTATATATGTAAATATAATTTTGTATATATGTAAGGCAAACTAGTTGAGATAGGGTAGCTAGCGTTTTCCTCATATCTCCGTAATTGCTGACTTTTGATTTGTTCCTCAAAATCAAAGTTTCAAAAATCTCGTGTATTTAGTCGATACTCAACTGATTTCAATAAGAGAGCTAATAAATGTGATGGAATTATACTCATAAGTACATTCACATTCACGTGTTTGTAACTGTGTAAGAGATATATATATATATTTACGTCGAAGATATAAAGAGAGCGTATAAAAAGAACAATAAAATTGTGCGTAATATGCTTATTAATCCAAAGAAAACTAAAGTTTACTAACAATCTATACCTCCTAATTAGAAATTACATGAAAAGCACACTTATTTTACCCTCGCTTACTCTAGGTTTGCTATATATATGTACATTTACGGATTTTCATGACGCCATATATATTCTGAAGTATTCCTTCAAATTATATAAAATTTGCAGAATTTTTACGTACTTAAAAAATCCGAGAACCATATGATAGAAAGATAAAGTCTTAAATCTGAATATTGGAAGTTTTGGCGGGATGATTTCGTACACCAGTAAAATTAATCCTTTTACTTATCAAACTAGTGTTTTAAATGTGTATGTATATACGAATATATTCAATATACCCGAAACGTGATTACGTGAAGCTTCATTAAAGTTCACAAGCACCTAATCCCCAAATAGTTTTCTTTACACAAAGGTGTACATTATAGGAAAAATTGTTTCTCTATGTAAATGTCTTATTTCATAAACAATCTATTATTGATAACTTGAACATGTGATATGTCTCGAACCTTATAACCTCAAGTTATTGGTCATAATACCCAAAATCAAAAAAAATAATAATAATAAACATGTAAAGCAAAAGGAGAAGTAGATGATGGTGAGTATTGGGATTAGAGGGGTCAGAGAAGGAAAGGGAAAGAAGAGAAGCAGTTAAGACAGCAACTGAATTGCAGTCAAGCACTGATCCCTATCTTCCAATTTTAGTCTCTCTCTCTCTCTCTCTCTCTCTCTCTCTCTCTCTCTCTCTCTCTCTCTCTCTCTCTCTCTCTCTCTCTCTCTCCAATTTGAAGGGCCATTAGTAAATTATTGGTTTTGAAAACATAACTTATTTTTCTTTTGGGTGGTCCTTTTGATCTTTTATAAATCATGTGTTTAGATATAGATGGGCACACATTTGTCCAGAAAATTCAAAGATTTGCCATTAGATTTTTCTTTCAATCAAATTCTATTAATTTCCTACACCACATCTCTTCTTACACATCGGTTGAAAAATACACCATAATACATAAAAAGGGTATTCATTGCACTTTTCTTAGATAGTATTAATTCATCAACTTACAATTATATCTCTTTTGGCTCTCTAATGTAAATTTTAACATTTTCATTACGAAACTGAGCATGTAGTCTGATCACACACACACACACATATATGTATATCAAGATGGGCATTAGATAATATAATAGTAAGTGATATACGTTGCTGAAGAGAAAATTTATGTTTTCAGAATCTTTTAGTGGCAAGAGATAATATATATGGTCCTTATGATTATAAACTTCTTTTTCAACACCAGCATGCTTCAAAGTTATGAGGAAGAAAAAAACAGGTCCACTTTATTTCATTTTCACATAATTCACTCACTTAGGCATGCAATTCTTTTTGTTTTCTCCTTTTTCTTTTTCAATTTTTTTGTTGTTGCAGAGGCTATTATTAATGGTGCATTTTTGTTTCCTATTTTCTTGTATGTCACTAAAAAAACAATCCTACCATTTTTTCATTCGTATTTAAATAGTTTTCTCCTCAAAAGTAATGTAAAACTAGAGATGGATACAATATTTTTACGGAAATAAATATTATTGTTTTTTTGTTCTCTAACAAGAACTCATTATTTGGAGTTGTGTGGTACTTCCATAAAGTCTATAAGTATATATATTGTATAGTTTGGTTTCGAAGCAGTCTACTAATGACATCAGCTTTTTGTAGGCTGTATAAATTTTTTTCATGCATCATCATCTTTTGAGTTAGATTACAACATCTATTAATGTACTAACTCCAAACAAGTACTAGATCTTTGAATGAGATGCAAGTAAAGGTTCGAAAATCGAAAAGCACGTCCTACTAATCCACTCACAATTTATCTGTTGGACATTTTCGAGCTTGTTACGAATGGACAATTTATTTTTACTCATATATCCTATGCTGATCATCTTGCTAAACCAAATTAGTCTAGTCTGTATTTGCATGCTCTGATTATATATGTGGGTTACTGTTTTGTTTATATAGAAATGAAAACAGAAGGTTGTTGTTAAAAAAGATTGAGCCATATTCATTCGTACATATGTCAATTATTATGACAAAAGAAAAAGTTGTGGGTTGCTTTCAAATGCACCGCCAAAGATTGGAAAACTTCAATGTTGAGGGTTTAACAAACAGGTTTCACATATTGTAAATCTTAGACAATATATCTTTGCTTTATATGTTTTTATTTATTTGTCTTTACAAATAACAAAGTTAAAGTTTCAATAAAAAAGATAGATGTTTATGATATACATAGAATCTATGAAATTTCATCAAAATTTTATCTATGGTTATAAAAAATATTTATGTAACAAAATGGAGATGCGGGGAATCGAACCCCGTGCCTCTCGCATGCGAAGCGAGCGCTCTACCATATGAGCTACATCCCCGAACGAAGGATTATTGCATGTATATCAATTTAAAGACGTACGTTCAAACTCCAAAATGGGCTCAAACAAATCTAAGGCCCAACGTGAAGCCCAATTATTCAAGATGTTTCAAAATCTTGAACTAGGGTTTTGATTCTGCTTCCTTTGTTTCTCCTCTCTCTCTCTCCCCTTTTCCACCACTCTCCAGTATCATTTCAGCTCCGTAAAATAGAAATGCCGCCGCCGTTACCGTCTCTGCAACTCCGGCGGCTGCTCGTCCGTAGCTTCGCCTCATCCTCCTCCGTCAATAGGCTTCAATTTCAGTCCCATATCAGTTTCCCTAATCCGTCGTTTTCTCCTCCTCCACTTCCCAAATTCTCGATATTTCCTTCTAGATTCTTCTCATCAGAAACAAATGCCGAATCTGTAACTCAAGATTCGAATCAGATCGCTCTTTCTCTATCGAAGGAGCTCACTGGGAATCCTGAAGCCGAGCCTCAATCCATCTCGCAGAGTTTCCACCTCAGCTTCTCCCACATCACTCCGAACCGAGATTTAATCCTCCAAACCCTCAATCTCTCTCCGGAAGCTGGTCGCGCAGCTCTAGGGTTTAACGAGTGGCTGGATTCGAACACTGGCTTCTCCCACACCGATGAAACAGTTTCGTTTTTCGTCGATTACTTCGGCCGTCGGAAGGATTTCAAAGGGATGCAAGAGATCATCGCGAAATACAAAGACGTCACCGGAGCCAAAACGCTAGAGTCGGCGATCGACAGGCTCGTCCGAGCGGGTCGAGCTAAGCAGGTCGTTGAGTTTTTCGAGAAGATGGAGAGCGATTACGGGTTAAAACGTGACAGAGACTCACTTACCATGGTCGTGAAGAAGCTCTGCGAGAAAGGGCACGCGAGTTTCGCAGAGAAGATGGTGAAGAACACTGCCAACGAGATATTCCCCGACGAAAACATCTGTGATTTGTTGATCAGTGGTTGGTGCGCTGCTGAGAAACTCGACGACGCAACTAGGTTAGCTGGTGAGATGGCTAGAGGAGGATTCGAGATAGGAACGAGAGCATATAACGTGATTCTTGACTGTGTCTGCAAGCTCTGTAGGAAGAAAGATCCGTTTAGGCTCCAACTCGAAGTGGAGAAGGTTTTGCTCGAGATGGAGTGCCGTGGTGTGCCGAGAAACACACAGACTTTCAATGTGTTGATCAACAATCTGTGTAAGATCAGGAGAACCGAGGAGGCGATGACGTTGTTTGGTAGGATGGGTGAGTGGGGTTGTCAGCCAGATGCTGAAACCTACCTTGTTCTGATCAGGAGTTTGTATCAAGCAGCTAGGGTCGGTGAAGGAGACGAAATGATCGACAAGATGAAGTCTGCAGGGTACGGTGAGTCTTTGGATAAGAAGGAGTATTACGGGTTTCTCAAGATATTGTGTGGGATCGAGAGGCTTGAGCATGCGAGTAAAGTGTTCAAGGTCATGAAAGCTGATGGATGCAAACCTGGGATCAAGACTTATGATTTGTTGATGGCGAACATGTGTGCGCATAACCTGCTAACTAAAGCTAATGGTTTGTACAAAGAAGCGGCAAGGAACGGAATCGCTGTTAGTCCTAAGGAATACAGAGTTGATCCGAGGTTTATGAAGAAGAAGACGAAGGAAGTGGATAGCAATGTGAAGAAGAGGGAGACTTTGCCTGAGAAAACCGCGAGGAAGAAGAGACGGCTCAAGCAGATCAATATGAGCTTTGTTAAGAAACCGCATAATAAGATGAGACGGAGAATGTGATGCTGATCATCATCATCATCAACATTCTGATGGGATTTGCTAAAGGTCTATGGTTCAGTCCATTGGGAGGGGAAAAAAAAGCCTTTGTTCTTTCCTTTTTTTGGATTTTGTCAGGAAGTAGTGATCTTTGATCATCAGCACAATAATCTTTTGGTTCAGCTCAATGTAACGTTTACACACTTTTCTTGGTTGGCTCAAGATTCGGAGATAAAATTTAAGTTACATTGCTTTTGCTTGGTTATTTGAACATGCGTACATGCAAGTCAAGTTGACTTGTAAATTTGTAATGTTTTGAGCTAGTCTTCGTTAAATATGATTTGATGAAAATTAAAACAAAATCCCGGAGACGATGGCATTCAATATGATACAAATTAACAGCTGTGCAAATGTGTACCCAATTGATGAAGTCAAAGTCAAAGTCTACGCCTTGATCTTTCTTCTTTACAAAACTAGTTCTCTGTTCTCTCTCTCTCCCCATTGTAACCACAAGAATGGAGTCTCTCTTCTCAGCCATGATCGCCCTGCTCTTGGTTTCCTTTTCCTGTTTCACCGCTTCAGGTAAATCTCCGAATGTGAAGAAGAAGATCTCTCTCCCAAGTCCCACCTTCATTTCTCTGTTTTGACCCTTTCTAAAAACTTATGGAAGTGTTTTTCTGTTCTCTGAAGCTCTCACCAGCAACAATGGAAACATCGTAGTCAAATGGGATCTCATGAGCTGGACGCCTGATGGCTACGTTGTAAGTTCAACCATCATGACTACTTCTCATCTCACCAAATCTCAAGAGTTATGCTTTCTTAAAAATTAAACCTTTGACTCAATCTCTGCGTTTCCTCAGGCTGTGGTTACAGCTTACAATAACCAGAAACAACGGTCGATTCCTTCACCAGGATGGGAAATGAGCTGGAGATGGACCAAAAAGGAGGTTATCTGGAGCATGGTCGGTGCGCGAACCACATACCAAGGAGACTGTTCCATGTTCAAAGGAAACATCCCTCACTCCTGTGTTCGCAAACCAACAGTCGTCGATTTGCCTCCCGGAACTCCTTACAATCAGCAGGTCGCTAATTGCTGCAAAGGCGGTGTCTTGAAACCCGGTTTAGAGAGTGCGTTCCAGTTATCCGTTGGTCTAGCTGGTACCACGAATAAGACTGCTCGGATGCCGAAAAGCTTCACGTTCACGGCACCTAAGCAACAGTACATCTGTGGGCCGGCTAAGAACGTTAGAGCGACGAAGTTTATAACCGCCGATGGAAGGAGAGTGACTTCAGCCGTGGGTAAGTCTCTAACAAAAACAAACCTCTCCAAACCTGTAGTTTCCGATTTTGAAACTCATCTGCTTTTGTTTTTGCTCTTTACGCAGCGACCTGGAACATTACTTGCGTCTTCCACAAGGCAACATAAACACCTCAAGCCTCCAAAAGGAAATATCTCATAAGCAAATCTATTCACCAGAGTGTTCTGTTGTTTTGTATTTTCCTGTTTTATGGTTTATGATTCAAGAAAATAAAATAAAACATTTGTTTGATTGATTGAGTAGAGTGTCTCTCTTCTAGACGGATTCCTTCCAGAACCGAACTGATCTATCTGTTCCACAAGTAACAAAGACTGATTCTACCGGCGAGTGCTCGATCCATCGCGGTGCACCGTTATGGTTCGAAGGCCACTTTGCCACTTTCTCTGCAGTTCTCGCATCCCATGTAACTACCTCATTGTTTGCTTCATCTATGGAGATTACAAACTCTTCTGTGTCATTAAAGATTGCCTGCGTTAACACAACAATGAAGACTGTTTCAAAATAAGTCTGACCAAGTGATTATTACTGTTCTAAGGTTGAGAAAATCATCACCTGAGACCGCAGTTTTACCCGTTTTGCTCCGATGTATTCCTTTACCATTCGACCTGAAGCTATTTCCCATAGCTTAACAGTCGAATCCTTACCGGACGAGAGAACAAACCTAACAAAAAGCCAGAGGATGAATCAATTTGAGAAAATTAGTAATTCTCTCAAAGGAAAATTGATTGAGTTTTCTTTCTACCTTTGGTCTCTGGTGAACATTGCGCTTGTGACCTCTGCATTTCCGTGTGCACCGCTAATGGAGCGTACACACTTTGCGCTGACCCCGTCGAATAGTCGAATAGCTCCATCTTTTGAGGCTGTGACGTAGACTGATCCGGTCGAAGAATACCGCACCTGAGAAAACCAAGAATCTCATAGCCATGATCATCACCTCTACAAGAGATGATTATAGATAGCGACCTTAATTAAGATCGATCAGGTAATGTGTTACCTGATTAATGGCGCCACTTACTCCAGTGTCTTGAACATTTGAAGGAAGAAAGCACTGATAAGTGTTTACATCGTACAGATGTGGAATCGGATGATCGGTTCCTGCAAAAAAAGCCATGTTTTCAATTTCAAACTCATTGATTGAGCTCAAAGAGGAAAGGTTCCCAAAGATGGATCTCAACAAAGACAATAATCTAAGAGCTTATTATATCAGTCTTGTGAAAGATTTCACCTGCAAGAAGAAACTCTCCAGAAGGATGAAAAGATACAGAGCGCACGTTATGGGTATCCTGCAGAGTTTTAGGAGTTGTCGATTCAATGACATGCAGTGTTATTCACTATGTAGCTAAGCAGAAACTAATAACAACCGTGAGTTCTACCTGAAAAACTTTGAATGCTCGTTTAGCTGTGGTTTTGGAGAAGTCGAAGAATCTATCAAAGCCATGAGAAAAGACGCAAAAGATGAGGTGAACACAACATTTTCTTGTAATAACTGCGAGTAAATCAATTAGGTGGCTGATAAATAGATACTTTATACACTTGTCTTTGGCACTGGATATTAGGATTGTGTTCCGAGGGTGGAAATCAAGATCGTTTATTGGCTGCAAATGATTTTCAATAAGAATAAGAGACACAAACACAAAAATCAAGAAGTTTTTTGGGAAAAAATAATGATAACGTGAAGGCTTACTTCAGCATGATCATAAAAACTCCGTATTAATGGCCGAGCTTGAGTATCTCCTGAAAGCATCTGTTTTACTTTCGGCACCTCAAATAAACAACACGCAATATCCAAAGAACTATCAGTTTTTGATGATGCTTAGGGGGAAAAAGGTACATACAACGAAAATAAATAAAAGTTTAGTACCTCAAAGAGCTTAATTGACGTATCGGCACCGCCCGTTGCGAAAAACATTCCATCGCTACTAAATCTTGCGCACCTAACGACGCTCTATCAAATTTTATAAGCTTATCAGCCAAAAATCAAGTTCCTCATAGAAAACACATTATTACGGATAGACTAAGTTGTGTTTACTGAGACATGAAATAATGCATACATTTTACCTTGTGCTCCGATATCTGCTTCGATTCATGCTTCGGTAAAGTCTTTGATGTGCCCTTCACATGAGTCACACTAGTTGGGCAAAGTCCAAACATTCGATTAGATGATAAGCAGTTTTTTTTTATTTCATCTCTTAAGAAACAGATATATGTGTTACTCATTGGAAACAAAAGGACAACACCTGAAGTCAATAGAAGCTGTCCGAGGAGTAGCGATTGATCCATAAGAAGTGGGTAACAAGACTGATGAAGAAACACCTCGAAATGTCCCGTTGTTCTCCGCTGCAAGACCCTGTTCTCATCTCAGAAACCAAACATTTCTTCTGATTTTGTCCCAGAGGACAAGAGAAACTCTCTCATCACACTCCAAAGACATAAACATTAGAATGTGGAAAAGAGTGAAAAACAACAACCTTTGCAACAAGCTCCAGAAGACGGTTTGGAGGAACCTCAACATTCAATGGTGTCATGGTTGCTGATGCAACCGCACTTGCAGCCTAAAAACGTTCGATCCTCAAAACTTTTAACCATTTAACAGTAGTGAAATATGCAAACTTGAGCACTTAAATAGTCTTATGATTTATCTCTAGAACTAGGAAACTTTAGCTAGATTTCAAATCCAAACACACTATATATATAAATGAACTTCAAAGTTTTACACTTTAACACAAATCAAAATAAACTACTCTTTAGCCTAGAAAAGTTCGATCCTCAAAATCAAGACTTCAAACATTTAACAACAGTAATGAAATACCTAAACTTGAGCACCTAACTACTCATCCTTTACAAAATTCAAATGTCATAAGAACACATGATCTATCCAAACCAACTATATATAAATGACTTTCAAAGTTTCAATCCAAAAATAGATATGCTCAGAAACCAAAACATAGAAGCTGTATGAACTTACTACTCCTAACCAAAATGGCTCATATTGATTTAGAGACACAAAACTGGAACCGATTTTGATGACGAAGGACATGCCTGTGAGAGATTGTGGTGACGGAGATGAGCAACGATGAGGGTATTGAGCTGCCTGAAGATATTTCCGTCTTGCAGAGCTTGCTCCAAACTACCATTATTCTCCATTTTTGAACCCTTAAAACTATCTCTCAAGTTCAATTCGAAACCAGTGTCTCCATTCCTGAGCTTCCTGTAACCATCGTCTTCCTCGCCGTCACTTCAGACAAAAGATCAAGATGGGCCTAATTGGGCTTTAGATGGGTCTATGATAAGCTAATGGGGCTTCAATTTCTAGTGCTCACGTGTGATAAGTGCGTAACGGTCGCATAAGAATTTGAATTCGGACCAGAGGGGCGGAAACAGAATATTTTAAGTTTTTCCTTTCTTAAATCTTATTATCAACCTTTTCATAAGCGCTCTCTCTCTCTCTTTCTCTCTCTCTTCATTTCTGCCTCTCTTCAAAATTTGAATTCTCTCCTCCCCATGTTTCGCATTTCGCGAAAAATTTCAGCCTGAAAATTACACAGCTCTCCGTTCCTGGATTGGATCTGGGTTTCGTGGCTTTGATTGGGTTTTTTCCTTGCTTCTGTTTCTGGATTGGATCCGTAATCAGGGTTTCTGGGTTTCTGCTTTGGAACCGGAGGAGATGGAGAGCACAGAGTGCGTCCGAGTTGCTGTGAACATCCGTCCCTTGATTACGCCGGAGCTTATTAACGGATGTACCGATTGCATCACGGTTGCTGAGCCACAGGTATTTTTAATCCGGAGGTTTTTTTTCCCCTTTTCGCATTTAATTTCTCCCTTTTCCTGGGGATTTCGTCATGGGTGATTCGATTCAGCTGTGGAAAAGGCTTGAATATTTGGGATTTAGGTCAAATTGCGAATCAATTTTATGCTTGAATCGGGAATCTTAAAAGGTTTTGCCGAAAGGGGCTGTCAAATAAAGTTTGTGTTTCGAGTTAAGGATTCGAATTTTGAAAGAGGCCTAAGTTTGTCAAAGTTTCTACATGGATCTTTTAAGAAATTGATAATTGTAGGTTTGAGAATTCATTTTTGTTGGCATTTCTCCTGAATTGAACAGGGTCACATACTTTTATTTGGGATTTAGGGTAAACTGGGAATCAATTTATGCATGAATCGGGAAGTATAAGGTTTTGCCGAAAGAGGGCTGTCAAAAAAAGTTTGTCTTTCAAGTATAGGATTCGAACTTTGAAAGAGCCCTTAAATTTTTCAAAGTTTCTTTATGGATCCTCTTAGAAATTGATACTTGTAGGAACGAGAACTCATTTTTGTTGTCATTTCTTGTGAATTGAACAGGTTCATATAGGTTCGCATACTTTTACATACGATTACGTGTTTGGAAATGCTGGCCACCCATGCTCGGAGATCTACGATCACTGTGTGGCTCCACTTGTTGACGCTCTATTTAAGGGATATAATGCTACAGTTCTTGCTTATGGCCAGGTTAGACCTGAGATTCTGTAAACTTTGCTGTTTCAGGACTACTTGATGAGATCTATATCAAATTCATTGTTTCTTGTTTTTTTGTGATTGAAGACCGGATCAGGTAAAACATACACCATGGGTACTAATTATAGTGGAGATGGAACAAATGGTGGCATTATACCAAGAGTGATGGACGATATATTCAAAAGAGTGGAGACAACCAAAGATTCAACCGAACTACTGATACGTGTATCTTTTATTGAGGTAAGAGCATCTATTGAAATTTTTATTTATTTGAGATCTCATTTGTCTATATCGATTCTAATGATTACTTCCAACATGCAGATTTTCAAGGAAGAAGTTCTGGATTTGCTTGACTCAGCCCTCCTGAAAAATGATGGTGGGGTTCAGACAAAGCACATTGCCCTCTCAAGAGTACCAATTCAAATCCGAGAAGCTACAGGTGGAGGAATAACTCTGGCTGGTGTAACCGAGGCGGAAGTGAAGACGAAGGAGGAGATGTGTTCGTATCTAGCACGAGGCTCTATGTCTCGTGCCACTGCCAGCACAAACATGAATAGCCAATCAAGGTGATTCGATGATTTGCAATGGTTTCACTAGGCTTCTTTCCGTTTTCTTCATACGTTATGTCCATGTAGTAAGTTTCTACGAGTATACTTTACTAACGTCTAAGTTTTTTTATAGTCGGTCTCATGCAATCTTCACAATCACTCTGGAACAAAAGAGAATTTCCAGCTGTCCTTCCACAACGACTGAAGATGCTGGTGAAGATATACTATGTGCAAAGCTTCATCTGGTTGACCTAGCAGGGTCAGAACGTGCAAAACGTACAGGAGCCGATGGGATGCGCTTTAAAGAAGGTGATCGCACACCTTTCTCTGTGTTCTGCATTACTCTTATTTGGTTTTGTTAAGAGAGACGAATGACTAACCAGGAAATATGTTTACCACAGGAGTCCACATCAACAAAGGCCTACTAGCGCTGGGAAATGTAATCAGTGCATTAGGAGATGAGAGAAAGAGAAAGGAAGGAGGTCACGTTCCTTACCGTGACAGCAAGTTAACTCGTCTGCTTCAGGTATTAAGCTTTTTGTTTTTTTAGCTGTTTAACTTCACTTTGTCAATCGAATTATATACTAACCGCATTAACCTGTAACTTAGGATTCCCTGGGTGGAAATAGCAAAACCGTGATGATTGGTATGGTTTTCACGCCTATTAGATTTTTGAACAATCATTTTTGTTATTCATGCATTAATTTTAATCACGCAATTTATGTTGCAGCTTGTGTAAGTCCAGCTGATACAAATGCTGAGGAGACATTAAACACACTGAAATATGCAAATCGTGCACGGAATATTCAAAACAAAGCAGTGGTACGTGTATTTTTTAGTTCTTGCTTTTCAACTATGATGAATCTATGCTATTTAACTTTGCATGACTTGTCTTTTCTTGCACTGCTTAGATCAATCGAGACCCAGGAGCCGTACAAATGCAAAGAATGCGGAGTCAAATTGAGCAGCTTCAGACAGAACTCTTGTTCTATCGTGGTGACAGTGGTGCTTTTGATGAGCTCCAGGTATTCAATCTGAACAAAGACAAATATTTACATTTGATGTTATTCTCTTGATTATAATACTTCAACTTATATTACCTTTGTTAGATTCTCAAGCATAAAATATCACTGCTTGAGGCAAGCAATCGTGAGCTACAAAATGAACTTCAAGGACGGAGAGTCACCTGTGAGCAATTATCAAAGCGTGCTTATGATGCTCAGGTTTTTCTTCTATCCTCATTGTTTTTTTTTGATAGATCAATTCATATGAGATGTAGCACTTACGTTTGGTTTTTCCTATTTAGGTTGAAAAGGACAAACTTTTAATGACAATTGAATCTGTTCGCAATGGCAAATCCTTGGATGAGATTGAATCCTGTCAAAATGAGGTGAGTGTCCTTCGTAAATCCATAGTTGAAGCCTATGACCTAGTGATCTTATTTTGGCTAAAGTGCTTAATTCATCAGGATGTTGGCTTGATAACCAAATACGTTTCGAAAATTCAAGAGCTAGAAGGAGAGCTGTTGCATATCAAAAGCTTGAAGAAACCCAGTAATTGCCAATATTCTGAGTCTATTGAATCCGATGACGATGGGCCTCGTTCTAGTAATGTTTTGTTCCCCTCATCTAATGAGTCTCCGGAATGTGAAGACAAAGCGACTGATGTCACGGGTTGGTATTTTAACTATTGTTTTAGCATCTTTGCTTGCCTAACAGAAAGAAGCAGAAGCCTTAAATTTTTAGATGCCAATTCTTAGATTTAAAAACACGATTTGTTTAAACGCAGATGCTATGCTGAACTGGTTTCCTCATCTAGATGATTTACTCTATAAGTATTCTGTTTGAGTAGCTTTGCCTTGTATGCAGATGAGATTGAATTTCAAGAAAAAGAACTTGAACATTGCTCACTTCAAGAAAAGTTGGACATGGAGCTAAAGGAATTGGACAAGAGACTTGAAGAAAAGGAGGTATTATTCTCACTGTTGGATCTTGCTCCTTTAAGCATTTCATCTGTTTCCTAAAGATAGTATGCGGATAAACGTCAATAATAATTCAATTTATTCATGTAGGCTGAAATGAAGCGGTATTCAAGTGGTGGTACGTCTGTTCTCAAACAACATTATGAGAAAAAGGTTCATGAACTAGAACAGGAAAAGAGAGCTTTGCAGGTCAGTGTTCTGTGGTTTATATTGTATATAAATGGAATTTATGGACTCAAGTTTTGATTAAATGAAATAAACATTGGCAGAGAGAGATTGAAGGTTTGAGACAGAACCTTGCTAGCATACCATCTGCTCCAGGCGATGGTGCCCAGAAACTGAAGGAAGAATATCTTCAGAAACTGAACACGCTTGAAACCCAGGTAACGACTGCTTCTTTTATCATCTACACTCAGCATTCTACAAATTATTTGTCATGATGCCTTGTTTCTTGTAGGTTTCCGAGTTGAAGAAAAAACAAGATGCACAAGCTCAACTCTTGAGGCAAAAGCAGAAAAGTGACGACGCAGCAAGAAAACTGCAAGATGAAATACACAGAATTAAAACCCAGAAGGTGTTCTTATTTCCAGTGATATAGATTTCAATAGTCTATAAAAATATATGTTCATGCTTGTATTTCTTAACTATGCTAATCTGTTCTGATTGAACTTTTCAGGTGCAATTGCAGCAAAAGATTAAGCAAGAGTCAGAACAATTCAGAGCTTGGAAGGCTTCAAGAGAGAAGGAAGTCATGCAGGTACATATGTTTCTTCAATTCGTAGCCAATTAAGATTCTTCTTGATCCTTCAGGCTTACTTGATTCTACTGATTTATAAGTCTGTCTGTGTCTTACTACACTGGTGAACAAGTGTCATGTTCTCAATCATTATATGGTCTCTATACAAATATGACCAGTGCTTGTAGAAGGTCTCGTAGTAGTTCGGAAACATCTGGTATACTGAACCATTCATTGTATATTTGTATTGTCTTTTAAATTTTGACCAGCTCAAAAAAGAGGGAAGGAGAAATGAATATGAGATGCACAAACTCATGGCCTTGAATCAAAAACAGAAGCTGGTGAGCCCATTTTTACAAGCTTGTATCAGTCTTTTATATTATATTATCATGGTTGCTGAAAAGTCTGATTTTTAACAGGTTTTGCAAAGAAAGACAGAAGAGGCATCTCAGGCGACAAAAAGACTCAAGGAGCTTTTAGAAACTCGAAAGGCGTCTTCACGTGAGACACTGAGTGGGGCAGGTGTTAATGGTCCAGGAACTCAGGTAACACCCAAATTATATGAAACCGAAGCTTTGTTTTTACAGTAAGCAACTTTTTTTCTTAACTTTGAAATTTGAAATGATTTATTTGCAGGCATTGATGCAAGCAATTGAGCATGAGATTGAAGTTACTGTTCGGGTTCACGAAGTGCGTTCTGAATACGAGAGGCAAATGGAAGAGTATGTCATTTGTATATGTTTGTTTCTTAGCTTCTTCATGGCCTGCCAAGAAATGTTTCGTGATTCTATAACAATGAGTTTCCTTATAAGCTGTCTCCAATAATCCTGTCTACATTTCAGGAGAGCAAGAATGGCTAAGGAAGTTGCAAGGCTAAGGGAAGAAAACGAGTTGATTAAGAATGCCAAGATAAGGTGAGTGATCTGGACAAGACAATTTTTTTTGCAGAAACCAGTACGAGCCATAAGTAGAAAAGATACTAACCAGTTTATGTCTTCTCTGACAAAAGCAGCGTTCATAATGATACCATGTCTCCGGGTGCAAGAAACTCAAGAATATTTGCTTTGGAGAATATGCTTGCGACATCTTCAAACACTCTTGTTTCCATGGCATCACAATTATCTGAAGCAGAGGAACGCGAGCGTGTGTTTGGTGGAAGAGGAAGGTGGAACCAAGTTCGAACATTAGGCGACGCGAAGAGTATCATGAACTATCTGTTCAATTTGGCATCAACCGCGAGGTAAAATCTCACTTAGTGACTGAAGCTTTTGGGTAATATGTTGCTATTTCAAAGATCATCTTCAAAACATGATTCCTAAACCATTATGTATTCTTCTTTCTGTCCATTGCTTAATTGTAAAGGTGTCTAGCTCGAGATAAAGAGGCCGACTGCAGAGAAAAGGATGTCGTTATAAGAGACTTGAAAGAAAAAATAGTAAAGTTCAGTAGTTTTGTTAGATACTTGGAGATCCAAAAAGCAGACCTCGTTCACCAGGTGAAGGCACAGGTTAGTAGGAAAGATCTTCTATACTGTTGTATGTCTTATCCTTTTTGCTGGAGCTTAGCGTATGGATCCATTGGTATTTTATTTTACAGGCATCCGCACTTGAGAAATGGGCTGCAGGGGAGAGCCTAAACAACGAGCATGGGTTAAAAAAGCAGGAAGCTCGTGGCTCGGTTATTGTTCTCGAGGACATGGATACCTCTGATTCTGAAGAGTCGGACCATGAAAGGGAAGATCCAGATCTTGATGATGAATGGAAACCTGAACAAGAATCAGAGCGTGACTCGGAACAGGAGTCGGTTCGAAAGATGAGTAGGAAACGGAACTTCAAAGTGGGAAGACGTCGCTCTAGCGTGTTGCCAAGGCGTTCATTTGAAGAGAACTCGGAAGCTCCTTCAGATGATGCAGTGAAATTCACATCATCATCTGACGTGTGTTGCAGTTGCAGTAGGAGCTCGTCTTGCAAGACGATGAAGTGTCAGTGTCGAGCTAGTAAGGGATCTTGTGGTCCCTCATGCGCCTGTTCTGCAGTCAAATGCTCCAACAGAAACGCAGACGGAAAGCAGAACAACTCCACCTCGGAACAAGAGGTGTTTGAGAACAGTGAGAACTCGCAAGATTCTGATGAGAAGGACAAAGACCAACAACGGCAGTTCCTTGCTTCACGTGGAGCTATGCTGCTGCAGAATGCTCTTGCTGACAAGCCAGTGGAGGAAACTAATGATAATGAAGGAACCAGAAGGAAAAGAAAACCTCTATCAGACATAGGAAACACAACGGTAAAGGCTAATAGAGTTTCATCTTTGTATTGGTCATTTCTACGTATAGCTAGCTAAGAAACAGCAGCATCCTTAGTTGATTAAAATTGGTTTTTCAGGGTAAATCGAATGTGCCAAAGCCAAGCCAAAGAAAGAAATGGAAGAAGCCTGTGCTTCAGATTGTTGTAGCTCCAACACCAACACCAACACCGCCAGCTTCATCTCAGGAAGAAGCTAATTCGGCGAATTTGGACTTGGACGCAGCGAGAAAGCCGGAAAATAGCGACTCGGGAGAGGCAAACAACATTAAACTGAAGCTACCAAGGGCGATGAGGTCAGCGTCTTCCAATGGCAGCAACTTGCTGAGAGAAAGAAACGCTGATCAAAGCGGTGGAGAATCAGTCGGTAGTAGTGGCTTTGTGCAGAGCAATTCGGGTAGGGCAAGTGGAAGTAGAACTTCAGATGAAAAGGAGAACCACACTCGTCGGATCTAAACCAGGAAAACAAGAGACGTCGCTTGAGTAGCAAGGAAAGATGGATTTGGATCTTTTCCTCATTATCCGATGATCTTTGGAACTTTTGGGTTTTTCGTGTTAGTCTTTTCTGTAACACAGAATATGTGAATTTTTAGAGTTCTAAAGACCCAGACCAATCGAGGATTTGTCTTTTGTTTCTGATGATAAGAAAAAACAAAACATATTTCAGGGTTGTGAATTCAGATTTTGATTGGGAGTCCTCTCAGACAAGTTCAAAGAAACAACAGTATAACGTTGGTTCTCGGTTTTCCGGTTATCGTGAATTGTTTTGGTTCGGCTAGATGTAAATCCACCTGAAAAGGCCACCAAATGGGTTACAAAGATTAATATCCTAATGGTTTTTTATTTAATGACATTATACAGATTTAAATTCAGACACTAATATAAATCATTAAAACAAGAACGACTGTTGTTAATTTGTTATGTTCAACATTTAATTAACACTTAACACTTAACAACACAACTAGGTTTGGGTTATCATCATCATTCCGGATATTTACTTTTCTATCTCAACATTCTAATCATCTTAATTTTTTTACAAATAAAAGTGGTCAAACCGAATGTAGTTTGGTACAGAATATATACTAATCTCGTAGAAAAATGATGATTAATTCTTGATAGTGTCGCCGACACTGTGTCGGCAATAAAAGAACAATTAAGTTCCGCGTAATACTACTAATAAGGTGTCTTTTCAATAAGCAAATAAATTAACGAGAAGAACTTTAGTAGCGATATACGTAAATACTATGAATTTAATTATATTGAGTGGTAGTCTTATCGTTTTCACATATTGACAAAGATTGTTTACTAACCCTCTATATTTTTTATTGATCGACGGACTTACTTCAAAATGTATAGTTTGGCATTTTTTTTTTTTGAATTTTGTTTTTACTACAATGACTTTAACAAGAAGATCACACTCTGCGATGTACTAAGGCAAAAACACAAACAAAGTTCGAATTGAGAGACAGTAAATATATACTCAATAGAAAATTAGATTCCTCTATATAGGATAATTTTAGAGCATTTCTTCTATATTATTTTATGGGGGTTTCGCTTTTACAATCCTTCGAAAACAAATCATAATCGACGAATTCCACTGTGATTTTACGTCACTTTAATCGATATAATTTCTTTACCCGAAAAAAGAAAACGATATAATTTTTTTGTGATGGTGATTTATGATGTATTTTCTGTGATATCCCGGAAATAGTTTATTGTCTAGAATCAGATGATTTGTAAACTGATATCGAATTTTGTATAATATTGCACACACAAAAATCGCCGACACATTTTATTTCGCTATCGACGACATTGAATATTTCAATAATATCAACTCAGTTTAATTTAATCTATCTAGCATAATTTCTTTTGCAAACAAACTAGTTTGTGCAATTTGAATTCCAAGTCTCTAAATATATTAGTTCGTGAAGAACACAAATGCATCATCCAAATTTAATCTGTTGGCAATACAATTATTAGCTTTAAATTTTATAAAAACACAAGTAACTGTTGATCCAAAATTAATGAATAATTGTCCACATACAGTCATTTTTCTCTCCACCGACAGCCTAAAACACTGTGCATGGCCCACGTTCCTTCTTAAAGCTGTCGTCTTCGGTAATATCTTCTGGTTATTAAACTAACTTCCGGTGATAATTACAAAAAAGCCCCTTACTCATTTTATCAGCACAAATTTACATATACTATTTATTTTTTTTTTTTTTTTCTGGTTAGAGATATGAACAAATAATTCAAGAAATTAAAATACAGCCTCCTTGATTTTTCAAAAATATATGAAACAAACTTTACTCATACAAAAGAAACTTACATGTACTTAACTTAATATACGAAAATATTGTGTAGCTTTCGATCGCAACGCTATATAAAAACGAAACAAAAGTATTCTTTTTTCTATCAGTTACTTTAAAGTTTAAACAATCGACAAAAGAAAAAATTGACTTAAAATATCCAAGATTGTGGGGTTATTTGAAGAAAGCATCCCTATACGTAAACGTAGGATTAAAAACCCAAAACCTTATTTTGTTTCTTTAATTGGAAAATCAGTTGAAGTCATTTTATGATGAAAAGGGTAATACGGTCAAATCAGTATTCCCGGCTCAAATTTTACTAAAACAGCCACTAGCCAGCCAGATCCCAAAATTTTGTCATGGCTTCTTCATCTCCTTCGTATTCGCAAAGCTGAAAAACTTGCTGCTCTCTCTATAAGTCCACTACTCCTTCAAGCAAAGCATCTTCCTCCTCTTCTTCATCAGCGATTGATTTGGTTTCGATTTAAACCAGACCCATCTACGGGATCTGGAACAAGCTTCGTCTCTGTTTCTGGTCTGATCAACAGGGAATAACCAAAAAAAATGGAGTCTTTCTTCTCCAGATCCACCTCCGTAGTCTCCAGATTGAGTTTCTTGGCCGTATGTATCGTCTTCTTGATTTCATCCTCTTCTTTCACTTCCACAGGTGACTTCTTATTCTCTTTATCACATTCATCTGCTTCTTTGTTCTGTTTCTTCATCTCAAAGCTTCTTCAGCTTCCCATCTTCTTGCTTCTTGCTTCTTGATTGAGTTTACACCTTTCAGGGTTTAAGATCGTGAAATTATTTAAATTCTTTAATTGAGAATATGCTTTTGGTATCTTCAGTTTTTGACTGATTTGTTTGTTTGAGTATATAGAAAGATCTGATCAATCCTCTACTCTTAAGCTGGATTGAGATAATGTGAATTGTGTGTTAATCTGGCTTGGTAACTTTATGATCTGCTTTTTTCTCTCTGTTTCATAAATGTTTTCTTTTCTTCTTCTTCATCAATCCTAGATCTTTGTTCAATTAGAGAAACAAAATGCTTTTGCAAAGTTCAGATCCTAAAATTATTACTTTCAATTTCCATATTAGTGTTTCCTATGTTTTAGCAAATCAGTCGATTCTGCTATATCAGGGAAAAAAACAAAGCTTCAAGTTTCTGATTCAAAAATAGGAACTTTCTGTAAAGTACATGCTTTTATGAGTTTTGGTCTTTTTCTGGTTTTTACAAACCAATCAATAGTTATGTATTTGAGCAAAGCTGGATCAGTAGAAGAAAAAAAGTTGATTTTTAATATAATTTGTGAAATCCATTTGCAGAAGCATATGATGCGCTCGATCCAGAAGGCAACATTACGATGAAATGGGATGTCATGAGCTGGACTCCTGATGGCTATGTTGTAAGTTTTAAGAACCATAAAACAAAAAAAAATCATCTAAATGATAAAAAAATCAAAAGTTTACTAAACTGTTTAATTGTTCGATCTAGGCCGTGGTTACGATGTTCAACTTCCAAAAATACAGACACATACAATCTCCAGGATGGACATTAGGTTGGAAATGGGCAAAGAAGGAAGTTATATGGAGTATGGTCGGAGCACAAACAACCGAACAAGGTAAAACTAAATGTTCATCAATCTTGTATGTTCTGATTGCGAGTGATGGGGAAACAGTTTGTGACAAAACATGTGTTAACGTTAAACAGGTGACTGTTCAAAGTACAAAGGAAACATACCGCATTGTTGTAAGAAAGATCCAACGGTTGTAGATTTGCTCCCGGGGACTCCATATAACCAGCAGATTGCTAACTGCTGCAAAGGCGGTGTGATGAACTCGTGGGTTCAAGACCCTGGCAACGCGGCTAGCTCCTTCCAGATCAGTGTTGGCGCGGCTGGAACCACAAACAAAACCGTTCGAGTGCCAAGAAACTTCACTCTCATGGGCCCTGGTCCAGGCTACACTTGCGGGCCAGCTAAGATTGTGAAACCAACCAAGTTTGTCACCACCGACACACGCAGAACCACTCAAGCTATGAGTAAGAACCAAAGAATGCGTTTGGAGTTTTTTTTCAGAACGGAAAATGTTAAAAGGTTGTTTATATAAATCTAACAGACCGTTTTTCTTTGAATCACCGCAGTGACATGGAACATTACGTGCACATACTCTCAGTTCCTTGCTCAGAGAACTCCGACTTGCTGCGTTTCTTTGTCTTCTTTTTACAATGAAACCATCGTCGGATGTCCAACTTGTGCTTGCGGATGCCAAAACAACAAAACGGAATCAGGCGCCTGTCTCGAGTGAGTTTCTGTTCTTAGTCAATCATAAAGGCTCAAACTTTGTTTCTTGCGGTTCTATTTTCAATCGCAAAGTCTAAAACTTTTTTTGGTAATGGCAGCCCGGACACACCGCACTTGGCTTCTGTTGTGTCACCACCGACGAAGAAAGGAACGATTTTACCGCCATTGGTGCAGTGCACGAGACACATGTGCCCGATCAGAGTGCATTGGCACGTGAAGCAGAACTACAAAGAGTATTGGCGAGTGAAGATCACAATCACAAACTTCAACTATCGCTTGAACTACTCACAGTGGAACATGGTCGCTCAGCATCCAAATCTCGACAACATCACTCAGATCTTCAGCTTCAATTACAAATCCCTCACTCCTTACGCCGGATTAAGTAAACACACACAGCCTCACTCTTGTCTCTTTCTCCCTCTGCTTATTCTCAAAGATTTAATTTTTTGTTTGGCTTTGGTTTTGCAGACGATACGGCGATGTTATGGGGAGTGAAGTTCTACAACGATTTCCTATCAGAGGCAGGGCCGCTTGGGAATGTGCAATCGGAGATTTTGTTCCGTAAAGATCAATCAACCTTCACATTCGAGAAAGGATGGGCTTTTCCTCGCAGGATCTACTTTAACGGAGACAATTGCGTCATGCCTCCTCCTGACACTTACCCTTTTCTTCCTAACGCTGGTTTCCGGCCACAATTCTCAGTCGTCGCCGCCGTGCTTCTCCCTGTTCTTGTCTTCTTCTTCTTCTTCTCCGTGTAAACCTCGGATTTACGGTTTTGCCACTGACGACGTTCCTGTGTTCCGGTTCGGTTAGAGTTAGGCGGCGGCTGGTTTGATTGTACTGTGGAGTGGTATAAACGTTTATTTATGATTCTTTCGCCTCCCACAAAATTATAACCTTCTTGATACCGTTTATTTTTATATATAGTTTTCAACTTCGTTGTTTTTATTTTTGATTTATTTACTTGTGTTCGTAAAATTGCTGGGTACTGTAGAAATATTATAAAAAAAAAGATGATAATGTCATATATACATATTTTCTTGTCTGCTGTTATATACATTTAAATTTGTGTAACTGTAATCAAAATGTTTGATAATGCAAACGAAATAAAGTAAGTCGAAAAGGACTCAAGAGTGTGGTTTCCAGCGTATTTGGAACGATTATGGGCCTAAGGAACCTCTGATAACAAAAAATAAAATCAAAAAGAAACTTAATGGACTTCTCTACTACACCTATTGTCCTACTAAGAAGAAACCATAGACAATACTCATTTTGTCATATTTTTATATTTTCTATTTTGGTTAGTTTGGTGTCAGTTACGGTCGAGTGAGTCCGCAGTGGCGGGAATCGTAAACCATTATGTGTTAGGAAGGATTTAGGTTATATTTCATCTCTTCCTCCTTTTTTAGAAGTTTTTTTCTATTTCATTTTAAAAATTTTATGCAAATTTTATACTTATTTAACATTTTATGATCTTTTGTCAATATGTATTTGTATTGGTAAAAAATTAATTTTAAATGTTGACCGAGATTTGCGAGTTAGTATATTATTAAAAACAGCTTCATGCAAACTATATCAATCTACAAGGGTAGCATATTAATTTGTAGACATAAGATTTCATCAAACAATATTAGCTTTTAGTTTAAAATAGATGTTTCTGAACTTTTATATTCAATTTACTAAATAATACTAGTACCTAGAAATCTAACCTATCATAATTACGTTGACCAGAAATATATCATACGTACATTTATTCTACGTAGAAAAGAAAATTTGAAAAATACTTTTAACCTTTTTTAAATAACTAAACGAAAATAACTTAAATCTGAAAAATCATAAAAAACGAAGCGGTTAGATTAGTTCCACAATAATCATTACCCGACGGACGGGTTAGTAATCATTAGTCCTCTAGATTATAACATCCCTCTTGACATATTCTTCCATTTATTCAAAATATAATTGAACATGAAATGAGTTTAATAAAATTTTCGGAAAACGATCCAAAAATAGCTGTAACTTTCAAAAGATAATTATTGGATTGGGGAATCTGTTGGGTATCAATGTCATTAAAGAAAAAATAGGAAGAGATAATGGACTCGTAAAATGGGGCTTTGATTAGTTGTGTGGCAGAGAATCTCATCCAAAATGAGACAAAGTGAGAAGTTGCTTTAGAAAAGTTTGTGTGCGCTGTCGATTCCATATTTGCATCTAAACCCTAAAATTACTAACCCTCCATAAAAGCAAACAAAGCAAGAAATCTTATAAAGCATGTAAAGTTTGTTATTAAAATTCCTTCCTTGCAATTTGCTCCCCAAGAAAAAAAAAATCCTTCTTTGCATTATCATTTTTATAATATTGGATTCTTTGGCAATTGGTGATAATTTGAGACGAAGTTATTATAAATACGAGTCCTATAAATATATAATAAATATATTCATGTGTGTTACGATAGAGATTCCTATTTTAACGAAGTGGGAAAAATGGGATTCGTCTTTTTTTATATTTCTAAAAAAGGGAGATCAAACGAGACAAGGCCCAAACCCTAAAATGTCAATTATACTTTATTTTTCTTAATTACCAAACTACTTTTATTTATATACTAGGTGATTGATTCGTACATATGTGCAGGCATGAAAAATTTTAATTAAATTAAGTAATAATAATATATAATTTATAATAAATAAATGATTGACCTGTTCAATAATATATTTGTATAAAATTTAAGTTTATGAAAAAATGATTTAATAAATTTGAGAAATCGTATATAGCAAAAAAACAAAAAATATATAAAACTTAAAATACTTTTAAAAACTGTAAAATAAAATTAAATAATTCTTCTTTATTCTTTGTTTCTATTTTTATTCATATTTTTATTCATATTTTACATTTTTTATCTTTTTTTATCTCATTCTGTCATATTTTATCCCATTTCTGGTTCGTACTTCTTGCTATATAATTGGAATACATTCACATATAATATAAACTTTTATTCTTTATTTATAGTGGGACAAGATAAGATGATAATAAAAGTGAATACATTCTTTTTCTAAAAATCTGATTCCGCAAATTTCTTACAAACACTTGAGCTTGTAAAATATTTTGCATAAGAGTTATTTGAGATAAGATTCTAAAAATCTCCAACAAAAAAAATGATTTCACAAATTTTCTGCCAAAAACATGAATAAGTAACTTTCGCACCAAAATAATTACATCAAAAATATAACCCAAAAACATTTTATCAAAATTTCCCTCGAAATAGTGAACCCATAAAAAAAAATTTGCCAAAACTTTATATCAAAAAAGTGATTCTAAAAACTACCAGTAAAAATTTGATTTCATAAATTTTCCGCCAAATAAGTGAAACCATAAATTTTCCGCCAAAAAACTTACTTAAAAATATAATTTCAAAATTTTTTCGTGAAACCCCGATTTGAGAAATTTCTGCAAACATGAAATTGTAATTTTTCCACCAAAACATTTATTTTAGAGTATTTCATTTGATTTTGTGACTTTTACCAAATATTGTGAATCCATTAATAAGCAAAAATTATGATATCAAAAAAATTCCAGCTAAATAGGTTGCTGCAAATTTTTGGCTAAATACTTGAAATCCGTAAATTCACTGACAAAGTTTTTGTGTCGAAATGTGATTTTAAATCATTTTGACAAAAATATAATTTTTTAATTTTTTGTCAAAAAATTGAGTATTTAAACTACATTCTCAAATTTTTAACATCAAATTTTATTTATAAATTAAATAATATCATGTCACAAGTCATGTGTACTAAAAACTGACATATCACAATTACATCATCATTTCCATGTCACTTTAAAATTGTTTGAACTAAAGATATTAACCAATCAAATTAAAACAAATCAGCAATTTTTCATTAAACTACATTCTCAATTAATAAGTAGAAGATGTATATGGGTATCCGACTTATTAAAGACATTGTACATTACATTGAAATTTACCAAGTGTATTGATTATTAAAAAAATACAATTTTATGTATGTTTCTAAAACAGTACATATCGACCAAAATGTTATTCCATTTTAATACACATATTTATTTAGGTCATGTGTCTCGCATGAGAGTGTGTAAATAGAAATAGTAGTATTAATTACATCGCTTATAACAAATTAGTTTTATTATATTTCTGAATATATATAGAGATACCGCTAATCCAAACTATTGTAGACCAAAATCTCCAAGATATCAGTTTTGTGTTTTCTTTTAAACAAAATTATCGCCAATATTAGCTACAAATTTATGTTTACGAAAGAGGTCCTTTTTTTTGTTCAAACGAAAGAGGTCCTAAATCATTAGTTTGAAGGTTTATTTTCCTTTTCAGGATGTGTTATTTTTGAAGAGAAACATTATTTTTAGACGTTCCATATTTGTATAATTTATAATCATTTATTGATACTTTAAAAACAATATTCATTTTTCATTCTGGTTAAAAAATACTCTGAGATGTTCAAAAAAAAAAGAAAAAACTCTGAGTAAGTTTTCATATCACTACAATATAGTTTTTTATCTGCCAAGTGAGTCGAGGACAATAAACAGTAGTTTTGTCGTTTTCCTATCAAAAGAGCTGACGTGGCATGTGTCAGTGTGTCACACTGTAGAATATTTATTCGTAATCACCCCTGTCGAATGGTTTAGAACTCGACTGAAATCTTCATTACGTGTCAAGTTATGACTCCCCCAAAATTAACTTCGAAAAGAAAAATGGTTTCCTTTTTGGCAAATTTAGAAAATAATGCTTATCTTCGGTACTATTGACTTTTATCTTTTATGAGTACTTAAATCTTTTTTTTTTTCAAAACTATTCAATAATTCATCAGAGCATATTCATATCGTAGTACGATTTGACTACCGCCGATAACTCTCTTGGTTAAATTTCTTTGGAAGGAAAGCTGAGTCCACTGCTCATGAGTTCGATTCTTAAGTTAGAGTCTCTACTGAAAAAAATGACGTACGCTTTAATATATATTATTAACGATTAGTGATAAAAAAAAGAAAAAAAAGAAATAATGATTTTAACAAAAAAAATATGTTATGAATTTATTTGTATATATATTATAACATATTGAGTAACTAATTGATAGATATTTTTCGCTAAAGAGTAGAACTCTTTTATTTATATTAAAAGAACATATATAATTAACCTTTTTATCTTTTACATAGAAGCATATTTATTAATGTTAAAAACGCATATTTATTTAAAAGAAATGTAAAGAATTAATACTGTAACTCTGTAACATTCTGTCTTAACGTTGTTTTTAATAGAAAGAAGTTTTGATATTTGTTTGACTAAATTATTACCTTACATTAGAACGAAGGCCCTTATGATGAAATAAACTTCTCTGTATATAAACCTCTTAATATTTGTTTCAATTTCAATATATATATATATATTGACATAGAATTTTTCTTTTCACCATAGCATATGCGTACGAAAATCATGTACGAGTGTGGTCACAAAAAAAAAAGACAAGGCGTGATGTTAAAATGGTCCTAAGTTGACATAGATATATAAATGTTCGTGCTATATTAAAAGCTTTTAACGATTGATGTCTAAAATTTCAAATTTCACAAAAGGATGATTCGATATATATTAATAATGGAAAATATGGGTTTTATGTCCACTATATATTGGTATATAAGTTTGACAAGACAACGTGCGATATAATATATGCGGTCTTGAGATGTGGACTTAACATAAGGTATGAGAAGAGAAAAAGATCCAAAGTTTTGATCTAAGAGGGCAAACATTGATCGTACTAAGGAGAGAACCAAAATTATGTTAATAACGATTCAGAGAAATCAAATACGTTTAGGTACTATCCACCCATTTAGGTGTTTAGGGCTCATCAACACCCAAATGTGGTCCATTTCTTTTTGTTATTGTGGTCCAATTTTGGTATATACTATATAGACTATAATACCTTTACATACATTTGATTGGGGGAAGTATGTCTATGCCAATATATTGCTTACCAAACAGTACCCTGATGTCTATGTATATAGTATATAGTTATATTCTTTCTTAATATTAATTTCATAACAGCCGTTTGCATCCTATTTATTCGTTTATAAACTATATTTGGTTTTAGTTTGCACTTTTGGTTTATTAATTAGGGTCGACTTAACCCAATTTTCTTGATTAAACTTCTATTTTTGTCGTCAATATATATCAAAAAGACAAAAACATACATTGCGGTTGATTGTAAACTTGTTACACGATGCACACAGAATATATAATAAAAAGTGGGCAAAACAATATTATGTCTTTTTATAGAAAATGGTTTTTATTTTATTTTAGTAACACGATGACCAGCTTTCTATTCGTATCAACGGAATGCATTAGTATTCAATGGTTAATTGCTATTCTGAAAATCACTTTAAAATTATCGATTTTTTTCTCTTTTTTTCAACTGGTTGGGTTATACCGATTTTTTTTTTCTTATATGCTACAAAAAATTACTTATATATAAGTTTTTTTTTCTAGAAGATCTCTGCCTAAATTTTGTTAATCCAAAACTCTAATGCAAAGACAAAGACCACCCTCTTAATTTATATTTTAAGTTATTTAATTATTAATCAAATTAATTATATAAATTCTTTATTTCTTGCATCATATATATATATATGTTTACTGTATACATTTGTCGTGCATGTCAGTCTATTGATAGTAAGTTTCAGCCAGGTTGACATTATTCAAGTGCTAGAGCTGATTATCTTCAAGAAACAAAATAGGGATTTAGGATTGCAAACTACATCTTATCACAGATCTCAAAATTTTGAAAGTGCAATAGCATTGACAACACAGAATCACAAAATGATCTGTTCCGCAGATTTGTTTTTTCCATTTTTACGAAGGCGCTTGACAGAAATTCAATTTTTTCAGATCAACCAATAATAGTGTGAAAATAGAATGAGCCAAAATATTTTGTACATGAAAGTAACGCCAGAACTCAGAAATAATTAGCTACGGCGATATTCATTAGGTCAGTACTCAATTAATTGTTAATCTATGGTGTGTATCAGTTGTTAAATTTTTTTTTTCAATTCATATCAGTTATCAAATCTTAAATACTTTTCACTTTTCAGATCAATTTATGTTGTGTCCATATATCACACAGACGTCAGACATATATTAGTCATGGGACCGCCATGAATGTTGTTTTGTTAACTTCTTATCGGAACACGTTCCCTATTTAATAACCACACAAACAATTGAACATTCAGACGAGATTACTTGGTAATAAAACAGCTTTAGTGTAGGTGCCTAATGTGCTGCTAATCGTTCAAACTTTAACAAAAAAAAGATGTGAAATACACAAAAATTAATGAGTTATTAAGTTGATAACAAATCAAAAATGTTATGTTTTAAGATATTTTCTTACATCAAATGACTACAATAGTACCTCTATCCTTATGTGATGTAACTACTGATTTTAGACCTAATTATATAGAGTAAGAAATGGGTTATATAGAGCGGAGACTTTTCCTACATTGAGAGAATCATACGTTTGAGATTCTATTCCCATATATAGGCCACTTTTTCGGTCAAAAGAGAAAAAGTGAAATTGTTAACATATCAACTGAATTTATAATATATTTACTGTATATATATATGCATTTGACCAAAAATAAATAAATACATATATATGCATATTTATTGGTCCAAAAGAGATCAACGCGAGCTGATCAATATAAATTTCCACCTTTTCATTTATGTTTTGATTTTTGTTGGTTCAGCCTACCTTCCACTTTTGTAAGTTCATCATTTTTTTATACAAAGAGAAAACCGATACTGAACACGAGAGAAGATAAAACAATTTATATATTATAATAGAGACGTTTAGTTAGCGACGGTTAGCCTTTATATATAGTGGACAACACTCGAAATTAAATTTTATAATGTAAAATTTGGTAATAATTAAATTGGATTTAAGAAATCTGATTATTATATTTAGGCATTTTCAAAAAGTTCAGGGTAGTCTTTTAATGTTGTCTAAATTATCACTTCATAAGTCTCGATCATATATAAATCCTGAAAAAAGTCTGTAAGCTACTGTGGTCTTTGCTGGTTTTTTCTTGCGTTTGCTTATGTTAGTTATAGTATTTATTTTTCAAGATAAAACACAACATTACATTAAAACAAAGCAAAACAAAACGAAATAAAACAAAAAGATCACATTTATGTACGATGTCAAAATAGTGTCTGATATAAATTAAATCAAAATTTTATTTTCCTTGAGGTCCAAATGATTGTTTTCTTTACGTATTTTTTTTGAAAGAGATGTTATTTGTACGTGTAAAATGATTGTGTATTAGGTTCTCAAATTATCGTGTATAAGGAAACAAACTTTACATTTTAATATTATCAAGCATGTATTAAAAAAAAAATACAAACAGAAAAGTAACTCGGTTTAATATTGCATTGGGGTTACAATTCGCAAATGATGTCTGATGAAAGATTTTGTGTTTATAAGTATTTTACTGTACAATAATCTTTAACTGTGTGTGTAAGCAAAAAAAAAAGTATTTTATTGCATTTGTGTTTTTATTTTACACGCACGTCTTAAACTTCATGGAAACAAATGTAGTTTAAGGAGTTTTTTCCTTTTAATACCCCCATTAAGATTTTTCTTAACCTTAAAAACAGTGGCCAGGAAAGACCGTACGGTACGGACACAACATAAGCAAATGAGGAGGCACAAAACTAACGAACAAGTTATAATTACAGATGCAAAGTACCAATAAGAACTCGACAACACATCATCTGGTTTATTTCCCAAACAGCCCTTAACTTTATCCCCACTCTGGTCTCTCCTCCACTCTATGTGGCTTTTTCTCTCTGTTTCCACAAATATCATCGTCTATGTATTCACATCAACATACCGTATATATACCACATCACTTACGTCACTGTTCACACGCTTACGTCACTGTAGACTCACGCGAAACCCAACAAAAAGTCCACCGAAAAAAGAAATAATAATAAAATTCCTAATTATCACATTCAACACAAAAGATACCCAGAGAGACATAAGAAAGAAAGAGAGAGAGATACTTTGGTCATTTCAGGGTTGGATCGTTTCTCTCTCTTGTTCTTGAGGTTTCGAGGAGAGAGAGAAGAGAGAGAGATGGGAAGGGGTAGGGTTCAGCTGAAGAGGATTGAAAACAAGATCAATAGGCAAGTCACTTTCTCAAAGAGACGTTCTGGTTTGCTGAAGAAAGCTCATGAGATCTCTGTTCTCTGTGATGCTGAGGTTGCTCTCATCGTCTTCTCTTCGAAAGGCAAACTCTTCGAATACTCCACCGACTCTTGGTAATTATTATCTTTTTAGTTTCATCCATAAACCATATATTATATTATATATATTCACATCGATCATATCCATCTGTTATCTTGATTTTCAATTAGATTTTGTTGTTTTTCTGTACTTCTCGATCTCGATCATCGTCAGCTTTGACAATAAATCAAAATCTTCTCCTTGTGTGTTGCATATCAACTGTAGATTTCTTTGTTCCCTAAGAAGTGGCTCGAGAAATTAGGGTTTTTTTTGGGATTTTACGTACGGACGCATGAAAAAGCTGTTTATGTTTATTTTTCCTTGCTTTACCCAAATGAAAATAGCATAAAATTATGATACTTAGTACACAGACTCACGATTTGATTGCCTCTTTTGATGTATGGAAGCACGTGCACACAGACACGTACGCATATGTATATGTACATAACATGTATAATACTTTTATTAATACCATATATTTGAAAGAAAGGTTGATTTGAAACAAAAGCATTTTCAAGGATGTGCTATAATCCAATGGACAATAACATAACGTTCAACATATATGTAAGATCGTACTGATATAAATGCGTTTTGTGTGTGTGTATATGTTTGTTTGTACTATCATATACGTATATAATTATCACACCGTTTGCTTAGATAACCGAGTCAGGAGGGAAATTCGAATCTTGACATTGAATTTGTACGTATGTTTTGTGTGGTGTTTTGTGGACTCACCAAAACCAGGTTTTATATACATTTTTGTGTCATATGCTTATTTTTAGCAAACCTTTGTCAGTATACCAAACAAGGTAAACTTTTGGCTTACACTTTGTAACAGATTAATGTTACACATTACAACGTCTGAATAATATATAATGTGATATATGTGGGATTGATCAAGTTAATTTAGTAAATGGTGATTGTATTTTTTTCTTCTTCTCTGAAAATCTAGCATGGAAAGGATACTTGAACGCTATGATCGCTATCTATATTCAGACAAACAACTTGTTGGCCGAGACATTTCGCCGAGTGTATGTTTTAAGATTTTGTTTTTCTTCTAACTATTTATTTTTATAAGTCTTACTCAATTATGTACTAATAACTAGTGTCTATCATATACCGATGTTGTAGGAAAATTGGGTTCTAGAACATGCTAAGCTCAAGGCAAGAGTTGAGGTTCTCGAGAAGAACAAAAGGTAAATTGGTATATAATAAATACATATGTATTACCATATTGTTTTCTAGTTGATAACGTCAAATTAAGATTGCGAATCGATCTGTGTGCCTTTCACATCGCAATTAAGACCTTTTTATGCAAGAGTTGTCCCAAGTCCACTAGACTTTGGGTTAAACATAAACTTCGGAATGTATTCATATATTTACCTTCCTTAGTTCTTATCGTAAAAAATATCCTAATACATAACACATAACTTAAGAGGTAATGCATCAGTGATGTATGGAATTCGTTATTTCTCATCCCTTATAAATAACAAATACTATCCTGAGTTCCTGATTCAAGTCGAAATGGTCGAGGTCACAAAGTTCATTCTAAAAATATATACTATACAGTTATCAAGGAGCTTGTTCACAAAGTTTCTTTTCTGTAAGGAAATTTGATCATAAAACTTATGCGTAATGCCACATAGGTATCGAGGTAACATAACAAGGACATGCAATTCTTATAAATCAGTCGTCACAAAAATGAAAATGTGCAGGAATTTTATGGGGGAAGATCTTGATTCGTTGAGCTTAAAGGAGCTTCAAAGCTTGGAGCATCAACTTGATGCTGCCATCAAGAGCATTAGGTCAAGAAAGGTAATATGAGAACTTGGATACATATGCATGTAAAGCTCTAGATCGAAATGTTGAATTTAGCGATGGGTTGGAGTTGAAATTTGTGATGGTCTTATGTAATGAGTTTGTAATATTTGCAGAACCAAGCTATGTTCGAATCCATATCAGCGCTTCAGAAGAAGGTAAAGTGTCATATTTAGTTACATCACAAAAACAATTAATCTTTTATGTATAGTTTCATTTGTTTTATTTAAATTTATCAGGATAAGGCCTTGCAAGATCACAATAACACGCTTCTCAAAAAGGTCAGTACAACTCACTAAATTTGAATTAAAATTGATCGAAAGCATGTCATCCCACGAAATTTTACAGTACACGATCATAAGTTATAACATAAGAATATATAAATATATTTCTGTAATTAAATTAATTTTAGTCAAAAAATCAAATTAATAAATATAATAGCAAAAATGATATATATATATATATATATAAATATATAGAGCAATTATTAATTAGTGGTGTTTACATTACAGTTTTATACTATTCTTTTATTATTAGAAATGGTTATTACTCTTTTAGCATAATAAATGGTTATTATTTATTTATTTATTTATTAGTAGTGTTTTTGTATTATTTTATTATTAGAAATGGTTATTATATATTATCTATTATCTAATAAAACCCCACTGTTGAAAATATAGCTATATATACATAGGCGTTAATATGACAATGGGTAGTAATTTTTCTATGCCGCTTATTAGACGCCGATTAGTTGTAAAACTATAGTTACGTCGATTAAATGATCGAATTTTTTTAGAACCTTGATCAAACATACGAATATCTATTGCTTTTACTATCTTTTAGCTATATAGATTTAACTAGATGGTTATTTGTAGACTTCAAAGTGGTTATTTGTGTCATATATAGTAAATTTTCAAACAGAACTCATGCATTTAGGACTAGTATTTATGATGAAAAAAGTTATGATATGATAGATTAAGGAGAGGGAGAAGAAAACGGGTCAGCAAGAAGGGCAATTAATACAATGCTCCAACTCGTCTTCAATTCTTCAGCCCCAATACTGCGTAACCTCCTCCAGGTCTCGTCTCTAGCTCTTTCAGTAGTATTTAAAATTATATTTACAGTTTGATTAATTGTGTAATATATATAAAAATGATTATAATTTAATTGATTATTAAAATTGGCAGAGATGGCTTTGTGGGGAGAGTTGGGGGAGAGAACGGTGGTGCATCGTCGTTGACGGAACCAAACTCTCTTCTTCCGGCTTGGATGTTACGTCCTACGACGAATGAGTAGTTATCTATATATATATATACATATATCTCGTACTATAATTAATGTTTAATATTTTCATAATATATATCAGCATTTTTTGGTGAATATACTCATTATTAATACTGATATATGTTTTAGCTAATTATATTTTATATGTAATGATGGAATTTTAATGTCAAGACGTATGTACGTTATTATTAGATTCACTGCGTCTTAGAACAAAGATTCATTTCTTTGTGATAATTTATGATGATGTATTGATGGTACTTTTTCTTTTACTGTGGCATAAATGCGTGAAAGCAATATATATATATCAATATTCCATTATATTATTTTTAGATGTTCTCACTAGGTTTCTGAATTTACAAAAGTTTGGTATTCAAATTTACTCCTTGTTGTAAATCTGCTCATTATGTTGCCTTTAAAGTTGTCACCACAAGGTACCGCATGGCAAATATGATTATTATGATTTAGGTTTGTATAAATAAATATAAAGCAACCACATACGAGCTTACATAGTTACATACATCAACTTGATATATATATATATATATATATAAATATATCAACTTGCTATCTTGTTCAAATCGTAACTATATATGTAGTTGTCGCAAATGAATGGTTAAAACTTATCGGTAAAAAATGGGATTTACGTTTGGTATTATTTTCTTACTGTAAAACTATATGGGATTAACGAGAAAATATAGTTATATCAATGATCGAGAGATTCAAGACACTTATAACAAATTAACTAAATTTCAAGTTTAGATTTGGTTCTACGTGGTAAATGGGTGGCTTAATGGCAATATCGATGGATAGATCCGATGAAAGTAGCGATGCACAGGTGCACCAGTGATCGGCTGGAGACGGTATATACACATCACACATGTTTTCTGATATTTGACATTTTAGACAATTTTTAAAAACCAGTCTTTCACTTTGTCCAACTTTTCTTATTTAAAAAAGCCTTTTCCTTTTAAGTTGTTGTCTTTTTTTAATCAATTTAATGTTTATGATAGTAAAATGGTTGAAATACTCACCAGAAGATTGAAAGAGATTTGAATATTTCAATATGATTTCAGTCATGGTTATACTTAATAGACTTCGTTGATGCATTACGTAACAAAAAAACGTGTCTTTTTTTGTTTGGTTAACGGAATTCACTAAACCTTTAAAAATGTGGAGAGATGTACTCAAATAATGATTTTTCAACCACTTAACTAAAAATGTCCTTCCTCAATGTCTCCTCCTTAAAGCATGAGGATTAATTACTTAGGCCATCTCCAATGCTAGAACTCTATCTCATTTATATTATATTATTATAATTTAATAATTAAATTTACATTTAAATGAGAAATAAAATCAACCAATTACATAAAGGCATGTTTATTCAAAGTGTCTCATTTTTGTTAGAATCGCTTCCCAAATCAAAATTAAAGAGGCCAATTCCAAATTCTCTCTCTTCTTTATCAATTTTTTAATATATTTTTAATTTTGGATACTCCCTTTAGATACTACGTTAGAGGTGGTCTCATAGTTCTGAGTTCTGACCAAATGTCTATTCCATAAAACGTTTTAACGAAGAGTCAAATGTATATAAAAGACTTGGACTCTGTTTATTCCGAACATCAAAAAGTCTCTAGATCACACATATTAAGAATTGGCTGGAGGAGAAGACTCCGTTGACTCTTCAAAATCTGCTTCCTTGACTTTTAGAACCCAAAAACATCCAATAAGTCTTTATAGTAGAGAACAAACCTTTTTTTTATATAGTAGAGAACAAACCTTTTTTTTATATATATTTATTATATATACCTAATTATCTTTATATAAAGCACATATAATCTCAAGATCTTTGCTTCAGCAAAATGGGATTTCTCGCTTGTTCGATATTCCATCTTTTTCTTGTTCTGCAACTACAAACACTTTTTGTTTCGTCTCAGAACATCATAAACGGATCTGTTCCTGTCGGAGAATCTCTCACCGCTTCAGAGTCCCGACAATTCTCTGGTTCATGGCTTTCCCCTTCCGGGGACTTTGCTTTCGGGTTCCGCAAGATCCCATCAAACGATGGTTTCACTCTCTCCATATGGTTCGACAAGATTCCCGACAAAACCATCGTGTGGCACGCACAAGCGATCAACACAACCACGGGTCTTGTCCCTACTGGTTCGAAGGTTACACTAACCGCAGATCGCGGTTTGGTTCTCACTAATCCTGGAGGTCAACAGCTCTGGAGCTCCTCACTTCCTCCGAGTAGAAGCTCTGTTTCTCGAGGGCTCATAACCGACGCCGGAGACTTTGGTCTGTTCAGCGAAGATTCCGGCGTTGCTTTGTGGTCGAGCTTCGCTAATCCCACCGACACTCTTTTGCCTACTCAGGTGAGACGATCTTCTTATTGGTAACCATTTTAAAATAAATGGGGATTATGGGTTGAGGAAGGGAAATGGGGATAATTGAATTAACTAATAACGGGAATTACGAGAAGGGTATCTTTAAAATCGAGTAAGAACACAATGCTCCATAAAGACATTTTTTTATTACTGAATAGCAAATTGTTGAAGGCAGAGACACCACTTTTTGAATCGTTGAAGGTGCGTTTAGTTTTAGTCTTAATTTCTAAAATAATTTAAAGAGTACTACTATAGTTTACTCTGTTCGTCTTCATTGTTTGTCTGCAGATCCGTGTTCCGTTGTGTTTGATTTTCTTTTTTTCTTTCTCTTTTTGTATACTTTAAAGAAATATTTCGAAAAGAAAACGATTAATAGAAAATTAGAGCGCTCCATCTTTTGTCTTGACAAATGAAGTCGTCTCCACATTCGGACACAGCAACATTCATCCTCCTCGCTCTTGATTTCGTCTTGTAAGTGTCAATCTCAATATGGCTTTTGATAAGCTCTATTTACCATGTAATCCGCCAAAAAACGTTGTTTTACTTTTACAGTTTTACACAGATTTTTCCTTTTAATACGATTTCTCGCTCTGATTATAAGTTTTTAAAACCCTCATTTGTTATATCATGTCTTAACGGTATGTTGACAGATGCTTGTTTGTTGTTTAGAAACAAAAAGATTTTAAAAAACCATTATTTATTTTCTAAGCCTGGAGAATATCACTTTTGTTTGTTTCAATTATCTTATAAGTAATAACTTAGCTAATTGCACACACACAAGGAAAAAAAAAGTAATAGCTTAGTTTATTTTTCTCTAACTAATGCTTTTTCAAAGGAAAATTAAAGAACCTCTCAATCTTTCATTCTATGAACAAAAGTATAAATTTGGTCCCAAATACCATATCCAAGAATTGTCTCGAGAATTAGTAAGATAAACTAAAATACTTAAAGTCAAGAACTTGAAAGTTCTACCTGCTTAATTTGTCTTATTCATTTCCATATGTCGACTCTAGACATAATCAAATAGATAATGTTTTCGTTTTTTCGGCTTGAAAGGATCAATTATTACATTTTCATTGCAATAAGAAAAATCAGTATTTGTTCTGTTCATTTTAACGTCCATTGAATGAATATGATTTTGGATGAGTGAGAGTGCATGCTTAAGATAATTATATTAGATTTTATAACTTTCTTTTCGAGTTTAAGAATTAACTCAAACCATCTTACATAAATTATAAAAAGTTTACACTGACATCACTTGACTCCGTCAAATTTTTGTACTCGTCGTACCGAGAAGACCGATTCCAATAGCGTGTTGAAAGGTGTTTTATTAGATTTTTGTTTTTTAATCGAATTTGATAAATTTTTGTTTTTTCCTCTCACTTTTTCTTGCAACCAGTTGCTTTTTGTAAACTAGGATATTGAAAGAATGTAATGTTCTTTTATTTTTATTTCTTTGAAAACTTCAGAATTAACTCTCTCGGTCTTAGGTCAAGTCACCCATTTGCTTTTTCATCTAGAAGAGTATGAGAAGATGATGGTTCAATTATATTTCATTTACACAATACAGCATAATCTAAAATACATGAACAACTAATTCGGGGTTTGCTATTTTTAGCTTTTCTTAATTATCACCTAAATTAAACCGGAGAAAGACCATATGAAACATTTGAAAGGTTTAAAAACTTTTCTAGTAAAGGTACAAGTTTAACAAGACAACGAAGTGAAATCAAAATCAAAACAGTAGATAACCGAAACAACCAAATTGTGAATCCTAAACAAAAAAAACCTTGTTTAAAATACTGGCTTAGGCACATCTTTATTCAAAAAAATTTCAAACAAATATTAAGATTTTAACTATGAGATGAAATCATTGTAATGTGAGGAAGGATGAATATAAATGTGATTTCACACAAGCTCATATAGTATTGATTCTTTATTGTAAGTATATATATTAACGGAATGGATGGATGTTGGTGATGATGCAGAATATGGAAGCTGGAAGGAATCTCTCGTCTCGCCTGACGGAGACAAGTTTCAAGAAAGGAAGATTCAGGCTAAGTCTAGGTACTGACGGAGATCTCCAGCTTCTCGTCCTCAACTCCAAGACGCTAGCAGAAGCAGATGTATACTTTTCGTACTACCAAAGTAATACCAAGGATCCGAACCCCGGGATACGATTAGTTTTCAACGAGTCAGGTTACATGTATGTTCTTCGAAGAAACGATTCCATATCCTACATCAAAAACGAAGTTCCAGTATCGTCCAGAAACTTTTATCACCGTGCCGTTGTACATTTCGACGGGGTTTTCGCTCAGTACTATCATCTCAAAGGGCAGGGGCGTAGTGGGTGGGAGTTGGCTTGGGCTGTGCCGGATAATATATGTCGGGCGAGCTCCGATCTAGCTCTCGGGATTGTAGCTTGTGGGTATAACAGTATATGCAGTTTGGGAGGTAAACAGAGGCCGAAATGTGAGTGTCCCGAGAGGTTCTCATTGATGGATCCTAGTGACGAGTATGGTGACTGCAAGCCCGATTTCGAGATGCAGACTTGTGGACCAGAGAACAACAAGACCGCAAACGCGGATGTAAACCTTTATGAGTTTATTCGTGTAGACCGCACGAATTGGCCAACTGGGGATTACGAGAGGTACGTTAACTATGATGCCGAAAGCTGTCGAAATGCTTGTCTAAACGACTGCTTCTGTGCAGCGGTTGTTTTCGGAGATGGTGTATGTTGGAAGAAGAGGTTTCCATTGATTTACGGTCATAGAGCTCCCGATGGTAATGGCAATGGATATACACTCATTAAGTTTTTAAAAAGCGCAGCGGTTGTTCCAATCACCGAACGCAGAGGGAAAACCCGCGACTGGTTAATCATCGCCGGTTCGGTTCTGCTTGGAACTTCAGCTTTTGTGAATTTCATAATCCTTGCTCTGTACAGAAAGAGTAAGGAGATGAAGAAGAAATCGAATCAAGTGAGAGATATCGGTGCTGCAACAGCTACTGCGAGTGAGCTGAATCTGAGGGTCTTTACGTACAGAGAGCTCGCGGATGCTACTGGAGAATTCATGGAAGAGCTTGGAAGAGGAGCCTTTGGGATCGTCTACAAAGGAGTTTTAAAAGTTGTTGGTAATTCTGAAGTTACGGTGGCTGTCAAGAAACTAGACCGAGTGGTTCAAGAAGGAGAGAAAGAGTTTAAGAATGAGGTTAAAGCTATAGGTCAGACATACCACAAGAACCTTGTGAGGCTAATTGGCTTTTGCAACGAAGGGCAGAGTCGGTTGATCGTATACGAGTTCTTACCGCACGGGACGCTTGCCAGTTTTCTTTTCAGGCGTCCAAGACCGAGCTGGGAAGATAGAAGGAGAATTTCCGTGGAGATTGCGCGTGGAATCTTGTATCTACACGAAGAATGCTGCGAGCAAATCATACACTGTGACATAAAGCCGCAGAACATACTTTTAGATGAGTATTACCGTCCCCGCATCTCGGATTTCGGTCTAGCAAAGCTTCTGATGATGAATCAAACGCACACTCTCACAAACATCCGCGGGACGAAAGGGTATGTCGCGACCGAGTGGTTCAGAAACAGTCCCATTACATCCAAGGTAGATGTCTATAGCTACGGAGTAATGCTTTTGGAAATCGTGTGCTGCAAGAAAGCCGTCGATCTGGAAGATAACGTGATTCTCATCGATTGGGCGTACGATTGTTTCCGACTAGGAAAGTTAACTGATCTTATCGAAGGCGATTTAGAGGCGATACACGACATGGAGACGGTGGAGAGATGTGTGAAAATAGGGATATGGTGTATACAAGAAGATCCAGGGATGAGACCTAACATGAGACACGTTACGCAGATGCTTGAAGGTTTTACTCAAGTTCACGACCCTCCAAACCCTACTCCTTATAATACATTCTCTCGTGATAAGTCTATGTATAATGCTCAGGTGTAACGTGTTTGAATTTTTTTTCGTAAAAGAGACATTTGTGTATGGAATAATTTTCAATAGCTTTCTTGGTTTCTTATCGTACCGTAATGGAAAAAATTGAATCACAAACGAAAATAATATAATAAGTTGATACTATGTTTCCAACGATCAACATCTTGTTGTTATGGGCCTTAAATAAAAATTAAATCTTGATTAGAAAATGAAAATTATTAGGTGATAAAGCTTTTTCTTAAGTGGAGAGAAGACTCCTCGCGGAAACAGATGTATACTTTTCGTACTACTCAAATAACACCAATAATCCTAAGAATCCCGGGAATCGATTGGTTTTCAACGAGCAAGGGTACATGTTACGTATGTGGTAATGAGAGACAATTCAACGAGATTCTATATGTGAAAGATCCAGTATCGTCCAGAAACTTTTATCACCGTGCCGTTGTACATTTCGACGGGGTTTTCGCTCAGTACTATCATCCCAAAAGATTTGATGCATTATGTAAACAAAAACATGTCTTTCTTTTTGTTTGGTTAACGAAACTCAGTAAACCATTAAAATTGTGGAGAAGTGTACTCAAATATCAAGAAGAAGAAAAAAATGATTTTTCAACCCCTTAATTACTCTTAGTTATAAGTTATATCCAAATGTCTATTCTATAAAGTATTATGATTAGTCTTAGTTTTGACTAAATATCCCATTGTATAAAAGACTTGGACTTTCGCTAAAAAAAAAAAAAAAAAAAAAAAAAGATCTGAACTCTGTTTATTCCGAACGTTAAAAAGACTAGATCACACATATTCAGAATTGGCTGGAGGAGAAGACTCCGTTGACTCTTCAAAATCTGCTTCCTTGACTTAGAACCCAAAAAACATTCAATAAGTCTTCTTAACCCTTTTGCTACGTTCAGTAGTAAAGAACAAACCCTTATACACTTAATTATCTATATATTAAAACACATATAATCTCAAGATCTTTGCTTCAGCAAAATGGGATTTCTCGCTTGTTCGATATTCCATCTTTTTCTTGTTCTGCAACTACAAACACTTTTTGTTTCGTCTCAGAACATCATAAACGGATCTGTTCCTGTCGGAGAATCTCTCACCGCTTCAGAGTCCCGACAATTCTCTGGTTCATGGCTTTCCCCTTCCGGGGACTTTGCTTTCGGGTTCCGCAAGATCCCATCAAACGATGGTTTCACTCTCTCCATATGGTTCGACAAGATTCCCGACAAAACCATCGTGTGGCACGCACAAGCGATCAACACAACCACGGGTCTTGTCCCTACTGGTTCGAAGGTTACACTAACCGCAGATCGCGGTTTGGTTCTCACTAATCCTGGAGGTCAACAGCTCTGGAGCTCCTCACTTCCTCCGAGTAGAAGCTCTGTTTCTCGAGGGCTCATAACCGACGCCGGAGACTTTGGTCTGTTCAGCGAAGATTCCGGCGTTGCTTTGTGGTCGAGCTTCGCTAATCCCACCGACACTCTTTTGCCTACTCAGGTGAGTCGAAAATCGTGATTTCACACAAGCTAGTCATATAGTATTGATTCTTTATTGTAAGTATATATATATAAACGGAATGAATGGATGTTGGTGATGATGCAGAGCATGGAAGCTGGAAGGAATCTCTCGTCTCGCCTGACGGAGACAGGTTTCAAGAAAGGAAGATTCAGGCTAAGTCTAGGTACTGACGGAGATCTCCAGCTTCTCGTTCTCAACTCCAAGACGCTAGCAGAAGCAGATGTATACTTTTCGTACTACCAAAGTAATACCAAGGATCCCAACCCCGGGATACGGTTAGTTTTCAACGAGTCAGGCTACATGTATGTTCTTCGAAGAAACAATTCCATATCCTACATCAACGACGAAGTTCCAGTATCTTCCACAGACTTTTATCACCGTGCCGTTGTACATTTCGACGGGGTTTTCGTTCAGTACTATCACCCCAAAGGGCAGGGGAGTAATGGGTGGGAGTTGGCTTGGGCTGTGCCGGATAATATATGTCAGGCGAGCTCCTCTGTATCTTTTGGGAACGTTGCTTGTGGGTATAACAGTATATGCAGTTTGGGAGATAAACAGAGGCCGAAATGTCAGTGTCCCGAGAGATTCTCATTGATGGATTCTAGTGACGAGTATGGTGACTGCAAGCCCGATTTCGAGATGCAGACTTGTGGACCAGAGAACAACAAGACCGCAAACGCGGATGTAAATCTTTATGAGTTTATTCGTTTACCCGGCACGAATTGGCCGTTCGGGGATTACGAGAGGTACAATAACTATGATGACGAACGCTGTCGAAATGCTTGTCTTGACGATTGTTTCTGTGCTGCGGTTGTTTTCGGAGATGGTGTATGTTGGAAGAAGAGGTTTCCATTGTCTTACGGTCAGAGAGCTCCCGATGGTAATAACGAAGGCTATTCACTCATTAAGGTTTTAAAGAGCGCAGCGGATGTTCCAATTACCGAACGCAGAGGGAAAAACCGCGACTGGTTAATCATCGCTTGTTCGGTTCTGCTTGGAACTTCAGCTTTTGTGAATTTCATATTACTTGCTCTCTACAGAAAGAGTAAGGAGATGAAGAAGAAACCGAATCAAGTGAGAGATATCGATGCTGCCACAGCTACAGCTACTGAGTTAAATCTGAGAGTTTTTACATACGGAGAGCTCGCGGCGGCTACAGGAGATTTCATGGAAGAGCTTGGAAGAGGAGCCTTCGGAATCGTTTACAAAGGATTCTTTAAATTTAGCGGTGATTCTGAAGTCACTGTGGCTGTCAAGAAACTAGACCGTGTTGCTCAAGAAAACGAGAAAGACTTCAAGAATGAGGTTAAAGTGATTGGTCAGATCCACCACAAGAACCTTGTGAGGCTGATTGGCTTCTGCAATGAAGGTCAGAGCCGGATGATAGTCTACGAGTTTCTACCGCACGGAACATTAGCTGAATTTATCTTCAGGCGTCCGAGACCGAGCTGGGAAGATAGAAGGAGAATCGCGGTTGAGATTGCGCGCGGGATCTTGTATCTACACGAAGAGTGCAGCGAGCAAATCATACACTGCGACATAAAACCGCAGAACATACTTTTGGATGAGTATTACAGTCCTCGGATTTCGGATTTTGGTCTAGCCAAGCTTCTGATGATGAACCAAACGCATACGCTCACGAACATCCGCGGAACGAAAGGGTATGTCGCAGCTGAGTGGTTCAGGAACAGTCCCATTACATCCAAAGTAGATGTCTATAGCTACGGGGTAATGCTTTTGGAAATCGTGTGCTGCAAGAAAGCCGTTGATCTTGAGGATAATGTGATTCTCGTCGATTGGGCATACGATTGTTTCCGACAAAGGAGGTTGGAAGACTTGCTCGAAGATGATTTAGAGGCGATAGACGACATGGAGACGGTGGAGAGATATGTGAAAATAGCGATATGGTGTATACAGGAAGAACCAAAAATCAGACCTAACATGCGAAATGTTACGCAGATGCTTGAAGGTGTGGCTCAAGTTCATGATCCTCCAAACCCTTCTCCTTATAATACACTCTCTTGTGATGAGTATCTCTCATGTGTTTGATTTTTTTTGTCCTTAAGAGAGACATTTGTGTATGGAATAATTTTCGATAGCTTTCTTGTTCTCTTCTCGTATCGTAAAGGAAAATTTTGAATCACAAACGAAAATAATATAAAAAGTTGATATTTCATACGATCATGATCTTGTTGATATGGTCCCTAAATCAATTTTAAATGTTGATTAGCAAATGATTTTTTTTTTATAATGAAAATCGAGAGAAGACTCCTCTGACTATTCAAAATCTGTTCCGTTGACTTTAAGAAAAATAAACTCTCAAGTCTCAAGTCATCTTATCCCTTTTTCTACGTTTCAGTGGTGATAACGAACAAATCTCCACAGACACACACACACATTCTCTCTTATCATCTCTACATCTGTAATAAAGCAAAATGGGGTTTATCTCTTGGTCGATACTCCAACTTGCTTTTGTTCTTGCTCTGCAACTACGAGCACTTGTGGTTTTGTCTCAGAACATCATAAACGGATCTGTTCCTGTCGGAGAATCTCTCACAGCTTCAGATTCACAACAGTTCTCCAGTTCATGGCCTTCTCCTTCCGGTGAATTTGCTTTTGGATTCCGCAAGATACAAGTACAACCAAACGACGGTTTCGCTCTCTCTATATGGTTCGAAAAAATTCCCGACAGGACCATCGTGTGGTACGCACAATCCGTCAGCACAAGCACCGGTTTTGTCCCTGATGGTTCCAAGGTTACATTAACCGCAGATCTTGGTCTGGTTCTCACTGATCCTCGTGGTCAGCAGCTCTGGAGTTCTTCACTTCCTCGGACTAGGGGATCTGTTTCTCGAGGGCTCATAACTGACGCCGGAAACTTCGGTTTGTTAAGCGAAGTGACAGAAGATTCCGTCGAGCTTTTGTGGTCTAGCTTCGCTAATCCTACCGACACTCTGTTACCTAATCAGGTAAGTCTTTATTGCACACTTCAATTTAGTCCTACCATTATCGTGTATTATTTATAAAAATAAATCTCTTCACACTCTTAATGTGGGATCCTAACACTAATATACTATTCGTCGTGTCAAAAGCTCGTTTATTCTATTTGATATGCTATTGTAAGAGTCTATTACGATGCAGAGTATTGAATTGAGAGGGAATCTCACATCTCGCCTGAGGGAGACAAGTTTCAAGAAAGGAAGATTCAGGCTACGTTTAGGTGATGACGGAGATCTGCAGCTTCTCACCCTCAACAGCGAGACGTTCGCGGAAACAGATGTATACTTTTCGTACTACTCAAGTAACACCAACAATCCTAAGAATCCCGGGAATCGATTGGTTTTCAACGTGCAAGGCTACATGTATGTGGTAATGAGAGACAATTCAACCAGATTCTATGTGAATAAGAAAGATCCAGTATCTTCCAGAGACTTTTATCACCGTGCCGTTCTACATTTCGACGGTGATTTCGCTCAGTACTATCATCCCAAAAGGCAGGGGAATAATACTAATAATAATGGATGGTCACTGGCTTGGTCTGAGCCGGAGAATATATGTGCAAAGAGATTTGGGCCGTATCTTGATGCTAATGAGCTTGGGAATCTAGCTTGTGGGTTTAACAGTATTTGCATTCTAGGAGATGACCATAGGGCGAAATGTGAATGCCCCGAAAGGTTTTTGTTGGTGGATCCTAGTGATGAGTATGGTGACTGTAAACCGGATTTTGAGATGCAAACTTGTGGACCAGATAATAACCAAACCGCGGATGCAAATCTTTACGAGTTTATAACTTTGAAAAGGACAAATTGGCCGTCAGGGGATTACAAGAGGTACTCAAACTATAATGAAGAAAAATGTAAAGCTACTTGTCTCAAGGACTGTTTCTGTGGAGCAGTGGTGCTTGGAGGAGATAAATTATGTTGGAAGAAGAAGTTTCCATTGTCTTATGGCATTAGGGATCCCAATAGCGACAGCGATACGTTCATCAAGGTTCTTAAACGGGTACCAAGTACCGGTATATGTGGATCCCGTTCTTAATATTCTAGAACTTTAGTATATATTTTATATGTGTCCATCTCTAATTCTAAGGTTTTAAAAAGTGTAATGTTTAAAAATTGAACTATTGAATATAAAAATATGCATTGAAAAATTGAAAAATTAAAAAATAGAAGAAAAACCGAGAAATGTAAGTATAACAATAATTTGGCCGTGTTATTGGTTAAATTAATAAATACGATTTGATGAACATCTTTGTAATTTCCTTATAACAATATTAATTTTAGCACATGTAAGTATTGTTATTTGTTAATTTGAAAAGTTTACCAAGTTCAACGTCAGTCCAAAGGCAAAGCGTACATGAACGACAGCTATAAACTACTAGTATAGTTTAAACATGAAACACGTTTTATTCATGAGCATGTACATAGCATAGTACATACTCGAGGAGCTGGAGCAGAAAAGCCAACCATCGTTGACCTGTATCTCACATGATTAATGTTTTTATACTACTTTTTAGCGATATACCGATTTTTTTTAATAATCGAATTATGTAGTTACTCATATTCATATATTAGTATATTACTAATACCGAATTTATTTAAAAACTGCTTCTTACCACAAAATGTTATAGTGGCCACCGACCCGCATGGACATTCATACACATAATTGAATACTCTTCTATACTATTAATTAAAATGTATAAATCTCACACTAAGTATACTAGTCATTTACTAATCAACCATCCTAGCGAATGAATTAATCGAGAAATTCTAACCATTGTAGTACTTTCTGTAGTTATAAAATTTAATATACTTCATATTTAATTATTATCCCCAAAAAAACGAGGAACTTAACAGCTAATCAAGTGGGAAGGCATGAAAGCATAATATCTAAATCAGATCAAGAATCAAAATAATTAAGTTGCCAACTGAGTATATTTTGTTTTTTATCAAATACGTACATAGAGTATGTTTTGTTTTTTTTGTAAACTCTTAGCACACATACGTGAGATTATTGTTAAAGTCCAAATCCTCTGTATATTATTTGGCGAGCAATATTAGAAACTAACATTATTTTGTAGAGAAGTACTACATCATGCCATTCATTTATTATATATTTATTCAAATTTATATTTTCAACAACTATTTCATAAATCTTTCATGGTGTGTTATATAATTTGGAAATGATAACTATGATGAAACGAAATGTGTTATTTAACTGGTGTGAGTTGTTTGTATTTGTATGAACACAGATGGAAAAAAAAATGTGACCCGTCATCAGTTTGATAACGTGCAGTAAAACAAAAGTTTGATAATGATTGTATTGTGGATCGGAGTTAAGGGTTGAAAATAGTGATGTTTTGTAATTTTGAATTTGTTTTATATCTAAGATCATAATGTAATTCAGAAATTATTCAATTGGAAAAACAACTATACGTCTTGGTTTCCAATCTTCATTCTTCAGTTCATTTATATGTAACTTTTTTCTTGATAAACAGAATCAAACAAAAATTCTCACATCTTTATTTTTTTTTATTAGATTGTTTTTTATTTTTTCTTTTTATAAAATCATAATTAAAAACTTTTAAAACAGTGTATTTTGTAATGAATAACATATTTTATGATTTTACTTTAAAATAAGTTGAAATATTTAAAATCTATGCAAATCTATATGCTCAAACAATCTCTTCTCAATCTTTGTAGTAAGGACACGGGGTGCGACGTTTATATTAAGGACTTACTGCTAAACGGATATATAAGAGTACAAATAGTTCATGATGGTGGTACAGAACAGATCAAGATTAACATTTCAGTTCCGGGTGAAAGATGGTTCGATGGAATTTAAAGATGATTGATTGCACTAATCATATGATTGATTATATATTATTCTCTCTTTTTTTGTATGTCCAAACTTGATATATGCTAGAGATCCAGGATGGGATTATAGTTTACAACTATTTATATTATTAATTTAGTTTGCTGCATATAATAAGACAACGTTTTAACAGTAACATATCTTATCAAATCTACATGTAGGCCTTTATATAGATGTGCATGTCATAGATATTGAAGTTTACTATATGAACAGCTTAAGTTATATATAAATCTAAATGCTACTTGCATAATTGCATAACATGATGATTCTCCAATATGCATATACTCGTAACCCTATACCCAAAAAAAAAAAATGCATATACTCGTATGAGTGTAGCGTTAGTGGCTTAGTAATATATATGTAAAAAATCTATAAAGATTACGTATCCACGTGAATCTGCCCCAAGAAAGTAGTCGTAGTAGACCGATCACGTTATCCTACTTTGTCGTATGGGAATATTATATACGGAATGGGGTATTCACCTTTTCGGGAATATAGCAGTCTAGCAGAGGAATATCATTTATTTATTCCAGGCCTTAATTATTGATCTGTATAAGACTGTCTTTTCCTTTTTTTAACCTTCATGTAAATTTTTTTCTCGACCAAAAGGTTGAGTAAATTTGAGTTTTAAATATAAACATATTACCAACTAGATCCTTTTCGGCAACATGTTGCTAGCGGCACTTACGAGCGATAAGAAAAACAGCTTTATCTCCCATCATCTCTTCATTTCCGTTGCTGTGGTTTCAGAGACGTCCAAAAATTCAACAATTTTAATATTATCGCTGAGATAACTCAAAACTCACATTTTTGTCTTACAAAGAATCAAAGCTGTCACCAACATCTCTGAAATAAACATATTGTTAGCGTCAAGTACTTGTCGATCAGGGCCAATATCAAAAATTAAAGTTAAATGATCGTAATGTGCCGCCTAAGTTGTGGAACTCTCAGTTTGGAAATTATGTACGCTGGTCATGTGTTGTTGTTAGCTTGGTCGTAACGTTACTAGTTGATCTCAATCCAAACTATTTTGGATGCCAAATATTATGACTAATAAATTACGTTTTATTTTGTTGTTATTTTGTTATCGCATGAATTTTAAGTTTGATGCAGCTTGATATTTACAATATTTCTAAATATCTTAAATATATCTATTACTTATTTATTTGTATATTTCGATAATTATTATTTATTATTCATAGTTTTCTAGAATATTTTAGGGTTTTAATGATCTATTATAAATAAGCCGTTTAGGCTTTATATTGTATTCAAACTTTGATGAATTAGTAAAAAGGGATTTCCTAAAAAAGATTTTTATAAACCACGATGAAGAATATTCACAAACCCTAGTTTTCAAATATTTCCAAAATCAACGGATCTAGTTCTATCCGTAGTAGCTTCCGCTCCATTAGAATTACTTTTATATCAGGCCATTTTGTTCTTTTGGTAGAAAATGATGGTGAATGGGATGTCAAATAAATTATTGATGAATGATATAAATGTATAGTCCAATATAAATACATAATCAAATTCATCTTCTATGTAATCATTAGATAAATTAAAAACTGCCAAAGTTAATATGATTCATTTTAACTAGTTCTCACTACTTGTATCATTTAATTTTAAAAATATGTAAGAATTTGATTAATATACGAAGTGGATGAATTATATATTTTTATATGACAGCAAAAATATTTTTATAAACAACAAAAAAATATATTGCTGATTTGTTATAAAAAAAAATATTGCTGATAATGTCATGAAAATTCTCTTTAACCACACATGCTAGTTGTTTTTTAGCTATAGTTGTTTTTTCCTAATCTATTTTTAAAAGGGATAAAAAAAAATCTCTTCTAGTGAAATACTCCCTCTGTTCCAGAATATATAATGTTTTAGATGTTTTACAGATATTAAAAAAATTATGATTATTTACTTTTTTAAAGTATTTTTTGTTTGTTTATTAATTTAATATTAATATTTTATACTTTTTTATTCAAAAAGTTGTCTTGAAAACAAAATTATATTAAATATAATGTAGAAAATCAATCTTTATAAAATAAAATAAAAAATCTAAAAACATCATACAATATAGAACGGAGAAAGTATAATTAATCAAAGCAATGGGTATATATAATTTTTTTTCATCGGCGTATATGAAACAAACAAAATTTAGTATTAAATGTTTGAGGAAATTCGCACATCGAATATCCCACACCTCGTGCGGCACTGTTAACTTTTTTTTCCTTTTTCTTTTGACAATTGCACTGATAACTATATGTGAAGTCAAGTTAGATCCTCCGTTCCAAATAATGTTTTAGTTTGTTCACACAAATTAAGAAACAGTTGTTTTTTAGTTAAACATTACTTTTTAATATTTACTTATTTTTTAATAATTGTTAATTAATAATTTTAGTTACTTTTTTAAAAAATCTTCCAAAAAAATAATTAATACATTAAAATATCAATTTTAGTAGAATAAAGAAAAAATTTAAAACATCATATATTTAAGAATGGAAGGAGTATAATTGATTTTTAACGGAACGAAAACTCATTTTTCTTTAGATAATTAAAATAACAAATGTAAATTACGATAAAAAAACAATAACTACACTTAGGAAATATTTTCCTTTCTAAAACATTTTTTTTTATAAAACAAACATTATTAAGAAACAGTGGAAGTAAAAAAAATTCAAGTACATTTGTCAGATAATTTAAATACTTGTGAAAGTTTTGCAGAAATTGTAAACCGGATTTGTAAACAAATTCCTGTAATTACGAGAAATAATAATTTATTAATATTAAATTTTATTACGACAGCACATTTATTCCCGCCATGTAGCGATACATCAATGATCAATCCATCACAGATCAATAAAAGAGAAAAACCAACGTGTAATTGATTTTTACATGGACTCGTCAGACAAAGACACCAACCTTGGAATCTAACGAACTCACAAACTTCTCCAAATCCAAATCGCATTCTTCGTTCCAAGAATCAAGAAACTCCATTTCATCGGTTACATTAACCTCCGGCGAGTCTTTAGTATCTCCGCTTAAAATACCCTTTAACTCTTCCATAAGCCCAGCATTATCGACATTCGTATACATACCGGAGATCTCATCGTTGCTAAAGAAATCGGTGAAATCATCGGAGAGAGAACAGTTGTCGGAGAAACCGGAAGATGACGGCGTGGTGTTGATTTGAATCGATGTGAGATCGCTTGGTTCTGCCGCCGTTTTGTTGAGCAGTGTGGAGGTCGTATTCTCGGTAGGAGAATCGACCTCACCTGAGTTTTGTGAATCCTCGGCGATGATTGTGGAGTTTCCGATGATGATTCCGGTTAAAAGATCCCGGTTTAAATCGACCGCGTATTTGCTCGCGACACGGTTAAGAAGCCTCGCGGAACCGGTTGAACGATTCGGTTTATGATTTTCTGGTATGAGACCGCTTGAATTGATCGGTTTGTGAGTGATTGGATCGAGACCTTTTTGTTTTAACCGCTTCTTGAGATTTGTGTTCCAATAATTTTTAATCTCGTTGTCGGTTCGTCCCGCCAAACTAGTGGCTATTGCGGCCCACCTTCAACAAAAGAGATATTAGTATTATATCTAAGTTTGGAATAATCTTACGTCGAAAGTTAATTTGAATACTTTGTCGCTCCGACAAAGGTTGAATAACAAACAACAAAACTAATTTTATAAGCTTTCTGTTGACATGATGTTATAAAAAAAGGCTTCTGTAGACAAAAAAAACAAAAATATTATATTTTGTAAGCATTACACGGTTATTTCTATGAATCTATCATTATATAAAAAGCTCGCATGGTATATGATAGTTTTTTTTTTTTTGCAATTATGGTATATGATAGTTGTATTTGAAATTTTTTACATCTAGATGTAAAAATATACAATGTGATAGTTTAAAAAAAACGACCATTAATTTTTGTCATGAAAGATTGCATATATAGTACTAAATTAATTACTATTTACTGTATCTAATACAAAACGTAAATAACCAAGAAAAAGATGCTTACTTGTTACCCTTGAGAGCATGAAGCTTGATAATAGTGTCGTCTTCTTCAGGACTAAACTCTCCTCTCTTAATATCAGGTCTTAAATAATTAGCCCATCTCAATCTACAACTCTTCCCACACCTCTTCAATCCTATATACATATACACACTTTGTAATAAATCGATAGAATTAATAATTAAGAGAAAATAGCTATAATAGTTAATTAATTATATAAACTTTCCAATTAATTAAACGATAAGGAAAAAAGTTTACCAGCTTTTTCCGGGAGAGTACGCCATCCACCTTCACCATGAAGTTGAAGATAAGCAATTAGCTTTTGATCTTCTTCAGGAGTCCAAGCTCCTTTCTTTAGTCCTTCGTCTTTGCAACATGGTGTTCTCACCATCTCTGGTTCTTCTTCTTGATTCTTGATCTTTTAATTCACTAATAAAAAAAAACCTAACCGTAAAACCCTAGCTAGAGACCTATCAAAGGATCATTAGAAAGAAAGACTCTTTAATCCATTTTTAGAAAATGAAATTAACAAGAAAAGAGGTTGAAAAAGATAACTAAGAGAATTTAATAGAGCGTTTGATCAAGACCAAAAGACACTTGAAGATTGTACTCACTGAGACACTCTTTTGACGAGGAACACGTGAACGTGTTATCATTATATATCGAATTTTTTAAATAAGATCAGTCGGAGTTTTTTTTACTCTTTCTCTCGCACTGATTATAATGTCTAGATATGCTCTTATATAGAGAGAATTACAAGAGAGAGAGAGAGAGAGACAATATATATGATTAAAAATTGATTACAAATTGATGTAAAAAGCAAATAATAATTATATTTGAAGAGGAATGGTTGAGATTACACGATTTTAGTTTATTAACATGGCCATTGAGTCATCGTGCAATGCCAGGTGTACTATGTTATTATCTTTGGATGGGCCGAGCATCTGTCAGAATTTGGCGGTCACAAGGAATCGCATACTGATGACACTGCTCTGGTCCTGTCCGTAGTAGTTTGTTTCTACTAAAACTGGAACATTGAGATTTGGGTAAAAGATTGTATTGATTTCTAGGAGATACGTGGTCAAGAAAGGTGTGCAACTATATAATTCATTCATTAATTCAATAATTAAGGCTATTATTATTTTCTCCGTAGCAAAAGGGCCATTATAAATATTTTAAAATCTATTTAATTGTTACTTTTGTTTTTAAATTTCACTGGTAAAAAAAGACAAATGTATCCACCAGACATTATACACAATCTTATGATATTGGCTTTTGTTTTTAAAGTCTTGTCGTCAAATTATTTCTATATTGGCTGAGATTTTGAAGAAAAAAAAACAGTATGATATGAAATATAGAAGTTTCCCCCACTTTTATTTATATGCACGCTTCCCTTTTTATGGCAGCAAAAGTATACATCCTTAAATTACAGTACGTTTGGTATAATTTCACTTAAGGCCTATTTTTTTTTTTTTCGAACATTCACTTGATGCCTAATTAAGCCAATATATAGCAGATTGGATAAGAAGAGTGGATACATTCCAAGTTTTGAGGAGGAAAAGAAATTTAGGTCGTTCAAAATTTTAATATTATAAATTTCTGTATGCTTTTAATATTTTTAATGTAATATTTTTATACTAAGAAATATAAACTAGTATAACATATAGCCGTTTGAAAAAAAATCGATTCGTTCAAAAAAACTATAAAAATATCAAAAAAATTTATTGAACAGACAATATTCAATTCGTTTTTGATATTTTAATGTAATGTTTTTTATAGTTTCTTTAGAACGAATCAATTTTTTTTCAAACGACTATATGTTATAGTTTATATTTCTAATGATTAATATTAGTTGTGAAATTATTTAATTTGAAAGGGTTTTATAGTTGGTTCAAAAAATCAAGAGTTTGTTTGTCCGTTTTGAAAATTATTCCATTGTACGAAATATTATATTTTGAATTTGTGTATATGAACTATTATCGCGGACATATGTAAACTAGGAGGACCTGACGTAAAGATTTCATGTGGGCAAATGTAAACTACGAGGACCTGAATTGGCTCGCATCTCATTCCCGATGCAACATGATAAATCAAGTAATCAACCCATTGCAAAGCACAAGAATCTTAAAGTTGATCAGTTCAACTTGCTGTCGAAGATAAGCTCTGACAAGATTTGCAACCCCCTCCACATATTTATAGTTCTTTACGTTGTATAATATAAATTCTATCTTTTATGATCATAAAACTCCTAGATAAAAAAACCTAAAATATTAGAAAATTGGAAATAAATTTTTATTCCATGTGCTTATAATTTAAACCAACACGGAAATAAGCATAACCAATAAAAGAACAATTGTATAATCAAATAGTGGTGGTCTAGTGGTTTCTACTGAATTTCTACTGAAGGAAGAGTTGCCTTGTTGGTCAAGACCAGGGATCGATTAGTCTGGACCTTTCCATAATTGTAGAAGTCTGTTATTAGTGAAAAATTCTACTCCTAGCATACATCAACAGAAGAGTGCATATGTGGTTGTATATTTGACGAATTTTCTTAATGGAATTGGAAAAATAATATCGAATTTGTTTTTTTTAAAAGGTGTTTTTTTAGGAATTCCATAGAAGAGAAGACATGTCTCACCTCTCATCGTAATAGTATAGTGGTCCAACGAATATCCATGCGATGATGCGATACTAAGTTAGTTATCCCAAGAAATAACAAATGTTAATTTCTCAAACAAAAATCAAAACCGAAGTGGAGGTAGTTCATGATATTCGGCAGCTGGCATGAAACGCCAAACAAATGAAGCGAAACATTCGTAACACATTTTTTTTTATCAAGTGTTTGGTACTATAATATATTCGAATATGGAAACACACACTTTACAATATGATTGCGAAAGGTTCAAAGAAAAAAAAAAATATATATATATATATATATATGTGATTGCCTAAATCACATTTGGTCGTGAATCATGTGCTTTATTGTGGACCACTCTTTAACCTGAACCGGTGAACCCCGTGCACTCCATATTATTGATTATGGGGTCCAATCCCTTCAAAATATTAAACTTATGAAAAGTATCTAAAATTTGTACCACTCAAATGATGATGCTAACAAACATAATTAATTTAATAAAACAAATTAACTAACACTAAGTGTCACCAATTTTTGTTAATGTTCTTCGCATTATGATTTTTGACTAATTACCTAACGGAAAAAAAATGATTATTCTTATTCTAGTGTGGGACAAAAAGAAAACAATAAAGATCTGTAATTTAGAAAGTGTTTTGGATTTTAGCCGTTACCCTTTTTAATTTTAAAAAATCCCCATAATTATTGGGCGTTGACGATTACGACGCGCTAAGGTTTTGTTTGGGTTTACTACTCTTTCAATTATATAAATGGGCTTCACTAACAGGCCCATGAATATTCCAACGGATTCAAGAATCCTTTCTAGACTATGTTTGGCAATCTCAGCCCAATCTCTAGGCTCCGGTTCCATGGGTGCCGTCTTCTTGGCACACGAAATTTGAATTAAAATATTTACAGATCAAAATGAAAAAGAAAAAAAAGTTGAATTTCTTGTAGCTGTGTTTATTAACTATGATAGCATTTACTGCCCAATTATTACAATTCAAACAAAAAAAAAGTTATTTCCTTTTATTCCAATAATATTAAATGCATTCATGTGACACACATTGTAACCCCCTTCCCTAATTCATGGCAATCTATGTCTTGTCTCCCTATTTTTTTTTCAAATTTCAAATCATTCTTCTCCCTCATAATAAATCCCTCTTTATAATTCCTTCTCTCCCTGCGGGAAAAAAATTTCTTGAAAAAGCCAGAACACACACAAAAATTAGACTGTTTTATCGGGAGGAAAAAGATAACAGCCATGGCTTCACAATGGACAATAACAAAGCTCGTCACTTGGAGAGTCAAAGATTGGGCTTCCTGTTTCTTGGCTTGCAAGATTCCTCTAGGTCTTTCTCAATCCTCTTATTGCGAATTAATTAATTTCTTTTTAACTATTATTTAACTTGTTTTATCGATTATATATATCAGACGTAGATGAAGATGGAGCTAACAATAACGGAAACTCTACGACCAACAATAATCTAATGTTCAAGAGGGCGAAGAGAAAGATGAAGAGTAAGAAGAAGATATCAGAGAGAAAACTCAGTCTAAGCCCACCAGGGACGCGTCACCATCATCATCATCTTCATCTAAGAAGCAGCAGCGTCTCTCCGACAACGTCGGCTTCTCAGCACCGGCGGTTGAGCTGGCCGCAGCCACCGGTTTCAGACGAAGCTGGCTTCATTGTCTTCTGCTTCGACCGCGAAGACGGAGGTTTCGATGTTGTGAAAGAGGAGAAGAAAGAGGTGGAGTTCTCGCCGGAAAAGTCACCGAGGACGGTGAATCGTAAGGTTTGTTGTCCCGATTAATGTTCTTAAGACTTTACCGTCTTTTAGTACGTGCATTTGAACAGTGTTCCGATTGAAACTTGTTTTTTCATAAAATAAATATCAAATTGAGGTCCTAATTTTTTTTTTAACGCATCAAAGATGATACATGTCTTAACATAAATTTTCACAGTGCCTACAAATAGTTTTGAGACGGTTCTGAAAAAAATTGCCTAAAAGTGTTGAGTTTATATACAGCTTATATATGAAGATGGGGTAGGAAAAACAGAAAAGAATAACTCACCGGAGATTAAAGGGCCAGTACGAGATCAGGATGGTAAGACTACATGCCAAGAAACTGAAGATGTCTCTGGTGATGTTCATGAGGTAATGTCTTTTACTATGTTTCAGTTTCAAACATCAGATTTTGATATTTTTATTTATATACTTTCGGCTGTTGCAGAAGAACAAGGAAAAACAAGAAGAAGAGGAAGAAATTTGTGCATCTAGCGGGTCTAATCACTCAGATGAAGGAAGAGGGTCTTTTGCATTTCCCATGTGAGTTTCAATATCTACTATACGTTTTAACGTTTTCTTGCTGTCTAGTTTTGGAAATTAGGGTCTCTGAATTTGATAATTTGGGAATGAAAATCATGCAGATTGGGAGTTGAATGGATGGGAAGCCCTGTTCAGATGCCTAAAACAGATGATGACTTGTCTCCCAAGAAACAAAAGCCGATTGCTTTAGGGTTCCAATGTTGTAGATTCTGAAAAAGAGAGCATTCTAGAAATTTCTAAGACTGTTTCTATGTAAAGAAACACTCTGAGAGGTCGGACAACACACAATCTGGATTTTACATTTCTCAGTTTTTGCTGAAGATAAGAGACAAAAGCAAAAATTGAAAAGAAGAAACGAAATGAAAACCATCGGTTTCTTGATGTGTCAATGTTAATGGTTACATTACATATATATATATATATATCTGTTCTGAAAATTTGAAGGTGTATATATCGAATGAAGAAAAATTTATGTGTACGTAAGGCTATTGTCTTATCGACAATGGCTAGATATTATTCATCTTTTGTGTTTCGTTTGCGCTAATCATAGCTGCATCTTATGCCACAACGTATCAATCAATCATGCTAGTAGAAGCGCCATAAGAGATGAAGCAAAAATTAAACACAAGGACCATAAGTAATATAGGGTCTTGTTGACAAAAACAATAATAATATAGGGTCCTAACGAGCTATTTATTCCATCTTACTCAAAACGCTGTCGTTTCAATAAGCACCCGCAAATTTGCAATGCCTTCAAACCCACCGGTTAACAGTTCGGTAGTGGAGAAACTCCGACGAAACAATGGCAGCTTTAAGCCACCGCCTACGCAGCTTCACGCGCCGCTTTTCTTCCACCCGGAACACTCATAGAACCAGCGGAGCTACCAAGTTACCCACACTCTACACAAGCCCAGATATCGAATCGGATTCAACGACACTCCAGCTCCTCTCGTGGGGTCGAGGAGCGTCGGGTCAGCTCGGCGGCGGAATCGAGGAGATTCGAATGTATCCGTCCCCTGTCGCTAACCTTCTCCTTAGCTCCGATCAGTCCTTCTCTCTCGCCCAAACGCCTGGAAGAATCGACGCCGATCCACCGAAAAACGGGTCGAGTTTTCGGGTTGGAATCTCTTGCGGGTTGTTCCACTCGGGTTTAACAATCGACGGTGACCTATGGATCTGGGGGAAAGGAGACGGAGGGAGGCTAGGGTTTGGCCAAGAGGATTCGGTCTTCGTGCCAAAGTTAAACCCGCTTTTCGACGAGCATGCGATTCGCTGTATCGCTCTCGGTGGTTTGCATTCGGTGGCTTTAACACATAAAGGAGATGTATTCACTTGGTAAGCTAGCTTTCAGTGACGTTTCTCGATTTTTGAAACTGTTTGAGCTCAATTTCGAAGCAATATCAACTAAGTTCTACCTTTTTTCTGTTTGAGCTTTGCATTTGTGTGTGTGTGTGTGTGTGTGTGTTTACTGCAAAATGTGATGGTTCCATAAATTAAAAATGAAGTTGACAGGGGTTATGGCGGATTTGGTGCGCTTGGACATTCCGTTTACACCAGAGAACTCGTCCCTCGACGTGTCGACGGCTCTTGGGATTGCAGAATCTCTGCCATTGCAACCAGTGGAACACACACTGCTGCTGTTACTGAATCAGGTTCCTGAAAGATCAAATCACTACTTTTCCTCACGATCTAGACCCGTTCATAGCGTTCCCGCTAGTTATTTGCTCTGTTTAAATCTTGATCGAGCAAGACTGGTTCTTTGGTATTATTAGGAGAGCTTTATATGTGGGGTAGAGAGGAAGGAGACGGTAGACTTGGACTCGGGCCAGGCCGAGGACCAAACGAAGGTGGTGGGCTTAGTGTTCCTTCAAAGGTCAAAGCTTTAACAGTTCCCGTAGCCTCTGTCTCGTGTGGTGGTTTCTTCACAATGGCGCTTACACAAGAGGGACAACTATGGAACTGGGGAGGTAAAGTCTCATCCTAGCCTTACTTCTTCTATAACTGTTAGTGTTAAGGAAAAGATGATTTCATTGGATATTTATGTACTCAGCAAATTCCAATTATGAGCTCGGACGCGGAGATAACTTGGGAGGTTGGGAACCAAAGCCAGTTCCCAGTTTAGAAGGCGTTCGTGTTACCCAGATTGCTTGCGGTGGTTATCACTCTCTTGCCTTAACCGGTAAACAATCTTCGGCAAACCGAACAATTCTCTGCTCCGTTATTTCCCTACAATTCTTTTTGAGTTTTTAGTTTGCTTCGTGTGTGGACAACAACAGAGGAAGGTAAAGTACTCTCGTGGGGTCACGGTGGCCATGGCCAATTGGGTAATTCTTCGCTGCGGAACCAGACTGTTCCTACAGAAATCGAAGCATTAGCAGACAAAAAGATCATCTTCATCGCTTGTGGAGGTTCATCTTGTGCAGCGATTACAGGTAGGTTAAGCTATTCTTGTGTTCATTTGACATGATTAATACATATCTCAAATAGCCAATAAACATGGAATTTGCTTTTTGAAACAGATGAAGGTAAGCTCTGGATGTGGGGAAACGCTAAAGATTTCCAGTTGGGAGTTCCAGGACTCCCGGAAATCCAAAGTTGTCCAGTGGAAGTCAACTTCTTAACCGAAGAGGATGAACTTGGACCGCACAAGGTTGTCTCAGTCTCCATTGGTGCTTCTCATGCTCTGTGTTTGGTCTCAAGATCCCATCAATAAAAAGAGAAATAACAGTCACCGGCGTTTAGAATGTTCAACTCAAATGTTGTTATGGCATATGCGTTTTGAAAAGGAAACGTAAACATTATCAAAACAGAGTGTTGAGTATGCTTTCTAGGGGTATATGATTATACAAATAAACGAACAAAGATCTTCACATATCACAAAAACAAAAATGAACAAGATCGACACAACAGTTAATCTGAACAAGGGGTTATATAAAACCCATACTTGAACGTTTGTGCCATCAATTTGAGCAACAACCAACCTTTTTAACCGCAGAGACATCATCCTTGGACCCGACATTGATGGTCTGTCCTCTGGGAAAAGCAGCCGGGTCATCTCCTAGATCAAGCGCTTTACGGCTAACCACACGGTAAACCTGAGAAAGCAGTTCGGTGAAAGCATTCTCGACGTTCAACGATTCGAGAGCTGATGTCTCCATGAAGAAAGTGTTCTCTCTCTCCGCAAAGGCCTTAGCGTCTTGGGTTGAAACAGCTCGTAGGTGACGGAGATCTGCTTTGTTCCCAACGAACATGATGACGATGTTGGAATCCGTGTGATCCCTAAGCTCCTTTAACCATCTTTCGATGTTCTCAAAGGTCAAATGTCTCGTGACATCATAGACAAGCAATGCTCCTACAGCTCCTCGGTAATATGCACTTGTGATTGCTCGATATCTTCAATTCACAAAATTCAAAACAAATTAAAAATTAGTCCTTTATTTAATCATTAACAAGCTAATGTGTATTCATCAGATCATAGGAGGGTGAAGTTTATGAAGAAATCTCAAATCGATCCCTTAATTTTCAGGGAGTTTTGAAGCGAGATGGATTATATCATTATACCTCTCTTGGCCGGCGGTATCCCAAATCTGGGCTTTGAGGATCTTATCATCGACATGGATGCTACGGGTGGCGAACTCGACGCCGATCGTGGATTTAGATTCGAGGCTGAACTCATTGCGCGTGAATCGAGAAAGGAGGTTGGATTTTCCGACGCCGGAGTCTCCTATCAACACCACCTTGAAGAGGTAATCGTAGTCGTCGTCGGCTCTGTACGCCGCCATCGTGAGGATTATACGATTAGAGAGGCTCTCCTTCGAAAAAAAATGTTGGATCGGAGATTTCTGGAAATTTAGCGCGTATCGAGCGAAAGGAAGAAGAAGAGACGCACAGGAAACAGATTCAAATTTTGAGGGGAAAGACAGATGGAAAAAATCGCGGAGACCCGGATCCGAATCAGGTTTGGGCCCTAACTGGGTCCAGGAAAAATGGTTTTATGATTTGAGCTGAAAATAGGTGATTTGGGTTTGAATTTTAACCTCTAAATTATTTCGAAATTATGAATTATTTCCTGCTTTGAGATTGAGATGGAGATAGGTATATCTTATCAGAAAAAGCATAAAACATTACAGTTTGTTTCAAACATAAAAGAATTTGAAGTGTCATCTAAATTGAACATATTTAACAATGAAAATAAAGCTGTTTTTTCTAATATTTGTCACGTTATTAAGTTACTTTGTTCTTGTGTGGTGGGTTGTTCATGTAATTTGTTTTTAATATATATAGATGTTTATGCATAATGAGTTTGTAATATCTATAGAGAACTAAAGGATAGTATCAAAGTGGTAATACAAGGGGCCGGGTTGGTTTTTTGCATCTTCTCATCATGTCTTTTAAATTTGGCTATATGACTTAGACCGGTCCGGTCCAATTAAAATAGTGGCTCAAAAGTATAAAAGAAGAAAATGTAAATTTTATTTGGTCATTTTAAATTTGTGGCCCATATTTTAGATTTTTTCAAAATTTGTGATCCATTTTTTAATTTACTTTTTTCTAAAATATTGGTGATCCTAAGCGCTGGCTTAACCCGCCTACTCTCTGGACCGGCCCTGGACTTAGATACCATTTGTACAAAAACACAAACCCACAATTTTTACCACCAAAATGTTAGTTTTATATTTTTTAATATGAATATGTAAATCTATAATTTTTTCCAAAATAATGCTAAAAATGCAATTATGCAATCCAAGAAATCGAGTTATTTGATATTGTTTGATCTGGCAAATTAATGTGGGTATAACTTTTTCAGTTAGACCAAATATTTTTGAATCTACAACAGTTCATAATCTTTTATAAAAAAGATAAGAGTAGATTAATTTAGTTAATAACCCTTCCGACTTCTCTTTTGGGGTGGTCAAGTGATACACTGGTTAAACTACAGAAACCGGATAAATGTTTTTGTGTGTGTGGGGGTTAGTTCTAGCTATAACTGTAAATAATAATAACTTAACTGATGAAAAACATGTTTCAGGAAGAACAAACTAAATTCGTCTGACTTGAAAAAGCGTGAAGATGGACCAAGAGTTGAATGTAAGGGTCAAATAATCAATGTCACCTAATGGGTTCGAACGTTCACATATTGAGAAAAAATATGTGGTCTATACTAAAAAAATTAAGATGATAAAACAGAATTAAGCGTGAGAAGATCCTCTAGTTTTGTCAAAGGAGACGATCGATGAAAACATACAATAGAAATCATGAAAATTAGAAACGAAATGATTAGGGAACATGGTTGAGTCATACACCAACCCACAGACAATCCCAAACTCTCCCAACCGCCCAACCAAATTTTCCCGTGTGTGATTTGTATGAGAAGATTTTATAACTTATGCACATGCCTTATTGGACCTACTCTCCCTCAAGTGTTTACCTACAATGACCACCACCTACCTAATATGGACCCCTCATCATCATCACCATTGATTCTCGGTGTCACCATTCCGATCACACGGCGTAGAAGCGTTCAAGAAGTTTCACTGATCTAACGGCCCACGATCGGTTTAATTTATAGTATATAACACAGTGGATCCGTACTCATTCTCCCTCTCTCTCGGCTTAGATCTTTGAAATCTTCTACCAGCGAGCGATTGGAGTTGGAGAAAACGACGAACCGACCAATGATATAAGTACGTCAGCCATTGACGTTACGACACGTTCAGTGGGACCTACTTAGCCACGTGGAATGCATGTCGCGCATGAGACTCGTCACTAACACGTGGGTCCCATGCGCAAATCGCCCGTTGTCTTTTTGCTAAGCACTGTTTTTAGTTTTTACGCGACGGCACGGCTCTCTCGTTTGTTCCGTACAATTCCCCTAAACTTTTTTTATTCGACATTGATAAAATAAAAAAAAAGAACAATATATCCCATTCAAAAATACTTTGTTCGCACATCAACAAACCTAAGATAACTCCTTTGAGTTCACTAATTTTAACTGAGACTTTAATAGAAATAAACTAATACATAAATCAACTAATTTTCATTTTTCAATCATCTAGTGTAAGCTGTGATGTGGAGAATAATATATAGTTCCGAAGATAATGTATAATAAGGGAGCATCGAGTTTTCATATATTGTTTATATTCAAGAGCTAAAACGGCTAATGATGATCACACATATATAGCTACGTTAAACCTGATCACGAGCACTTATAATTAAACAAAAAAAAAAAACAACACATACACATTAGCAAAGAAGCAGAAGACAAGTTTTTGTATGTTTAATCAACATATAAATTTATCAGAAACACAACAACGAAAAAAACTCCAGAAAATCAAAATCTTATCAAATATACAAACAATAAGTAAACCGAAGCCAAATTAAAACCATGCCAGATAAATTTGCACTCTTGGGATATTCCAAAAACTAAGAAACAAGAGGTAAATTTCATATTTGGGAAAAAAATTTACAAGCAGTCATATATAATAAATCCCGTTTTCAACCCATAATAATAAATTTTTTTAAAAAAACCACATCATCAAACGTTTACCTTATGTGTATAAAATATTTTTTTGGGTTAAGAAGAAGAAGCTGTAAGAAGAATTAAGGAAGGTAGAGACCGTTCTGATCTTGGTCAGACGACGTCCATTGACTTTGACTCCAGTAGGCATGATCAACGGTACTAGTTAGATCAAAGAGTGTCTGATCTCCTCCGCCACTTCCCCAATCCAGCGGCTCAAATCCCATATTTGGATCAACCTGAGCCGTTCGATCCCCAAACTGCTGCTGTACAGTATCCCCTTCCAACTTCAGATGATCAGATATACACTGTTGATTTACAGTATTACCCCCGAACCCAAACTGAGTCGTTTCAATCGACGCCGCCGCAGTAAAGCCGCCGATCTCCGAGAAAATTCCACCGTCCGATGAACCCTGCCCGAGCAACGTTGACCATTCGATCCCGTTTCCGTACTGTTTCAGATTAGGCATATCAGTACCCATAAATCCCGAAGACGCAACCTTCACGGCGGTGGCGGCGGCGACGGTGGAGTTAGAGGCGGTTAGAGAAGAACTCTCGCTGCTACTGGATTTCTCCTCGACGTCTTGCGTCGCTGGTTTGTCGGCAGAGGACGGCGACGACGACGAAGGAGGCTGCTTAGACTTCGATCGTTTGGCTTTCCGGCAGCCGCCTCCGACAGGGACGTTACGGAGGACGCCGCCTTTGGTCCAGTAACGACGACAGTTCTTGCAAAAGTGTCGAGGCTGAGAGAGATTGTAATTGTTGTAGTAACAGAACTTTGTGTTAAGAGAATTGCAACGAGGACACTTGAGAGATTGGTGATGGTTAAGTATGTTGTTCTGATGCGCTCTCATCCTCCGATCACCGCCTCCTCCGCCCCCGATTCCTCCGCCGAAAAACCTCCCTGTATTTCCTCCTCCGCCGCCGCCTCCAGTCATCGAGTAATCATGAATATCTTGCATTTCCAAGAGAGGATGAGGAAAATTCTACAATCAGATTTGTGTTTTTTTTTCCCTATTTTCTTAGAAATTGGGAGGTTACGGAAAGAGAGAGAGAGAGGAAGAAGTAGTAAGCATGGGAAAGGCTTCTGAAACTCTGACACAGCATATCTTTCATATGTCTGAACAGGCAGTTTCTGTTCAATATACGATAATACCCCTGTGATATTTTGTATTTTACAATCCCTTAGTGTGGCTGGACTCGGAAGTTAGCTTCGAGTCCAAAAAAATGGCCCCATCAATTACATGTAATATTAATATCTTTCGCATTGAAATGATTTGTTATATTTTCGTTTTGAAATTTTATTTATACAAAAGAGTCGCATCAAAGGTCCAATGATTGATAAATTAGTGCCTGTTGATCTTTTATTTCCACATCAAATTTGATATAAATCCCAAAAGAGTTTTGAAAATGTTGATGCAATTTTTTTTGGAACTGCATAAATATTCTCGAAATGTTAACTAGTACAAATTATGTCAACAAGTATATATAAGTCTATTAACATATTGTAAACTGAACAGTTCGCTATGGTATCGATCGTATGATATTTTTTCTTAGACAATTATATCTTTTGGTGTTTGTTTTGTAATGGAGAACATACATTAGCTTGTAAGTTCACTACAAGAAAAAATAGATAATTTCTACCAATTTCTCTTCAAAACTTTTAGGATTTATATGAAATTCGTAAGAGGTTAATATAATTAATTAAGTAAACACGTAATTAAAAATCAACTTATTTATTATCCGGTAACTTAAAAAACAATAAATACTAATAATTCCTTCAATCTAAATAATCTACTGATTTTCTGATCTCATATGAAATGTTAATTTGAAATATATAGGTTGACTATCTGACTACGTATAAGTTATTCAAATTGTATATAAATCTCTAGATATGATTCTCGTACGGAGTCCGAGACATAGTCCACGCGATATTGGTCTCACTGAACTACGTTGCCTGAACATGCTAGAATATACACAATCCAACATGAGTTGTAATTTAATCAAACAAGTATGGAATTTTGCTTTGCGTGTGAAATTGAAAATAACATAAACATGTATTTCCTCGAGAAGTTTCTTTTGTAATTTCAAGTTACGGTAGATCTTTTGATGAATAGCTTGTGTTGTTTTCAGAGACTTTTGTATTGGAATTTATTGGAAGCAATGTGAAAAGGTGAAATCCGTTGCTTCAACTACAAGAAAAAAAACGACCTGGAATTTATATCGTCTAACATTTGTTGGATGTTTAAGGTTTGTTTGAAGTTTGAACAGAGAAATAGTTGCTACTTGCCACAATACAATTAAAGCGATCTTTGCTAATTATCGCTTTCAATGTATAAATATTTCCATGTTGAATAGTGGTTCTAAGTTCTAACAATGGTCATATATAGTGGTATAACAGTCCGACAGCTAATCGTTTCATAAAACTTTTTTTGGTTCAAAACCTTACTATAATCAATAGTTTTCTATCCAAAATAGATATCTTCACCTAAGCTTATATAATAATTACATCATCGAAGTCTAATCGCAATGAATGCGCATGTCGACTGAACAAAGAACATTTGAAAAACGGGTTTGGATCTTTCTTTTTTCGTTGCATAACAAATTTACCCTAATAATACACAGAAGTGGGAGAATAATCTAGGCGGTTGATGAAGATAAGAAGACACGTGGAGGGTCGAGAAAGGGAAGAGTTTGATGTCCACATAAATTGGATTGTCGACTTGTCGGCCACCCCGCTTTATCTGCTGATTCAAGAGCTCTGTGGCCTGTTCCAGTGGTTCCTGTTGTGCCACGTCACCGTATTCCTATAAGAATAATTAAACTATTTGGGTATGAGAATGTAATGTATGTGTACAAATCTGGCACTTGTATTCGCAATTATTTGTCGGGTTGTCAAAATTAAGAAATCGCAACTAGTTTTGCACATTCTAAATTTCTATATCTACCCGCCCATAGTTTGATTGCGGCTAATAACATTGCGATTACTTTTCTTTATAATTTAAAATTTTGGATTTTCGGTCCATTGGTTAAAAAAAAAGTAGAAAAATATTCGGTATATAATTTATCCATATGAACGCTGGTCAATATGTATGCATGATATATTCAAGGTAAAGTACTTATAGGTTCTAACATATTTACATTTGGAGGAAATGTGAACTGAAATCAATAACCAGCGTTCACATTACGACTGAATTTGAAACGTTCCTTCGGTTGAAATATCTCGAAGATTTCATATTGTGAACACTTGGATGATGTACGAATATTTTCAGAAATGATGAAATTGACCCGTATTCTAGTGGAAATAGCAATTAGGACCACTAGAGTGGGTAAGGAAATGTCGGGTGCAAAATGCAAATTGCAAACAGGACAATAGTGACATGTATCCAGTGCTCGTCACAAATGCTGTTGCCTGTTAGTTTTGATAGTATTGCCGTCAGCGCGATGCATGACAGTGATGAACCATAGCAATGAACTATCGATTTATAGCGTTTGTTTAGTTATTATTGAAAACAGTGATGAAGCGAGAACAATAAACTCTATGCTTGTTTGTTTTGCTGACATGTGGGTGATAATAAATAACAGCAAATATCGGTAATAATTAATTCTTACAAAAAATATCGGTAATAACTAACAACTAGATCTATTTTTGTCCTTAATCCTCATTTTTGTGAGCGATATATCAACCAACTTTTTTGTGGGTAATGTTCAATTTTTATCACTGAATTAACCTGGTAAAATCGTTGTGTATCCTTCTATAGTGTCCATGCATGAACTTTGTTCATTACACATGCATTTTAATTGGACGTGGCAATAATTATCACAAACATTATTATTGAATTCACAAAACTCACACGAGTTTCGGATATTATAATTAACCCATGCGTAGTTATGCATGTGCACAGGGCACATACACGCATCAAAGTATTTTCAATGTCGGATATTTGAAAAGTCTATTGAAATTGATTTACGCTCTATTTTTAGCTTAACGTACTTATATGGTCGTTTAATATTTTGTTGAAAATTTTACCCTTCGGTTGATCTGTGAGATTATGATTCGACTTTTTCATTACGGATTCAATCATAATAAAATATGCTAAACATTTCATAATAATTTTGAATAACTAGTCATTAAGTTTATTTCATATATTCTAAAAAAGAATTAATTTATACTTTTCTAATCTGAATTAATATAAATGATATATAAAGCTAAAAAAAATAATTTGTATAGAAAATCTTAAAAACCAAATCTCAATAAAATGGATAGAGTATATTAAAATGGGGGACATAGTCCTATAGGTGCATACTGCATACTATTGGTACACAGGTGTCCTTCGCTACTAGCCTTCTAGCTAGTAATTACACAATCCATACTGACATAAATAATACATATATAGATAGAGAGCTGCTTTTTCATCCTATCTATAAAATAAATTCCTAAATTTGAATACGAGCATCTAGAAAATTTATTGGGTATTTTGTTACGCATTGAAAGCTATGAAAAAAAAATCTATTAAAATATGTAAAAATGGAAATATCAATAAAATACTATTTTTGGGTAGTCATACACTACACTCCAATACAAATGAAGTGTTTGCTAAAACGACCGGGGGGTGTCAGTGAGTTGAGTGGGACGGTCACTATCGAGATCTCAATTCTCAAGGTCCAGTCGTCGGTGGTCGGTTGAGATTGAAACGTCTTGTAAAGGCCCATGGGCCCCATCTCGTTACACTATCATCACATCTGTCACGTGATTATTAGGCCCACAAGGCCCATCTCCCGTCGACATCTCACAGCTCTCATCTTTCATACTTCCATTTATTATACATAACACACACATATGACATACATACAGTACAAATACATACCGTGCGTGTATGTATATGAGCGTCAGACGGGTGAATAACAGATTGTGATATGTTTGATTAAGAGGGATTTATGGGCTAGTTTTAAATATTAAAGGCGACGTTTTTTTGTTAATAATACAGAAATGTGATTTATATTGAAATATTGCGGCTAGCTGGAAATCAATGATTATTGTTGTTAGTTCTTTTTAAGTTATGTTATGCCTTCCGAGTATTAAACTTCTTGTACATGATTTGATGTATAAAATACACTAGTTTGTTGCTTCTCTAACATGAATAATGAATTTGATCAGATCCTCGTTTTCTAGTCTCTTAGACTCTTACTACAACATTAACAAAACTAATTATCATGCATTCCTTGCATGTTAATATACTTTTGTAGGATTAGAAAACCGTAACCTTCCTTTGACGATGGCAGTCAAAAAAAAAAAAACTTCCTTTGACGATGATGATGACAAAATGAGATCGAGAGCCTTTTTACAAGGGCCTTACTAAAAAAGCCTCATAAGGCCCAAATGAAACGACAAGATTATTTTTACATTTTTTTTTGCGGTGGGAATGTTAATTAAATTTCATCAGAAATATAAAGTTCTGAAAAATGTGAAGACTCTTTTATAATATATATATATATATATATATTTTTAAATTTCATCCATGTTAAAAGAGTTTTTGTTATTTTTATAAATTTGGTCGAATTATTGGAAGTAGGAAAAACCGACCTATTAATTTTTTTTTTTTTTTTTTAAAAAAAAAACACAAACGTAAAAAGTTGAAATAAAAAATCAAGATTGCAGCAAACACAATCATAGATTTGAGTTATTCAAAATTTCCAAAACGTGAGACGTATGACGAGCGAGAGAGCGATGTCTCCGGCGATTCCGCCTCCGCAGAGCCAACACTCAGAGCATCAGTCACTGCCGCAGAAACCAGTAATCCCTGCTCCCATTTCCGCCGCACCTCCCTCCTCGCCACGAACTACGGTGAGTAATCTCTCAATCTCTCTCTCACTGAGTATTATTACACACGATCTGTAAACGCCATTGTGTTTCAGACGGAGGTTGTTGCGAATAGCAACGGTGTAGTATCAGACCAAGTGATTGATGAAATCGAAGAACCATCCTATTTCAAGTAATTTTGCTTCCATTCTGTCTTTTGGGCTTTGGTGCATTGTTCTTCTTACTCAGTGAGCTCTTTTAATTGAATCTTCTGAAAAAACCTAAAAATTCATGAATGCCGAATTTTCGTGTTTTAGATATCTCGATAGCAAAGAGTGTGCTGATAAGTACCGAAGGTACGAATCTGACTTTAAGCAGATGCTCCTGTCAACTTATTTCTCTGGGAAAGATCCCAATGGAGGTTAGTTTATCAGCTTCATTGTTCTTTGCTCTAATTTCATGATAAAAATTTGATCTTTGTGCGTTGTTCTTATTTTTTTTTCTTTCAGCGAACATATTCGAGGAGAGAACAACAATAGATGGTGAAACCATTATGTCAAGCAGGTCAGCATCAAACAGATGTTTTTTTTTGCTTTTTTTTTGGATTTTGGATATTACTCTTATTCTGGGTTTAACTGGCTAAAACTTTCAGGTGGCCTTGCACGCGTTACTATGCAGACCCAGATATTTCATTTCCAGATCCGGTACAAGGCCCTGATGAAGAAGAAGAAGAAGAAGAGAGTGCTGATTCAGCTACTGCAGAGATAGCCCCTGGTGAAATCTCCAATGGAGGTATTGTCTCAGAGAAGAAGAATAGTTGTTGATGTAGGCAAGAAACCATTAAAATGCCCGTTTTAGTTTTCTGGTTTACGGTCTTGACAATGTTTGATTCAACCTTTTGCTTGATTTGCTTCATAGACTAAGAATGTGATGCACAAGTTGTAAAACCAGTAGATTTAATTAATAGCTACTGCTTTGTTTCTCATCTATCATATACATATATGCAAGTAATTTCTAGTGTAGTATTCACATTACATATATATGGGTCAATCATAGTACTACTGGCTTAGCACACCAAGAACATAAAACTTTTTTTGTTTTACTTACCAAACAAAGTGCTGGTCCGGTTCGATGTTTCTCCTCTGAGATGATTCGCATTGCGGTCATTGATGCTGCCATCCGCATTTCTCATGGGTATTAGCATATCTGCCATGAGCAAGTGAAAGGAAGAGACTTTCTCTTTTAGCTGTGAGTTCTCTTGCAGGATCTGTTGGTTGCTTTCCAACAAATTGATGATTTTATCAGACAAGTGATGGTTCAATACCATGAGCTGTTCCACTTGTTGCTGCAGCTCTTCGATCTGCTTCTTCTTGCGCATACGTGACCTCCTTGCGGATTCTCGGTTAGAGACCATTCTTCTTGCCCTTTTCTCGTCTGGAACGAGACCCTCGCTGTGGTAAATGTTTTCTCCATTTGGGTGTAACTGAGAGCGATTGTTGTTGTTGTTGTTGCGGGTCGATAAGTTTGGTGATACGGACTGCAATTGGACATTGAGATCGATGTTTGGTAGGAATGTCGAGTTGAAATGATCGTCTTGGTAGGAATCTTATAGCATTTGAAACTCTCCACTAACTAATTCGTCTTAGTGATACTTTCTGACAAAAATTAACTTATTTTAACATCTTTTTTTTAAAAAACTTTTAAACTTATTTTACCATCTTTGTCAAGGTTTATTATCTTTTATGGATACTTGTTTCTTAAGATCGTGTATTTTCCAATGTCCTTTTATCTTTATTCGAATGGTGACGCGTTCACCGTTTTTTCCTAAACATGTCATACGTGAATGCTTTGGTACGTTTACGGTTTATGAATTATGATGAGTCGCTTAGTCACCCATGCGATCTCATATTCTTTGTAAAACAATGAATCTATAAAACCTTTTAAAAATAGCCATTGTGATCGTTCAAAAATCTTTATAAAAAATATAGCTGAATCAACTATATTATAAAGCTTAATATTTTTTTTTCGAAAATTGTCTTGTTTGTTCTATGTGTTAGAATTCATTATATTTGTTTTGTTCCGTATTTATCATTATGTGTAAATCCGACAGATGCTGATTCATGTGTAATACAATGTTTGTGTCATCAGAATTTTACCATTGGAGGGCTTCACGGTGAAATGGGTCGGTGATGCTAACTTGCATGTATTTAGATATTTCACTCCCAATTTTACTTTTTCAAACCTATTCGTCAATTTAGAAAATCCTAGGACTAGTATAATTTCTTTAAAAGTCTACTCAAAGAAAATGCGAAACGATTCAAGTTGATGTACCATTAGCGTAAATTAATCAAATTGGCCTACCTACTTCTGAGCAAAGATAAGGCGAATTTTGTAAAGTTACTTTTATCATCCATTTTTGTAATTCGATGCAAAATCGTGAATCATATAAGAAGAAAAGAATGCCGATAGTAATCACAAAATACTACAATCAAAGTCAAAGACATTAATTAAAGCATTGTTTCCAGACCGAGATTAAGGGATAAACTTCAAATTGAAGGGTAATTAAAGCAGAGAACCAAACACATTAAAAGGTGATAATGATGCTTAACAGCTTTCAAAATGTAAACCAAAATGTGATTAGCGTTACGGAGAGGCAATGTCTTGTTTCCAGAAACGGACAATGAGCCTCTTTTCTGCAAGTTTCGTCTGAACAAAGCTGAACCCATTGAAGCTTTATCCAGCTCATGCTTAGGTAAATTCTTTAATACTCATACCACACTCATAGATTTATAGCAAAAGAATCTCCAGATGATCAAATGACGGAGCACCGAACATTCTGAAAAAGATTATGATCTACTGAAAAATTGGACACTAAATTCCTTAAATGTAGATATCCCTTCTTAAGAATTCATCAAAAATGTGCTAGGTTTACTTATTTGATGACGTATAGCTTAGTCATTTTTCAAGTGTTGTCTCCAATACATAATTCAAATCCAAGTTTGGTTTGTAGTACAAGTTGTAAATTTGTAATATATATGAAATAGGCGCAAGTTTTTGTCCGAGATTCAAATATTTTTAAAAACATGAGATTGTAAATATTTTTCGAAGACCCACAACACAAGTCTAAGCTCTCCTATTAAAATTACACAAGTAATCTCAATCAATCATCTTCTTCTTCTATAGTAAACACTACACTTTTTTCAGGGTCTTCAAAACCGGCACTGCTCAGTATCATCTGACGGCAACTCGAACCGACAAACCGGACAAGTATTCCTAATTCCAAGCCATGGAACAATACATTCACTATGGTACTTGTGTCTACAAGGCAACTCTGCAACTTCCTTCCCTACATTCATCTCTTCTTTGCAAACCGCACAACACATGGAACCATCATCACCCTTCTCCATAACATCCTCTTTGCTCAAAGGAGACACTTTCAGATTCTTTATGAATGATTTGGATGCTGGAGGCTTACCTAGACCCGACGAGACCTCAGCCTCAAACAACATCTCATACTCTGCTGTATGAAGATAATCTTCATCTTCTTCTTCTTCTTGTTGATCAAAAACATCACCAATGTATAACTCCATGTTGCTATCTGCATCATCTAGGTTAAACTCGAGACTACGAGAGTTCAACAAAACTTCCCACCCTAGGTATCCTCTTCTCTCACCTACAGCTAAATCTTCTAGAGAGATTGTTGCTGAGACGGAAACCGAAACCGAATTGTCATCATCAGCTTCACCTAAAACGCTTTGAACCTCCCTCTCATCGCCGTCGTCAACTTCTTCCCACTCGAATTCCTCATTGTTTATTCCTAATTCTTCCAGCTGAAGTGAATCCCAACAGAGAGGGATTGTCACACTAGCGTCTTCTTCATCCTCCTCACCATCATCATTCACATACGCTTCTTCTTCTTCTTCTTCGTTCAAATATACCCCCCAAACCTCCCTCTCCTTCTCTGGGTCATCTTCATCATCAGAATCAGAATCAGAACCCGACTCCACTGTAACTATAACATCGCCAGAATCAACCCCTAGACACATCGTATCACCACCAAAGAAACCGTCTTCATCGTGTTCATCGCAATAATTGTGGTTAGCAACAAAATCACTATCACCTATTCTATTCTCAACGAAACCGCTTCCAGATTCTAACTCTAACCCAAAATCAAGCTCCGAATGATCCCCGCGCATGACGCAATTTCCCTCTTCCACACCGAATCCCAAATCTGACCGCGACTCCGCACCCTCGTAATCATCGATGCCGTCATCAAGCGGACTCACCTGAGATTGCTCAACGCGCTGGTGGAACAGATCCATGACAAAGCTACGTCTGCCGAAGGTCTCCGTGAAGACTAAATCCGATACCGAAACGTCGCCGGCGTTAGAAGGAAAATCGTTTTCAGAGACGTAGAGATCGGCGTCGTCCGATTGGACCCAGTGAGGAAGCGAATCGAGGATCTGAGAAAGCGATTGGCGATGTCGCCGCCGTTGGTGGTGGCTGCGGTTACATTGATTCAAAACGGCTTCGTTTGCGTCGTGGATCTGAAGGCAAGACATCTCCGCCATTTTTTTCCGCCTTGGATTTCTCTCTCTTTATCTTTCTGTCTTTCTCCTCTCTCGCTTTTGAGTTTTGAGAATGAAACCTATGCAAAATTTTGATTTTGCGTTATGTTGTAATAAAGGCTTTGACTATCTGAGGCCGAATGATATCCGTTAAAAAGGATAGAGATTAATTATATTTAGTGGACTACTAAAAATGCCACTGATTCACACTAGAATGGGCCGTACTTAAATGGCCTTTTATGATCGCTAGGCCCATGTATATAATTATCGTCTTTTTCTATCTTCTTGGAAAGTAAAATAAAACTAAAGTGGTATAAAAGTTAGCATAATTATATACTCTCTTTGTTTCAAAATGTCATTTTGATATTTTTCACATAAATAAAAAAATAATTAAATATTCTGTTTTATCCTTTGTTTATCCACAAAATAACATTTTCTCTAATTAAAATAATAAAATTCAAAAGTTAAAATTGAATATTTATTCAAAATTATGCATTAAAAATGTAAAGTGACATTTTTTGTAAAACAAAAATAAAATTTTAGAATGACATTTATTTTGAAATGAAGAGAATAATATATTGTATATAAAAAAATTTGATATCAAATTAATTTATTAATTATAAAGAAATTTTTAGAGTGCATTAATTCGAGAAGCATCACGTGAAGGTGTCCTTGAAAAGTAAAGCCCAATTTTGAATTTTACATGTTTTATAAAAAGTCTCGTTCTTCACATCCACATGAGGTTTTTAGTATTCCGAAAACGACAGCGTAAAAACCAAGAACCCTCTGGTCGGTCTTCTACATTTTGTTGGCCGGTGCTGGTTTGACTTCTCTTCTCCGGTACAACTGCAAGTCATACCAGAAATTTCATTTTGCTATTACATAATTAAAGAAAGTCTATATGTATTCCAATTTCCTTATATATTATTTATTTGACGATTTCAACCTATTTCTACCAATAATCGTTTAAATGTACAATGCTCAAATTTCGTGTGTAGGATTAATAATCCAAACCAAAACCTCTAGATGTATTCGGTTTGGAACAAAAACCAATTCGGTCTGCTTGTAAGTTGAAAACTACTTCGAGTTTTTGACTAATCACGTTGCAACCACTTTCTAGGATTTAGTAACGGGCTTTTTATTTAAATAACAAGATTGTATTTGGGAGAAGTATATACGTACAAAAATTAAAAACCTAATCATAGGTTAACCACCTATGTACAGTTGTTAATCATATGGTTTTTCGTGTTATATCATATGATATTTTAAACTGGCAAACTGCACATATTTTAGAACTCATGAAATATATACATATCATTCTTTTATTATCTTACCCTAAATTATAGAAATCTTAACCTTGTTATTAGAAAATAAATTAAGTAAATATTTTTAATCACATGGAAAATTTAATGACAATATTTATAAATTGAAACACATGAATTCCCAAAACCAAAGCTTTGAACAACATTGGACTTGGCACCTTTCATTTTTAGTGTCTTTTTTTAGACAAACCCCAAGCAAAAATCAACATTCAAAACGGTTAAGCGCATTGACCCTCTTGTTTACTATAAACTATCATGTAAATTTTTAAAAGAAAAAGAAAGATAGCAAGGTTGTTAGAATACTAGCTTTGACCTTGAGCACTTTTTCTTCTTCTTGGACTTTTTGTCGCTCTTTATAACCTCCCCTCTCTTCTCCCTCATTTACACAAGTCGCCTCTTTATCTTGTTCATGCTCTCACACACACACAAACAGTACATTAAGCCAAGGAAAGAACAAAAGGAACAAGAAATGGTGACCATGAGGGCTTTTTGCTATCTTCTAATATTTTTCATCTTGCAATTATATGCTGAAGTCTCCAATGCAAACTTTAATAAACGAGGTATATATGTTTCGGCGTTTGTGTGTGATTATGTTTATTATTTGAAAATATGAATTAAGGTGTTAATTATGCGCATCAACGTTTCTCTATAGCTCCGCTGGTGGCAAATAATGGTGGTCTTGGAGCAAGCACTAGTACTCCGATTGCCAACAAGGTACGTAATGTAGTAACCAATTCTCAGTCCATAATTTCTTATAAATCAAATGAAGAAATATACATTAGACATCGACCTTTTATACATATTAATAATTGGAATGATCAATTATTGTTAGGCTATTGAAGATGTAATCGAAAACCGAAAGACGTTGAAGCATGGTTGTGTGAACGTTGAGACAAACGAAAAGAATGGTTTAGAGATAGAGAGTAAAGAAGCTGTGAGGAAAAGAAAGAATATGAAGAGAGTCACCAAAACGGTGAGTTTAACCGCCGATTACAGGGACCCTGGTCATCATCCTCCTAGGCATAACTAAAACTTTTAAAGAATACTTATAAATATGATACTACATTAAACACGGGCCTCTCTTTCGCAAAGAGGTTTCAATTTTGGTGCGTCACTATTTATATAAAAGAATATTTAGCATTTTACATGTTTTTTAAGGTAGTAGTTTTGTATGTATTCAAGAGAGACGTTTTTGGTTATTAATGTCACTATACCATCGTAGTCTAAGAATTTTAGTTACTGTGGAAAGAGTCTTCAAATTCCACCATACTAGGAATCGTATTTTCGGAATCTGATCAGCAGAGACATTTGCTAATTTCCGGTTTAAACTCAATTAATTTTCTTACAAATATTCCAGAATCTTATGTTCCCTAAACCTCTGGTCGTTCTAAACATTTGACATATATATAGCCTTCAAAATTCAAATCTCCAATAAGTAGGAGAAACGATCAAGGCGTGAAAACGAGAGCCACTGGGAATCATTTACATTAATATAAGATCCATAAAACTACATTTAGCAAAAAGAAAAATCCAGAAAAAAAATGATGTATAATATCCAAGGAAGCTGCATCACTTGGAACATAATCCATAATACCAAACCAACATGAAGCAAGACTCTTTCTTGATGCAGATAATTGAATATGTAAAATGTTTAAAAACCAATCCAGAGATTTCTTCCTCCAAAGTTGAACAAGCTACTCGAGACTCCAAAGAAATCGAACCAGATAGGCAAATCGAAGCAGAGAAACTCGAGAGGTAATAGATACAGAAAGGCGGAGAGTTGAAAAATAACGAACCAGAGACTAGCTAGTCTTCCTCTAACACTGATTCGAGTAGCATAGGTGAAGTGGCTCGAGCTCAACAAAACAGTGAAGGTGGCTCGGGGGCTAAGAGTTCACACAATACAGCCATTTGGATTTATTTAAATTTCGGGTTTATTCTGGTTATAACTGAACTGTACCGAGAATCTAAATAATTTAGACAGGACCAGAGCCGGCCCTAAGATTTGAGTGGCCGTGAACCACTAACAATATTTAATGTTAATAACTGTCCGTCTATTAACCGCGAATCTGTTATAGAATACGTTTGGGAACTAACGGCGTCCATAAATCAAAATCAGTGCGGCATGCGACTGCGAGTGGAGGAAAATAGGAGCCAGCGAGCGGGACCCAACGCATGCTAGACGACAAGCGTTGTGGCACATTTAGTTAACGGCCAGGGAATGGGCACACGTGACCTGCGCCTCTCTCCTCACGTGTCCTGGCTTCTGTCAGTTTGTTTATCCGGTTCTATGTCCTAAATCTGTTGAATGCTACTATAATATACAGTAGATTCTTGAAGATGTAAAAAAAAAAAAATACATTAGATTCTCGAGTCAAAAGTAAGTTTTATTAGATATAAATTTCTTTTATTTCAAGAAAAATATTTAACTGAAAATAGAAGAAACTTTTACATCGATACACTTTTTTCTGACTAAAAGCTTTACTGATTTTCGGAATCACAATTCATTGGTATACCTTGTACGGATATATACTAATTATATACGTATATTATAAACGAAACTGCCATTTCACTCAACATTTTAAAAATAAAATAAAGATATTTGTGTTATTAATGGAGAGTTTTAGTTCTTCATTGCCAATTTAGTTTGTTTGGTGATGAGTGATGACTGAATAAATGACTGATGAACTGATGATTGAGTGATAGAAGTGAAAATAAAATAAAATAAAAACTTTGTATCAAAGAGATGGAAACGGGATAGCGTAAACAGTAAAGTGGGACCCGTAATAATGGAGCGGGTGAGTTGGCCACGTGATAGAGCGAGCCAAAAGTTTTCTTATCACGTGATACGGCGCGAGTAACGTCACACAACTCCCACGCGCCGGCCATCTTCCTATTATATTACTTTGATCCAGTTTTTAGTGCTTACATTACTAAATTTATTTTACGTGACTACTAAATGGAGACGTCTCATATGCGTCATTGATTATTTAATCTAGTTTTAAAGAAGAAGAAAAATTATTTGTTAACCGATCCCTAAGACGATTCTTGAGCAGAAGAATGTCCTTGTTGTAAGGAAATTTATTTACTCCATGTTGGCCATTTTTAAATTACTTAAATGCAAGAAAGAAGATAAAAACAGATATGATTAGGGACACATATAATTGCCTTCATTAAAAGAAAATCAAAGAAACAATAAGACAGCTAACACATATACGACAACATATTTATTTAAGCAACTGCTTCAAACTTTATATGTTTTTTTGTAAAGTCTAAAACCTATAAAAAAACAAATTAGATTTATAATTCTGTTGATTAATAGTGCCGAATGGAAATCCAATGTTAAAAATGATAGACAACTCGAGATGATAGTTTTGTGTACTACATTTGATATTAAACCGTCAGTGGTTTGGATTTGAGATTGCCTTTGAAATTGAATACATGGTTGTGTAATTTATATTTTTATTGGTTGTGTAACCTTCAGTGGTTTGAATACTCTAGCTCGTATATTTTAATGGTGAACATGTGAGATTAAGGAAATGATATATTATATATATATACATTGGCTCCCAATATTTAGCACAAACAGAGATAATAATTGTTGTATCTGAAAAGTGAAAACACATCGTAGCGGATTTTGGATACCAACTTTACCAAGATTTGGAACGTCACACACTAATAAGACTTCGTCATTAATTTTGTTTATATTTTATTTCATAAGTACAAATCCAAAAATTTCTATAATGATAAACATCAACCATTTTCTCCCTATATATTTTCAATGTTATTATCTTATTCCTATTTGTTATTATATTCCAAATTGGAGGGCGTGAATTTGCTAAAGATCTTTGAGATATTTTACCCTTATTTAAAATATTAAATTCCGAAATTTTTATATTAAGAGTTTGCATGTACATGAACCTGCGGGGCAGCGGGGGTGTGATGGAATCTTCAATTAGTTAATCTAAATCTAGTTTAATAATAATAATGAGAAGTAGACTAAAACTAAAATACAATGTTTTAAGAGTTGCGACCAAGTTGGGAATACTAAACCCGCTAGCAAAAGGCTTAACAAAATCTAAAAGGTTAAAGATATATATTCTGTTCAGATTTTTGAAATTAAATTTGTAAACAACCTTACAATAGACCAATAAATTAATATAGGAATTGATAAAGATGACCTTGTGCCAATTTACATCCACATTTCTTTCTTCGCAGCTTATATTAACACTAATAGCTTGATAATTGTGTTGAGGGTCTAAAACGATCTAGAAAACATGTCTATAGCTCCAATGAATGCCGAATTTCCATTTGTCCTCACTATCGCCGACTCTTGATGTTGTAATAGTTTTTGGTACGTGAGCCGGTGGGTCGACTCACGTGGCCGCCCTCTCTACCATGAAAACGACGTCGCACCTAGCTAATCCCCCGCAGTCGCGTTTTTTGATGCGGACATCTTTTATTCTTTTTATTTAGTTTTTTAGTTGTACTGTATATGTGTATAGATTTCAGTTTATCGCAAGTGTAGTCTGAAATCTGAGTTAATCATTCTTAGCATTTACAACATAATGGACTATATACTAATTAATATAAGGATATCAATACACATTGGTCTCGCAGCGAACAACGTCATAGCCATTATATATAGAAACATAGTAAAACCTAAAAAGTATCAATAAACTTTGTGTTAAGTTATCTGAATTATAATATAATCTTCACATCATTAGCTAGTGATTATTCAATACATTTTAGTCAGCATTTATGAAATAAATTCATGCGCTTAATATATGTTAGGGATGGGGAAGGGGTGTTTACAGACAACCTAACAATTCACGAGACAAAGTGGAGTGCATGTGAGTGTTTATTCTTTTGCTATTTGTAGTATTAGCCCATAACCCTACTTTTTTATGAATAAATTTTATTCAAATCTACCATAATTTTTCTTATAAAATACAACCGTATATGACATATCTTACATACATACATACATACATAACTACAGATGTTAGATGTGTAGACTGAAATTACACATATGCGAGTTTATAATATTGTCATGTATTTTCACACTGTATACATATTTCGACACTATATATATGACAATTTATAAACTCGTGATCAGTCTGGAGTTGTAACCAAAATTTGAATGCATATAAATGTATAAATCTTCCTATTATATAATCCCCGCCTAATCAATTTATTTATAATATTCAAACATGTATTTGATTGTAAAATAACAAATATGCCTTTACGTATTAATTAGAGGGATAGAGAAAGTATGTCCACCGCCAAGCCGTGTTTATTTCCATTATTAATTAACGAAAGATCGTATGCTACCCCGTTACCGTCATGATTGTGGCAACCTTTGCAAACACGCGTATGCATATAAAAGACGTGCGTACGCATGACTATAAAAAGTTATACGAATCTTTAACAAAAAAGATGTTATACGAATTTTAGTTATATATTTATTAAATTATTGAAAAATATGGCTTACATACATATGAGTTTCATTTCGCAACAGTTATAAGTAAAAATTAATGAACATGAAACTTAATCATATCACGAAGAAGAAACGTTTTGGTTCCTATTGGATTGTATATACGAATGAAAATGAATAATATATATATCAAAGTTTGAAAAGCATGGAATTATTCTTGATAGGACCGGATCAGTAATCATATGGTGAGTCCGGATTCCTCTTTTTTAAAGTAGTTTGAAATTCAAAGCTCTAACAAACTTGTAATAAAATTTTCAAAAAAAAAAAAAAAAAAAAAAAAAACTTGTAATAAAATATCCACTCTCAAACTGTAAGGAAAAGCAATTACTATCACTTCATATAAATAAGATTTATTTATATAGATATTATTTTCTTCGTGAAATTTGAAGGTGTCAATTCTCTCTCACAAACGGGTCGAACGAGTGGGGAAAAATCTCAAACCTTCTTTGGAGATATCCCTCCCAAATGTCGTTAAACCACCTTCCGCTAAATCAATGTGTAAGTGACAGTGCCGTCCCTAATAACTGAGAGGCTTCAAGCAAATTAAAAATCTGGGGCCTTATACTTTTTTTATATATTAATCTAAAAGAAATATTTCTACTATATTATCTAATTTTGTTTATGGTTTTTTGTTTAAATTTTAATTTCACAATCATATACTTTTAACTTATAAAAAAAGAATCAACTTAATTATTCAAGAATTTCAGGTTATATAAATAAAAACACTATATTACTATGGCTTTTCATAACAACTAAAAATACTAACACAATTTATATTAACATTGTTTAAAATATTATGAAAAATATGAAATATTAAAATGAAAAGGTTTAAATAACTTATATATTTAATTTTAATAATATCAGATTATTGAAAAATATTTGTTAATGATTAAATGATAAAAATAAGATAAAAAAAATTAAAAACCATCTAATATGAAAACAATTATGAAGTGAAAAAACACAAAATATTCAAAAATATAATACAAATCACAATATTAATTGAACCGTTTGAATTAGTGACAATAGAAATGAAATTAATACACTACTCTTATGCTATCACATTTCTAAGTGTGGCCTCTAAATTACAAAATAAAATTGTGGCTTAAAGCACATGCTTTATCTGCCTTAAGGCAGGAACGGGTCTGGTAAGTGATCTCAAGTCAACCGATGAGTTACAAAGTAAAACCTCTATAAATTAATGACGGAACTTCAAAAATTTATTAATTTATAAAGTTATTAATTTATCAAGAAACTAATATTTTATTAATTTATAGAGAGATATTTCAGTTCAAATTCAAAATATTTATCGAAAAACAAAAAAAAATGTTTTCAACAATGTAAAACTTATCAGAAAATATCATATTAGTGAATTTAAAAAATAAATCAAACAATTTTTATAAACTTGAAACAATAATATAATTATATTTTACTATATTCTATTATTTATATATATTTAAATATATAATTATTAATTTATCTAACTATTGGAACTATATTTTTACATAGGAGTTTCAAAAAAAATATTATCTTATTATTTTATCAAAATTTACTAATTTTTACATTGATTCGACTTGAAACCGACAAAAATTATTAATTTATAGTGATTATTAATTTATCAAGTATTAATTTATAGAGGTTCTACTGTACTTTATCAAGTGACATTCTACATTATTGTCTGCATTTAATAACTTTTAATTCTTGCTCAAAATAAAAAAACTTTTAATTCACTACAAGTAAACACCCCTTCGCTTTTCACCGGCAGAGAGACTGTCATCAGTTTTAAAATTACGAATTTATATCCACACCACACCAATCCAGTATCCATACCAAATCACAATATTACTTATCAAGTAAAGTATGTGACCTCCAAATTCTAATTAGATTTGTCCACAAAAGAGTTTGAGAATGTACAGAGTACGGTACAGACTAAAAGATAATGAGAAGAATGTACTTTTACAGGCTTGGAATCTTTTTTGCCAATACATAAACGAAATCCTTTCTTAATTATATATATATATATATATATATATATATATATAACTCAGAACAATAGAAAATTATTTGATCTAAATTGAGATCGCCGCAAAATCAAATAAAAAATAAACTAACTATCTTAAATTAAAGAATTAAGGGTGGGGTTGCATTAGATTCAAGTGATCGAGATTTTTATTTTTTTCTTTTACGAGTCTAAACTAGATATCGAGTCTTTTCATCTATATGTTTCTAATGGTAGAGAATTCTAAAAAAAAACCGGGTTCCCAAATACTGTATAATCCTCTTAACATTTTTTATCGAGAAAAAAAACACTGTGAAATCCGAAATTCATTGTGTTACTTTAATATATCTATTTAGCGCCGCTAAACGGCTAAACCTCTGTTACTTTTGGATTCGAACGATCACGCAAGTAGACAAACCCCCATGATGCCGTTAAACCACGCAACGTAACGACGTTAGGTTTTCTTGTTAACGCCGTTAGTTTAACGTTAATTTATATGAACCGAGTTACCTAACTGTAAAACGGGGGAACGGTATTATATAACAACTGTATAAAAACATCTCCGACTTCTCATCGAGAGAGAGAGAGAGAGAGAGAATCGGCCAAGAAAGTGAGAAAGCTCTCTCGCTCTAACCATCGTCTCAGATCCTTATCGAAAATTCTTGCGGTACTTTCGAATCCTCAGAATTCAAATCTTGAACTTGCTCTTCTTTTTTTTTTTCATCCGAGATCCAATTAAGCTTGAGACGATTGTAGTAGATTCATCGTGTAGAAGGTACTCCTCTTTACGTTTTGCTTATTAGCAATATACGTTTCGGATTATTAATTCTTGGATCTCTTAGCTCATGGTTTGACTTGAATTATATTTATGCTAATATTATTCTTTTCGTTACAACTTCAAGATTTTTACAATTTTTATGGCAGATCGTTCGAATCCAAGAGTTGGGGTAGATTTCTAAGAATTCTCTCTGATCGATTCTCCATCAACCATCAATCTCTAGGTGGAAAGAGTCGCAGCTTCGTCAGAATTCTGTAAAATTGAGCTGATTTCGACTCTTTGCTTAGAGTTTTCTCTACCGTGAAAAAAAAACATAATTTAAGATCTGAGCGAGAGAAGCGACTCGTTTTCAGAATTCCGTTTCTGTGAATTTCTCAAGATTTCTGCAGAATTTAAATAATAATAATCGAGCGTCAGATCAACAAAGGAAGCAGGCAATGGAACTTCCTCAGTCTCGTCGAGTTGCAGCACAAGGTATATACTATAGTCTATAGACCGCTACATTTCAGCTTCTTCTTGCTAATATTATACTTATATTTTAAAAAACAAGTTTTTGGATTTCATTTTTAAAGAAACGAATAAAAGAGAAGTGTCTTTTTTTTTCGTTTTTCTACAGGGAGAAAAAAACCTACGCATGATTTTTTATCAGCCTGTAGTAGTAATTCAACCGTCCATCCAGATCCAATCCCTACATCTCAAGGTATTATTCTTTTTGATTGTTCAAAAAGACAACACCAATAAGAGTTGGAACTTGGAACTATAGAAATGTAATAAAATAAAATAATAAATCAGAGGGAATTTCTGAAGGCGTCTCGTTCACTCACGTTTTCTAATTGTGCGCGCGTGAATGTGACCTTAAGAGTTGGGGACGAGAAGTAGTGGGCCCACCCTAATATCATCCAGAGAAAAAAAGAAAAGTAAAGAGAAAGGGTCCGTTTATATCCGTCGTCATAAATATCTCGACGTTAATTATTATGACGATGACCCATCAGATCTGATTTTGTTACATGAGATCTGAAAAAAACAACTATAGTGTGTGTAAAAAGTATGTATACATATACTATAAGTACCATTTTCGTGTAAAAGTCTAAGCTCTGATCAAAAAAACATCTGGATGTTGCTGGGTCACGTGATTCAGAGACCAGATCTGGAGTGTTTAGTGTGACTTCTCTTTTTTATTTTATTTTATTTTATATTTATAGAATGTTAGTTATAGAAGGTGAGGGATATGGCATGTGATTCGTCGGGACCTGTTTACTAATTACGTACTATTATTATTCACCAAATTTCATCAAGTCGATTAAAGAATTAAAGCATAACTAGAAACAATGAAAACAATTAAAAAGTCTGTCAGCGTTTGTTCTTAATTACACTAATGTACGGACAGTACAGTACCACAAGAGCTTACATGTATATAATCGAAATTGTTTATGTTTGCATTTATAGTATAATTTTTTTTCCTTCTCAAATAAATCTATAATTTAAGAGATTCCGTATGCATTTAGCTTTTACGTTTATTTTTCGATATTTTTTTGTTTATGACAATTGTGTTGGTGATTCTATTCCTAATCTGTGATGATGTATATGAAGCAGCAGGTGGGTATCTGAAAACTCACGATTTTCTACAACCATTAGAACGTGTTGGAACAAGAGCTTGTTCGAAGGAGGAAGACATCAGAGTCAGTGTTGAAACTACGGCGGCCTCGTTGGAGCTGAAGTCACCGCACGTGCTTCCCGGTGGAGTAGGGACTTACACGATCAGTCATATTCCTTACTTGCATCATCATCATCAGCGACTTCCTAAATCAGAGGTCTCGCCGATGTTCACGGTGTCTCAAGCTATCAGTAACGAGCGAAACGCAGCGGAGGAGATTTCAATCTCCAATTGCAGCTCTTATGCTGCAAATAATGGTTTCACTCTGTGGAATGAATCTGTAGAGAAGAAAGGGCATACAAGGAAGCAGATCTCTCGGGAAGGAGTAAACATCAGAGGTAATATCTAAAAAAAAATTTACAAAAACTTTTGACATTTTGTTTTGTTTACATTCTTAAAGGTATAGATCGATGTTTTTCTCATGGATTGGTATATTATAGCAGATGCAGCAGGAACAATGGGACAGTGGCAGGGGCTCGAACAAAGAAGCAGCTTCAGCTCTCGCTCTTCTTCGCAGTAAGTCTTAATCTCATTTTTTACTTGTTCTTTACGTAATCTACTTTCTACGTTGCTTATTTTATAGTCCTAAGGTTATATATGGAATTAATGTCATCTTGAAGGTCATCTGGTCTAAAGAGCCAGAGGCAGAGTTTCATGGACATGATGAAGTCTGCCAAAGGAAGTTCGCAGGAGGATGATTTTGATGATGACGATGAAGAGTTGTTGGTTACAAGGAAAGAGAACAACACATCCACAAGCCAGTGCCAGAGAGGTTTGTCTTTTCTTTACTAGAAGGCTTTATTTAGCTTACATGACACGTTAACTAACAAGATGACTAGTGATTTTGTTACAGTTGATTTGAGAGTCAAAGTAGATGGAAAAGCTCATGGTGATGAACAAAAGCCGAACACGCCTAGGTCAAAACATTCTGCAACAGAGCAACGGAGGAGGAGCAAGATCAATGATAGGTGAGGCTACCTATATAATAATTAAGATGAAGATTTCAAATTGGTAAGGTTGCAAATAGAGTGAGCTAAAGTTGATCCAAGTTATGAATGAATGAATCTGAACAGATTTCAAATGTTGAGAAAACTGATCCCTAATAGCGACCAAAAGCGGGATAAGGCGTCATTCTTACTAGAGGTATGAATAATGTCTTTGATATATATATATACTTAACATTTTTGCGATATAAATTACATATTAGTTATTTTTCTGTTAATCTCAAACTTGCTTTAAACATTTATACAATTATTATATATACAGGTTATCGAGTACATTAACTTCTTACAAGAGAAAGTAGACAAATACGAGGTGGCTCCTTACCAAGGGAAGCTTGTGAATTGGGTAAAAATATCCCATTTCCAAAAGATTAGTCTTTCATTTTCGTGATTTCTTAGCTTGAAGTTTTCTAATTGTCTATTATGATTCCATTAAAAACCAATCTGACAGAGAAACTATCAACAGCCACCGGAAGGAACTGTTCCAGTCCTCGCAGACGCTGTTCCAGTCGACATGGATCATCAACAGTGTCTGAACAGGGCAATGGAAACGACACCATTTACTGTGTTGGGTCAAAGGAACTGCTTTTTCTCTCCCGAATCGTCACAGCTTTGTCCAGTTTCATCATCTGATCCTGCAATGGACGGTGAAAAGCTGAGAGAAGAAGATGAGCAGGAGGAGCTTTCCGTTCATAGGGGTACCATCAGTATATCAAGTGTTTACTCTCAAGGGTGGGTTTTTTTTAATCCATATATAATGTTTAATTAGACCTTAATCAAAGTTAAACTTTGATGGTAAATATGGTTTTTTTTTTTGGAATACAGGTTATTAAAAACATTAACAGAAACACTCCAGACATCAGGAGTGGACTTGTCCAGATCAAGCATCTCTGTCCAGATCAAGCTCTCTAAACAACCTCAAAAGGTCCGTTTCCATTAACTTAGTATGTATAACATATGTCAAAATGTTAGGTTTAAGAAAGTTACATGTAGTTCTTAGCAAATATTTATTACAACCTAGATAGTTTATTTATAATTTGAAGTAAAGTGTGCCAATATATTTATTTTTATCAATTAAAACGTTTGTAAAAACAAAACCAAAGATATGATTTATATGAATTTGACTGGACCAAATTTATGGTCATTATATTGCATAGCTTTTCTCGTCTAAGATTTTAAATAATCTCTAAGATTTTGCCCTTTCATAACTTCTCTTGTAATCGCAGGATGATGAAGTTCATCGGAAGGTTCGACCTCGGTCACAAAGTGGAAATGAAAACCATAACGATGACGAAAAGAGTAACAACAAGCAGACGCGAAAGCAGAAGAAACTCAAAAAGACAACAGCATCAGAAACATGTAATGGAGAAACAGAGTAACATTAGGACCAATTTTTCACTTTTATTCATTTTAACATTGGGGTGAGGACAGATCACAAAAGGGTTATTATATTTGATGATCACTTTTATTCATTTTATCATGTCTCTTCTTTTGTACATTTTAATCAAAATCATACAATTAAGTAACAAGCTCATGATCTTACGACAAGAGAGTCACATGAAAATTCTTTATTTGAACTTTATATGATATAAAAAGTAAACAAGAGTAAACTGACTATAATTTAGATATATAATATTGTTTTCGGCCATCTGCTGCGTGGAAATATATGTCTGCCACACTAAATTATCTTGTGTGTTATGGTTTAGTTTTAATTAATTGAAAAGTAATCATCCGATGATAAAAAAAAAAAAAACCGTTATGTGTTTGCTACCCCACTCGATCGACAGCAATGGATAATTAATTATTCGACTGAAATTACGCACAACTCACCTACCTGTGCAAACATACACGTGCTGCTAATCTCTTCTTCCTATATGCAAATTAAGTAACAATGCCGAAAAGCAACAAATCTCATGACATGCAAAATTAAGTTTGAGATGCAAAAGGTGACATTCTTGATAATTTATTTGTTATATTTTGGTCAAATAATTCTGAGAAGATTTCTCAATAATTGATTGTTGATGGACTGGTAATATATTGTTAAGATAAGAATTGCAATCTTGTCGAGTAAAGAGAAAGAACAGAATGTTAATATTTCGGAATAAATAATTACTAGAAAACCTCATTCGACTAGATTAATTATTACTTAATTTCAAATATTCCTAACTCTGTGTTTATCTAGAGCTTCTGCACAGAGCTTAGCGTATGTGATATGTCACCTACCTGGAGGTGCATACCACGTGATTTGTATGTCCTCTTTTACTGATTACCAACAGTTAAGAAAACAATCATGTTCTTACTCCCACTTTTTAACAACATATCCTCCATATTTTTGTGTTTTTATATATCTATTAATGGATCAAAATTATTGTAATTTATATAATTATGAATACAATTGTATAAATGTATACATATGAATCGATAAGAAATAATTTATAATTATATTTGTTGATTATAAAGACAAAATAAACAGAAGAATTTATAATTATATTTTTATCTGATTATCATAAGCAAAACAGCTATATTTAGAATACTAACTTTAACCTTTTAACATCAAATATCAAGTTAACAACTAGCCTTTTTTCTCAACAAATTAAAAAGAAACTCAAGATAACAAAAATGGTGCATACGATTACTACTGACAAGCTCAAGCCATCACTTTATGAAATAAAATGCTTCTAAAAACTTTACCCATCTAAAATTTTCTACCTATAAATAGAGATATATTTTATTGTAGATGTTCTCCATCTCATTGCAAACACAATTTCCTCACTATCTATCCTCCAAATTCAAAATCAAAATATTTTCTCTCCCCACTCCATCGTTATGGCTTCGTCACTTCTGACATCTTCCGGAATAATCCCCACCACCGGTTCAACCGTGGTGGTCCGGTCAGCCTTCCCTATTGGATCTCCCCTGCCCTCTCTCCGCCTGACCCGTCCTTACAACAAGTCATCCTTGTTCGTCTCATGTTGCTCCTCTGTTTCCGAAAAGGCGGCGACTAGTGCTATTGACCTCAAACCCGTCGTGGAACGCTGGCCGGAATACATACCGCATAAGCTTCCCGACAAGAACTATGTGCGTGTATTCGACACGACGCTCCGTGACGGCGAACAAGCTCCAGGTGGAGCCCTTACTCCACCGCAGAAGTTAGAGATTGCCAGACAGCTCGCAAAACTCCGAGTAGACATCATGGAAGTTGGCTTTCCCGGATCATCTGAAGAAGAGTTAGAAACCGTCAGAACCATCGCCCAGACCGTGGGGAACGAGGTTGTTTCTTTAATTCCTTCAACTTAGAATAGTTAACCTTTTTCAATAAAATTGGAAGGAAATTGTCTCAAAACTAACGATGTAATCTTGTGTGTTTTGCTTAAGGTGGATGAGGAAACAGGTTACGTCCCAGTGATATGTGCCATCGCTAGAAGCAAACATAGAGACGTTGAGGCGGCTTGGGAGGCGGTGAAGTACGCGAAGAGGCCGAAGATACTCATATTCACATCTACTAGTGACATCCACATGAAATATAAGTTGAAAAAGACTAAAGAAGAAGTCATCGAGATGACAGCGAGTAGTATTAGGTTTGCTAAGAGCTTAGGCTTCGTTGACGTCCAGCTTGGTTGCGAAGATGGCGGCAGGTCCAAAATCTTAAAACCCTATAATATATCTCCGTTACTTATTAGGGTTTTACGTTACAAACTATTTTTGTTAGTAATTAATCTTACGTTCACATTTGCATTTGCACGTTGTCGTTTATACCTGGCAAGAACATCCTGAAAAATGTTTGTTATGTAAAAGTAATAGTTTTGAACCAATTCATGGACTCTATCTGAGCTCACAGATTTTTCGATCATGTAATATAGATTAATTATTAAAATACTAGGGTGTGATTAAAATGAAGCAGGTCGGATAAGGACTTTCTATGCAAGATTCTAGGAGAAGCGATAAAAGCGGGTGTAACCACGATCAACGTTGCGGACACGGTAGGGATCAACATGCCGCATGAATATGGAGAACTCGTGACCTACCTCAAAGCAAACACTCCTGGAATTAATGATATTGTTTTCAGCGTTCATTGTCACAACGATCTTGGTGTTGCGACCGCCAACACAATCGCCGTAGCTTTTCTAACTCTCCTTTGTTAAAAATTTATTAACACATATATGTAATTTAACAATGACTTATATAACATTATATATAGGGTGTATGTGCGGGAGCACGACAAGTCGAAGTAACGGTCAACGGAATAGGTGAAAGAAGTGGCAATGCACCGCTTGAAGAGGTAATATATGATATGAATATCACATTATGGAACGCAAAATAATATATGATAGACATGAGTTAACTTGAACTTGAAAATCCATGACATTTAGCGTTATCATAGTCATCATCAACATGAACATTTCTATGGTATGTATAGGTCGTGATGGCTTTGAAATGTCGAGGAGCATACGTGTTGGGTGGTGTTTACACAAGAGTAGACACACGCCAAATTATGGCTACTAGCAAGATGGTAAATTTTCACATCATAAATATATATTGCGAAGATTTTTTTTTTTTCTTTTGACTTTGATAATAATTGATTAATAGATGTAAATTCTTGTGCAGGTTCAAGAATATATGGGCTTGTATGTTCAACCACATAAGCCTATAGTTGGAGCAAACTGTTTTGTTCATGAGAGCGGCGTTCACCAGGTTCCATATACTTATATAGCTAAATATGACATAAGAAAATAAATATGAGAATGATTAGTCTTCAGTGATGATTGTTCAAACATTTTGCAGGATGGAATATTGAAAAACCGGAGTACATATGAAATCTTATCACCAGAAGATGTTGGCGTTGTAAAATCTCAAAATTCCGGCATTGTTCTTGGAAAGCTTAGGTAATGATTCTATTAAGTGATATATCTTAGTTTTACATAATTAAAACGACGAACCATTGTTTTAGTTTGTCTTATTTACTTATTTATTTATATGATCAACAATGGAAATATGCAGCGGGCGTCATGCTGTGAAAGAACGGCTGAAAGAGGTATTTCTTGTAATTTCGTAATATTTTTAATCAATAGTTATACAAATGTACATACCTGATTACACATATTAGAGATAAATATTTGGCATTATATGTTTGTTTTCTATTCTCAGTTGGGATATGAACTCGATGATGAGAAATTGAACGACATCTTCTCAAAGTACAGGGATCTAACCAAGCAGAAAAAGGTATTCCATTTTTTCTTTTGTGCCTTCTCATGCACATATGCGTTATTATTTAACTTAGATATATGAAATTATACAATGATAGAAGAATGTATAATACGAATTGATTGTAAATCTCACACTTAATTTGGTTTCAATATGTTAATTTGTTCAGAGAATCACGGATGCTGATCTGAAGGCATTAGTAACGAGTGGTGATGAAATCTCTTCAGAGAAATTAAACGGCGCTAATGGTAAAGAGACTAACGGCTATATACCAGTTCCTCAGATTTCCTCTATGGTCTAAAGGTGTGAACACGTTTTATGTATGTGTGAACACGTTTAAATGTATGTGTGTGACTGTAATATCAAGTTCTATTTGATATACATGTGTTGTAATAAATAAAAACACTATTAAGATAATGAATAATCAAAACTTCCTGAGACAAATCATGGAAAAATCAAAGCATCATTTATAATAATAATGAGAGAGAGAGAGTTTGATCAAAAAATAAAAATAAATAAAACACAAGGAGTCAAATTATATGAAATTTTTAGATATACTATTAATTAATGGTATAATAGGGTTTTTGTATAATAAAATTTCTATAAATTAAAATTTTGATAAAATAATATTTTTTGTCGATTTTAAAATTACTTTATCAACCAAATAATCTATCTATAAAGTAATAATCTCTATAAATTAAAAAAAAAATATTCTAAAATTTTATGATTCCAATATTATTATTAATTTATAAAAAAAATCACTGTGGTTTTTTTCTTGTAGAAATACTTACTTTTGAATTTATTTGTTAAAAATTCTGAAAGGAGTTACAAATGATATCGTCAGTTTTCTGTGATGACTGGACGAGTATATTATATAGTAATTTACTATATTCAGATAAGAATTGCACTAGTCGAGAAAAGAGAAAAAGTACTGTACATATAGGCTGTATACCTACCAACAGCCTAATCATCGTGCAGCAATATATAAAAACGTGAAGATGCTATTCGTAAGATGGACTTAATATGTTGGTAGGTATACCAAACAAAAGTAATTACTAGAAAACCTCGTAATTTTTTGGGGTTAGAATGTTATACTATTAGTTAACCAAACAAAAAGAGTAACTTACAAGAAAAGTGTTTTTCCGCTTTTTCTTTTTACCGTTATTTCAACTTTGATTTTCTGTTTCAGCACCCATTCAAACTTGGAGCAGCTAAAGGTGGCGAGAAGGCGTCAAAGGCGCAATCTGTGCGGATGTTTATTTTCCAATCATGTTTCTAGCTAGCTACTAGAGTAATGTTCTGTTTGTTTTTGTATCGAGATGTTATATCTGGATGCAAATATTCAAATATTGTTCGCTTGAACACTTTTAAACCAACATCTACATATTGCATCTGGATGTAAAATTAAAAATTTTCAAAAATCTGAATATTTGAGATGCTGAAAAAAGTAAAATCTAGATATTATATTTGCATCTCAAAAATTAAAAGACCAAAATATTCTTTAATATGATAGAAATAATACAACAAAATATATATATTTATTATATTTTTACCAAAATCGTAAAATAAAACCTTAAAAATCATTTTTTTCGCCAAATTAGTAAAATTGAATTTTCCTGATAAAACCTCAAAATCGAATTTTCTGCCAAAACCGCAAAATAAAATTTTTCTGCTAAAACCAAAAAACAAATTTTTCCGTCAACTCGAATTTTTTCGCCAAAACTGTTAAATCAAGTTTTTCCTGCCAAAACTGGAAAATCGAGTTTCTCCGTCAAAACTGTAAAATCAAGTTTTTCCGTTAAAACCAAAAATCAAGTTTTCCCGCCAAAATCGGAAAATCGAATTTTTCCGCCAAAACCGTAAAATCAAGTTTTTCCATCAAAACCAGAAAATCGAGTATTTCCACCAAAACTGTAAAATCAAGTTTTTCCGTCAAAACCGGAATATCAAGTTTTCTCGCCAAAACTAGAAAATCGAGTTTTCCTGCGAAAACCGTCAAAACCGGAAAATCAAGTTTTTCCACCAAAACCGTAAAATTGAGTTTTCCCGCAAAAACCGAAAATCAAGTTTTCCCGCCAAAACCGTAAAATCAAGCTTTTTCATCAAAACCGTAAAATCAAGTTTTCTGTCAAAACCAGAAAATCTAGTTTTTCTGCAAAAATCATGTTTTCTGTCAAATTGTGTTTTTCAGTCAAAACCGTAAAACTAAATTTTTCCACTAAAATTAAAAACTGGTATTTTCCCACCAAAATTATTTTTTTCATCAAAACTTTTTTTATTAAATTTTATTTTTAGAAAAACTATTAATTTATATTATCATAAATAAATTATTTTAATTGTAAATAAAATAAATAAATTGTAAAATATATCCTTTTAGTCAGTTGAGATATTTTACATTCAAATATTTTTATAAATACAGAAACAAATAATGTTGTATCCAAATGCAAAACCTAGTTTTAAAAACGAACAATATCTAAATATTGCATTTGAAAATTGTATCTAGTTGCTGAGAACAAGGCCTAATTAAAATTAATTATATTAAGTCTGTGATTACTCTAATTAAACATGTTCTTCAGAGAGATTAGCATATGTGGTTATGTCACCTACCAGCTGGAGGTGCATACCACGTGCATATTCGTTTCTATCATTCAAAGAAAATCCATAAAAAATATAGATATATTTTACTGTACGCGTCTCACTGCAAAATGCCACCATAGTTTCCTCACTATCTATCTTCCAATCAAAAATCAAAATCAAAATTTCTCACTTTCACATACCCCGGTACGATCCCCACTACCGGTTCCACCGTGGTCGTCCACTAGATACATAAAAAGATGTTCTCTCCATCTCATTACAAGACAATCTCCTCACTATCTCTATCATCCAAATTTTAACAATTATTTCTTTCTTTTTGACATATTCCGGTATGATCACCACCACCTGTTGCACTGTGGTCGCCCAGTTAGGCTTGCCCTTTGGATCTTCCTTGTCCTCTCTCTGCCTGACCCGTCCGAACAAAAAGCCGTCCTTGTTCACCTCATGTTGCTCCTCTGTGTCCAAAAATGTTGGCGCTAGTGCTGCTGACAGCAAACACGTCGTGGAACGGTGGCCAGAGTACATTCCGAATAAGCTCCCTGACAAGAACTATGTGCGTATTTTTGACACGACGCTCCGTGACGGCGAACAAGCTCCTGGTGCAGCCCTTACTCCACCGCAGAAGCTAGAGATTGCCCGGCAGCTCGCTAAGCTCCGAGTAGACATCATGGAAGTTGGTTTCCCTGGGTCCTCTGAGGAAGAGTTCGAAACCGTCAAGACCATCGCCAAGACCGTAGGGAACGAGGTTGTTTCTCTGTTTCCTTCATTTTCTAGTATAAAAATTTCTACGTTCCTACTGTATATTCAGTCAACCTTGTCGCTTTGGGGACATATGATAATATTTGAACGAATATTAACATAGTTTTGACGCAAATAGTACAAACACAAATTGAGTAAATCTCCAAATTTTACCATAGTTATATAGTAAACGATTGATTTGATTAGGTGGATGAGGAAACAGGCTACGTCCCAGTGATATGCGCCCTCGCACGATGCAAACATAGAGACATTGAGGCGGTTTGGGAGGCGGTGAAGTACGCAAAGAGGCCTTCGATACTCATATTCATATCTACTAGTGACATTCATATGAAACATAAGTTGAAAAAGACTAAAGAAGAAGTCATAGAGATGGCAGCAAGTAGTATTAGGTTTGCTAAGAACTTAGGCTTCAATGACATCCAATTGGGTTGCGAAGATGCCGGCAGGTCCATATCTTAAAACCTTAATATACATATATAGCCTTTTGTTAGATAATGTTAAGGATTTTTGTGAATAATGACCATGTCACAAAAATTCTAGCGTGTGATTAAAACTAAGCAGGTCGGATAAGGAGTTTCTATGCAAGATTCTAGGAGAAGCGATCAAAGCGGGTGCAACCACGATGAACATGGCAGACACGGTAGGGATCAACATGCCGGAAGAATTTGGAGAACTCGTGAGCTACCTTAAAGCCAACACTCCTGGAATTGACGATGTTGTCTTAAGCGTTCATTGTCACAACGACCTTGGTGTTGCTACCGCCAACGCAATCGCCGTATTTTTCTAACCCTCTCCTTCATCTCATATATTTAAAATATCTATATAAATACATATAGATCATTATTGCGGTTATATTATATACGTAGGGTGTGTGTGCTGGAGCAAGACAAGTTGACGTTACGGTCAATGGAATAGGTGAAAGATGTGGGAACGCGCCACTTGAAGAGGTAAAAGATCATGATTATCATCAAGACCGTCTTACACTATTTGTAGGATCGGTTCCATATTTTTATATACGGCCCTGATCCATCATCATCAATTCATCAACAACATAAATATTTTTTTGGTATGTATAGGTCGTGATGGCTTTGAAATGCCGAGGAGCATACCTGATGAATGGGGTTTACACAAGAACAGACATACGCCAAATTATGGCTACTAGCAAGATGGTATTTTTTACATTAATTTACACATGGAAAAACGATCGTGCTAGTTTTTTTTTTATATATGTTGGCATTATAGTAATATATGTAAATTCTTGAGCAGGTTCAGGAATATACTGGCTTTTATGTTCAACCACATAAGCCCATAGTTGGAGCCAACAGTTTTTTTCATGAGAGCAGCGATGAATATGATGGTTGTTCAAACATTTTGCAGGATATGGATTATTGAAAAAAAAAGATTATTAACATTCATACCAAAAAAAGAAAAAAATATAGATATGGATTATTGAAAAATCGGAGAAATTTTCTTACGTCAAGATTGGTGAATTTGTTTTTATATGGATTTCTTTCTTTCTTCACATTATATATTTTAAAATTATTTAAAATGAAATTCAACACCGTCCATTAATATAAATTAGTTAGTGGAAACCACGTCCGAACGTAGTGCCGATGTGGTAATCACGTAATTTTTTGTTGTGTGGCAAAACTTAAGGGTTCAACATTCGCCACGTATCCCGTATTAGTAGAAATCAACCACTCACACGTCACAATAACCGTTTTTTTTTTTTTACTTTATCGGCGTTTTAGAGTCCGTTACACGTGCGATCCTCCGTTGCAGTTCATGCCTGTCTCAAACTATTATTTATCCTTTTTCAAATTTTATTAAACTGATATTTAATATATTAAAGAGTATAGTTGGAATCCAATTTTTATGATACTTGTTTTTATATCTGAATCGGAGTTCTACTCGTATTCCCGTACGTATTAAAAACAGTCATGTTGCAGTTATTCGAGTTTCTTTGAGTACATCACAAGAATTTTTTACATTTACGTACACGTGCAAATAGCAATCCCAAATATTTTGGGATGTTGATTATATATAGAGCAACAGGCAAAAAAATATAGATAAAACACTTTTTAAAATAAAATTATTACTCAGGAAGTGTTTATGGCCACTTTTAATGTATGAATAATTTATAACTTGTCACGAGTTGAAAAGAAACAATTTCATAAGTCGCGAACCAAGAAGAACCTTAGTATTCGCATTTTGTAAAAAAAAAAAATTGGTAAACAAATTCGATATTCACACGCATACATAGACATGTATTTAATATATATCGTACACTCGGGATATTTGTTTTCTCCACAAACTCACACTTTTCGTTTCCCTTCCTACGAAACAGATAACCGCCGCTTAAACAATGCTCCGGCTAAGCAACGCCGCCGTGATAACAACGAACGCAATCCTGGCATTGATCGGCCTTGCCACCTTATGTTTTTCTGTCTACGTCTTCATCGAAGGTCCATCACAGTGTCAACGATTCATTCAAAACCCTCTCATCGTAACAGCGATTCTCCTCTTCTTCGTCTCTTCATTAGGCCTCATCGCTGCTCTCTACGGCAGCCACGTCATCATTACGCTCTACCTCTTCTTCCTCTTCCTCTCCATTCTTCTCCTCCTCGCTCTCTCCATCTTCATCTTCATCGTCACCAATCCTACCGCCGGCAAAGCGTTTTCCGGCAAGGGAATAGGAAATGTCAAGACCGGCAATCTTCAGAACTGGATCGGAAACCATTTTCTTCAAGGGAAGAACTGGGAAGGGATCAAAAGATGCATGTCTGATTCTACGATTTGTAAGTTTGGTCCACGTGTCGTTGACTTTGACGCCAAACATCTCTCGAATGTAAAGGTATGTGTTGTTGATACATATATTAATAAATGTGTGAATTTTTGTGTATCATGGTCGATAAAAAGAGATCCCTTCTTATTGTATTCAGTTCGGATGTTGTCGACCTCCCGTAGAATGTGGCTTTGAATCAAAGAATGCCACGTGGTGGACAGTTCCGGCAACAGCAATGATGACAGGGGACTGCAAAACATGGAGTAACACTCAGAGTGAGTTGTGCTATGCCTGCGAGTCTTGTAAGATTGGAGTTTTCAAAGGGATAAGAAAAAGATGGAGGATCCTGCTCGTCTTCAATCTTCTACTCATCCTTCTCGTCGTTCTTCTTTACTCATGTGGCTGCTGTGTCCGAAACAACAACCGTGTTCCATGGAAGCGCCGCTTCCTCTAATAACTTCTTTCCATATTTGTTTCTTCTTCTTCCAACATTAATTAATTAATTCTTCATTTCTATTATCTTTCTTTTTGAAGTACTTAACTTGATGTATGATGATGTTTCCTTTGAATATGAATATCGGTTTGCAACTCGATTATTGATGTGTGAATACATTGCCGGAAAAAAAAATAGTGAAGAGATTCATAAAACTTAGAAAAAAGTACTAAAAGTTATCTTATTTGGATTTATTACATTTTGATGTCATATAATAGTAATATTTATATTGCAATCTGTTTGTTTAATAATATGTAAACAGATTGAGAACTTAATAATCAAAGGATTTAAAATATTATATTATTTCATCTTGATAATAACGACACTGTTCTGTAATATAACTATTCAGAAATATATTTACATTGAAATTTATGATTATAAATAAAATATTAATATTTTTAGTTTTTCTAGGTTATCAAAACATTTAACATCTTTTTCTTTTGTAGTTTATGTCTATGTAGTTGATTTTTTATTGTTGATAGAGTTTTTGGTCGGTTGATGGGGTAAGAAAAATTTTCCTGTAATATAATATATATTGTATATTGTAGATTTGTGGTAGAACTAAAATGTTGATTTATTAATAGAATGCTCTATAGTGTTTGTTTTTTTGTAGCTTATGGTTTTTTTTTACAGTATTTAAGTATTTTTATTATTTTGGTTAAGTGTAGTTATAGCATTTTTGTTAATATCCTATTTTCTATTTGTTATTTGTGATATGGTAAAATAATAGTCTTTTGGTTAATTATGTCACTTTTTATGTATTTAATTGTTGGTTTTTTAATTTTATTTTAATATTGATATTATTGACCCATAATTAATTGTTGTCGATTTTTTGATTTATTATATTTGACCATCAATTAAATATTGAGTAACTATTATATTAATTAGGAGTATATGTTTTTTTTCTACCAAATTTAAATCAGCATTAAGAATTTTGATTGGTAGGAAAAGAAGCATGAAATTAATTTGTTTGTTTGTTTTTTTTTTTCTTTTTTAGATTATATTGATCATATTGAAAATAAAAATATTACATGTTAGATTTTTGTAGAAACTGCAATCTTTGATTTATTTGAATAATAATAATTAAGTTTTTTTCAAAAATGGCAATGCAAAAATTGTCGAAGCCGAAATGTTTCTTCTGTTAAAAACAATAGTAAAGAGATTCATGAAAGTTAGAAAAAGTACTAAAAGTTACCTTATAATATATATATGATCTTTTGCAAAATAAAAAATGATAAATATTGTAAAAACCAAATGTTTATTGTTGTTTGGTCACATATTTGGATAAACAAAATTACATATGAGTTTTAACACGTAAAGTTAGAATTTGAGGAGGAAAGAAACACTTAGAGCAAACACATTGTTTAAAGATACATTGTGCGACTATACAATCTGAACAAGTTTTTTTGCAAACATTGTCGTTGTTGCAAGTCCCTCCCTGTTGCAGTGTGGCATCTCTCACTTCTTTAATAACTCTTGCTCTTCTCTCCGATGCTTTAGCTACCGATAAACCTACATTAATTTTATTCATATCACATCTAGTTTGAATGCATGCCGTTACCACCAACATTGTGTATTGATATTCAAAAATGGTTCAGTCTGTATACATATCAAGCAAGTTATCGTGACTACAAAAATTACTAAGAATTCTTATATCATAACTTTTTATACAAAGAAAGACGTAGTATACTAATCAGTTAAAGTATTAATTATCAATTTATCATTTTTTAAAAATACACACACACGAGCTAGCATGTGATGTATTTAAAAGTTGCAATATATTATGGACTCACATGAAAAAGACAACAGAAGTGCAAGAAGAACTACGCTGCTCCATTCCATTTTTCCCATTGTAATAATTTTGATTATTTTTTAAAAAAATATAAAGATGAATTTTCTTTTTCAGTTATTAGACAAAGATGTAACGATAATTTACAAAAAAAATTGCAAAGGCATATTTAAAGGAGGGATTTGATTAAAGCACTAGATTAGATTCTTACCTGAATTTAGATGATCAATTTTGATTAAAAAAATTCCATAATTCTGGAAAAAATCTTGTTTTCACCAACCTGATAATAAACTCAGATATTTGAATCAACATTACAAATTTGTTTACATATATATGTATAATCTTAGAAATTGATGTAGATATTTATCCACTAAGGTAAAATACTCATGAGTTAGATTTGATATGTTAACAAAGTAACTTGGATTATATGCATAACATGCGAGAGTTATTTGAAAGAAAGGAATCGCAAGTTAGATTTTTAGGATAATATGTGATGAATGTGAACTGCTTTGATCTGTGTAGTACATTCATTTGTCCGTAAAAATTAAGAACAAATATGAATTCAACTCGAAGATTTAACGGTTGACCATTTCTTTTCTTTCTTTTTGCTGACAAATCATTTTTTATTTACATTATATTTGATTTTGAATATGATCAGAGAAAAGAATTCATTAGCTCAATAACAAAAAAAAAAAAATTATTAACTCGTTTCTCATCTTGAGAATGTTAGGGGGTAGGTAGATTATTTGTAAACTGTAACCGGATTGATTTCAGAAAATGGAACTGCGAGGCCAATCAAACACTAATACAAATTTCAATATTTTTGCTAAAGCGTCTTGATAAAAAAGTAAAAAGTTACTTGAGAAAAGTACAAGAAAGAAACAAAAACGCATAAGCAACCAGTGATGTTAGGAGCTCGAGTGTCCATGTCGGGTGAATGAGAAACGTAGGAATCATAGGTATGATTAGCGAACCACAGAACCACCCGGCCGTTAAAGCACCAATTCTGCAATTATGATATTCAAGCATTAAAATACAAAAAAAAAAAGAAAAAATTGATATTCAAGTTTTTAGTTTCAGATCACTCAATAGCACCAAGATTTTACCCGATTAAGCAAGCTCTCCCCAAACTCTTTGTCTTCTCATTCAAGAAATATATGCAAGCAGCCAATGATACCGCCACCTACAAAGTAAAAGCCAAAGATATAAAAGAACGGCAATTCTGAATCTCAAACCATATACATAATAAGAAGTGAGACCAGTGAATAGATAAGCTGAGCGCTAGATTAGATTCTCTGCCATTGTATATAAGCAGCAAACCTGAAACGCAGGACCGCCTTCTGCTGAGTTCATGATACTCCAACCACCCATGAAGGCAAAGAGGAACAGTCTTCTGAAAATAGTGTCCATGGGAGGCATCTCAACAAAGTCGAGAAGGGTTTTGAGCCAAGGAGGAGATTCCTCAACTTTCTTCTTCAACCTTGTTTTTAGATTGATTTTAGTCTTCTTCCTTCTGATGAAACTAGACATTAGAAGCTTCTCAAAGGCGCCTTCTATAGACTCTACGCTTCTCTCATGTCCAGCGTACTGCTCTATGAGAAAGTTACGGGAGGCCCAGATCTCTTCCTCTGAAGCATATGGACTAATCCCTAGACGCTTGTAAGGGTCCCAAACTCTGGTCCGCGGGAACGTCGGGGCGTTGTCTACACAAATTCATTCGGTTATGAGAGATACAGAATCAAACGAAAAGCTCGAAACTTGAGAAAGAGAAGATAAAAAACAGTTAATCTTTCCATCCATTTCAGCAAGAAAAGCCATATTTATGTGAGCCCAGTGATATATGCAAAGAGGATGGAAACAAATACAAAACACTAAGCCAGCTTTCTACTATCTCTGACAGAAAATGTCCTCAAAGAATCCTTTTTTCTTAATCTACGCTGACTAAATTGAGAATGAGTTTTACGAGCGAGAAGATGCTATTACCTCCATACGGAGAATCGACGGCGCACTTAAGGGTTTTGAAGCTTCTCGAAGTATTCCGAAATGGTAATAGTGACTTATTGGGATTCCGTACGAGAGAACTGAAATCAGAAACAACAACGCAATACAAAAAAAAGCTATTAAGATTCAATTCTGGAACATACAAACAAACCCTAAAATCCCAAATCAGTTGAATCCGGATTCCGCCTCCGATTAAATCCCAAACTTATTTCCACGACCGAATTCAGAATCCGTAAGAAAGAAGGTGAAATAAAGGAAGACGAAGGAAAAAGAGATATTACAGCTTCGATGGAGCGATTAACGAAGAAGATAGTGTAGAGCCAGAGAGAAGAAGAGACGAGGACATCGTTTCTCCGTCGGCCAAACCGACGCCGTTCTTGGTTCAATTTATCTTAGGCTCGCTCGAGATGGACTGTGTAAATAATAATATCCCCCATCTTTAAATTTAAAAACAAACAAAAAACCGAAAGATAGTGCTATCTTGCGCGGTTCGCGTAAATTAAAGAATTAACCCACTCGTCTTTCGTATTTTACGTTTTAAGTCCATGTACTTACTAATATCTTCGAATATCACACCTAATTCCCAAATATGAATATAACACCTCGTGATTGGTCACCAATTATATAACCCGCTACGTTTTTATTTACCATTTGATACACTCACAGAAGGTCCATTCCATAGGCTATACAACATCTTAATTTCTTTATTTATGTGAACTGAGATTTATTTATTGTTACAGACATGGAACTGGATTGTACAACAAAAGACCAAAGTCACGTGTGAATGCCAAACAACAACTCTTCTCATAGCTTCGAGTTTAAATCGGTCTGAGTAAGCCGTTGCCTTAGAACTCTTCTCATAACCTTATTTGTGGCCGTCCTCGGCAAGGAAGGCAGAGTTACAACAGATGATACCTGCAGAGAAAAAAAAAACAATATAACATATGGTAATGGTTTTGGCTCTCATGGGCTTTCTTTAATTATTTTACCTTGAACAATGGATTAAGCTTCTTCTGTATCTCAGAGTTGAAGGACTTTTTCAAGAGGCTCAAGTCGCGATTCGGTACTTCAAGGCTCTTGAACACAACTGCGATCACTAGCTGCTCAGGACCGCCACTAGGAGGTGGAACACCGATGGCTGCTGTTTCCAGGACACTATCATCAACGGAGTTACACACTCGTTCGATCTCAATAGAACCGACCTGCACAACAACAATCAACGGTTATGGTAATGATGCGGATCGTTGAGCTTGTGCGGTAAGGCAAGGTCACCTTTATGCCACCGAGATTCATTGTGTCATCAGCACGTCCATGAGCACGGTAGTATCCTTTTGAAGTCCGTTCAAACAAATCACCGTGTCTTCGTAAAATCTAATCGAGAAGTAGCCAAGCAACAGGCTCAAGACCGATGATAACCTCTGTACAAAATGTGACAAGAGTTGGATTACCTGTCCTTGGAAAGCGGGCATCCCTTTGAAGTAAACTTTGTAGTGGTTTCCGTTAAGGAGAGTGCTCGAAGATCCAAACATGTGAGGACAAAGAGCCAGTTCGCCTACTCCTGATGCGCTTGGAGGCTGACATGAAGAGAGGAAAGAAAATAAACGACCACATTAAAATCCAATTTTTGATAGTGTATAATCTTTCAGAAGAAACTCTTATAATACCATAAAGTTGCTTACAAGAGGATTTCCATCTTCACCGAGGATGAAAAGCTTGCAACCCATTGCAGGGGTGCTAAAAGCAGCCAGAGACTGAGGCTGGAGCAAAGAACCTGTTATAAAACTGCCTCCAATCTCTGTTCCGCCACAATACTCGATTACTGGTTTGTAATGAGCTCTTCCCATCAGCCATAGATACTCGTCTACGTTTGAAGCTTCACCAGTGGAACCAAAACAACTATTGAAAAAGTAGGGGAAAAAAAAGTAATCAATATCACTGTGTAGACAAATCATATAGTTTAAACGATGACACAAGGTGTTCATTAAACACATTATTTTTCATAAGAAGTAGTACATTTGTCTAACCAAATTACTTTCTGTTTATCAAAACATCTAAATTCCGCGTCACCAAAAAAAAAAACAAGCGTGACTAAATTCTGAAGATGGACTTTGGTCTTTGGGTATTACCGGATTCGTGACCAGTCATAGCCAGAAGTAGAGTTCGAGTTTTGCCATGTCCTAACAATGCTTGGTATCACGCCTAGCACTGTTACCTCAGCATCCTAACCCCAGAATATAAAGATGTAGTAAATTCAAGGCTGCCCTAATCCCAAACTCAACCATGCAATGAAATTTACAGTTACAGGTCCAATTTGATTGTGGAAATATTTTCACAAACTAATTATTTCATTCACCACTTCTAAGGTTCTCTCTCTGTTAAACCCATGAGATGAGGATGCGTTATTATAAGGGTTACCTGCACAAACTTGGCAAAGGAAGGACCAAGAGGTGATCCATTGTATAATGCCATGCAAACCCCATTTATCAAGGAAGCATAAACGAGCCACGGACCCATCATCCACCCAAGGTTGGTCGGCCAAGCAACAACATCTCCTCGATGAACATCCAAGTGGCACCAAGCATCAGCAGCAGATTTCAGAGGAGAAACGTTCGTCCATGGAATGGCCTTTGGCTCACCTGCACCAGAAAACCAAAACTAGGTGTTTCAGTACCCCATCACATCCTCATCTACATATGGCATGATGCCGTTTGTTTTCATTGGTTTTACCAGTGGTTCCTGATGAAAAAAGAATGTTCGTGTAAGCTCCCGCTGGTTTCTCTACAGCAATATATTCCACGCCTCTGAAAGAACAGTTGCCACAAATATCATTCAAATGCCCGGGGATTTAGAAGAGCAAGCTCTACGTGTTTGTCAAACAATATCGATGTGATTACATTTCAAATGAAAACTCAGAGTAGACGTTTTGATCCAAAAAACTTCAGTTGTCACACTTCATTTTCTTATTGGAGTACTGTATTCATTAACTGTACCTCAAATTTCTTGCCTTTCCCAGAAAGTCGTTCCAAGACAAATCATTCTCGCGCAGGTTCATTCTGATGCTAGCGCCTCTCGCTGGGACAACAATTGCCATTGGTGCTTCTGCATCAACGACTCTTCTGCAGAATGGAATAGATAATATGAGACCAATGCTACAGCTGACATGAAAAATTCAACCTTGCTGAATTACGAGGATTTCACCTATAGAGGGGAATACTTTTATCACCACGAAAGATCACATCCTGGAAACAAAAACAAAAAAAAAAACAAAATGTAATGAAGAATGAGGCAACTAAAGGTGAAAAAAGGCATATAAGTCATGTCATATGCTGGTTTTTATACAGTACCCACTACCCATAACAATAAAACCGTCACATCACACTCTAAAATATAACTTTAACAGAAAAGTTTACACCTTCGTGTTTCCATCCATCAAAGAATCATCAGAAATTTTACCTGAGTAAATATGGCTTTTGCTTTTGAAATTTTAAGCCGTGTTGATATTTCACGGGGAGAGAAACTATCGGCTATGGAAACAACTATGTGGCCTGCTAAGACAATGGCAAGGTATATGACCACAGACTCAACGTTCATTGGCATATCAACAGCTATTGCTGACTCTTCCTCCAAGTCCAAGGCATTAAGAGCATGTGCGGCTAACCTACGCATCAGATAGCAATACAGTCTGCTTGGTTTTGAATACGAAACACAACACTTTGAAAAATGATGATATCAGCAAAAAGGAAACAACTTCATTATCTCATACGTGTGATTTTGCTAACAAAGGCCACAAGGATGAGAACTCATACCAGACCTGTGCTCGTAACTCCAGAAGTGTCATGGTGTTCACCGGAAGATCATCGCTTCCTTCGTCACGCCATCGGATCACAATGTCCTCCGATCTTCTCTTGGAACCATTGGTCAAACAATTTCTTGCAGGGTTCAGGTAAGCACCAGGAAGCCAATCACCTCCAGGATTGTCTCCAGATGTGTCCTTGTCGAGAATACGCTTAGGAGGTACCGAAAACAATATGTTTAACTCATCAAGAACAGTTCTCCAATACACCTGTCAGTAGAAAAATAAAATCACAAAAACTCAAAAAATATACATATATTATCATGAAGAATATGGGAAAAGACAAAAAAAAAAGAGAGGATAAATAGTACCTCAGGATTTGATACAGAGAATTTTTGAAAACTCGAGAAACTCGAAATCGGATTTTTGTAATCTTCACCTAAGAACTCTTTGCCACGCCTTTCTAGCAACTCGCCAACGTTCGTTAAAGAAGCGACCTTCCTAGTTAATATACAAAGCACAGCGACAATTAACAAAAAGGAAAAACAACAATCCAAAAATAATCATAAAAAATCAAACGATCCTGGAAAAAAAAATATGATAACATACGGGTCGGGTATCCAAGCGGGCGGGTCGGGTCCGAAATCCTTGTAGCAACCATAATACATCATCTGGTGAAAAGAAAAAGGGAGATTAGGGTGAAGGATCCGTCGAGAAATCTGATTCCACGTCTCCGGCGGCGTGGCAGAGCCGTAATTACGGATAATAATATCTTTGAGATCTCTGAGAAGACTCTCAGCGACATCGCCGGAAATCCCAAGAGCTTCGATATCAGAACTCGTGATGGAATCTATAGATTTGTACGCCATTTTTTTTTTTTTTCGTTATTCTCTTTCAGATAGCTCAGACAGTGAGAAACGAGAGAGAGCTGAAAAGATTAATTGAAATGCATTTGACGAGAGTGGCAATGAAGTGGGAAACTTGTCCACGTAATATAAAGAACGCTCGTGGCGCCACGTGTCAATCTTGTCCTGATCTCTCTGATACTCTTTTTTTTCACTCGTTCCACGTCTGATTTGGCCGGAGAAAAAAAAAATTAGATGAAACATTTAGAAAATTATGGTAAAAATTTAATAAATAAGATATTTGTAACAAAATTTATCATAAGGATCTATCATCTATGCATCAATGTACAAAACACAAGTAATAATTTGAGATGTTGGTGAAAGCTAATCTTAAAAGATGTCTCTAAGTTGATACATAAAGGAAAAGAAATCAAAACAAAATACTTTTACATTTGAGTGTATGTACATTCAATGATTTCATGTATCTTTGTATTGGTTTCGGGCTATGTACATTCTGTAGTTGGATGATCAGACACTTTCTTTTCACTCCTTTCCACGTTTGATCATCATTTTATTAGATGTTACATTTGTATTATGATGGTATTTCAGTCTATATACAGTATCAACTTGTACTCTATGAATCAGTAGAGCCTAGTTTAGATTTTGAATGACATGTACAGTTGATTAGTCCATTAACATATTCGACTAATTTATTTTTTGTGTGAACAACAAAATTTACTGCATACGAATTTTATTGTTGCAAACAAATTAATCTGTTAGCAGACTAGACAGTTTTACCAAAGATATTGGCAATTAGCAAACCCACTTTTAGACAAAGCTACCAAATGGGCCAAAATGTGAAATTACAACCAAAGTCCAGAACTATCCTGAAATTATTCCTACCTACCACTATATAGTCCAAAGCCAAACCATCCCGGTTTATTTGATCATTTTTTATTCCTTTGAATTTTTCAGACTTCTTTTAGATGATGATCTTCGGTAGGGGTGGGCACAAAAACCATAACCGAAAAAACTAAACTATACCGAATCGAAAAAAGTGATATGGTTTGGTTATGATTAAACATAAAAATCCATTTGGTCATCATTTTTTTATAGTTTTGGTTTATATTTGGTTTGGTTAAAAACCGTCAAACCAAAAAGTTTTTTCGGTTTTTAAACTAAATTTTAAATAATTTATATTTTCTTAATTCTTTAATTTAGTTTAGGTGCATATTTTATTATTAAGCTTAGTTATCTTTATAAGTTACTAACTTAACTCATAAATTTAAAATATAATATTTATAAAAAATGTCTACATATAGATAATAAAGTAAGCTTTAATTTCTCAATAAAAAAATGTGACTTCTTTTTCTTCACATTCAAGTCTTCTAGTACTAGTTTCAAGATTATAGGTATTAAATTTTAATCTAGATTTGTTTATTGTTTTATAATTATTGATTATGAAAGATTTGATAATTTGTTTGTTTTTCTGTTTTGAAATCTGTCCTTATTGATGAATTTTTAATGATTTATATTATATTTTTGAATTTATTATTTTATTTCACTCATATTTATTATTATTATTTTCATTAGTTTGAATCAAAAAATTTCGTAATAGTATAATTCTAAAAAAAACGAAACCAAACCATATCAAACCGAACTGTAAAAATCCAAACCATACTGAACCGAAATATATATGGCTTTTATATGGTTTGAATTTTCGTAAAACCAATAAACCGTAAAATCGAAGAATCCGAACCGAAACCAAACCAAAAATCGAAGTGCCCACGCCTAATCTTCAGGCTTTCCAGGTTGTGTAGCCATTTACTTCAGTTTGATTTCAATATATATATATATATTTTTTTTTTTTTTCTAGTTCCACTTCTGATCATCAATGAAAGACAATGTAATTCCAAAATTCATATCAAAAGATCCCCCAAAGTTGAGATATATAAAGCCATAGAGGGATTAAAAAACAACACTTCTTTAAGCTATAACCCTCTTGTTTTTCAGTCGGAGCTAGGAAGGAACTTGGTTCCGGATCTAGTACCGAAGCTTCTACTAGCTGCCGGGATAATCCGCGATGGAGACAAGACCTGAGCGAACGAGAAGTTGTAAGAATCAGTGCCTAACCGGCTCTGCAACCATCCTCTGCCACCGGAGAATCCATCCGTCACAATCCAGCAATTCTTATACCCGAGAACCTTCAACGTTTTCGCCACTATTTTAGCTGAATCCGAGTACCTACGAGCCAGAGAAAAAATACCAATAACGATTACATAAATCTCTTTGGTTTGAAAAAGATTCATTCACAAAGTCTTGTTAAGTGGCAATAAAAGTCACTCACGAGTCCATGATGATGATATTGGAGCCTTTGTTGATTTTCTTGAGGTAAGAAATCTTTAATGCTGCTATTTCTGCTTCAACTCGTTTCGAGTTCCTCACGATTCCTTTTACTTTGTTCGGTAGTTCTTCTAATCTGATCAGCAGAAGAACAGAGTTTTTTTTTTAGTTTCTTTCAAGATTTCGGGTAAAGAAACACACACAAATAAGATCAAAAGTTAAACAAATCACTTACGGAATAGCGATCATACGGTTCTTAGCACTTGAAGGGAGACGAGGAATCCCAGATTTTTCCTTTTCTTTCTCTGATCTTATATCCACCATTAAGTAGTTCTTGGTGCAGAGAAGATCAAGAGTTTGAGCCGGTGAGAGATCACCTTCAACATAAAACCACAAACACAGAGTAACTCTCACAATCAGTTCCCAACTATATGCTAACTTGACTTAGAATCTAGACACAGACTGGATCACCACTAACCAATTAACAAAAAGTAAGCAGCTTTTGTTAGGAGTCTTTATTATGGTTGTTCTCAAGATGATGATATGTACAAAGTTTCAGGCTTTTACCTTTGTAACCACGGAAGTTAAAAGATACGAGAGACCAAACAGGAGGAAGGAGAAGGTAAGCAAGAAACGCTGCTCCAGCAGCAACAACAATGACACTAGGATCAGCAGAAGAAATCGTCTCCATGGTCGATGAAGCAATCGGCTTAGCATCTTCAATCGCCTTTGTTGTTTGTTGCGCCACATCTGTTACTGTCTACATCCCAAACAAAAACACACGCAAACCACAACTTATCTCATGTCCATTCAAAAACTAAACTTGCTGAGTTTTCTAAAGTAAAAAAAAAAAATCTGACCTTTGCAGCATTAAAGACAGGCTCTGCATCAATACCAGAGCTTTGCATTGCTTCTTTAGCTTTCTTTGAAGCCTCTGAGAAAGCAGGAGAAGCAAGCTTTAAAGCCTCTTCACCGGCTTGCTTTGCGATGGGCAAAGCAGTGTCAAAGGCTGGTTTAAGAGCATCTCCTACCACTTGGAAAACACGCTGCGTTGCGTCGAAAACACTCGAACCAGTTTCTTGAACTTGGTTGATTGTTTTCTCCACCTGTTAACGAAAAGAGAATTCGTCAAAAAATGGAGTCAGAAAGAAGAGAAGAGGGGGAAAAAGTTAAGTTAGTGAGATGATTACTTCAGTGATAGAGGAGACGATCTGGTCCTTGGGAATGGAAACAGCAGCTATGGCTTCATGAGGAGGAGATGCGAAGAGAGATAACAGAGAGATCGAGGTTGATGTTGGAAGTGCGATAGAGATTTGCTTCACTCTCTTCTTACAAGACGAAGAAGAAGAAGAAGGAATAGTGAGTTTCGCAGTTACAGAAGACTTCATTGCCATCTCCGCCATAGCCATGGGTGTTTCTCTGTCACTCTTCACAAATTAATGTGGGAGAGAAAGAAGACAGAATAATATATGGTGATTCTCCTCTATATTGTCTGCAAACTGTTTCTCCAGCTTTACTTCTTTGCTGAAGATTATAAATACATTATGAAGAAGAGAAAAGACTGGGAGAAATTGAGTTTATGGTTATGAGCGTCTCTCTTGAGAAGAACGATGGAAGAAAGGAGGATTTGAATGATGGTTTCTGATTGGTCAGACGAATCCTACGTGGCAGTAGGTTGTGCAAGCTGAACCACTCATTGCCGATCCAATTCGGAATCGTTGCTTTTGATTTTACTGCAGAATATTTTAAAATTAAAAACATGGGGTCCGTTTCTGTTTCAACAGCTTATTTGAACCGTTCATTTCGTCTGCCGGTCCGATTGATAACCGAGGAAATCAATCTCCAACCTCGGTTATATCAACCAAAACCGATAACTACAATTAAACTTCAACCCACACAAGACCAAGCATCTTGACTAATTTTGGTTTAGGTTCCCTTTTTCTGCTTTTTTGGTTAGCATGCTGAACAAGTGAATGAACCAAAACCACACTTGTTCAACTGTATCTATTATGTTCATGATTGAAGGAAGATGAGCAAAAACACACAAGATCACTAGCTCCATAGCATTTACAAATATATATCTCCCATAATGTAAAGCATCACATATTCTATATAAGAACATAAGAGAGTAACACTAATTTCTCATGCTTTTCAACCCTTAAGTGTGGGGAATCTAAAGAAAGATCGCAAGTCTTGATCCTGAAGAACAAGGTTCTCCTTTTCTTTGCCTAATATGAGAACAGAATCTTGTTACCATTTCAAGTTTGCTCCAAGGAATTTTAAAACCCACGAGCTTAGGAATCGATCCACTTCTCCAGATTCCATTAACCTTTTTTCCTTGCTGCCAAAGAAGGAAAAAAGTGTCTTTTTCAGCAGATGATGTCATTAGATAGACTACACGAAAGTTTTCAGGAGTGAATATGATTCTTCTTATGAACATCTACTCTCATAAATAGTAATGCTCCAAACACACAAACTAATGCAAAAGGAACATAAAGTAGCATGGCTCTCTAGAGTCTATACAGTTTGTAACTATTTACTAATCACTGAATATTACCGCTCTGAATTATGCAATGTACCCAAGTTTTCAATTATTCCATATACTATGTGGATATCTGATCACTAGACAAGAATCAACATGGAGCTCAAACCTTTGATTACATGAAACCAAAAAAACAAACTGCATCAAAATCAGATCCAGGAACATTGTTCAAGATAATAAGCTACTAAAACTGTCAGAAACTGTCCCATCTATAGAGGAAATAGAAAGAAAGAAAAAAAATTTGAAATCGTAACCGAAGTTTTCATCAAACAGAACCACATAGTCGGATTTAACATAAGTATATAAGTCTACTATGAGCTCATGATTGACAAAAACACATGATTGTTAAGAAAAAAACTAAACCAAACCTTTCAAAGAGATAAGAATCATCTCTCTGTACGAGCTGTAATAACCATCAAGAACAAAAAGTCAACATTTTTTTTTTCTAGACAAGAATTGAATTTGATTTCTTTTTCCTTCACTCACAGCTAAGATCTTCAAAAAAGAATACTTTATTGGTTATAGCAGCAGAGAAAATTTTCGAATCCAAAAAGTATCTTTACAAATAGATTGAAAAAAACAAAAAAAAAAAGAGGCGACAAATCAGGAAGGACTAGCGCTGGATGCAGAGGTTTATCGACCGATTCATGCTTCCGATGTAAATACTCCAACATGGAAAGGAATTGATCGATGAACCGCTGCCTCCAGCGACTTCAACTTTCATCATATTCGTCAACGAAACCAAAGATAAAGAAAAAAAGAAAAGAAATTTGTAATCAATCGAATTAGAATAGTTCACAGATCTGAGAAATGGGTAATCAACACAAATCATTGAAGGAGGCTGGATCTCAAAAAGTAGATAAATTTACAGAGGTAGATGCAGAGTCAATAATAATATCTATGTTATATAAACTTATAATATATATAGAGAGAGAGGCGTGGTTACATACATGACATGCATGTGAGAATAACTGGAATGAAGGGGGAATCTGAGATTTCAACTGAAACAGTGTATTTTAGTAAAAGAGTAGAATCAAAAGACACACAAAGACCAACGAAATTTGAAAGGAGGAGGAATCTGATGACTCACCGTTTTCTCCCCTTTGCCGTACATATTTCTTTTTTTCTCATCCTCGTCTTTTGTCCCTTTGGTCAACAGATTTGAGTCGTTGATTGATTGAAAGGCAAATGGTTCTCGATTTTCTATATTTTTTTCATTTCTTCTACTTTATTTGGTAAAACCTTTTAATTTTCCTTTTTTTTTTTTCTATTTTCTAGTCTAGGAATTAAAAGAAATGATTCTGTACTTCTATCAATATGTTGGTCTAGTAACTTCACTATGCTTGGCATCAAACTTGACTTATAAACTATCCTTTTGATTAATCAAAAGATTTTAACACTTCTACCCGTAAATGTATCCAAAAAGACTTACATTGGAACTATTCATCGTGATATGTGTGTTGTAAATTTAAAAAATTATCCGTTTGTGTATTTTAAAATATTTATTTGAATCCACTTGATGTAAGAAAAGAAGAGAAACAAAAACTGAAAAATATAAATTTACAAAATTATGACAAGATTTTACAAATTACAATGCTCATACCAAAAAAAAAAAAAAAAAAAAAAAAAAAAATTACAATGCTCTAATAAACCCCTTCTTCCCTATTTCAACAAATATGCTTAAACCCTAGCAAAAAATTCCTGCGGCTTTTCCATCATTTTCCTCCTCTGCAATCAAACGGATCTCAATGTTTGCTGCTTCGATGAGAACAATAATCTCTCCATCTCTTGCGTCCTTCTCTCTTCATCTCCCTAAACCAGCTCTCTTCTCCACGGTTCTTCGCGTCTCCCGTCATCCTCTCGCCAATTCCGCCTTCGCGCTCAACAGATGCCCCGTCGATCCGCTTCGCTCTTCGGTTTCCACCAGGGAATTACAGACGGATGCGGCATCTAAGCCGTTCTCCTCCTTCTCCGCTCCCGGCGAGATACACGTCGTCGTCGGTCCTATGTTCTCCGGTAAAACCACGACGCTTCTCCGCCGGATGCTCTCGGAGAGGGATAACGGGAAGAAGATAGCGATTATCAAGTCGGATAAAGACACAAGGTACTGTGTTGATTCGATAGTGAGCCACGACGGAGAGAAATTCCCTTGCTGGCCTCTCCCGGATCTATCGTGTTTCAAAGAGAGGTTCGGATTGGATAAGTACGAGAATCAATTGGATGTGATTGGGATCGACGAAGCTCAGTTCTTCGGCGACCTCTACGAGTTTTGTCGCGAAGCTGCCGATAAGGAGGGAAAAACGGTAATTGTAGCTGGACTGGACGGGGATTATCTGAGGAGGAGGTTCGGGTCGGTGCTGGATATAATTCCGATTGCGGATACGGTGACGAAGCTGTCGTCAAGGTGCGAGGTGTGTGGGAAGAGAGCTTTGTTTACGCTGAGGAAGACGGAGGAGAGAGAGACGGAATTGATCGGAGGAGCCGAAGTGTATATGCCAGTGTGTCGGAATCACTATGTGAGCGGTCAAGGCGTTTTGGAGACCGCTCGTGCCGTTTTAGATTCTTCCCAACAAAACGCAACGCTCGATGTAGCAGCAGCAAGTCTCTCCCCTCCATTTTAACTGGCGTCTTGTTTCGTTAATTTCAAACGCTCTAGAGAAAAGGGTTTTTATTGGAACAGTTGTTAGCTTTGGTTTTATCTAATAAGTAAAAGGCTGAACCAAAAATCAAGTCAATCGATCATACAATACTTCTACGTTGAACGCAACCATATGATATAATATAACTAAGCTCATCATTTGCTATACAACCTCACCATCAAGACAGTGCAGAGAATCATTCAATTGCATAACTTAATTCTATATTGTTTTTTCAATGTTCACAAAAAGATGTAAGCAAGTGCTCTGATTTTTCCGGAGTTAAAAGTCAGCCAATAACTCCGATTTGTATTCAGTCTCGTGGCCTCCGCTTCTCCCGCCTTGACTCTTTCCGTTCTTCATCCGCGCTGTACCGCGAAGAAGAGGAACTCTTGATCTTGTAATGCTTTGAATGCTTCTTGTGGCTACTTCTCTTCTCTCTGGAAGATTCTCTCCGCTTTCTTCTTGATTTCGAGCCTTGCTTATCCCGGTTGTGGTAGTCGCTGGACGAATCGCTCTCTGAATCATTGTATCTATGCCTATCCTTCTTGGAACGTTTTCTCCTCCGTTCATCTCCTGAGGATTCACTGGAAGACGGATCGTTCCCGCCACTCCGCTTTCTTGGCGACTTTTTAATACTCTTTTCTTCTTCAGACACGAGTGTGAGGCTGCTCGTCGTCTTCTCCTTCGATTTCTCTTTCAATCCAGGTATTCTCTCAGAAGATGCATCGGATTTGCCTTTGGGCTTGTTGTCTTCTTCCATTGGCTTGGTTCCTTCTGGGTACGTGGTGACATCAGAAGGTACTTCGAAACCTAACTCTTTCCCTAGAGATTCTAGGAAATCACCAGCTATCAGTCGGTTTAATGTTGATGCAGCCGCTTCGTTCTTCTTCTCTTGACCCTCTTGTCTCTTTCCATTCATAGGTTGTTCTTCATCATCTTCGGAATCATCAGAGAAAATGGCCTACAAGTGAACATGACCGAATGAATATTAACCGACTGAAAATATCAAACTGAGTTAGCATAAATTTTCTCAGACAGTGACGCACTCTTTACCTTGTAAAGATCAACAGGTCTCTCCAGGTTCTCCACTTCTACCTCGACTTCAGGCTCTTCTACTGATGTCTCTTTTTTAGGTTCGTTTAAATCAGAGGCTTGACGTGCGGAGAGGCTTGCTCCCGACCCAGATGCAGCTATCACTGTATCCGGCAAGAATATGAGAGAATCCATTTTGTTTCTCGCTCGTGAAGCAGTTGCCGGCTGTAAAATTGAAGGGAAAATTTATAAGATTCAATCCGCATAAGCAAGAACATGACACTGAAAATTCCCTAATCTTGTTGAGATTCTTTCTAAGAAGTAAGACAATGAGCCCGTGTATTATTACAAGTAGAAAGCAGTGTGTGCTCGTCTTTTTTTTTTCCCTCTCAACATGCACATCATTCATTGTTAACATTTCTTATCACATCTGAGCAAACTTTCACCAATAAGTGCGTTCCAGAAGAAGATATTATAGGACAATCTATTTTCTAGTGTTCAACGAATGTAAGCTTTAAATGACAATCAGGAGGGAGAAGCAAGGAACCATTTATTTACCTTTCCTATGAAAGGATCAGGGAGATCAAAACGCTTGCACAAAAGAGATGCAGGACGCCATTGGAACTCTTCCCTTTTAGGGTATGTCTTATTCGTTTTGATATCTACCACTCCAGTGTCTTTAATTTGCTGTACAAAGATAAATTAGATATTAGCATAGAACCGCCAGTGAACAGAATAATTGCGATGAAGATTCTGTAGACATACCTCTGTTCCACCAGAAGTAAACTGCAGCCCTCCTGCAAGGAAGTCGATAGGCTGTTCAGTAGCCCGTCTGACCTCCTTGTAAGCTTTCCCTTTCTCAATTGCCTCAGCTGCAGCCTCAAAGTCCAGCCTCTCTTGAGCACGGGCTGATTCCGACATGCTGTTAACTCTGTTGGAGTGTGTTGTACGTAACCCTCCTTTGTATTTCTCCTTGAGAAACTGCTCAAATCTTTCTTGTTTTGCTGGGTCATCTTTGAAGGGCTTGACAGCATCTGCTGCCTCTTGCTATTTCAAGGAGAGAAATAGATAGTCGAGTTTCGAATGTTAGTGCAAGGGAAACTCCTGAAAACACATCTACCAAGTGTAATCTGGCTAAAATTCTTATACAGGTGTAAAGTTATTTACTTACTGATGAAGCTGATTTGGTGAAGGTGTCAGAGAGATTGGTTGGGAATTGGAAGGATCCTCCAGAAGAAGCAGAAGTTTCAGTTTCTTTCAAACTTTTCTGCAAAGGCTTTTCCCCTAGTAAGCTGCCACGCGTTTCTGCAGTCATTTTCTGCACGCTTGGAGAGACCTTAACCTCTATTAGCAGCTTACTTTGATCACTGCGCTTTTGTTGCTCCTCCCACAGCCTTCTAACATAGTATTCATGACCATTACCTCCCCGAAGAAAATCAAACAACTGATTTGATTCGTTCTTCTCTCTAGAAAGATCCTCGAATAGTTTCCCGCAACGGGAAACAAAAGTTGCAATTCCATCGATCAAAAGTTTCAGATTCTTATCTTCAGGGGGTGGAACATCTGGAGGAGCAGAAGTAGTCGGTTTAGTTTCAGCCTCCCGGGGACCAGAAAACTTATGCCGTGCCACAAAGTCCTTTGGGATCTTCGGAGGATCAAATCTAAGTACAGTATAGAAAAACACAATGATTAGAGTATTATGCAGATCAATGTAAGTAGTCATAAACAGAAAAAGTCTGAGAGCAAGAGCAATCGAGTGATGATTGAGTTAAAAAATAGTTTGTTATACCTCTCGACACTGTAGTCAGTATTCGAAGCAGCTCCAAAACCTGGCAGAACGTTATGCTCTTTTGAGGTTAACCTCAGTCTATTGTCATTGCTCGGTCTGGCCGGCTGTTCATCTTCTATGACATAAGTCTGATCAAAGTCATAACCTGAAAGAATGAAAAAACACTTGGTCTTGCAGCATATTCTGAAACAGGTGATTGATGAATCCAAAACTAACACTTCAGCGTATCAAGCAGATTTTTGTGCCTTTTACCAATATGATTCTTTTCCAAAAATAAATTACTGTGACAACAAAGGTTTGCTTCCTCGAGAATCACACAAACAGTTCAAACTCAACAGAGATTCGTATGCTTATATTAACAAAGAGCAACCATGATTAGGAAAATAGCCATCATGTCCTTACCAGCATAGACATCATCATCCTCAACATCAAGCTCCTCAAGTGCCCCAATGCCAAAACCAGGAGCAATCTTACCTGCTGATTGTTCAACTCATATTAGCAACTAACATAACCCATGAGTAGTTTGCACGCAACAAGAATGCTAAGCAAAATCCGGCATAGAGACACGCAATAGTGCATGTACGTGTCTTTAAGCAAAGAAGAGTAGAAAAGACAAATGGTGAGTCAAGATCTTACATTTGGGTCCGAAAAGACTTTCCTTCATTGACAAAGGTTTTCTGTAACCAGCCTCCTTACTGGCAGACAAGCGAGATCTTTTCTTTTCTACAATTTATTAAAATGAAATGCAAGTTATTGACCAAAAATGCTCAGAGGGAGGAAAATAAGTCTTTAATAAAAGTCTAAACTAGATACCTCTAAATTCAGGAGCATGCTTAAAAGGATCAAATCCTAAACCATGCAGGTCCTGCTTTGGATTGAGGACATATACCTGTAACAGAAAATGAATGAACAAAGAAAATCATTACAATCAATGTATCTGAGGGTAATATCTAAAGACCTTCTGCAGCAGATTAGAAGCAGTATTCACAGTCCTATATTTATTCTGATACGAGAATTGGATAGAAAGGTTTCAAGAAAATATGAATAATAGATAGACACCAGTAGCAATTACAATCAACAACATAAAGCTCCTTTGCTAAGAGAATCTAGATAGTTAACTCACAGGAGTGGTTTCAGAAACTTTAATATCTTCATTACACTGTGGATCCAGAGAAGTTTCCACGTCAGTCTCCAAAACCAGAGAGTCCGAAGTTTCCTTTGTATTCTCATCAGCAGAGAAGGCTAAGAATGCCTTTCTAGCTTCCCTACGAGCATCTGCGCCGTCGAGAGTATCAAAAAGAGACACATGTTAAAAACATGGATTAACAAACTCAAAATACCTATTTAGGAGAAAAAAACAAAAGGGAAAAAGAAAAAACAGAGTAGCTTGATGTGAAATTCCAAAATAAAGTGCACAAACGAAAATTATGAATCAGTGCATGTTAAACAAGTTTCAAACCTGAACTAGCACGCACATCCTTTATTGAATTACCACGCCGCCATCCCATCTTTAGCAAAAGTTTGACTCCTGAAACAAGAGAAAGAAGCATATGTGTGAGATCATGATTTCTTTACTTATTGCTTTGGAGAAAATAAAGAGAACTAAAAAATGAAGGTTTTGAAAAATATTAAAGAGCCTTTTCGAAACTAACCAATTGACTCTGAAACTGGAGCAACAAGTTCGTCATGCACTGGGCCAGGAATGGCTGATGGCCTGCGATACAACAGAAAGCTGTTACAAACAAAGAATAAAATATACAGATAGAAACTTCATAGCAAACTCAAATGAAAAAAAGAATCTTAAGTTGTAGCAACTTTTTATCTAAATTAGACAATTACACAATGTCTAAAACATTATTGCTCATGCCAAAGCAAAACGAAGCAACCCTGGAAAAAAAAGCCTAAACATAGCTCTTAAGGAACTTCCAATTGATTGCAACGTGTAGTAGAAATATTAATAAGATAGACTAAAAATAAGATCCACACTTGAATTCTGATCAGGCTACAACAATGCATGAAAAGAATTAAGGAATATGACACAAAAGTATACAGAGACCTTTCATGCTGTTCCTTCTCAGCTTGCTTGCGAGAATGTTCGGCTGCTGTAAAACCAAATGTGTCAAATTGTGAGCTCGCAGACAGTGATTGGCCCTCCAATTCCTGAAATGCAAAAGCATCTAGAGTGGTTCAACATCACTCCAAATATTGGACGTCTTCCACAAAGAAGTGTTACAGAAATATTATGCAATATGTGGCAATCAAACTTTGGCGAGCTTAGACACTAATGACTTGAAATAAAGCTTTAGATTGTAAAGGAGAAGAATATATAACGTACCGCCTTTTCATCTTCATCCAGAAAGTCTGAAATACTTTGCTTTCTCGCTCCAGCTCTGTTCTTCCTTGATGATGTAAATGACTGTGGAGCCCAGCCTGAAATTCAACTTAGATTGTATGCATGAAAGTACAGATAAAAAACCTAAAAAAAATCAAAGTAAGTTAATTTACCCTCTTTTGACCCCACTGTATTGTAATACCCAGCAGAATATCCACCAGTAAATGCTCCATGGAACCTTCTCCGGCCTTCTTCATCAGTCACCTAAGTATGGAAAGCTTTAGATGTTAGAAGCTTTCCATAGATATAACTATACACAGATAGACGCTGATTCCAGTAATGCAAATCATGGTGGAAAGCATCCACACTAGGAACCTGAACAAAGAATTGTAAGCAATACTATGCATCCTTTATTAAGGAGAAAGTTGTCAACATAGATTGCTTCGATAAATTTGCATCTAGAGACCAAGGAAGTGCCAACATTTACAGATGCATATATCAATATACCTTCAAGGCAACGCCTATGTGCAGATGATCAATTCATAGATACATTAACGAGCGAGAATAAACACAACAAATAATAAAATCTCGGATAAACATGATTCACAGTACTACACAAGCTCCAAGAGAGACATTCAAATCGATTTCCTGCTAAAGTTAATTCCCGTCTACTGAATTTTTTTCAAAATGCTCAAGCTCCCACTAATCCAATTTCAAAACATTAAAGAACAAGAGCTCAAATCGGAATGTCTCAAACTTCTCTCGCTAACCCACTCGGCATAAAACTGATGAAGCTCTCTACAGTAAGATGAAAATCACAGAAGCAAACACACAGAGAAAAACTGCCATGTTCAAGGGCAAAGCGGTTCCGCAACTAAACAACATACGACTAGAAGAATCAAAGACTCACCTCTTGCTTCCAAGCAGGTAGAGTTCTTAGGTTGCCTGAAGCCCCAGCGACTGCTTTCTTCTTCCGGCTCGCGATTTCTTCCTCGCGTTCTATTGGTGTCCCGTGAAAGACGAAATCCTCCTCGTCTGACCCCATTCTCTTCACCACCGAGAAAAACCAGCAATCCGAGATTCCTAAAGAGCAAGGAGTCCCCGGAAGGGAATCAGAGTCGAGGATGATGAAAGGAGATATGGGCCTATAGTTCAGGTCAATTTTTCGGCCCATTAAGGTTTTGATTGATTTACCTTTAATTAATTTTCCATTTCTTTTTTAAAGGGATTAAAATTATCTTCACGCGCCGTCTCTAGCTGGGGAAAAGTGGAGTTCACGCGCCTTTGCGTCTTCCGTTTGCCCTACTCGACTCTGTTAGAGAAGGCGAAGGAGAGAGAAATTCTTCCGATAAGATTCCGTACAATCCGATCAACTTCCCGTCTCCTGATCTCGCCGCGACTCGGTTAGATCGTCTGCTCTCCGGCTTCGATCTTGTTAATTCTCGCTTCGAACCGTGTTGACTCAGTGACGGTGAGTTGATAATTCCTACATCTCAATTTCCTCATTTTTCATCGTCTCTCTCTCCAAATTCGTTACGTGATTGCACCATAAACGAATCTTCGTGTACGATTACCTTACCCGTAATCTGATTAATTCTGTAGATTAAAACAATGGATCCAATGGATATAGTCGGCAAATCCAAGGAAGACGCTTCGCTTCCGAAAGGTTAGTCATGAAAAAACCGATTCTTTCGATCCACTGAGCATCAATCATCACCCAATTGTTCTTTGATTGGTTGTATTAGTGATTTTCGTCACCATTTGAAATTAAGTTATCGACTTTTTTGAATCCACTGTTATGGATAATTCGTGAATCTAGATCGATTTATACGTGCAGGTTAGACTGAAAACTGCTTGATGGTTCTATAAGTTATGAGCATCATGCTAATCCAAGTATGTTTTCATGCTAAGAATATGATTGTTCTGTTTATATTTCAGCTACGATGACTAAAATCATAAAGGAGATGTTACCCCCAGACGTCCGCGTTGCTAGAGATGCTCAAGATCTTCTGATTGAGTGCTGTGTAGGTGAGATCATAGAATCCCTCTGTTAGATTAATCACTTGCTCCAGATTTGGAATTCACTCGAGTTCTTTGGTTTTCTTACTGTGTTTTTAATTAAAGACATTTGCTTTGCAGAGTTTATAAATCTTGTTTCTTCGGAATCTAATGACGTTTGTAACAAAGAGGACAAACGGACGATTGCCCCTGAACATGTTCTCAAGGCACTACAGGTTCTGTATTACATTAAGGCTCCATGTGACCCTTACCTAAAGACACCCTTTCTAATAGAAATAGATAAACCTTATCCTATGAACAGGTTCTGGGTTTTGGAGAATACATTGAGGAAGTCTATGCTGCGTATGAGCAACACAAGTATGAAACCATGGTAATAATCCTCTACTTTAAGACCGATAAGAAGATGATTATTATACACTTAACATTAACTGTGTCTAGTACATTTACAACTCTGTAGCAGGACACACAGAGGAGCGTGAAATGGAACAGTGGAGCTCAAATGACTGAGGAGGAAGCAGCAGCTGAGCAACAACGTATGTTTGCAGAAGCACGTGCAAGGATGAATGGAGGTGGTCCAGTTCCTCTGCCTGAACACCCAGAAACCGACCAGAGAAGTGTACAGAGTTAATTGAATCTGTAAGGGTAATTGAATCGATAGGCAAAAAAAAAGCATCCTTTTAACATTCCTTTGTAAGTGCAAATGCGTATGTCCTTTGTTTATATGCTCTTAGTATGATACTAAGTTAGTGTTTTATGATCTAAAAACTCAGATGTAATTAGTAAGCATTTCTTTGTTTTGTGTTACTTCTGTATTGAGAATTACATGGTGGGTCAGGTCTACAGCAAAGCCTCCGATTCAATGTTGGATTATATATCCCTGATGTTTGAAGATTGGATGGTTTTAGTGATTAGTGTAATTGTACCATTAATATAACCCAAGATTTGTATACGTTGCATGTATCCTTGATGAAGACGACGTGTATGTCACTCAGATACCTACAATCGAATATATACTAAATAATTCTCCTAGAAACTTTGTGTCAAATATAGTCTTACACAATTATTTATTTGGTCGTATGTTTTGTCTTTTTGACATTTACGAAGAAACATATGTTGCCACTTTCTTACTAGAAATAATAAAATTTGGTGAACGATGACGTCATTGAAGCATATAAAGCTTAAGGGGGTGATTCGGATGAGGGGGAAGAGTCGGAGAAGGGCAAGGTACTTCGTTGCTAGGACCATCACCGGAGTGACGTGTCAGTTCGCAGGTCTCTGTTTACTCTGCACCCGACAACAACGAGAATCAGAACAGGCTTATTTCATATCTCTATTTATGACGTCAATAAATCAAACTATATATATAATAACTTCATTGTAAGTTTGTAACAATATTTTACAATCTGTATTATAGGATCGTTTTATTCTTCGATACAAGACAAAGCCTGTCGAATGTTGTATACCCCTCAATGGCACGTCACACCAATCTTTAATTGAGAATATTTCGTACTGAATCGAGACTATAAAACAATAATAAAAAAAATCCCATCCATCATTCATGAATAGTTGAATACATTAAACTTTCCACTATAATTCTGTACAACAATTGGTTGATGACATTCATCTGCTTTGGTTTTCAGACCCAGAAAATTATGGGACTCCAACTTCTGGAAGAACAAAAAAAAGAAGATTGGTATGAAAATTCCTTCTTATGAACTTTTTTTTTGTCGACACCTTCTCATGAAGTTAAGATGTGATCAGTTCACTATAGCTTCTTATACTGTGCATTGTGAATAAAGGATGGGCTTGAACTTTGGTCCATGAAAATTCATACAAAACGCTTGCATGATTTAAGTTCCTTAAGGCATTACCAAATATTATAATCGTCACAGAAGAACAAAAATAAGACTTCAATATATGTCTGTGTAATTGAACAAAAAAATATATATATATGTCTGTGTCAAATTATTTGAGTTGTCCAGTGTTTTTTACTTTTTACCTTTTCGTCAACTATTGTTTTTTTTTTGTTTACTCTTCTTACTAGTAGATACAAAAATTAAAGTTATTGTACTGTCAAAACCTTTAAAAACAGTTATCAAAATTGTTTGCTATTTAAATTACGAAATTGAAAAGATCAACAAAATTCACATAGCATACCTTCAATAATCACAAACAGGTGACACTGACAGAACTGAAGAGATGGCCAATTCACATGCATTTGTATTGATTTAGAATGTTTGCTTTTTTATTTAAATTGCTTATTTTTTTCTAATCTTCATTTGAAAATCTGTTTGAAAACATTTTTCAAATCTTTGATATGAGAGGTTGTATGCAAAATAAACGATTTGATATAAAGAAGGAATTGATAAGTGTACTAAAACACTTTTTACTGTATAAAGATTGAAGTCAAAAAAAGGAGAGGAGTCAAACAAAATGAGGCTCTTTGTGATTACCCCACATCGAAAATGAAACAACACACACTTTGTCTCCAGATTCCTTTCTTTTGTCATTTCTCGTGTTTTTCCCAAAGTATTCAACAAAAACACAATCCTACTTATTCTCTAATATCTCAAAAGAATAATACCAAAAACTATTAAATAAACAAAAGATCCACATTTCTTCACCGTACAACTTGTTGTTCTTCTTAAAATAACGCCTAAGCTCATATATATGATCATATTCATCAGCGAGAGGATAAGATGAATGGTATTACGATCGTGAACAATTGAACATCATTAAGTAGAACTGAAAAAAAGATAACTAAAGAAACAAAATTGAATTTATTATTTTCCTCTTCAGTGGATGATTTTTTTCTTTTTGAAGCTAAAATTAATCTCAAATCGAATCACTTGACACCTATATGTTGAACTAAAAAAGCAAAAGACAAATCTACACACACAATGAAAATATTATATTTGGCTTTTCTTTTTTATTTCTCCTTTGTTTTCCAAAATCGTCTTCAAAGATGAGTTGGTGGGTCCAGTCAGAGTCGATTCTCTGTCAATGTATTATCTTCTCTCTCACACCAACACACTCACAACGACAAGAGAGAGATAGAGAAGAGTGAAGAGAGAGAGAGTTTTTAGTCACCAAATAGACCAAACCCTGAAGTTAAATTCACACCAGCTAACTTTGATCATTACCACATTCATAACCTACACTCTCTCCTTTTTCTCTCTCTCTTTCTCTAAGCTTCAAACTTCTTTCAATGGCGAAAGGGAATTCGCATGACTTTACCTCCAAGAGACACAACAGCTTCCACTGGACACGGAAAGTCGGATCAGACGAAAACGACGACGTTTCCTCCCATAACCCTCTTCCCGACAACACTAAACCCGTTCCCAAACACAATCCTTCCTCTTCCTCTTCCTCTTCCTCTTCCTCTGCTGTACTCACTCCCAAAAGGAAGCTCCAGTCCTTCGCCGTTACTCGTCTCCGGTCAGTCATCGCTTCTCTCAGCAGAGCCCGACCCGGAAACCATTCCGGACTCGGGTCACGGGTCGTGGGTACACTTTTCGGATCCCGTCGCGGACACGTGCATTTCTCTATCCAGAAAGATCCGACTTCCCCTCCGGCGTTTCTAATCGAGCTAGCTACTCCCATCAGCGGATTAGTCAAGGAGATGGCTTCAGGACTCGTCAGAATCGCTCTCGAGTGTGACAAGGCCAAGGAGGAAGAAAAAGATGAAGGAGAGAACGGAAATCGTCGCCACGGCGGAGGAGATAAGACGAAGACGGTGGTTCCGCGGCGGTTGGTGGAGGAGCCTATTTGGAGGACTTATTGCAACGGGAAAAAGTGTGGATTCGCGACGAGGAGGGACTCTGGTGAGAAGGAGAAAAAGGTCTTGAAGGCGCTTGAGATGGTTTCCATGGGCGCCGGGGTTTTACCGGAGACGGAGGAGACATCATCCGCCGGCGGCGGCAGCGGCGGTGGAGACATAATGTATATGAGGGCAAAATTCGAGCGAATCGTGGGGTCGCGTGATTCGGAGGCTTTCTATATGATGAATCCTGACAGCAATGGAGCTCCTGAGCTCAGTATCTATCTACTCAGAATCTGAAGAAGAAGACGACGATGAAAGAAGATGATCTTACTACCAAAGCCTCTACTTCAAAGGGAGTTTTTAACCGTTTAGTAAAAATTCCCGGTTTAGTTAATCAAATCAGTCGGTTAAGTGGTTCTTTTGGGGAATTAAAGTAGGGATGTCTAATACTCAAAATTCGTATGTGAATCGAAAACGACATCTAATTATTGCAAGTCGGATTAGATGTGAATGTGATCGATCGATCGATAATGGTGTTAGAGCAGGTTTTTGTTTTTGGGGTCGGTTTAGAGGTTTTAAAATTTGGTATATGGACTTGGACCGGAGGACTTGTAAATGTATAAATTTCGTTTTTTTTTTAATGTGTAATCTTTTTGTTGTTTCAAATGTTTATGTTATAATGGGGCACCGAGCCTGTAGAATCATAATGATTAAAGTCTCGATTTGTTTCACATTTCATTAGTATTTTGGTCACTAAATCATGCTTTAAAGTGTAAAATCATCATTGATTTTCTCTGATCCAAGAATAATGATAGATTGGATTGTATGTGGTCCATACATTATAAAGAGTACGCGTATCGACTATAACGACGCATTATATGATAAGATATTCCGGTATATGGGCCAATCTATTAAATTTCCAAAACTAAATCTAATTGGGGAGAATTACTAGTACTGTATTACACACATTGGTTTTATATAATTGAAGAAGTAAAACTGTGATAATTCATAATTTGGAAATTACAAGCAATGTAAATTGTTTCCATAATAAACTTTATTCTTTCCCCAGAAAAAGCAGGCGCTTGTACATTCACAAAGCACAGATCCGATTAAGATTACACTGCACGATACTCAAGCAACGTGTCTTCTTCTTTTTATCTTTTATTAACGTTAAAGAACATAATACGAAAATAATTTTTCTTCATGAGAATTTGCGAAAGAGACAAAAGCTGGTGCCTACAACAATTAAGAGTATAAGAAAAAATATGAAGGAGTGTATGTATATGTTTCGTGGTTATATAATATACATATCTCGTATATTCGGATATCTTGAGATATGATCCGCATTAAGTCATTACTATTTCAAAATTTCAACTACATAGAATGAGTTTTACATATTGGCTGATAATATTCCCAATTATTGGTTGTGACTTTTGACACATGTTTGAATAACTTGGGCTTCTGTTGTCTGAATATAGAAGGGCATGGTCTGAAGCATGACGACGATTGCAAATCTCACTTCACATACATCACATAGTTTTGTGGATTGAAGGAATGATTTTAGGTGTCCATCTATTACATGACAAATATATTATACTCCATAGTCCATATGTTCATCAATTCAAAAAATTAATCATGACTCATTATCAGCATTATTCATAAGCTGGAAGCGAGGGAAGACTGAATTAAATTTAAAATTATCATTTCATCAAGAGCAAATGGATGGCTGAAAACAATTAATCCAAATGGTTTAAAACCGGATTTTCAACAGAAACCAAATACTGAACTCCACAAATAGGCAAATCCTGTTGTCTCTCCCAAATTTAATGTTTGTGTCTACTTTTATAATCCAAACCCTACCATTGACGGCTATGAAATAGAAAAGGGAGAGACACCTAATGAAGTAATGAGTAATTATGCTTTCGCTTTAGATAAAGAGCCGGCTTTAGCCGTTTTTTTTTACTTTCCTTTTGTTTTTCTGTTCTTTATCTAATTATTATTACACGATAAGGAAGTAAAATAGATTAGTACTATAGACTGAAAGAGGTAGTATACTGGTTAACTAACATAAATCCTTTTATTCGATCCTCAAACCTTATTTTATTTTTCCAGATCGCTAATTGATTTCTGCTCACCCTCATATCATTTGAGTCAAATGCTGTGGGAAGACTATGTCAATACGTTAGTATATAAATTTCGAAAAAAAAAAACGAGACATAAAAAGATAATATATTCTTTTTCTTTTTCAAAATAGACAATATATAAACTAAACAAAATAAGATTTATTAATTTCCTACATTAATAAACGTATCAAAACATTCAAACTAGAGCTCCATGCTTCTCATTAGGGGTGGGTACAAAAACCATAACCGAAAAAACCAAACCATACCGAACCGAAAAAAATGATATGGTTTGGTTATGGTTAAACCTAAAAATCCATTTGGTTATCATTTTTTTATAACTTTGGTTTAGGTTTGGTTTGGTTAAAAACCGTCAAACCGAAAGGTTTTTTTGGTTTTAAAATTAAATTTTAAATAATTAATATCTTCTAATTTTTTAATTTAGTTTAGGCCCAAAATTTGTTATTAGACTTAATTATCTTTATAATTTACTAACTTAACTAATAAATTTAAAATATAATATTTATAAAAGATATCTACATATAAATAATAAAGTTGTAAACCCTAATTTTCAGTCAAAACAAAAAAACGTTTGTGAAACTCGTTCTTCTCAACATTCAAGTCTTCTAGTTCCAACTTCCAAGCTTTTAGGTATTTAACAAAAGATCAACCATAAATCGTATAACTAGTTAAACTAATTAAAGCTTTTTAATTTTTATATCAAATTGTACTTGTTGATTGTTATTTGTTTCGTTATCTAATTTTCTCAATTCATCTTTCTTGACTTATATAATATAGATGTCAGATGTACGTGAAGATCCTCCTCATGCGGGAGAAAAGAGGACAGCTACTAATGATCTTCCTACAAACACAAAAAAACAAGCTGTTCAACGCTCAGATGTATGGAATCACTTTACGAAACTTGTGGATGATCCAAACAGATGTAAGTGTCACTATTGTGGTAAAACATATAAGTGTGCACCTAAAAGTGGAACTAGTACACTTCGTAATCATACAACTATTTGTAAGGCATACCAAAGTTTGACTGAAGCTGAAAGACAGAAAAAACTAGCTTTTAGACAAGATGAAGCAGGAAGTAGTTTAGCTGCTGTGAAATATTGCCCACTTGCTTGTCGGGCTGCATTAGGGAAGATGATTGTGTTGGATGAGTTGCCTTTTAGTTTTGTTGAAAAGATTGGGTTTAAGATTTTTTGCACTACAGCAATCCCGAATTTTGATATCCCTTCTCGAAGATCAATCACTAGAGATATTGTCGAGGTGTACTCCAAAGAAAAAGTTATGCTTAGGAGCTTTTTCATGGCGTACAAACAAAGACTTTGCTTGGCTACAGATATATGGACATCGCCAACTACTAGTGTTAGCTATATGGTGGTTACAGCTCATTTCATTGATGTGAATTGGTGTTTGCATAGAAAGATCATCAACTTTAAGCCAATCTCTAATCACAAAGGAGAAACAATTGGAAATCAGTTAGTGAGTTGTTTGGCTGACTGGGGTATTCAGAAGGTGTTTACAGTCACTGTTGATAATACTTCTGCAAATGATTCTGGTATTAAACACTTACAGAATAATGTGAATTTTTATGGAGATGATTCACTAATACTGGGCGGAGAGTTTATGCATATTAGGTGTGCTGCTCATATTCTAAATTTGATTGTGAGAGATGGTTTGGCTCGTTTGAATAAGAGTGTTGTTGCTATTAGGAGTGCAGTGAAGTATGTGAGATCTTCTGACCAACGATTTAATTCGTTTCACATGCGTTTGGGCTTGGAAAAGAGTTTAAGTAAAGGTAGTTTGACCATGGACTGTCACACAAGGTGGAATTCTACGTACTTAATGTTGGATAATGCTTTGAAGTATCGTTACACATTTGATAAGTTGGCATTCGAAGATCGATCTTATGATGCTTATTTCCAAGGAGACGACAATGGAGAAAAAAGACGGGGGCCACCAACAGCTGTAGATTGGGATAATGCTACTCGATTGGTAGATGTCTTGAAGGTTTTCTACGACTCAACTTTGGTATTTTCTGCCTATTCGAAAGTAACAGCTAATTCATGTTATGATGAGATATGTACTATTGAAGCACACTTAACATCAATGGAAATCAGCCAAGATGATGATGTGAGGAATATGGTAGCTCCTATGAAAGAGAAATTTGATAAATACTGGGGTGGTCTTGAGAAGATAAACAAAATTCTGATTGTTGCTAGTGTTTTAGATCCACGCTGCAAAATGGATTTTGTGAGAGATTGCTTTGAGGACAAGTATGGAAAAGAAAGTGCAACTTCAGAAAGATTGATAGCAGAAATCAAGGCTGTGCTGAAAAGATTGTATAAGAGCTATAGTAAATCCCGTAATAAGGATATGGATGGATCATCAAGTTCATCTCAAAGTTTGGAGTCGATGGTTTCAAGTGAGTGTGTTCGTGGATTACGCGAGACAAAATTTTCTTGGTATACTAAGATGCAAGTGCAAAAGAGAAGTGATGATGGTATAGCCAATGAGTTGGATATATATCTGATGGAAAATGTTGAAATACCAAAAGCTTCCCCTGTTGGGCTTCCCTATGATATATTATCGTGGTGGAAAACTAATAGCGTTAAGTTTCCGACGTTAGCGGAAATAGCAAGGGACGTGCTTGCTATTCCTGTCTCTAATGTTTCGTCAGAATCTGTGTTTAGCACCGGGGATCGCATTTTAGATCCTTACCAGAGTTCTCTAACTCCTTTTATGGTGGAAGCGTTGATTTTAACGCAAAATTAGCTTAAAACAGCACTTCATGCAGATGGAAGCATAGATGATTTTCAAAAAGTGGTAAAAGAAATTGAGCATATGGAATCTTTACAAGAAGGTATGTATTCATTATTCCTTCGTGATTTTTAAATATATTATAAGTTTATAATTATATCTAAATTTTATATAATACTAATTGTTCTCAATATTTATATATTATAAATTTTGTATATCAGAGATTTATAAACAACACGAGGAGATTAACAATTGTGGTTGAAGAGCGAAAGGCGGTGATAAGAATCTGATTTTTTATTTTAATTTTTGGTTTTTATAAATTTAGTTTTTATTGTTGAAATTTTTTTGATTTAGATTTTATTTTTTGAACTTATTGTTTTATCTCACTCATATCTATTATTATTATTTTCATCAGTTTGAATTAATTTTTTTTCGTAATAGTATAATTCAAAAAAATCGAAACCAAACCATACCAAACCAAACCGTAGAAAACCAAACCATACCGAACCTAAATCTATATAGCTTTTATATAATTTGAATTTTTACAAAATCGATAAACCGTAAAACCGAAGAAACCGAACCGAAATCAAACCGAAAACCGAAATGCCCACCCCTACTTCTCATATTCCTAAATAGGCCTTAAGATTTATGTGCCAGAGGCCCAGTAAAAAAGCATGTACTCTCTCATTTTGTTTTTTTTCTCCCATTAATGAAAATCGACATCAATTTTAATTCTGCAATTTTCCTCGAAGCACTTTTTCTGATGTTTTTTCTTAACTTCGATCTTCAACCTTGACTCCTCCCTGAGTCGGTGCATCCAGAATTCTTCGAGATCAAAAACCGACTTCGCAATCGCATCTTCTTGACTTATATCCATGGAGCTATGACAATTTCGCAGCAGCAAGAGAACATTTTAATCGAAGATGGATTCACTTCTTCTCGAAGATTTTGGGCAGAAGGTGGATTTGACCCGACGAATTCGGGAGGTTTTATTGAACTACCCGGAAGGCACCACCGTGCTCAAGGAGCTTATACAGAACGCCGACGACGCCGGAGCTACCCGGGTCCGCCTCTGCCTTGATCGTCGGGTTCACGGATCGGATTCTCTGTTGTCGGACTCTTTGTCCCAGTGGCAGGGTCCTTCTCTCTTGGCGTACAACGATGCCGTTTTCACCGAGGAGGATTTCGTTAGTATCTCCAGAATTGGTGGGAGTGGCAAGCACGGTCAAGCTTGGAAGACTGGTCGATTTGGGTAAAGCATATCTACACTAAGCTTTTGTGTTACTTTTAACAATCTCTCCTTCGTTTTCTGATGACTGTTCTGACTTTGATATTTATAGGGTTGGCTTCAATTCGGTATACCACTTGACTGATATACCTTCTTTTGTGAGTGGCAAGTACGTGGTATTGTTTGATCCTCAGGGTGCTTATCTTCCAAATATCTCTGCAGCAAACCCAGGGAAGAGAATTGATTTTGTTGGTTCTTCAGCTCTGTCTCAGTATGAGGATCAGTTTACTCCTTACTGTACCTTTGGATGTGACATGAAAACTCCTTTCAATGGTACTTTATTCCGTTTCCCTCTGAGGAACCCGGAGCAGGCAGCTTCTAGTAGGCTTTCAAGGCAAGCCTACTTTGAAGATGACATTTCTTTGATGTTTGATCAACTCTTCGAGGAAGGCGTTTTCTCGCTGCTCTTTCTTAAATGTGTATTATCTATTGAGATGTACACATGGGATGCTGGAGACCCGCAGCCGAAAAAACTCTATTCGTGTTCCGTCAGCTCACCGAATGATGATACTGTGCGGCATCGGCAGGCGGTTCTTAGACTGTCGAAGGCATCTATTTCTGGAGATAGGGAGATGGATGCATTTACTCTGGAGTTCTTGAGCGAGTCTGTATATGGAGGCCAAAGCAAGCGAAGAACAGACAGGTTTTACATAGTTCAGACAATGGCATCAGCGTCTAGCAGGATTGGTTCGTTTTCTGCCACTGCATCCAAAGAATACGATATTCATTTGCTGCCTTGGGCTTCAGTTGCAGCTTGCATATCAGATGATTCATCAGAGGTACTGTGCGATTTTAGTTGTGCCTATTTGCTATCTGTAGTATTTACTTTTCTCCATGTTGCAACTTCATGTACATTATTCTGGCAGTACTGAGTTGCCACAAGCTTTTGGATTGGATGTTCACTCTGTCTTCATATGGTTTTGACAGAATAATTTCCTAAAGCTTGGGCATGCTTTCTGCTTTCTTCCATTGCCTGTACGGACTGGATTGACGGTACAAGTCAACGGATATTTTGAGGTGTCATCAAACCGTCGCGGAATTTGGTATGGAGAAGATATGGATAGGAGTGGGAAAGTTCGTTCGGCTTGGAATCGGCTTCTCCTGGAAGATGTGGTAGCACCCACTTTTGCACGATTGCTTCTTTGTTTGAGAGAAGTGCTCGATCCCAGGGATTCTTACTTCTCCTTATGGCCAAGTGGATCTTTTGAAGCACCATGGAGCATTTTAGTTGAGCAAATTTACAAAAACGTCTGCGATGCTCCTGTGCTGTTTTCGGAACTTGAAGGAGGGAAATGGGTGTCCCCTGTCGACGCTTACCTTCATGATGATGAATTCTCAAGGAGCAAAGAACTTGGTGATGCCTTGCTGCAGCTTGAAATGCCTATCGTGTGCCTCCCGAGACCAGTTTTTGATATGCTTTTGAAACACCCTTCTTTTTTTCTTCCAAAAGTGGTTACTCCAGATAGAGTGCGCAACTTTCTCAAAGGATGCAAAACACTTTCAGCTTTGGAAAAATCTTTGAAGCTAGTATTACTGGAGTATTGCCTGGATGATTTGACTGATGATAGTGTTTGCACACAAGCCAGCAACCTGAAACTGCTTCCGTTAGCAAATGGTGACTTTGGCGTCTTTTCTGCAAGTGCAGAAGGTGTCTCCTATTTTATTTGTGACGACTTGGAGCATATGATTTTACAGAAAGTTTATGACAGAGTAATTGATAGGAACATTCCTCCAGGTTTATATGGCAGGCTTTTTGCAATTGCAGAGTCACAAACAGCAAATCTTAGAATTTTCAGTATCCAAAATCTGCTTCAGTTATTTCCTAGGCTTGTACCTGCTGAATGGAAATACAGAACCAAGATTTCATGGCATCCAGACTCAAACCCAGATCATCCTTCGTCATCATGGTTTGTTCTCTTCTGGCAGTATCTTGAGAAACAGTGTGAGAGCCTTTCATTATTCTGTGATTGGCCAATCTTGCCATCCACATCTGGCTATTTGTATATAGCCTCTCCGCAATCAAAATTGATCAACGCGGGAAAGCTTCCCGATGCAGTCAGAAATATATTAGAGAAGATTGGTGGCAAAATATTAAACAGCAATTTTAAAGTTGAACATTCAGACTTGTCCTCCTTCGTTTCGGATGCTAGTTACACAGGCGTCTTGGAATCCGTTTTCGATGCTGCCTCTTCAAATATGGATGTGGTACAGAATTTAATTAATAATTTGAATGTTGAAGAGAAGGATGAACTTCGTAGTTTTCTTTTGGATCCAAAATGGCACATTGGACATCAGATTGGCGATCTATACCTCAGAATCTGCAAGCATTTGCCCATTTATCGTGTGTATGGAGAGACATGTGCTCAAGAACCCGATTATTCTGATCTTGTTAGTCCTCCTAAGTACTTACCTCCATTAGATGTGCCTGCCTGTCTTCTAGGATGTGACTTTATTCTAAGCTGCCAAGGCAGGGAAGATGATGTTTTGTCGAGGTACTATGGCATTGAGAGAATGAGGAAAAGTAATTTCTACAGACAGAATGTTTTCAACAGAATTGAAGTTTTGCAACCTGAGATTCGTGATCAGGTGATGGTTTCTATTTTGCAGAATCTTCCACAACTGTGTATGGAAGATAGATTATTAAGGGACGAATTGCAGAACCTAGAGTTTGTTCCAACTGTAAATGGTCCTCTTAAACGTCCATCTGTTTTATATGATCCTCGTAATGAAGAGTTATATGCTTTGTTGGAAGATTCAGACTGTTTCCCTGGTAGTGGCTTCCAGGGATCTGCGATCTTGGACATGCTTCAAGGTTTGGGCCTTAGAACAACTGTTTCTCCTGAGACAATTTTAGAGAGTGCACGATTGGTGGAGCGACTGATGCACATGGATCTGGAAAAGGCTCATTCACGAGGTAAAGTGCTTTTTTCGTTTTTGGAAGTCAATGCTGTGAAGTGGCTGCCTGATCAGTCGAGTGAGGATGATGGAGCTATAAACAGGATATTTTCAAGAGCTGCGACGGCTTTCAGACCACGCAATCTGACATGTAACCTTGTTAAGTTCTGGAGTGAACTTAAAATGATTTGCTGGTGCCCCGTTTTAGTGTCTGCTCCATTTGAAACTTTACCGTGGCCAGTTGTGACATCTACTGTTGCTCCTCCGAAGCTTGTACGTCCGAAAACAGATATGTGGCTTGTGTCTGCATCCATGCGGATACTGGATGGTGAATGTTCTTCTACAGCTCTTGCGTATAACTTGGGGTGGTTATCACATCCAGGAGGAAGTGCAATTGCGGGTCAGTTGCTTGAACTTGGAAAGAACAATGAAATTCTGATTGATCAGGTTCTTCGGCAGGAACTAGCTTTGGCTATGCCAAAGATATACTCAATTCTTGCAAGCTTACTTGGTTCAGATGAGATGGACATAGTTAAGGCTGTACTTGAAGGTAGTCGCTGGATCTGGGTTGGGGATGGATTTGCAACTTTGAGTGAGGTTGTTCTCGATGGCCCTCTTCATCTTGTTCCCTACGTTCGTGTCATACCTACCGACTTAGCTGTCTTTAGGAGACTGTTCGTGGAACTTGGTGTTCGAGAATTTTTAACTCCAGCTGATTATGCTGATGTTTTGTGTAGAATAGCTGTAAAGAAAGGTACCTCACCTCTTGATCCACAAGAAATCAGGGCAGCTGTGCTAATTGCGCAGCAGTTGGCTGAAGCGCAATTTCTTGACAAAGTCGCAATCTATTTACCTGATGTTTCTGGTCGACTCTTCCCATCAAGTGACTTGGTTTATAATGACGCTCCATGGCTGACTGCATCAGACAATCATAACAGCTCATTTGGTGCCGAGCCTACAATGCTATTGAATGCGAAAAGAACAATGCAAAAATTCGTCCACGGTAACATATCAAATGAGGTAGCAGAGAAACTTGGTGTTCGCTCACTTCGTAGAGTCTTGCTGGCGGAAAGTGCTGACTCGATGAATTTTAGTTTATCTGGGGCTGCTGAGGCATTTGGACAGCATGAGGCATTGACCACCAGACTTAAACACATACTAGAAATGTATGCTGATGGGCCTGGGATTCTTTTTGAGCTGGTTCAAAACGCGGAAGATGCAGGAGCTTCTGAGGTGACATTCCTTTTAGATAGGACTCATTATGGAACTTCCTCACTCCTTTCTCCTGAAATGGCAGACTGGCAAGGCCCGGCTCTGTATTGTTTCAACAACTCGGTTTTCACTCAACAAGATATGTATGCCATCTCACGCATTGGCCAAGCAAGCAAACTTGAAAAACCTCTTGCGATTGGAAGATTTGGGCTGGGATTTAACTGTGTTTATCATTTCACAGATATCCCGGCATTTGTTTCTGGAGAAAACATTGTTATGTTTGATCCTCATGCCAATCATTTGCCTGGGATCTCTCCTACTCATCCAGGCTTGCGGATTAAATTTGCTGGAAGAAATATATTGGATCAGTTTCCTGATCAGTTTGCACCATTCTTGCATTTTGGTTGTGACTTAGAGCATACATTTCCTGGAACACTTCTTCGGTTTCCTCTTAGAAACGCCAGTGTTGCTCCCAGAAGCCAAATAAAGAAAGAAGCATATGCTCCTGAAGACGTGTTATCCCTCTTCACTTCCTTTTCTGGAGTAGTTTCGGAGGCTTTAATTTTCCTGCGGAATGTAAAATCAGTATCCATTTTTATCAAGGAAGGAGCTGGTCATGAAATGCAGTTACTGCATCGTGTTTGCAAAGATTACGATGTTGAGAAAGATACTGAACCAAAGCCATCTACTCAAGTGTTTAGTCTTCTTGATGAAAATCTTTCTGCTGGAATGAGTAAAGATCAGTTACTAAAAAAACTAAGCAGCTCTGTAGTTAAAGATCTCCCGTATAAATGCCAGAAGATTGTGGTGACCGAGCAAGATTCTTCGGGCTATACTTCTCATGGCTGGATAACAGGTGAATGTCTGAATGCTGGGCTAAGTAAGAAGCACCTGAACCTTCCAGAAATGTCCCATAAGTTAATACCATGGGCTAGTGTTGCAGTGCTTATAAATTCTGTCAAGAGTGATAATGTGGAGAATGTGGCTGCGAGCAACTCTGATATATTTGGGCCGTCCGCAATTTCAAATCAGAATAGAAGAAATTTTGGGGGGCGTGCTTTCTGCTTTCTGCCTCTACCTATAACTACTGGCCTCCCTGCGCATATCAATGCATATTTTGAGTTGTTATCCAACAGGAGGGATCTTTGGTTTGGTAATGACATGGCAGGGGGTGGAAAAGTACGGTCGGATTGGAATCTTTACTTGATCGAGGAAGTTGTTGTGCCAGCCTATGGTCATTTGCTTGAAAAGATTGCATCTGAACTTGGTCCATGTGATTTGTTCTTCTCTGTCTGGCCAGTAACTCTAGGAGCAGAACCTTGGGCATCCTTAGTTCGGAAGCTCTACAGTTTTATTGCGAATAACGGTCTTCGTGTGTTATATACCAAAGCAAGAGGGGGCCAATGGATCTCAACTAAGCAAGCAATTTACCCTGATTTCAGCTTTCCTAATGCAGAGGAGCTAGTTGATGTCCTTGCAGACGCTGGTCTCCCTGTCATTAAAATCTCAAAGTCAGTTGCGGAAAGATTCGGAGAGGCTTGTTCATCTTTGCATTTTTTGACGCCGCAATTGTTAAGGACCCTGTTGACACGGCGAAAACGTGAGTTTAAGGATAGAAATGGCTTGGTCATGGCACTAGAATACTGTCTTCTTGATTTAAAAGTTCCATTTCTGTCTGATATTCTTTATGGTCTACCCCTGCTACCTCTCGCTGATGGTTCGTTTACAACCTTTAACAAGAATGGGACTGCTGAGAGAATCTTTTTCGCAGAAGAGAACGGGTATGAACTTCTGAAGGATTCACTTCCTCACCAGCTCGTGGACCGAGATGTGCCGGAAGTAGTTTATAGTAAGCTGCTGGCTGTAGCACAAAGCGAAGACTCATGCATATGTCTTCTCTCCTGCAGTTTGCTTGAGAAGCTCTTTTTTAAGCTACTGCCAGCGGACTGGCATCTATCTGAAAAGATACTTTGGACACCTGGCCAACAAGGACATCCGACAGTAGAGTGGATAAGGGTACTGTGGAGCTATCTTAAGTTATCTTGTGATGACCTCTCAATATTTTCTAAGTGGCCCATATTGCCAGTTGAAGATCGCTGTCTCATGCAACTGACTATAAATTCAAATGTTATTCGAGATGATGGCTGGAGCGAGAACATGTCTTCATTATTGCTGAAATGTGGATGCCGGTTCTTAAATCGCGAGCTTCCCGTAGAGCACCCTCAGTTGGAAACATTTGTTCAACCACCAACAGCAATAGGCATATTGAATGCACTTCTTGCAGTTTCTGGTGGGCAAGAAAACATAAAAGGGATTTTCCTTAATGTTTCAGAAGGAGAATTACATGAGCTACGGAATTTTATTCTTCAGGCAAAGTGGTTTTCTGGTGGACAAATGAATGAGGTCCACTTTGAGACCATCAAACACCTCCCCATATTTGAGTCATACAGAAATAGAAAACTTGTGAGTTTGAACTGTCCAGTTAAGTGGCTAAAACCTGATGGCATCAGGGAGGATCTGTTGGATGATGATTTTGTACGCTTAGACTCAGAGAGGGAGAAAGCTATCTTCAAAAAGTACTTACAAATAGAAGAGCCCTCGAGAATGGAATTTTACAAAGCTTGTGTACTTAATCGTATGTCTGAGTTCCTTTCCCAGCAAGAAGCTATGTTGGCCATTTTGCATGATCTAAATGATCTGGTCGCCGATGATGAATCCCTTCAGTGTGCATTATCTACAACTCCTTTTGTTCTCGCAGCTAATGGATTATGGCAACAACCTTCCAGGTTTATCTATCTTATTACCTTTTTCCTATCCTTATACCTTGAAAATGTTAATCGCAGACTACGGTACTTGAAATTAGCTATCTATTGGCATTTACGCTTTGTATATGGATATTTCTATGGTGTTCTTCATTAACCTGTCCTCTTTTCAGGCTTTATGATCCTCGTGTTCCTGGGCTACAGGAGCTTCTTCACAAAGAAGTCTACTTTCCTTCTGAGAAATTCTTAGATTCTGAGATCCTGGATGCATTGGTTGGTCTTGGACTTAGAACAACTCTTGATTGTGCTGCCTATTTGGATGCCGCTAGAAGTGTGTCAATCCTACATGATTCGGGAGATCTAGAAGCATCGAGATATGGAAGAAGACTGTTCTTCTATATCAAATCCCTTTCTGTCAAACTAGCATCTAAGACAGGTGAAGCTAATGATGATGAATCACAAAATCTAATGTCCATGACAAGTGAAGACTCGCCTGATGGAGAAACCTATCCTGAATATGAAGCTGTGACTAGCTATCTCGGGAGCTTGCTCACTGAACAATCGGAGGATGATTTTTGGTGTCAACTGAGGTCTATCCCATGGTGTCCTATTTGCCTTGATCCACCGATAGAAGGAATTCCATGGCTTGAATCTAGTAACTTGGTGGCATCTCCAGATAGAGTGAGACCCAAGTCTCAGATGTTTTTGGTGTCTGCCACGATGCACTTGCTGGATGGCGAATGCAATTCATCATATCTACTTCATAAACTTGGGTGGATGGACTGTTTAAGTATTGATGTCCTGTGCAGACAACTAATTGAGATATCAAAGTCTTATAAAGAACAGAAGTCTCGTTCATCAGTAAATCCTGATTTTGAGAGCATGCTACAAAGTCAAATTCCTCTACTCTATACAAGACTGCAAGAACATGCTAGGGAAAATGACTTTCTTGCTCTTACATCAGCACTAAATGGTGTTCCTTGGGTGTGGCTTGGGGATGATTTTGTCTCTGCAGATGTTCTTGCTTTTGATTCTCCGGTGAAGTTTACCCCTTATCTATATGTTGTCCCTTCAGAATTATCAGACTTTAAAGAACTGCTTCTAGAATTGGGCGTGAGGCTTAGTTTTGATGCGGCAGATTATATGAACACTCTGCAACACCTGCAGAATGATATAAAAGGATCACCGTTAACAGACGAACAGATATATTTTGTCCTTTGTGTTCTTGAAGCCATTGCAGACTGTTTCTCTGAAGCGTCACAAGATTGTGATAGAAATCTAGTGCTAGTTCCTGATTCTGCTGGATTTTTGGTCCCGTTGGAGGATCTTGTTTATAATGATGCACCATGGGTAGACAGCAGTTCTCTTTCTGGGAAAAGGTTTGTGCATCCTAGCATCAACAATGACATGGCCAATAAATTGGGGATACAATCTCTTCGTTGTATCTCCTTAGTGGATAATGATATTACCCAAGATCTTCCTTGTATGGAGTTCACAAAATTGAAGGAGCTTCTATCACTCTATGGAAGCAAAGATTTCTTGTTGTTCGATCTTCTTGAGTTAGGTGATTGCTGCAAGGTTAAAAAGCTGCACATTTTCTTTGACAAGAGAGAGCACTCTCGCAAGTCCTTGCTGCAGCATAATTTAGGTAATTTATGCTTTGAGCTTATTGCTAGTCTTTCAGTTGACTCCATTATGTTCTGTAAATCTTGTATGATTTGTCGTTTTCTTCTACGCTTTCTTCGATTTTGGAGATTGGCGGATTTATGTGGTGGTTAACATTTTCAATAATAGAAAATATCTTTTGAGCTTCTACTGGATACAAGCTTCTATGTTGCTTGGTTTTAAATATGTTCTGAGTTTTTGTAGGTTTTTTTCCCTTGATTCCCTTATTCATGCGCTCTCCTTTTTCAGGTGAATTTCAAGGACCTGCTCTGGTTGTTATTTTAGAAGGGGCTACATTGACCAGAGAGGAGGTCTGTAGTCTTCAGCTTCTTTCACAGTGGAGGGTTAAGGGTGAAACTCTTAACTATGGGTTGGGCCTTCTTAGCTGTTACGTCATGTGTGATCTTCTGTCTATTGTTTCTGGTGGCTACTTTTACATGTTTGATCCCCAAGGAGCGACCCTTTCTGCATCCACGACTCAGGCTCCTGCTGCAAAGATGTTCTCCTTAGTAGGTATCAACTTCTGGTCTTGCTTTGTTCCATGTCGACTTTACTTATGCTTCGTTAATCCATGTTTTTATGTTTCAGCTCCTGTCTTGATAAATCAGTTACAAGATATTATTCTGTTGTCTTTCTTTAAGTTTACCTTTTATTAATTTCTACTGTTCTTTTAGGTACCAATTTGGTTGAGCGATTCAGTGATCAATTCATTCCCATGCTGATTGGTCAAGATAAGGCATGGTCATCGACAGATTCCACCATTATTCGGATGCCTTTATCATCTGAAATCTTGAAAGATGGACTTGAGGCGGGGTTACCTAGAGTGAAGCAAATGTCTGACCAGTTTTTGGAGAATGCCTCCAGAATCCTCATTTTCTTGAAATCAGTTTCTCAGGTATTATAATATTTATATCTACAGCGCCTTGGACATCACTGAGTCCTTTTCTTGTGGCACTAGAATGCTATTAAATTCAAAACTTTAGTACACAATATGACCTAGAAACTGGTAGAGTTTGGACTCGAACACAGGCTACCATGCTGTTGTTATGTAACAGGTAGTTATGAAGTAGATAATTTCTTAACTAGTTAGATTTTTTGTTTAGATATCGTATAGAAAACATGATTCGTCTGGGACCTTTTAGAATTTGCGGAAGCACAATATAAATGTGCTTGGCATTCTTCCATCTGTTGGATATAAGTCAGTTGAAGTGCAAATATAAGGAATGCGTGCGTGATTGTACATGTGTAGTGTTAGAACTCAAATCACTTTTATGTTGATTAATTTTTCATGTTTTCATTTTGCGTTTTGCTTAATCATTTGGTGTATATTCTAGGCAGCAAGTGGGTTTGTATCAAACCTTAAAAACGTGGAAACTATATGTTAATTTCAGGTTTCATATTCCACGTGGGAGCAAGGAAACGCAGAACCACATCAAGATTACGCGCTGCATATTGATTCAGCATCAGCTATCATGAGGAATCCATTCTCGGAGAAAAAATGGAGAAAGTTTCAAATTTCGAGGTTGTTTAGTAGCTCAAGCGCTGCTGTTAAATCACAAATAATAGAGGTTAACCTACGTATAGGGGTGAACAAACTTCTGGATCGATGGCTTGTTGTTCTCAGCATGGGCTCTGGGCAATCACGAAACATGGCTCTTGACAGGTACGAATTCACTAATTATTACTCAACATAAAATCTTCAGGAAGTAACCTGCTTTGACGTTCATATCACCTAAAGAAAGAATTCCGTTTACTGTTCAAAAAAGAAAAAAAAATTTCCGTTTACTCATTTGTTTTTTTCAAATTTTGTTGACGTGATGAGTGTACTGGAGGTTATCATGTCTCTATATGTCGTTGAGATATTTTTTATCTGCAGGAGGTATCTAGCGTACAATTTGACACCTGTTGCTGGAGTTGCTGCACATGTATCTCGAAATGGTCGTCCTGTTGATGTTCATCCATCCAGCCCCATAATGTCTCCTTTGCCTTTGTCTGGTAGTGTGAATCTACCTGTCACCATCCTTGGGTGCTTCCTCATTCGGAATAACTGTGGTCGTTTTCTCTTCAAAAGTCAAAATAAGAGAGCTATGTCAGAGCCACAGCTCGATGCTGGAGATAGATTGATTGATGCATGGAACAAAGAGTTAATGTCATGTGTTCGAGATTCTTACATAGAAATAGTGGTGGAGATGGAAAGACTAAGGCGAGAGCATTCAAGCTCTTCAATTGAATCAAGTACAGCACGTCAGCTGGCCCTTTCACTTAAAGCCTATGGTAATCAGTTGTATTCCTTCTGGCCACGATCTAATCAACATGCTTTGCTTACCCAACATGACGGTGCTCTAGCAACAGAAGTGCTCAAGCCGGAGTGGGAATGCTTGGTTGAACAAGTTATAAGGCCGTTTTATGCTCGTGTTGCTGACCTTCCTCTGTGGCAGCTTTACTCAGGAAATTTGGTCAAGGCTGAAGAGGGTATGTTTCTAACACAACCTGGTAGTGAGGTTGCTGTTAATTTGCTTCCTGTTACAGTTTGCAGCTTTGTGAAGGAGCATTACCCTGTATTTTCCGTGCCTTGGGAATTGTTGGCTGAAGTCCAGGCAGTAGGGATTCCGGTTCGAGAAGTTAAACCAAAGATGGTTCGCGATCTTCTAAGGAAGTCATCTGCATCTATCGATCTCCGATCTGTTGATACTTATATTGATGTACTTGAATACTGTCTCTCAGATATTCAATTCATTGAAGCACTTAACCCCGAAATGGATAACATGGATGAAGGAAACAGTAATTCTGCCTCAATGTCGATGTCGACTCAAGCTCAGGCTGGCTCAAGTGATGCTTTTGAAATGATGACAAGCCTAGGGAAGGCTTTGTTTGATTTTGGTAGAGTTGTTGTTGAAGATATTGGTCGTGCTGGAAATAGTATAAATAGATACAGTAATCTTGACCCGAGATTTCTATCTGCAGTTAATGAATTAAAAGGGTTACCATGCCCGACTGCAACAAATCATTTAACACGGCTGGGTGTTTCTGAGCTATGGTTGGGCAACAAGGAGCAGCAGGCATTGATGTTGCCGGTGTCTGCACGATTTATCCATCCAAAAGTATTCGACAGATCGAGTTTGGCTGATATATTTCTGAAGTCTTCAGTTCAAGCATTTTTAAAACTAAGGAGCTGGTCTCTTCCTTTACTTGCAAGCAATATGAAATATCTTTTTCATGACCACTGGGTTAATTACATCTCGGAATCAAATGGTGTGCCATGGTTTTCATGGGAAAGTACATCCAGTTCTAGTGATGATAGTGGTCCCTCGCCTGAATGGATAAGGCTCTTTTGGAAGAATTTTAATGGATCAGCAGATGAGCTCTCTCTCTTTTCAGACTGGCCTTTGATTCCCGCCTTCCTTGGCAGACCGATTTTATGCCGTGTAAGGGAGCGACACTTGATCTTCTTTCCACCACGGCCTTCGGAGCCAATCTCTAGAAGTGCTACTGATATGAATCAGAGAGACAGTGATATGCCCACAACATCAGTAACTGATGGTTCTTTATCTGAGTTAATACAGCACTATGTTTCAGGCTTCGACCTAGCACAGAGAGAGCATCCTTGGCTGATTTTACTGCTGAACCAGTGCAATATACCTGTTTGTGATGCTGCATATATTGATTGTGCTGAGAGATGCAAGTGTCTTCCTTCATCAAGCGTGTCACTTGGCCAAGCGATAGCCTCCAAGCTTGCTGAAAGCAAACGAGCTGGCTACATTGCCGATATGGCTTCTTTCCCGACGTCTGGCCGTGATGAGCTTTTTACCCTTTTGGCTAATGATTTCTCTTCCAGTGGCTCCAGATATCAAGCATATGAACTTGAAGTACTAAGTTCACTTCCTATATTTAAAACTGTCACTGGTTCTTACACGCATTTGCAAAGGCAGGGTTTGTGTATAATCGCTGGAAATTCCTTCCTCAAACCATATGATGAATGTTGCTTTTGCTATTTTTCAGATTCAGTTGAATGTCACTTTCTCCAAGCCCTTGGGGTCTCTGTGTTGCATGATCATCAGACTTTAGTAAAGTTTGGGTTAGCTGGGTTTGAAAGCAGATCTCAATCTGAACAAGAAGATATACTACTTTATCTATTTGGAAACTGGCGAGATCTAGAGGCCGATTCTTCTGTGATTGAAGCTCTTAGGGAGGCTAAATTTGTCAGAAATTCTGATGAATTCTCCTCTGAGCTGTCAAAACCGAAGGATTTGTTTGATCCTTCTGATACATTACTAGTGTCAGTCTTTTTTGGCGAACGAAAACGATTTCCTGGAGAAAGATTCTCATCAGAAGGCTGGCTTCGCATTCTACGGAAAGCTGGCCTTCGAACTGCAGCCGAAGCTGATGTCATACTTGAATGTGCCAAAAGGGTGGAGTTTCTGGGTATCGAGCGTAATAGATCCTCTGAAGAAGATGATTTTGAAACGGATATTGTGCAATCTGAGAAGGATATTTCAGTTGAGTTATCAACATTAGCAGGATCTGTACTTGAAGCTGTATTTTCAAACTTTGCTGGTTTTTATAGCACCGCATTCTGCAACACACTTGGTCAGATTGCTTGTGTGCCTGCTGAATCAGGGTTCCCAAGTATTGGTGGCAGAAAAGGCGGCAAAAGAGTCTTTACAAGTTTCAGTGAAGCTGTTCTTTTACGGGACTGGCCCCTGGCTTGGAGCTCTGTTCCTATTCTTACAACTCAGAGATTCGTTCCACCCGATTATTCATGGACAGCATTCCGCCTAAGAAGTCCTCCAATTTTCTCGACTGTTCTTAAACACTTACAGGTAAGAACACTCTGCCTCTTTCTTTGATTTATTTGTGTACTCTTGTCACGGACATGGGAAGAAAGAGGACTGATTAAATGTGTCTAGGTAATCGGACGCAATGGTGGTGAGGACACTCTAGCTCACTGGCCCAATGATCCAAATGTGATGACCATTGATGTTGCTTCTTGTGAAGTTTTGAAGTACCTGGAAAAGGTTTGGGGCTCCCTCTCTTCTTCAGGTACGTATACTAGTTGTTTCAACACTCAGTTTATTTTATTGGATAGAAACATCTAATTGACATTTGAACTATTACGGCTGTGAATTCTCAATCTGACAGAGTAAATTCGGTTTACTAACAAAATAAAGAGATAATATATTCTGGAAAGAACGCTTTAATTAATTGGTGGTGTGAAGTGTGAACGAATGCAGTAGTAACAGTGTAAAAAAAAATGCTGTCCATTGTTTGTGGCCAGCCTTTGCTAGATGCAATGATGGATTATGATCTGGAAATTTATTGTGATAGTATGACTCCAGTAAGAGTTTTCTGTTAGTATGTTGAAATCTCGTTATATTTTTGTAATTTCTGTCATTCAGATATTTTGGAGTTGCAAAAGGTTGCCTTTTTACCAGCTGCAAATGGAACACGCTTGGTGGGCGGAAGCTCCCTCTTTGTTCGCCTACCAATCAACCTATCACCTTTTGCATTTGCACTTCCTAGTCTCTATCTACCTTTTCTGAAGATCCTTAAAGATTTGGGACTTAACGATGTGCTTTCAGTTGGTGCTGCAAAGGAAATGCTCTCTAAATTACAAAAAGCATGTGGTTATCGGCGTTTGAACCCGAATGAGCTTCGAGCTGTGATGGAGATTCTTCATTTTCTCTGCGATGAAATCAATACGACAAAGGCACCCGATGATTCCACCGCTAAATCAGATGTGATAGTCCCAGATGATGGCTGCAGGCTTGTCCATGCACGATCTTGTGTTTATGTCGATTCCTTTGGGTCACGCTATGTGAAATATGTAGATACTGCAAGGTTAAGACTTGTTCATCCACTTCTTTCGGAGAGGATCTGTCTAGAATTGGGTGTCAGAAAATTTTCTGATGTGGTTATTGAGGTATGCATGGCATCAGTTGCTTTTTCTCACGCCTTTCTTTATATTATATTTGCTAAACGATCTTAAAATAACTGCTTCTTTACGTAGGAACTTGAAAGCGCTGAACATATTCAAACCTTAGACAACATAGGGTCCATATCACTCGGGACTATTAGAAGGAAGTTGCAGAGTGAATCGTTTCAAGCTGCTCTGTGGACTGTCAGCCGTCAGACCACCACCGTGGATGACTTGTCTTTTGAAGATGTGCAACATTCTCTTCGATCTGCTGCAGAAAAAATTGAATTCGTCAGAAGTATATATACTCGATTTCTTCTCCTGCCAAACTCCGTAGACGTTACCCTCGTGTCTAAGGAGTCCATGATTCCCGAGTGGGAGAATGAATCGCGTCATCGAACTATGTATTATATCAACCGTCACAGAACATCTATCCTAGTTTCTGAATCGCCTGGCTACATTTCATTCCTGGATGTCATGGCAACAGTGGTGAGCGAGGTTTTAGGCTTTCCAACTTCCCTGCCTATAGGATCTTTATTTTCATGTCCTGAGGGATCTGAAACTGAAATTTCCGCTTGCCTGAGACTATGCTCCTATGCTCTTACAAACACCGGCGCAGCTGATAGTTCCATTGGCCAAGAGATAATGCCGCAGGATGCCATACAAGTACAGCTTCACCCTTTGAGACCATTCTACAAAGGGGAGATTGTTGCTTGGAAAATCCAACAAGGAGACAAGCTGAGATATGGAAGAGTCCCAGAGGATGTTCGACCTTCTGCAGGCCAAGCCCTTTACAGATTCAAGGTTGAAATGACACCTGGAGAGACTGGTTTATTACTTTCATCTCAAGTTTTCTCCTTCCGAGGCACGTCAATTGAAAATGAAGGTCCCACGACTTTGCCCGAGGCGCTCCCCACAATACCTGATAACAGATCTCAAGAAACTTCAGAAAGATCCAGAACTAACAAAGCAAGTTCTAGCCAGGTTTGTTACATACTCATGAATTGTTGGATTCAATCATTTCTACTTTGCTTCTTGCCCCCATAATCTATGTGATACTGAGAGACAAATGCATACTGTTCTTCTCCAAAATATTTAGTTCTTTGTGATAGTTTTGATTTATCTTGCATCCTGTTCTAAGGAAGATTGACATGGATTTGTTCTGTGTCATCTGCAGCCTGTGAATGAAATGCAATATGGTCGAGTCACAGCTAAAGAATTAGTTGAGGCAGTCCACGAGATGCTCTCTGCAGCTGGAATCAATATGGAACTGGAGAATCAATCTCTACTACAAAGAACCATAACCCTTCAAGAAGAACTCAAGGACTCTCAAGCTGCATTCATACTTGAGCAGGTTCGGTTACAATCGAAATCCTCCATACGTAAAACACACATGTTATTGATCACAGGGATTGATATAGCAAATACATGTCAATTGTCTTTGATGTTCTTGCAGGAGAGAGCAGAGGCTTCCTTAAAGGAAGCAGAGACGGCGAAATCACAATGGGTTTGTAAGATATGTCTGATCAAAGAAGTGGACATCACCATTGTACCATGCGGACACGTCTTGTGTCGAGAATGTTCAGCTTCAGTCTCTAGATGTCCGTTTTGTCGCCTTCAAGTCTCTAGAACCATCCGAATCTTCCGACCGTAATTAACACCAAATGTCAATTTATCTATCAAAGGTTTTGTCCTCTATACAACAGTTTCTGCTAATTCATTGGCAGCTTGTATATACGTATAGTTATTTTTTCACTTTGTTTCTTCAAAGTAGAGAAAACCTGATCAACCAGCTTAATTAATACTAACGATTTAAAAAGAATTGTGCAGTCGTCCATAACCAAAAACGGAGACATATTACAAAAAAATCTTAAAAATTGGAGTTTGTAAGAAGTGCTTTAATCAATCATAGGGCGACATGTGTAGAAATGGTGGACTACGTAGACGTTAGATAACCACCACTCAGATAAGGAAGAGAGAGAAAGCTTACACACCAAAAGGATATGTGTAGAGGCGGGAGAGAAGAGAAGAAGAGAAGAAGAACAGGCTTCAATGGCGTCTCTGCAACTCTGCGACGGTTATCTCCTCTTCAAGCCCTCTGTATCTACTCGATTCCTCCCTCATCAACGCATCTCTCACCGCTTCATCCCTAAGGCCTGCGCTTCTCCTCCATCTTCAGATTCATCTTCGCCCTCCTCCTTGTCTGTAAATCGGAGGCAGCTTCTCTACCAATCTGCGGCAGTTTCACTCTCGCTTTCTTCAATCGTCGGGCCGGTAAAAGAAGCGAAAGCCGAGGAGCAGTTATCCGAATGGGAAAGAGTCTTCCTCCCCATCGATCCCGGCGTCGTTCTTCTCGACATTGCTTTCGTCCCTGACGATCCCAGCCGCGGTAACTCCTTCTTCTCTTCTTTTCATTTTCCGTTTTCCTCCGTCGAGCTTAAGCTTAAGTAGTGTCACTTTACTAATCATGCTCAAACAAAACAATTTAGGGTTTTTACTGGGAACGAGGCAGACTCTCTTAGAGACCAAAGACGGTGGAAACACTTGGGCTCCACGCTCAATCCCTTCAGCTGAAGAGGAGGATTTCAACTACAGGTTCAATTCAATCAGCTTCAAAGGCAAAGAAGGATGGATCATCGGCAAGCCTGCAATCTTATTGTACACTGCTGATGCCGGAGAGAATTGGGATAGAATTCCCCTGAGTTCTCAGCTTCCCGGTGATATGGTACTTCAGAGCTTTTGTATATCTATTTTGCTGTTTTTATATATGAGAAATGCCAAACTTTTGTTACAATGTTATGTAGGTGTTTATAGAGGCGACCGGAGATAAGAGCGCAGAGATGGTTACCGATGAAGGTGCTATATATGTCACCTCAAACAAGGGATATAACTGGAAAGCTGCTATTCAGGAAACTGTGTCAGCTACCTTGAACAGGTTCATTACTCTACCTTTGGTTTATATATATTGATGGCAAAATCTTCTGGTGCAAGTTTTTTGGAATGATTCAGTAAGCCTTGTGTTTCGGTGGAATTGTGCTTCTCAACACTAATTCTGTATATAAATCCCAATGGTGTTGCAGAACAGTCTCCAGTGGAATCAGTGGTGCTAGTTACTACACGGGAACCTTCAGTGCCGTTAATCGTTCACCAGATGGAAGATACGTCGCTGTTTCGAGCCGTGGTAACTTCTTTCTCACATGGGAGCCTGGGCAGGTGAGCCTCACTTAACGCAATGTCAGCATTTTTACTCATATATGTTGGTGTGGTGTGTGTGGTTTGGTTGGTCTTGAAACCGTCATTGACCGTAGTACCGGTACATTGCAGCCTTACTGGCAACCACACAACAGAGCTGTAGCCCGAAGAATTCAGAACATGGGATGGAGAGCTGATGGTGGTCTTTGGCTTCTTGTTCGTGGTGGAGGACTTTATCTTAGCAAAGGCACTGGGGTATGTACTGTAACCAGACTGTCTCCTCACCTTTTGCACTCCTTTGGTTCGTATAGAGATTTACTTGAACATTTTTTTGTTCTACATCTGACTTTGTTCTGCACTGTGTTAATTGCTGTAGATCTCAGAGGAGTTTGAAGAAGTTCCGGTACAGAGCCGTGGCTTTGGCATTCTAGATGTTGGTTATCGCTCAGAGGTACATGAGTTTTACGTAATGAATCATTCAAATCTTTGAATACCGCTCAGATATTTACACCAATTTGTGTATTGCAGGAAGAAGCATGGGCAGCAGGAGGCAGTGGCATTCTACTGAGAACAAGAAATGGAGGCAAGTCATGGAACCGTGACAAAGCTGCTGATAATATCGCAGCTAATCTCTACGCGGTCAAGTAAGTCTCTGTAATCAAACATCATAATAAACCTCACTGTTTCTTCTGACCCATCTCAATCTCAAATCTCAAACCGTTGCTCAAACTAATCAGCTTCCTTCCAATTTTCTATCTCTTTTTGTAGATTTGTTGATGACAAGAAAGGGTTTGTGCTTGGCAACGATGGAGTATTGCTCCGATATGTTGGATGAAGAAAGTGGGGCAATGAAAAAGGTGAAGTTTAATATCGTTTGGTTTCACAGTCTTCTCTGTAAAGCGTTTGATACCGCGTTACACTATTGTATACACTACCCTCCATTAAATATATAAAGTTCTATAATCTATTACCGATTTTTGTCTATTGTATGAAAGCTTTGTTTTGACTGTTAGTTGGATTTAGCAAACAAACTTTATTTTTTGTTTCAACTCCCAAATAAAGTTAATTATATCCATTGAATCTCTTATGATATTTAATTATTGTGTAGGCAAACGAAGAACTCTTTTCCCCTCGCCGACACTATGCCTATAGTTTGTTTCTTGCTTAAAAAACGGTCTATCCAGTGGAGATATATTTTTATTAACAACTTTCTAGTCAACACTTGATTCCAAAATCTTCGTATCATATATAGAGAGACCATCGTATAAGTCATAAGAGAAACATAAACTAAATGTTATCAACATAACGCGGTTTTATTTTTCATATTTGTTTTTTTTTTAATTGAATTTATAGATAAATAATGAAATTGTTCTTCGTTTTTTTTTGTAAAAGGAAAATTTGAGTTTTGCGTCGTTCCGGTGGCGACGAGAGAGGGGAGAGATCTCTCGTTCGTTTTTCCCTGAAAATCCGGCAAGAAAAAGTCACAACGAACCTACGAGAAAATTCGTCTCTTTCACTCCACGAGTTTTCACCTCTCTTTCTCAACCTCTCACAGCGTCTCTTCCTCGTTTCCTCGTCTTCGCTTTTTCCCCCTTTTTCCTTCTTCGACTTTGCCGGAATCCGAAAACTGTGATCAGATCTAGCTTCGGATTGTACAGAGCAATGCTTACGGATCGAGGGAGGCGGATTTCTGTTTGCAATGGAGCTCTTGATTACAGCAGCAGAAAATTCCGTGTTGACAATGGTTACGGATTCGTAGATCGATCGGGAGGCTGCCGCGATTGGAGCCATTCCAGGTCCTCTGCTTCCAAAATCCTGCGTATCTCGTCACCGACCTCGTCTCCACCGTCTTCGACTTCTTCCGCCCCGCTGAATTGCTCCTTCTCTACCGGCGCTGGTTACATCGAACACCCGGTCTCCAAGTTCGACACTCTCGCCGGCATTGCCATAAAGTATGGTGTTGAGGTATAGTTTCTGCGTTAATTGCTCTATATTTTTCAGTTTTACGAGAAGATTAAGCTTGCCATGGAATGATCGGATTATAAATGCTTTTGCTCTGACTATTACGTTTCCAGAAAATTTTGATTTTGTTGATGGCATCTTTATAGTTTATGTAGAATTCGTACTAGTGATAAAAGGAGCTGGCTTTTTTTTTTTATCTGAATCACACGACACAGTGATGAAAGCTAATCGAAAGCGATGGAAAAAAAATGATAAAGCTGCACCTTTTTTTAATCAGATGGAGTTGACTTCAAAAGTTAGAAGAAACAATTCATCTCGTGACCCTCACTATCGCAATTTCTGAGTTTGTGCCTTTGATGCTGGATTCATTCTAATTTCCTTTTGTTGTATCCTAAAAAAATTGATATTTCAGGTTGCAGATATCACGAAGCTGAATGGGCTTGTTACTGATCTTCAGATGTTTGCTCTCAAGTCTCTCCGGATACCATTACCTGGGAGACATCCTCCTTCTCCATGCTTATCTAACGGCTCCTTGAATCATGGGTACTTTTAGCCTCTTGATCCTCTATTTTACATATTTTTTGTATGCTAATTAGTAGGCCTTAGTCTGCGACCAGTTAAAACAACGTTATAGAAAGTGGTTATTGTTAGACCGAGGACATGTTAACTAAGAGTTGTTTGATTCCGTTGGATACTGATTATGGAAGATGATAGCCGTATCGCGTCTTGAGCAGATTCTTTTTTTCTTCATGTACCAAAACTACTACTGGAATCTTGTAAAGTTGTTGCGTCTTGCTCTCCTATAGGCCATGAACTTTACAAATCTCAGTTTACAACGATCTTGATTAGTCGTTACGCATACAACTTACTTTCCTTGAGTCTTCTGGTTTTGGATTAAAGGGTGGCCTATCAAGTTATCCTGTCTCCATGGTTGATGTATGAAATCTTCTTGCAGGGAGGATTGTTCTGAGCAAGCTTCATCATCAGCAAGCAATGGCAACCTCCAAGACGTGTTTGATTCCTTCCAGTCTTTGACGCTAAAGCCTTCAGAAACGAAGATTTCTCCAGCCATGAACTCCTTGCAAGGTTACTATGGACTGAAACCAAGAAACAGAAGGGCTTCTGAAGGTTTAGAGATGCCAGCTTACAAGAAAGATTCTTCTCATCTCCAAGACGATGATCAGTACCTCACACCCTTCCCAGCCACCAGTACTCCCTTAAATCACCACCACAGAAAATCCAGAAGCTTGGTAGATGCAGTTATCGCCGAGGTGAACCAATCCTCAAAGGCAGGAGGAGAAATGAATTCTGATAAGCCAATGAGAAGACGCCAAAAATCCGAAGCCGATTTCAACTCGCGAGCCCCGGAACTGCTTTTGAAGGAGGAGAACAGAAGGAGCAACGGCGGGTTTTCTGCAATAGCCGGGAAAGGTTTAGCTCTGAGATCCAAAGCAGCAAGCCGAACCAATCTGTCAGCAGATACCGAGACCGGCAATTCCAATCCGGTACCAATCAGTTTGATGGATGCTCCTGTGGGAGACAGCTTCTCAAGCGTGAGGAAATCGTTTAGCGCGTCTAGTCTGCAAGAACCGGACTGTAACAGCAACGGTTCATCGATATGGCCAACCTCGAAGTGGACATTGAAACCTGATTTGCTCACACAAGCAGCCATGACGAGCTCTATCTTTGATGGATTGCCTAAGCCTTTAACTGGTCGGAGAAACAAAAAGGCTGTGGACTAAGCTGTCCCTGTTGTTTATCGACTGACCACTTTTGGCTCTGGAATCCATAAGCAAGAAGCTATTAGCTGTAGATGGTGGGAGTAAATACAAGTACAGTGTATTATTGCGTTGCATTGCATTTATTTAAACCAATAATGCAAATTGGTTTTGTACTAAGTGAGACTGTGAGAGTCAGATCAGGAGGCATTAAGGATTTTTTATTCACAAGTAATAAAAGTTACAAAGAGTTTTGTTTTCTTTTTCCTGGATTAACTAACAATCAAATCTTGAAGTAGTTCATGATTACTACTTCTGTGTAATTCATTTTGCTCTGTGATCAATTTTTCCAATAAACATAAAGAAAAAAAAATCGAGAAAAAAACAAATTAAAGAGGTACTATTAATAATAAATCTGAAATCCCTAACCTCGAGAAAGCACCCGGAATCGAGTTCCATTTCTCGAGCATTCATTCCTTCTCTCTGAGCAGAACAAACCTAGAGTTCCGATGATGAGGGGTCTTGTTTCCGGCGCCAAAAGGCTATCAAATCCATCGTTGATGGCGACAACCACCGCCACTGCGAGAAGAAGCTACAGTCTGATTCCGATGGTTATTGAGCATTCATCGCGAGGGGAGAGAGCTTACGACATCTTCTCTCGATTGCTCAAGGAGCGTATTATCTGCATCAACGGTCCCATCAATGACGACACCTCTCACGTCGTCGTCGCCCAGCTTCTCTTCCTCGAGTCTGAGAATCCTTCCAAGCCGATCCATATGTACCTCAATTCACCAGGCGGCCATGTCACCGCCGGTGCGTTGCTTCCATTTTCCATTTTTTCTTATGTTTAGCTTCAATCCAAATTCTGGATACTGTGATTGGGAAATCGGATTGCTAAATGGCGCGACTTTGTCAATTCTCTTTGGCTTAGTTGGTACTTGCTATAGTAGAGAAAGTTAATATCGTTCTCGTCGATACTTGTTCCTCAGTGGATTTGGGTATATATCTAAAGTTTCTTGCTCACCGACTTTAAGGCTTTCTTAGGAGATTCGTAATGTGTCACTTGATGAATGCAGTTATAGCTTGAGCAAATTTTAACTATTGCTATACGTTATCCAGTGAATCCACTCCTTGTTGCTGGTAATTTCAGTGTCCAGAGTCTCATGAGTGTCTTGTTTGTGAAAAGATGAAATTTTCACAAACTCAACTATCGTTTCTCCTGTGTTTTGTGATACATCTTCTTTATCTTTATCTTCGATGCAGGTCTTGCCATTTACGATACTATGCAGTACATTCGTTCTCCGATAAGCACAATCTGTTTAGGCCAGGCTGCATCAATGGCTTCTCTGCTCTTGGCAGCTGGTGCCAAGGGGCAAAGGCGGTCTCTGCCAAATGCAACCGTTATGATTCATCAGCCTTCAGGAGGGTACAGTGGGCAGGCTAAGGATATAACGATTCATACAAAACAGATCGTTCGTGTGTGGGACGCGTTGAATGCACTGTACTCCAAACACACGGGTCAACCTATTGACGTGATTGCAAAGAACATGGATAGGGACCATTTCATGACTCCTGAAGAGGCTAAGGCGTTTGGAATAATCGATGAAGTGATTGATGAAAGACCGTTGGAGTTGGTGAAAGATGCAGTTGGCAACGAAAGCAAAGATAAGAGTTCAAGTTAGGAAGTAACTGGTAACCAAAGTAATAAAATTTTCTTTCTTTTCAACTTTTACCAGTTTTGCTTTGCTTCAGTTTTAGATTACTTTTTCTATGGATGAATTTTTATGCCCGGTCATGGCAGTGGGGATGATGTCTTAAACTGTTTTTATTCTTTCAGATAACGATCATGACTATATTTCAGAACTCTTTTCCTTGCATGTTCACACACACGGTCTCATTATCTGATTTGAGTTAATTGGTTAAAGAGTGGCTTTAGGTCGTAATTCCATGTGCAGTCTTGATCCAGTACACACTTGTTTGGTTGATACACATTCTTTTGAACTAACTAGAGTCTAGAATGGTGAGATTGTTGTTTAGTTTCAGAAATTAATGCTGTGGTCTGCTGTTCTTTATGCGCTTGATCAATATTCTTGGCTTTCACTAATTTTTGATTGTTTTGTGTTAGAACACCATCAGATTCTTATGGTGTCTAGGGTGGACTTTGATTGTGCTCTGGTAAATTAGGAAGAGAGACTCTTAAGATCTCTGTGACAAGTCTCATATTATCTTGTAGTCTTGTCTTGTCGGAGACTTGGAGCTGATAACCTCTTTTTTTTTGGGACATCTAACTCATTTAAAGGCTCAAGTTCAAGCAGAGTTATTACTATATATGAAAGAAAAGAAATTTATAATTTGTAAATGGAAGCATGAAGGAAAGGAAGTAAGTATTTAGGATATTAAAAAAGGAAACATTAATCTGTGTATCCTGCTGACCAAAGTAGGTTAATAATGTATTTGGTTTAGGATTAGGAGTAAAAACATTCTGATATTTTTTTTTGTTTATTACATAAAAAATTAAATAAAATGGAAAATAAGAGAAAATAGTGTTGGATTGGATCTGTCTTTGTAAAAAAAATACGCCGACAACAGTAACCAAGAAATTCTCAGAAAAATTCCTTGCAAAGTTTTTGTTTCAATTTTCAGCCCTAAGCCCATCATCGTCGTCGTCGTCTCTCTCTCTCTCTCTCTCTCTCTCTCTCGCCTCGCTACCGCCTCAATCTAATCTCTCTCTCTCTGGATCATCCCCTCTATTTCTCTCGCTCCTTCGCTGTTCGTGATCAATAGCTGTCTCCGCTGCTCGCTCAATCAGCGAAGCTTCCTTCCTCCGGTGGAATAGAAATCGGAATCTCTGATTGGTTCTCGGGATTGGATTGGGTTCCGCAATTGTGCTCGGAATTCCTGATTTGCGCTCAAAATTAGGGTTTATAGCGGCATCGCCTATGGCTCCTGGGCGTAAAAGAGGAGCGAGCAAGGCCAAGGCCAAGGGGCAGTTAATTCTCGGTGATCTGGTTCTTGCCAAAGTCAAAGGCTTCCCTGCTTGGCCTGCTAAGGTTACCCTTCTTCCTCCGCCTTTCTGATTTCCCAATTGGTTTTTGTTTTTCTTCTATCTCTTTTTTTGGTTTCTGTCTTTTTCTGCGGTAGAATTTTTTTGGTTGTTTGTTTATTTTACTGCGTAGCCAGTGATGTATGGTTGGATTCCGTATGTAATGTTGATGAGCTCTAGTGCTCTCTTTCTTTTTGAGCGTCTTACCATCATATGGCTTCACAATTAGGTTGGTTTAAGAGTTACCAGAGTTGTTCTTCTCGAGATGGAGCCGTATTTTTAACTCAGTTAGATTATATCTCTCTAGTGACTCGTTCAGATTCTACGGTTGAATTATGAAATACGTATGTTAATAACGGTTTCATCTTGGTAACTTTGGAGCGTGATAATCTTTTGCATTCGTTTCTATTTAGTTAGTCTCTTAGGTGACGAAATTTGGTTTTGGGTTTTCAGATCAGCCGGCCTGAAGACTGGGATCGTGCGCCAGACCCAAAGAAGTACTTTGTTCAGTTCTTTGGAACACAGGAAATGTAAGCATGCCTCTTTTATGCATACAGATTTTTTGTTAGTTGATCCATTTTTTTTTCTAAAAGTCTGGTGGTACCTTCTCATCCAGAAAGGTATACAATTAAGTTTAGTCAATAGATCATGTTACCAGATGTTTTAGTTGTGTTTTTTTGGCTGATTATATATCTTTGGAGTTTGTGCTTTTGCAGTGATCATTGACCAAGTTATCTTTCTGTACTACAGAGCTTTTGTTGCGCCGCCTGATATCCAAGCCTTCACTAGTGAGGCAAAGAGCAAACTGTTAGCAAGATGTCAAGGTAAAACAGTCAAGTACTTTTCACAAGCTGTGAAGGAAATCTGCACCGCGTTTGAGGAGTTGCAAGATCACAAGTCGAATGTTTTGGATCCTCTGGATGCTGCTGAGCCTGGTTTGACAAAGGCTGAGATAGTGGATGGAACAGATCATATGGTCACCGAGTCTGATGGCACTGATCACTTTGATTCTGGGGCGGATCCTTGCTTCACCAAATTAGATAAGAGTAATGGTGAAGAGGCAAAGGCTGAGATAGGGAAGCGAGATTCATCTCCATTTCTGGAATCAAAGATCACAACCACATCCTCGGGTAGCGAATCACTAGAGCATGATTCATATGACCCTAAAGTAAAGGAAGATGATTTTGATGAAGGAACTGATGGCGATGGTTGCACTGAACATTATGGTAAGGGCCAAAAGAATCTGGACAACGGTAAGAGTATTAAAAAGGTAGCAGGTGGTTTGGACAAAAAAGGTGAAGATGCTCGAGCGGCTAGTGGTAAATCTGATTCCAAAAAGTCCAAAGGCCTGTTGACAGATAAAGCTAGCTCCAAAGTATCTCGAGGTAAGCACGAAAATTCACCTGACGTCAAAGGTGGGGTTGGTAAGAAAAGGAGGCTTGAAAGTGGACTAGGGAAGCATGCTCCAAGAGTAGATGAAAGCTCCCGTGTTGCTAAAAAGCCGCGATGTGAAGGTGTGAATGATAAAGAAAAGTGTGAATTTGATGATGAATCTGATCCTACGAGGACTGTATCAGATAGTAAGCGTAATATTGTTTTAGGATTAAGTGCTAGTGGTGGAGATTTACAGTATGATAAAGAAGTAGTTGCCTATACAAAGCGTCGCAGACAAACAGTGGAACATGCTACCTCTCCTCCTCTTTCTGAGTCTCGTGATAAATCATGGAAAGGTCAACCGGAGCAGAAAGACCGTTCGTCTTCTGTAAGTGATAAATCTGGGAAAGGTCAACTGGAACAGAAAGACCGTTCTTCTTCTGTTAGTAGCGCTAAGGTCCCAGCTGCACAGTCGCTGAAAAAACGGAGGGCTGTTTGTATCTATGACGAAGATGAGGACGAAGATCCAAAAACCCCATTACATGGAAGACCAGCTGTTGTTCCGAAAGCAACATCAGTTTTGACTGATGGTCCTAAAAGTGCTAATGTGACTCGCGATGCTTCTACTAAAGCTAAGATATCTTCTGGATCTACAGAGAGTACTGGACTGAGGAAAGCACCTTTGCGTAAACCTTGTGAGGTGAATTCTACTAACAGCTTACCCATTGTAAAACCCATCAATGAATTGCCGCCGAAGGATGTCAAGCAGGTCTTGCTATCTCCTAAGATGTCTCCTCAGCTGGTTTCAACTAACAAGCCCGTTGCAGGACAGCATAAAGCTGCAAAATCGTCTGTGAAAGTTTCTGGTGTTGTGATGGCAAATAAGCCTCAGAATGATTCGTGTAAGGAGGCAGTTGCGGGATCTGATAAAGTGAGCTCTTCTCAAGCTCAGCCAGCAAATCAGAGACATAAGCCAGCTTCAGTTGGAGATAGGCCAACAGTGGCTTCAAAAGCTGCGTTACGTTCGAATGATGCTGGTGTTTCAAGAGACACTTCTGAGGACTTGTCTGCTGGCATGTATGTCACATTCTATCTGTAATCTTTTTGTGTCTATGTCGTCAATTGCTTACAGTTTTTTTTCTCATGCAGGCCTGATCTCAATCGAGAAAATTGGAGTGCTCCATTTATCAGTGTGAAGACCCCAGATTCGGCTGCATCTATGAAGGATCTAATTGCAGCTGCACAGGCCAAAAGAAAACTAGCACATTCACAAAATTCAGTTTTTGGGAATTTGAACCCTAGTTTCTTAGGCATCAGTGATACACAGATGAGCCATAGTCCATTTATGGTTCAGACTGCTTCAGTTTCTGCTGCCATTGCAATGCCTTTAGTTGTTCATGGACATCAACAAGATTCTTCTCCGTCAAATCATGGGCATCAGTCATCAAGAAATCAAAACGAGACGGATGATAATGAAGAGAGAAGACTAAGTTCAGGGCATAAGTCAGTCGGAGGTTCACTTAGTGGTTGCACTGAGGCTGCTGTTTCTCGGGATGCTTTTGAGGGCATGTTAGAGACCTTATCAAGAACTAAGGATAGTATCGGACGTGCAACACGCCTAGCAATTGATTGTGCCAAGTATGGAATTGCTAGTGAGGTAAGATGGTCGGCTCAACAAACTTATTGTGAGGCTGCATATACTAAATCAATTTAGAATTACACTTTTCGCGGCTTAACCTTCAATATTATTTGCAGCATTTGATGTGTTACATTATTCAATAGTTGCTTTAATTGGGAATTTTTTTTGTGTCTCTATCTAGGTGGTGGAACTTCTCATACGAAAGTTGGAAAGTGAACCTCACTCCCATCGTAAAGTGGACTTGTTCTTTCTCGTCGATTCTATCACCCAGTGTTCGCACAACCAAAAAGGTGACATTTTGTTGAGTTGATGCAATACCTGGATTTTATTGTTTATTATTTTTTACTGTAATCAAAGAGAACGCATATTTAATTTTATCAGAAACTATATCGACCTAAAAAAAATTAAACCATTTCTGATTGTTTAGGTATTGCTGGTGCTTCATACGTTCCTACTGTGCAAGCTGCTCTGCCACGTCTATTGGGTGCTGCTGCTCCTCCAGGGACCGATGCTCGTGATAATCGTCGTAAATGTCTGAAGGTACTTTTACTATTTGCTTGTTTCGAGGTTATCCTTGCATTTCTGTTGGCTGGACTCAGTGACCTCCTTGCTTTTTTAGGTTCTGAGGTTGTGGCTTGATAGAAAAATTTTCCCTGAATCACTTCTGCGCCGTTATATTGATGATATTGGAGCTTCTGGTGATGATGCAACCGTTGGGTTTTCCTTGCGACGTCCTTCTAGATCCGAGCGTGCGGTTGATGATCCTATCAGGGAAATGGAAGGGATGCTTGTTGATGAGTATGGCAGGTATGCTAAACTCCTGTCTTGCTTAATAGTTTACTCTCTGGACTTGATATATATGGCTGATGACAAAAGAACTTGCAACGTCGGGATAGTTATATCGTTAAGGAATTGTTAATAGTGAGTTTGGTGTCATTCTGTCGAGTGTTTATGAACTTATTTGCCATTTTTTTCTGCAGCAATGCAACTATTCAGCTGCCTGGTTTTTTTTCTTCTCATACTTTTGAAGATGATGAAGAAGAAGACGATCTTCCAACATCACAAGTAGCAAAAAGCACATCTGATGGGGAACCTTTCAATGCTTTAGACGACTTGGAAATACGTGATACGTCGAGTGATAGACGTCATCGAGTGTTGGAGGATGTAGATCGTGAGCTTGAAATGGAAGATGTATCTGGTCAGCGCAAAGATGTAGCACCTTCCTCTTTCTGTGAGAATGAGACAACGGAGCCGTCACTGGATGTTAGGCAACCGGTTGCAGAAATGTCAACTAAGGAGCCTCCTCTTCCAGAGGATTCTCCTCCGTTACCTCACGAATCACCTCCATCTCCCCCTCCTTTACCTCCTTCTCCCCCACCTCCATCCCCACCTCCTCCGCCTTCATCTCCGCCTCCATTGCTGCCACCACCACCTCCTGCAGCGCAATATCCACCTCTTCCTCCACCTCCGTCTCAGCCTCCACCACCACCGCCCCTTTCACCTCCACCTTCACCGCCACCTCCACCTCCACCGCCTACACAATCTATGGCTTTACCACCATCATTGGCAACTCAACAATCCATAGCTAGCCATCATCAGTTACCACTTCAACTAGGATTTCCTCCTCCAGCATATCCATTACCACATCAAACATACCCAGGATCTATGCAGCAAGACCGCTGTAGCATTTTCACTGTAAGTTCTTTAATTTTTTCTGTTTGATGCTACTCATTATTCCTACTTTATATTTCCTCTTTTTTTCATTTATGTATAAAACCCTGGACATCATGTGCAGGGTGATCAAATTGTCCGAGGGCCTGGAAGCTCTTCACGTGGAAGTCATGTTGAGGGCGCTGGAAAAACTGAATTTTTCGTGCAGCAGTCATCTAGTTTTTCTCCAGCAGGAGTGTGCAACTCCAGAGAGCCTGCAGCATTTACTTCCAGACAACTAGAATTTGGGAACAGCGATGTACTTTTTAATCGGGAAGCTTCTTCACATAACCAACGGTTTCAGACGAGCACCCCTTTGTCCCAAATACATATGGTTAGGAAGCTGCCTTCAGCACCGTCCAGTCATTTTTCGTATCCAGGCCATGTTCAATCACAATCCCAGCATTCCTACTCACATCCTTACTCTTTCCAACATCAACGCGATGACGGACGGCCACATAGAAATGAGGAACCATGGCGGATGTCTTCAAGTGGACATAGTGCAGAAAACCAGAGTGGTGCCTGGATACGTGGAAGAAATTCACATCCAGGCCTTCCTAGAGTGACAGACAGTATGTATTAATCATCATAAACCCTTTAACTGTTGAGGTTTATTAATTGCTTGTGAAGTTGTGAGCATTCTGATACATCTATTAAGTATTATTGTCTAGCTTGTATGTTTGTGTCATGGCTATCCTTGTGACTGATGGTCTTACTTGCAATTCACTAGGTTTCTTTCGGCCACCTCCAGAACGTCCGCCTTCAGTGACAATGAGCTATCAGCCTTCTGCTACTAGTAACTTACAAGCTGTCCCTACAATTCAAGGTGAGACTATCTCAACCAATGCATCTGATTGTAGACTCTCAAAAACACAATCAGAAAATTTTGTACTTGCCTTACCATTTTAAATTACGCATTGAAGGTCATGCTGCTTCCCAGATGCTACCATCTCGGCCAGACATGCCTAGCGCGAATTGTTGGAGGCCAGCTTGAAGTAAAGGTAGAATTTCGTTGGTCTGCTCCTATTATTATCAATGGAAAAGAAGCTGTTAGTGTCTCATTAACAAGATTAATCCTCTAGGTTTGAGTTTCTAAATTCTAAAGTTAAGTCAGAGTTGTCATCAAACAGTTACAATTATACCGCTTTCTCGTCCATGGAGGACTTTTTCGGATATATCCACTTCCAGAGGCATCAAAACTACTGCAGACTTTTGCCAGGATTCTGTATATTGTATTTTTTCCTGACAAATGTATGTGGGGATCATATTCTTCACAGTATAGGTTCTTGCTTTTAAATTGGTTAGTACTTCCGTTTCTCAACTCTTGTAATTATGCCAATCACAATGTGCACAAAGCTTTTACTGGATAAATGAATTTTGAACCTCATAGTCAGATTTAGTTTTTATGTTTCATATAGTGAGTCTTTCACAATTTATATTTGCTGGTCTCTAAGAAATCACATTAAAGAAACACTGCTAAGAGTGTATTTGACTAGTGAAGCAGAACTAGGTGGCAAGAATATTCAGTGCAAGCCTGTGTTTGTTCTTCTGTTGGTTCCCAGACTAGAGACCTATTGCTTAGTCTGTATCTTGTTATTTGAATGAGTACTTTAGGTCCATGAATGTGGTAGCTCCTATTGTAGACCTCTCTCTATAAGTACTTTCTCCACCACGGAGTTCCCTTCAAAATTTCTTTCTAGTAAAATTTTTGTTCCCATGTTTTTCTCTTCTGGAGATGATCCATGTCTCGTTGCCTCGTACATTTAGCAGGAACAAGAGGCATACATTTCTAAACAATTGTGAGTTCAGTCAGTCCATTTTACAAGAATCTCCATATTGATATCTTGTGCACTGCTGTTCTAAAGAAGTATGTCGCATGACTTGTGAGGTACTGGTTTTTATTTGTTTGTCTGAAAATATATGTTCTCCACTCAAGCCATGTGTGTGTTTGTGACATAACGAAGTTTTGCTTCATAGTTATCGTGAGCACTTGAAGAAGTGTTTTTACCATTTGGTCATGGCGATTGGGGTTGCACATGTGAATATGTGTGCTATTCTTTTTAGGATTTGCTCAATAGCTTTATAATAATTGGTTTTGAGAAAGCTTTTCTCATACATATATCTTCAAAGTGGTGTAGTCTTTCAATCAAATATGTGTCTGTGGCGTTGACAAATGTCTCTTGAGTTTCCATCCCTGTTTTCCACAGTTACATATCTGCATCAGCAGGTGGTCGTGTTTCCTCAATTCTGTGTTTGGGTTTTGTCAGATCAAACTGTCATGTACGGATAATTTTCTATATAATTGTGTGTTTTGACTTCAGTTGCGAGAACATATCTTGTGAAAGGTGTTGAGCGGCTTACCGTGCAACAGGCTTTTGATACAAAGTTGAACCACCTGGAGTGATGACAATCGTCGTGCTTGGAAATCTGTGTGGATTCTACTAGTCGGTCCTGATCTGCTTATGCAAAAAAGCTATAGGTAATATACAGTAATATACCTATCTTGTTCTTATATTCTATCTTCTTTGTACTGTACAGTGACACAAAGAGAAGATATAGTGAACATGGATTAGGGAGTTTTGACTCTCTGTAAACATAGACAAAGAAGATCTGTAAGATAGGTGAATCGTCTACTTGGAAATGGCTATAGGCAAACCCTGGTTTATTTCGTGCTCGTTTTTCATTTCAGATGTCGAAGTTCTGCGATTGGTGCGGGAGCTGAGAGTTGCAGGTCTTCGGGAACGACTAGGCTTTCGAGTTTAGACGATTGTGATCTCCTCTTAGCAGCTGAGTTTCTCAAGTTCGGAGGTTAGTGATTTCATCACTGATAAGAGAAAGTAAGTTACGTCCAGATTATTAGTTATTGAGAATGTGACGTTGTTTTACCAAACTAATTAATAAGGCTTGTTGAAATTAACAGAGTTTAAAATTCTTCAACTGATCTTGTAACCAAAAAGATTATGTCTTTGATCAATTAATCAAGTGAATTCAAAGTTTTACTAAAAATGACTCATTCCCTTTTTGTCCGTGGTTTTTGTTTAGTGGTTTTGGAACCCGAGAGCCATTTTTTGGCATCTAGATACGAGTCCATGTTAACGTGAAAATGGGATTTCAAATACTATAGGCTAAATAAATAGTCCAGCGTTTTTGATTTGGAAATAATTAAACAATCAAATATATTACACTGCCGTCTGCATGTAACAATGGATTTGGAAATGTGTAGTGCACTTGTGCACGCATGAATGAATGAATAATATCAATCGTGATTGTGTACATTTTTTTTAATGTGCATACAAATTGCCATATCAAACTGAAAAAAAAGCCGATACGGTCAAACAAAATCAACAGGATATTAAAACGTGGTCACCGCTAAACGCGGTGTTGCCGTAGGAGAAAGCCTTCCAAAACGACTTTTTTCTTGTAAGCCTGAGAGTTAAAATCCAAGTCATCCGGAAACAACGCAGCTTCAGCTTTACCGCCAGCACTGCGTTTGCGTTTGTCCGCAACCGCAGCTTCTTTGAGACGAGGGAGAAAGTAACACCAAGCGGATGTACAAAGAATCGCACACAAACGTCCCCACATCAACATTATCACTAGCGTTAGCATTATGATTGATATCCCAATTACCGGGTCGACCCGCGACGCTTTTCTGACCCGTGACGACGATTTCTCCCTTGACTCCCTCGGCTTTGACCCGTACCCGACGGTTCTAGTCGGGTCGAGTTTCCCGCCACGAAATGTAGTCGATACCTGTTCGTGACACGTGTCGTATCCTGATAAACTCAGTGGTTCCGGATTGATGTCTCTTAGTTCGCTCGTGTCTTTCTGCAATATCAAAACTTCAAACGTTGAGAACTTTTTCGGGACAGAAAGAAGATAATTTCTCTATAGTTTATTAAAATACCTCTTTAGTTTCTTGTTTGTAACCACTAGCCGCAACGTTCTTCTGATCAGTCATGTGACGTATCACCCGAAACAGATTTTGTTTATCATCTTCAACATTAGAGTTTTGTTTCTCCGCTTCGTAAATCGGCGTCGTTGTGATCTCCTCGCCGTCCTTGAAACGATTTTTTGTCGCTCGCAAAAACCAACGACTTCTCGTCTTATTCTTCTTCTTCTTCTCTTGGCCAGTTTCTACCATGGGTTTGTCGGAGTGTATTTTCCGGGAAACCCCAAAACAGCGAAGAAAATATGAAGACGAAGAGTATACTCTCTCTCTCGCTTTCCTCTCGGGTTTGCCCATTGAAACTGAATTCAAGGATTTGAGAAATGAAAATGAAAATGAAAAATTTGGGGAAACACTTTGAATTTATTATATAAATGATGATTCTGAACGGTTGGAGTTTACCCCCTATTCTTTTTAAAGTGTTATTGTTCGCACGCTTTCGGGAAAACTATGAATATAAATTAGATTTCCGAGTATTCAAAGTATCAAGGTCGTGCTTTAATTAGGAGTTGAATAGACTATTTGTACATATTCTTTCATGAAAAAACAAAAGTTATATATTTTTAATTGTCAAAATATAATGTTTTGTTTTACTAGCCTGCCCATGATTAAAAACAAGAAGAAGATTCTACAGAAAACAAAAGATCAAACTAAATAAAAAGAAAACTTAGTAGAGAGAGAGGATCTTGCTGGTGGCCAGCCAAAGTCTTTTTTAAGAGTTATGGGTCGTGTCCACGTTTCTACTTTCTACGTCGCCAAATTTTCTCTTGCTGTCTTTTTATTTCTTTAGTTATTATATTGTTTCCGTTGATTAATTTATAAACAATTTAGCACTGGATACAACCAAATTTACTTGCATAAAACTCATTATTTCGCGTGTTTTGTTTAGTTTCTTTTTGTCTGGACCCTAAACCCACTGGCATATTATTCCAGAATGAAAAACTTTGGGTTTGGACTTTTCTTCTATTCCATAAGAAGTTAAGGTATAGTTGTTAGATCATTTTATTTCAAGAAAGTAACACAAAAAAGCCTCTAAATCTTTGCTGGGTTCGAATGCTACAGTCAATAACAAAAGGCCCAAAGGCTTTTTAATAAATTGTGCTCACTACAACATTGAACGAGGAATCTTGTGCTTGTATGCTTGTTTTTGTAATCATCCTTAAGGCCCAGACCCGATCCGACATTTTGACCCGGCCTGTCTTTTCAAAACTCACCTAACGCGACAGGTTTGACCGGGCCACGTCAGCGTCTCTCTCAACCGTTTTTTCCGCCGTTTCAGCTTAACAACCCCGCGAAAGAAGCTGATCCACAACGGGAAACTCCTGAGCGGTTCGGCCAAACACGACTCCATCTCCGCCGTTATTTCTCCCGAAGACGGACGTGATCCGACGTCGGAGGATACGCAGCGCGCTGCCATCCGCAGCAACCGAAGATTCGTTCCCATGAAAACGCCTGATCCTCCTCCGCCGCAGATTTCTCCGATCTTCCCCTCTCTGATCAGCGGAATCGCCCAGTCTACGATCGACGCCGGCGATCGAGAGACGTCGATGGCTTTTCTGCAGCTAACGATCTCCAACAAAACAACGCCGTAACTGTAAACATCGATCTTCTTGCTAAGATTCTCCGGCGACGTGTAACTCGGATCTAGGTACCCCATGGTGCCTGCCGGCGCCGGAATAGTCTCATCGGCTAAGTTCACGGCGAGTCCAAAATCCGCAAGCTTCGGTTCCCAATTCGAATCGAAGAGAATGTTTTCCGATTTGATGTCGCGGTGGAGGATGGCTTGTTCATGGAGGAAGTGAACCGCACGAGCGATCTTAAGAGCGATCTCGATGCGTTTAAGCCACGTGGGGAGAGGAGATGTGGACACGTGTAATAACTGGTGCAACGATCCGTTTGGCATGAACTCAACGACCAAGAGCCTTTTCTCAGCATGGCCAAGAAAGGTCAAGACGTGTGGGCTACAAGGCAGCGACGACATAACACTGATCTCGTTTTCCAGTTTCTTCATCTGTTCTGATTTTGCTGAAAGAGACGAGGACGGTGACGGAGACAACGATGGTGTCTTTATGGCCACGGCTCTGTGACAACGTTCGTCGTCTTCGTGAAGAAGACCTTGGTAAACATAACCGTGGCTTCCTTTGCCGATGAGTCGCGAAGGAGAGAATCCATCAGTGGCAGAAACAAGCTTCTCGTAATCAAACTCTTTCATAAGTTGCAGAGAAAGAAGGAGGTTTCTGGCTTGTATGTAAAATGAATTTTGAAGAATAAAGTAGCGAATATTATTGAGAAAAGCAAAAAAAATTTATACCGAGGGAAAGCAAAAGGTATAGGGGAATATAAAGCTTTTTTTTTATCTTAGTTTATACTTTGTAGTTTGTATTTTAGACAAGTAATGATGATTCTAAACCTTTTCTATATTCCTTCGGACATTTTTCATGCTTTTGAGACAGTTGGGTTCAAAGTTTAAGGTTAAAAGCTGAGTCACACTACAACATATCAAAACACTCTTCCTCTTATTTTTTACAACACCTTAAACGGTACGTTTAGCTATGACCCGAGAACAGTGTGAGTCGAAGATATAAACAAATACAGTGAATACTTAACAACAACAAAAGAAGTAAAGAGAATGAAACACTAAACACTTATTTGAACTTCTAACATGAATCTTGCTTCTTCATAACTATTTTAACTAATATTGATCTGCAGTTAGCAGAACCTTATCAACCCATATATACCTTAGAAATGGGATTGGTTCTGGAGAAATACATTTTCTCTTCTCACGTCTTTCACATTGCCAGCTTTGAAAATAGGCATTGTGTTTTCATATAGATTTGGACGCGTCCCATAATAATAGTTCAAGTTTCGACTCAAAACAATTGTTCTTGTATTTGTTTGCATTCCATAACATGTTTTAAAGTTTTCTTTGATCCATGCATTTGTTGATTTTATTTCGTGAAGTAGCCTTTTTATTTCGTGAAGTAGCATTGTTCATGACTTTTGAGATATATGCAAAAGTTGTTGCGACGTGATGTTTCTTTAGTGATTTCGACACATAATTGACTTCATACGTAAAATATGAGTGTACGTCTCTATGCAAAAAAACAATTGTTCATTTATTTTTCAGAATAAAGTATGGATAATTTTTATCCCAAAGTGTTAGTTTCTTTAGGACTTTTTTTTCTTTAAAAAAATGTTAGTTTCCCAAATGTATTGATTAACCAAATAAACTGATAATATTAAAGATCATAATTAAATATTATTTATACATATGAAACAAAATAGAAACTCTAATAAATTTATTAAAGCTATTACAAGCCCCACCAAACTTTTTCCTAACAATAAGGTCAACAAACTCAAAAACCCACATAGACTATATACACATCATGTCATCATCGAATAACCAAATTAAGAGTAATACTAAGAAAAAGACATGCATGATTTAAAAATTCAAAAGACCCAAAAATAAGTACTTCTTATGACCACCGTCTTAATAAATTAACAAATCTTAAACATTAAACACTAACAATATTACTATCATCGATAGACTTGGCATAGTATTGATCTATCTCGGAGACACTCCTATTAATCAAATTCACCATCAAGCCATGCTTCATGTACATTGTAAGAGCCAGCTTCGGTTCCACTTTGTGACCCTTAACCACCTTCACCTTGTACCGGTAAACTATTGCAGCCGCCGCAGCTTTCATTTGATAATAGGCAAAATCTTTGCCTAGACATAGGCGTGGACCGCCGTTAAAGGCCGTGAATTTATAGGCCGACTCACTCATGAACCGTCCGTCTCTTAGCCACCTCTCTGGCCTAAACTCACGACAGTCTTTTCCCCAAATAGCTTCCATACGACCCATTGCGTAAATCGCGTATATAACCTTTTCTCCTTTCTTCAGTATTGTTCCATCAGGAAATACATCATCTTCTTGGACCTGAATAGTAATAGAACAAATCATAAACTTCAGCAACACTATAGTAACCGTACCTCACGCGCGAGGTGATTGGTTTAACATCATACATAGAAAGTTTAAAATGAATGAGTTGGTTGTTAGGTTTCATGGGAAAACAGCAAAACATAATATTCTTGTGTGCAACGAAGAAGTCAAACAGGTAGTTATTTATTTCTTCTCTGGAGAAATAATTTAAGATACATGTGTACTTCTGACCCCCAAAACAACAAGATACCAGTGTATTGATTAGGTGCCTTCCCAAGAATTTTCATAGTTACTGATTAGGTAACCTATATGAAACCAAACATATGAGATTTTAAACTTTTTTATTTTTTGTCATCTAATGGGCTTATTAGTTTATGATCCAATGTTATCAACGATATAATCCTCCTGTATTTTCGACAATCTTAAAAGGAACTATGACAAGCAATTTAGTTGTTTCAAAATTTTATCTGTTCGAAATTATAGTCAAATTGGCTTTCTTGGGAAGCAATTAATTGAAGTTGGAAAAGAAAACAGAGCAAATTTAGTTAAAAAGTTACCTCTTTGTGATCCACTGGAACTGAAGGATACAATCTGAGAGCTTCAGACAAAGCAGCTTGTAGATAATCCATCTTCTTGATCTCTTCTGGTCCGAACACAGGTTCATAATCGACCTTCTCTGCATTTCCATGGTCTTCTCTCTGCCTCAAAATGTTACATACCTCCACCATGATCTTCTCTTCCACCTCCGGATTCTTCTCTAGCAACCAGAAGAACCAGCTCAGAGCCACCGAAGAAGTATCCCTCCCAGCAAGTATGAAGTTTACACAGATATCGCGAAGAAACTTGTCTGAGAAACTCTCCCCCTTCTCATCTCTCAGACCCATAAACACCGTCAAGAGATCCGATCTCTTTGTGGATTCTCCCTCAAGAGACAGTTCTTTCTTCCTCGTCCTGATAACTTCTTCAGCGAAATCATCCACACCTTTTATTGATTCTTTAAGCATCTTCTCTGTTCCTAAATTAAGATACCTCATGAGCTTCCACACACAAGTAGGCATGACGAATCTCAAAACCGCGGCTTCTGTCGCGTCCTCAAAGGCTTTCGCAAAGGGTATTACGGGTTGACCAGGACCAAGGCAGCCTGGATCGACGCCGAAAGCAATCATGCATACGTTATCGAACGTTAGCCTCAACAACACGTCTTGTAGATCGATGGGACAAGAGCTCTTAACCGAAGTTTCAAGAACCGGTAAGAGCCTCTTGTGCACGAGCTCGTACAGCGAATGAGTGGTTAACTGTCTGAATTTAGCTGAATGAAACTCGATGCTCGCGGTTTTCCTTTGCCTCTGCCAAGTCTCGTCATCCGCGTTGAATATTCCGTCTCCTAGGAGGTCTCGGAGGTTGTCTCGAAAGTAAGAGCCTTTAGGGAAGACAGAGAAACGGTTCTTGAGGAGATGCTCGACGTTTCTTGGGTCGCAAGTGATGGTGCTGTTGAGGCTGCTAAACCAGGGGCCTCTGAATTGGAAAGTCCCGTTCTGAAGACATAGAACTTCCGATAGCCACTCGTATATGTTTCCTCTGATGCCGAAAGCTAGAGAAGGAAGCATCCCAAGAAACGGCCACACGGGGAGGCCATGGCGTTTCTTCTGACGCAGGGAATGTATGGCGACAAAGGCGAAAAGGGCGAGAAAGAGCTCAAGAACTTGAACGTTTCTCAAGAGGAACAGCCTCCGTGAAACCAGAGGCTCACGGTAGGAAGAAGAGAAGGAAACGTCATTGAAGTCGTAAGAAGAATTAGTACTCATTTTTGGTGACAAAGAGAAGAGAATGTGAATCTCAGAAATGAAGAATGGAGAGAGGAATTAAGAGAGATTAATAACAATGGAGGCCGTTGGTTAGCTAGTGGGTGAAGAATATTGCATGAATTTCTTGTGGGTGACAAAAACTTTGGCTCTCAGGAGAAATTGGTTTGATTTGGTAAGCAGAAAAATGTCGTGTCTTTATAGTCCTGCGGCTCCTGAGTCTTGAGTCTTGATTCTCGTGTGTGTATTATTAGTTTTACTTTTCGTACACTTTAAGTAGGGTTCTTTTGGGATTTTGGCTGTGTTTTTGGGAATTTCAAAGGTCGACTCGTTTTGGGGGTTTAAATAGAAAAATGGGGGTTTTTAGTTGTGTTTTTGACCATAATTGTGAACTAGTTTGAGAAAGGATCAGATAAGAGGTGGTTGGCGATGGGTAACCTAAGTTAAATACTCCATTATACATTTAGCTTATTGCTTCCGTCCACGTTTGCTTTTTTTTTTATGAGTAACTTAATGAATTTTCTATTCCCAATAAACCAAATTAAATGGAGACATCAGTATAAACAAAATGATAATCTTAATACTTATTAACCACGTATTAATTTGTTGTCAATGGTTAATTTATGGAGATGGCTAAAAATGTTATCATTGTTGTTGTTGTTAACCTTTTTGGGACAAAAAGATGGGCCAGAGAATATAAAAAGGCTCTGAAAGCACTGCTTATTGGCCCATTATTAAGAATTAGGCCCAGACATGGTATAATTCAACCATGGAGGTGTGTTGCCGAGTATGTAGAAGATGCAGCCATCTTCATCAATGGAGGTTTTTGACCCGAGCTCTTGCGATTCCTGATGTTCATCTGTCCTTTCTAGCTATTCTTACTATAAAGAGGTTGGAGAATCGTTTCTGGAAAAGTAAAAGAAGAAAAATGGCGTCTCTTTTCAACAAGTTTCAGCAAGTTAGTGAACCTCTTGCGTCTTTGTTTGATCCTGTCGAATTTTCTGAACATCTTTTCCTTCTCCGGTACGATTTATAATACTGGGTACGAAGAAAGTTTAAGTTTTTATTCGGATTTAGTCTTTCGATCTGAATCAATTTGTTTGAAGTATCCTCATGCTGTTTTCAGCCTGTGGCATTGCAAGAATTAGATTAGAACAGATGAGATTAGACTGGAGAGGAATCGTAAAGTTTTGCTGTGTTGTTAAATGTTTTTGAATTTTCTCGTTTGATCAATTTACTCGTCCTGAGGCATTCATGGGATCATTTCAGAACTTTGCAGGGGGTTTTAGTAGGATTTTAGGCAGTACTAATTGAGATTTCGAATGATCTTACCTTGCTACTATTGTTACCGCTCGTATAATTTGTTTCATTACTTTGCGTTTTTCAGGCTGTTGGAGTTCTTGCCAAGAGTACCACATTTGCTAAGAACCCAAGGCAACTGCAATTTGAAGCAGATATTAACAAACTGTTTATGTATACAAGGTTAGTTATTTGTCTCGGAAAAAGAAAAGTTTGATTTCTTTATGGATTTGTGAACTAGCCACTGCTTTTATCACACTCAATAGTCGTTAAGTTAGTTCATTTTAGCTCTAGCTGTTCCTTGTAAGTTACCAGTTCTTGAAAATTACATCCACTTTTTACGCTCATGAAAACTAAATTTTTTTTAATAGCTATAATCGGTTGGGACGAGAAGCAGAGGAGACGGATGCAGAAGAGATCATTGAGATGGCTGGTAAAACCTCATTATCTGAGCAGCAGAAACAAGTCCAAGAGAACATTCACTACCAAGTTGAAAACTTCTGCTCTTTAATGGATGGAATCCTTCTTCCTGATGTTAGCAAGAAAGAGTCAGGATCACAATCGACAAGCCCTCCTCGTCGTCAAAGCGGTCTTACTTTCGCCATTGGTGGAAACAATGCTTTCCCAACTGCAGATAAGCCCCGTAAGTGTTTTACTTTACATGAGTCTATTAGTGTGAACTTTACACTCTTACCACTTTCTTTTCATTCTTAGTTATTATTCTCACTGATTCTTCTTCTCCAGCACAGTGGTTCCCGAGACAAAGCCTTTGAAACTCCCTGAGGTCTCAGAGAGATTGATGGATCAAATCGGCTATACCCTCGAGATCAAACCGTCGGTGATACCTCACAAAGACGCTGGTCAAGGTTGTTTCGTCAAAGGCGAAGCAGATGTTGGAACAGTCTTAGCCTTTTACCCTGGAGTTATTTACTCCCCTGCGTTCTACAGGTACATTCCAGGGTACCCTAAGGTTGATGCGCAGAACTCGTATCTCATCACGAGGTACGATGGGACTGTGATAAACGCTCAGCCTTGGGGTCTCGGTGGAGAAACTAGGGAAGTGTGGACTGGTTCCTACACACCTGCGGTCAAAACAGAGAGCAAAACCGCAGAAAACGGCTCAGAGAGGTTGTGGAAAGCGTTGAGCAAGCCGCTCCAAGGTTCGGGTAAAGCAAAAGAGGTTCTTGAGAGGAGAAACCCGTTGGCTTTTGGTCACTTAGCTAACCACCCGGCGAAAGAAATGACTCCGAACGTTATGATATGTCCCTACGACTTCCCCTTGATGAATATAGAGTTGCGGCCTTACATTCCGAATGTATCTTTTGGGGATTCTGGAGAAGTAAAGATGAAGAGATTTGGAAGCTTTTGGTTTAAGACAGGGGGTAGTAACGGGTTAGATGCTCCGGTTCTAAAGACTCTGGTTTTGGTTGCAACGAGGGCGTTGCGTGATGAGGAACTACTGCTGAACTACAGGCTAAGCAACTCTAAGAGACGACCGGATTGGTATACTCCGGTTAACGAAGAGGAGGATCGGAGAAGATGGAGCTAAACTTGTGCAGCTCTCGTAGATGGATGGATTTTTTTGAAACATGAAATGATCCGTCTGTATCTGAACACACTCCCTTTTCTTTGGACGAGCGGTACGACGTCGTTTGGCTAAGTATTTTGAGTTTTCTGCTAGTTTTTGCCTTGGAAGACTTCTCTCTTTTAGTTGTTTAATAAAAAAAAACTTTGCCATTTCCTTGAGTATAATTTATGTACTGGTCTGAAAACTAACAATATGGATAAGAAAAAAATTTCTTATTAAAATAGAACTTTTCAAAAATAAAATTCTAAAGAAACGTTTGGCTTAAATGTTTAAATTTGATGGTTTGTATTATGGGATTTTTGTTATGTATATTATACGGGTCTAAAACTTTAAATTTGTGTGAATGAGTTGTAGATGACAAAAAGACACATGAGAAAGTAAATTCCGTAGAGTGACGAGTTTAGATATATATTTTACCGGGTTCAAAATCTGATTAAGTTAAATGAAAACAAAATATATGTGTCATATAGAGGGGTTTTGAACTTAGGAGTCAAAAGAAATTATTCTTACCAATTAAACTATTGCAATTTTGGGAGATAATCTTTAAAATAACATTTATATTATTGCATGATATGAGTACATGTACAAGCACCTCTGTGACGTATACAGAAACTGAATCTTCATTATACAGGTATGATATGAGTACATGTACAAACACCTCTTTGACGTATATATACAGAAACTGAATCTTCATTACGCAATCAAAACTGAATATACATTCTATATTTGTTATATCACAGATATTTAATTGCAAATACATAATATAAACAGTGTTTGGTCAAATCTCTCTACAAAATAACCTTATGAACTGTCACTTTCGTCGCTCTTCTCTGCTTTTTATTTGGATCCTTCTATTCCAATCCATTGACCAATCACTTCATTATCTCTAATTATCTCCCAATTTTTTATATTATCTTTTTGGTTTATTATCAATCGTAAAATTCCATACAGAAACGGTATTGCAGACATCGCACAAGTTGCGTCTGAACGAATTATCCAAGTACAAACAAAAAGAGAAATTGCCCATAAAACCCTCAAACAAACCCTCTGAATCTGTTCAATATCATGAGAAAACAAAAAAATGCCCATAAAAAGGGAAACTCAATTTATAACAAACCTTTCTATTTATATTTCTTAGCTGATACAGTCATCAAATAATCAGAAAGAAGTAAAATATATCTAACTTTTTCACATTTGAGATTTTTTTTTTTCACCTTGCCTTATGAAAATTGGTTAAAAGTTAAAACACAAATTATCATAAATTTCCAAATGAAAACGATGTTTAGAGACAGCACAAGTTGCTGGTGTATATATGTACCTAGTGTAAGGAATGGAAACTTAATCTATCACAAACCTTTCTATTTATAAAACAGAGAGCGCAAATCATTATTAACTGAAAAGAAAGAAGAAAATTTGTCTTACTTAATTTTCAGATTTTGATTTTTCTCATGCGTCTTATCTTATGAAAATGGTTACCACCCAGTGAGTCTACAGAGTGTTCTTATCTGTCTTTGAAATCATTCCCTTTCTCTCTCTCACACACACTATATAAGCTTACACAGCCACTTCACAATTTCCACAGCAACTTTTAAATTCGATTTATATGAACTGAGAGTTCAATTATTCAATAATAATATAAAAAAATGAGAATTCCTCATCATGTTATGTTCTCTGTACTTGTCCTATTTCTTGTGTCTTCTCTTCTTGGCTCATCATTAGCAGCAAAGCTCTGCAGCGATGGTGACAAGGACGGAGACAGTGGTTGTTACCGGTCTAGGGTTTTGGCTGCGCAACGAGCAGATCGAGTGAAGGAGCTTCCGGGACAGCCGCCGGTGAAATTTCGGCAATACGCCGGTTACGTGACGGTGAATGAAACACATGGAAGAGCTTTGTTCTATTGGTTCTTTGAAGCCACTCATAATCCAAACAAGAAACCTCTTCTTCTTTGGCTCAATGGAGGTAACTCGCATCCACTCATTTTTTTTCTTTTTTATGTATGCGTCTCTCGGTCCGTAAAAACTATTGGTTAAAACCTCATGGTAAAAGAGATAGTTCAACTATTATTATCCCAATACAGTAAAATAAGTTTAACTACATGTGTATCATGCTTCTTGTGCATTTCATCTACTTGTTATCGAATTCCTTCACATTTGCACCCAATAGAAAACATATGATGCACCCTTTAAATTGTCACCTTTCTTTTTGTGTGGTAACGAGTTTCCTGAACTAGACTAAACACCATTACATTGAAAATTAATGTATGCATGTCAATCATCAATAGACTGATACAAACTGGTTTAAACTGAAGAAAGAAAAACTAAATGTGAGATGTGATGTACATTGCATATAGAATAATATGGCTTAACTAAATTAATGTGGATTAAACTATGATGATAAATAAATTAGGAATGTATGTAGTCCTTCGAATGCACGGAGACAAAAGGTAATATGTGAGAGAATATTAGGTGAAGCTTCCTAATTGTAAGATGTGTCTCTTTGGCACGATGTCAAAATCAATGAAACGTATGTCGTTAATTACCATCACTATTATGATGAGTTTTCGTTGAATCTTTAAACTTTAGTTTTTGGAAGCTTGCAATGATTCCACGTGCTTGTGACTTGTTAGTTGTTACATGATACTATATTATATGCTCTTTATTCTCTCTTTTTTTTTCTTCCTTGGTCAAATATGCTCTTTATTCTCTTTTCGACGCATCTGCTATACAATAAACTTAATTTGGCTAAATATATATATAGATATCAATAACAACATTTCCCGATCTCTAATTTAAGAGAGAAAAGTATTTTACGTTATAACGATTGTTTTTTCCTTCCATTTCGCCACTATTGATACAACATTTTAAGCATTTTTTGGGGGGTAACTCGTAAATTACATATGTTTATATTTATACATATTAATTGGATTCATATGCATGTGATGGATATAATTTTTTTGTCGACGTTATATATATACTCCCTCCATATATTCAGGCTTTTATAGGCTCCCGTGGGCTCATGCCTTTACTTTAATATTAAGGCACAGTAGTTATTGACACAAAAGTTATGCATCTATAAATTATTATCATATATCAAGAAAAGTCAATTACATGAAACCTATACGGTCCATTTCATTATTATTCGAAACATTACACATGGTCCATGCACGTATGCACGCCCTAAAAGTTTCTCAAACTTTTTCCTATTGGTGTGTTTGTTGATAAAAGCAATTTTGTCACTATAAAAAACAAACCCCTTACATTAAATGGACCCGAGGCAATAATAAACAGAAAGTAATATAAAAGGTGGGAAGAGTAGGCCTAGATAACCCAAGTTTTGGTAGTTCGGAAAATACAAAATAATTTATGGTAAAAACATGATCCATTAGTTAACAGTAAATTAAGAATTCAACTGTAAAAATGTAAATAGGACCGGGATGTTCATCGGTCGGGTTTGGAGCATCAGAAGAACTCGGACCATTCTTTCCTCAAAACTCGACTCAGCCTAATCTCAAGCTAAATCCACACAGCTGGAACAAAGGTATATATTATATATATCCATGACTTTTTCCACATATATATATCCAAACAAATTTTTTTATCATTACAATTGAAATAACTAATACTTCTGAAATATATAATATATGAAGTGGCGAATTTGTTATTTTTGGAATCTCCGGTGGGAGTTGGATTCTCCTACACTAACACAAGCCGTGATATAAGTGAACTCGGGGACACCGTTACAGGTTCAGTTATATTTTTAAAATTTATTGATGAAATGTGAGTATCTTTGTAAGTAAATTAAGATTGTGTATATACTTTAACCAGCGAAAGACTCGTACAACTTCCTGGTCAACTGGTTCAAGAGATTCCCTCAGTATAAGTCCCGCGACTTTTATATCGCAGGAGAAAGCTATGCCGGTAATTTTTTTTTTTTTTTTGAATAATCTGGTTTCCCAAGTACGATGTCGTTTCTACATGTCAAAATACGTAATAATGTTTTTGATTATTCATTGTATGTTTTGCATGGGATTAGGCCATTACGTTCCTCAACTATCGGAGGTCATCTACAACCAAAACAAGATTGCGTCCAAGAAAGATTTCATAAACCTCAAGGGTCTAATGGTCAGAGATTTTCTTAAATCAATCAATAAATATAGTAGTTGCATAATCTTCTCTTGGTTAAGGATCGTGATGAATTGGACTTGTATATACAGATTGGAAACGCGTTGTTAGACGACGAGACAGATCAGAAGGGGATGATAGATTACGCGTATGATCACGCGGTGATATCAGACGGTTTGTACGAGAGAGTGAACCAACACTGCGATTTTAAACAAGAGCATGTGTCCAAGGAATGCAATGGGGCTTTAGATGAATATTTCGATGTATACAAGATCCTTGACATGTACAGTCTCTACTCTCCAAAATGTGTCCTTACCACCGGGAACTCCTCCATTTCTCAGTCCGTCGCCGGAATCCGCCGCTTTCCTGATGGCCGAGGCCTCTTTCGGCCCCGTCTCAACTCCCACGATGTAAATATTCATTTCTTGTAAAAAATTTTAAAAATTTTTTGTAATGGATTTGACTGGACCGGTTAATATTGATGATAAACAGGAGGGATGGCGGAGGATGGCGGCCGGGTACGACCCGTGTGCATCGGAGTATACAGAAACGTATATGAACAGGAGAGATGTTCAAGAGGCACTTCATGCAAATGTCACCAACATCCCTTACCCTTGGACTCATTGCAGGTATATATCATATGATGTTTAAATCTACATTTTAATACTACTAACTCTATATCACAATATCATAGTTTAAGAGTGATAAAAGTTTCATAAATTGGATACTTTGTGTTCAATCTTAAACCAATGCATGCATGGTTAACGTATCTATATATATGTGCAGCGATGTTATCTCGTCTTGGGCTCCCGCTCCCGCTTCCATGCTTCCTACCTTAAGAACACTTGTTTCAGCCGGATTACGTGTGTGGGTTTTCAGGTATAAGTTATAATAACGTACACTCCTTGATGGGCCTTTTATGTAAGAATTTGACAGAAAATTAGAGATAACCGGTTTATTTTTTTCTGATTATAAAGTGGGGATACAGACGGAAGAATTCCGGTGACCGCGACCAGATACTCATTAAAGAAGCTTGGTCTTAAAACAGTCCAAGACTGGACACCTTGGTACACCAAGCTACAGGTTTGCTTCAAACTTTGTTATAAACTCTTAATTTTATATATCATCATGAGAAGTGTGTGTGATAGACTACAAAAATAAAAAAAAATTGTTTTCACCTACCCGTTTAAAAAAGGTCGGAGGGTGGACGGTGGAGTACGACGGGCTAACGTTTGTGACGGTGAGAGGAGCGGGACACCAAGTTCCGACATTCAAACCTAGAGAGGCTCTTCAGCTTGTTCGCCATTTTCTTGCTAACAAGAAACTTCCTACGTTTCCCTTTTAGTCCTTTCTCTAGCCAAAAAAATTGATAATCTCTACATGATTCTTAAGAAAATTAATAAAAAAAAACAGATTTGAGCAAAACAGGCCTTTCCAATTGTATATCCTTTTAACTAATTTTATCACAAAACCGAGAACTAATTCAATTCACAAGCTTATAAAATGTAAGAAAAAATCAGATGTCAACAAAGGATGTGGAAGAAAACACGCTGTATATATATGAGCAAGAATCATGGTTATATAACTTACATACGATGATACATGTACTATCAATTTAGTCATATTTTCATGTATCTTTACATTAGTAGTTCTAAAAGTAAAGGAATAGAAATAAAAAATTTAAAAGTCTGTATTTTCAATGTTGTATAACAATATTTAATCACGTGTGTCTGAGACTCTCCTCTGTTTCGAATCTTCTTCATGTAGAAATCAATTTTATTTATGTAAGAGTTACATACTTTGATACAACCTAGTTATTTAAAAGACTTTATTAACAAGCAAGAGCGTAATGTACTATTGTTGGTTAATTACATAAAAGCCCTCGCCGGAGTCTTTCGCATTCAACCAGATAAGCGAAACCATAAGCGAGGTTCATGAGAGTTGCGTCGTGGAGCTCCTGATTAACCGTCGCGGTCGCGTCCGTCGAGAAGAAAACCCTGTAACCCCTGACGAAAGCCTCACGCGCCGTCGTCTCACAGCACAGATTCGTCATCACCCCAATCACGATCACCTCCTCCACCCCGACCTCGGCCAGCTTTTCCTGGAGGCGCGTGTTTTGGAACGCGCTGTACGTGCTCTTCTCCACGACCTCGTCTGGTTTAATTACCTGGCGCTCGATCTCCGGGATAATCTCGGAATCGGTGGTTCCGTCGAGGATCAGATCGCCGTTCCACCACTCGCCGAGCATGCCGAGGTCAGTAGGGAATTTGTGGACATGGCGAGTGAAGAAGACGGGGATAGAGGCGCGTCGGCAGAGGTCGATGGTGGTGAGAGCGTTGTGGAGGATGGGCTTGGCCATGGAGGAGAAGTAATTCTGCATATCGATGACGAGAAGAGCGGCGTTTCGAGGATTTGGGTCTCGCTTTCGGGTCTCGTACTTTCTCGACGACGAAGCCATTTTTGGCGCCGAAGCTCTTGGTCGGTGGTGGTGGAGATATTCGGGAACCGAAAACAGAACTTGGCCTCAAGACATCACTATCACTAGAAGTTTCTACAATTGTCGGTTAGATTATTAATGGGCCGAATGAAATTTAAATTGTGGCTAGCCCAAGTATGACGTTCTTGACCCGTGTGTGTACTGTGTTGATTCTGATTCTGATGGTTGATCCCGACGGCGTCGGAGAGACCGAGGATTGTTTCTATGAACGGCTGCCAAAATCCTCCGTATACTTACATCTCTAGTTCCGCATAGAATCTAATTGTACGGTACATCTTCAATCTTCTAGACTACATTGTCAACTTTATTGAAAATTAACAGTTCGTCTGAGTGAATTCCAATGATGCTTTGAACTGATGATTCTATCGTATTAGAGTTTATAGCTGGTTTAGATTGGTTTACTTTTCTAAGTTAAGTCTCCTTTAGCTTGACCGATTTCTGTGAAGATGGTGTTAGTATGAGTGTTCTGTTTTCTCAGTGGGTGAAATTGAGTTTTTGGCCTCTGTTTCCCGATCCTGTGAAAAGGCTGTGACAATTAACATACGCTTGTTGACTGTAACTACAAAATTTTGGTTTTTTTTTTTGGTTTTCGAGCATATATCTTGATGCTTCTTCATGCATAATTCAATAAGCATTTGTATGTTGTATAGTATTATATTTAATGTTACATATGTTTAACTTTGCAGATAAACAAGTACCTGCTCTAAAGGGGATTTGCTGTACATATATAATTTATATCGACGAAGCCTAAGCTCCTTCATCTTCTTGTTTTGATTGGATAGCTTCCACAAGCTGTAGCAGCATCGCACCGATGAAGTACCAGGTAACACCGGCTAACAAAATCTGCTGCCATGGGCTGTTGACAATAGATAAAGCCAGCGAACCACCGATATGGTCTTTGAGCTCAGAGGCTCTGTAGCTGGCTTGGAACTGAACCATGAATACTGCTACTATGGCTGTCCCGATTGGGAATTTCTTTATCCGGAACTTCTCTCTTCTATACTCTCTTCTGCTAGTAGAACTCTCTTGTAATGGAGATTTCGTAGGAGTCACTTGCGGAATCGAGGTAGCCTTGGAACTGCTATTGTTCACGGGTGAGGGAAGAGCTTGGTTTGATGGAATCCAATAATCGTCTCCAACCATGGAAGCTAGTCGTTTTTCTTTGGCTTCCCCGCTCTGTTCTGCTTGTTTCATTGCCGCCACAGCATCTTGAAGCTTTCTGATATCTGGATCAACCGTTTTCCTCCGTTTGGTAAAAGTTAAGCTCATGTTCGAGTCTGGACTCAATGGTTTTGAGTAGGGTGATGATTTCCAGTATAGCCAATTGGATATAGACCTTATTGCCTCTACTGCACTTATTCTTACATCTCTCTGCAAGTCCGTCTCCTGCACACAACATCCTCAACACAACCACTTTAAATATCTGTCAGGTAAAGCCTATAACTTTGGCTTTTTGTTGCTGCTTAGGACAATGAAGAAAATCTCACCTGTGAGGTCTCTCTTGTGGTTCTGCTCATAGCTTCGTATCTTTCCTGGAACTTCTTGGCATCAACAAAAACGTTGGAGACACGCTCACCAACCGTATTTCCAACGCCGATCCTCACGCTGCCTCGAGGTTGCTTTGACATAAGGAACTCCAATGGCGCAAGCTCAGATCTCTCCACCATTCTGGCAACATCTCATAAAGAGTCAATCATTACCTGCATGCGTATAGAGATGGAAAAGTCGAAACCATTACTACATCTACCATCGTCATGTGCTTACGAGATGCAGTCTACTGGGCAAGCTTCGATGGCTTCTTTGATTTTTGATTCAGGATCAGCCCATTGAGCGACAACCCTGGCTCTCCCGTGAGCGGTTTCGATAGCGAATGTTCTCTCTGCAAACAAGGCACACTTCAAGCAACCAACGCACTTGACCTCGTCCACAAACACAGCTCGTTGCTCAGTCTCTGGTCCACACCAAACCGAGTAGATCGGTTTCCCTGTGTAGCCTCTGAGTTCTTCCAGTTTTGCTTGCTCCTGCCAACAACCAACAATTTTAACTTGGTCTGGCGTTTACAAAGACTACAAAAAGTCAAAGAAGCAATATAAGATTATATATAACCTTATCATAGGCTTGGCGAGAGATTGGATCAGATAGAAGCTTGTAAGCCTCGTTAAGGATTATGGCCATGTCGTGTCCTGGGACTCCTGCGATATCAGGATGGCATCGTTTCTGCAGCTTACGATAGGCTGCTTTGATCTGAGACTTATCGGAGCTCCGGTCAATACCCAAGAGGTCGTAAAGATCAAAGTCTGTGATAGAAGATGGTGATGAAGTGGCTCTACACTTGAGCGTGAATGGTGATCTAGTTGTGGTAAGCTTCTGAGATGTGGTACATGGCCATGTAGTGGTCGACGGAGGAAGAGTCGTCGGAGTAAGAATTGTTGGCGGCATTTCTTACTCTTCTCTCTACTCCGGACGGTGGATGAAAGTTGAAAATATGTATGGTAATCTGTTTTTTCATCTCTCTTGGAAGATATTTAATTCGAGACGCAAAAAGAACGTTCCAAATTGAGGGTTTTATTGTTTTTATCGAAATATCAAGAATATTAAAATTAAAATTTGAATAAAAACCTTGGTAATAAAATTGAATAAAAGCCGACAAAAATGTCGTTCGGTGGCAATAAAAGAGTTGAACCTTTTCTGTGATGTTATCCATTCGTAGGAATGAAAGTTTAAGGCTGAGGATCATAGCGTAATAAGATAGATTTATGTGTAGTAAAATCGAATTATATATACCAAAATAAAATGTATGTATTTGATATACTTTATTAGAATAAGATGTATTAATATTGTGATTATTACTTCAAAAGCTCCAGTGTATCCCCTTCTTCTTTTTTTGAATTTACTTCCCACTCTAAAGCTTATATTGCAAAATATATACATTTGGATCAATATCCCTTAATTACCAATAGATAAAACCAAAAAAAAAAAAATGAAAATAATTAGGACAACATATACTTTCCTTTAATATTGTAATGGGCTTTTTAAAAAGAGGCTCTCAAATAAATATGGGCTTTTTAAAATGGAGCCATTCAAGTAGGCCCAGAATCTTTCGTCACTTTTGGACGGCCGATTCTGATTCTTCGAAGAAGAACGCTGAATTATTCCTTTTGCCATTTTGCTCAATAGGGTTCTGTACGAGATTCGGATCGTAGGTTTATTAGAACTTAGATCATCGGAAGACGAAGAAGACAGCCATGTCTAGGCAGGTTACGAGACTCCTCGGATCTCTCTCGTCCAGAGTTCGCGGTTCCGGCGGCAGCTCAGAAGTGTGTCCGTCATGCAGCTCTCTCACTTCGTTGACACCGTCTCGCTTCTTCGGGACGACTCCTCCGCCTCCTGCGGCCGTCTTTGTCGACAAAAACACCCGTGTTATCTGCCAGGGTATCACCGGAAAGAACGGGACCTTCCACACTGAACAAGCCATCGAATACGGCACCAAAATGGTATTGTATTTGAGATATTACATAAATTCAGTATAGTTGTTTTCTGAAATTCCGATACACTGTTTTGTTATTGTGCCGATATGATTTACAATTTAACTCAACGAACGTACATTGATCGGAGCTGTTCTCGCTTCTGCTGGATAGATTTTACTTATTTTGGAGCTGGAAATGATTGATTGCATCATTCTGTGCTTCCCTTCTGCAGTTGAAGCTTGTGATAAAGCTAACTTTAGTATGTGTTGTTCGTTAATAGGTAGCAGGAGTGACACCGAAGAAGGGTGGAACAGAACATTTGGGTCTCCCTGTTTTCAACACCGTTGCTGAAGCTAAGGCCGAGACTAGAGCCAATGCCTCTGTGATCTACGTTCCTGCGCCTTTCGCTGCTGCTGCTATCATGGAAGGTGTGGCTGCTGAGTTGGATCTTGTTGTCTGCATTACTGAAGGAATTCCTCAGCATGACATGGTAATATTCGTTGCGGTGTCCTTTTCTTTTTCTTTTTGTGATATGTGGCCATGATGCTTATTCGATATAAGTGAATTTATTTTGGATTTTGTAATGCAGGTTCGTGTCAAGGCTGCTCTCAACAGTCAGTCAAAAACGAGGCTGATTGGTCCTAACTGCCCTGGGATTATCAAACCTGGTGAATGCAAGATTGGGATCATGCCGGGATACATCCACAAGCCGGGGAAGATAGGGATCGTTTCTCGATCTGGAACATTGACATATGAAGCTGTAAGGTTCTTTGTGTTGCCTTCATGTTTGGCTCTCTTTTGTCTGTCTTTCCCAGTTTTTGTATTCTCCATGGCCTTTAGCTTTCCTCTGAATCCAGATGACTTAGTAAGAATAAATAGTGTTGTTTTTACACTAGCTAAGAACCGATACTCCTTCCGATTGTTAGATTAAGCTTTCGCTGATGCCAGTTTCTTACTTCGTATGATGATCTTGGATTACTGGAAAAGGTCGAGGGTTTGTAATGGTTGTTTGTTGGATTATCTTTCATGCAGGTTTTCCAAACTACTGCAGTAGGCCTGGGGCAATCTACGTGTGTAGGAATTGGTGGGGATCCTTTTAACGGCACAAATTTTGTTGACTGCTTGGAGAAGTTCTTTGTTGACCCTCAAACAGAAGGTCTCGAACGTTTTCCTATTCTTCTAAATTCATTTTGCCCTTTGAGTCACTTACCTTTAATATGTTGTAGATAACCAATACTTAACCTAATATCCATAGACTACTTGTTTTTTAGTAATAGTATGTAGAAGAGGTGGTTTTTTTTTAGCAGTAATAGACTCAAGTTTTTGTGAATGTTGCAGTCTTTCTTTTCTGTTTTGAAGATTTGTCAAAGTCTCCATTGTTGGTTTTGTAACTAAGAAAGGATCGCATTGTTTTCAGGTATCGTTCTCATTGGAGAAATCGGTGGTACTGCGGAAGAAGATGCCGCTGCTCTGATAAAGGTAACTGCAATGCATCTTTCTTAAGAACCAAGTGTTGCAATTTCTAGATGATCGAGAGTAAAAACAAGTCCTTGTTTTTGATCGAACAGGAAAGCGGTACAGACAAGCCTGTAGTTGCGTTCATTGCTGGACTTACTGCACCACCCGGGCGTAGAATGGGTCATGCTGGAGGTAAATAAAACTTTACCCGGCTCTTTCATTCATACACAGGTTCTCACACCCGGGGATTAAATATCTTGTATTTCTCTTTGGATCGATACAGCCATTGTCTCTGGTGGTAAGGGCACAGCTCAAGACAAGATAAAGAGCCTTAGAGACGCGGGAGTTAAAGTGGTTGAGTCACCGGCTAAGATTGGTGCGGCCATGTTAGAACTTTTCCAAGAAAGAAAATAGTTCTTTTGAAGTAGAATATGAAGATCGATCAGCAACATTTCATAGTCAAGTTTAGTTTTTATGTTTCATAATGCAGAGGCATCAGAGGCTTTTGCCAGGATTCTGTGTATTGTATTTTTTCCAGGACTCAGTATAGGTTCTTGCTATTTTAATTGATTAGTACTTATGCCAATCCCAATGTGCACAAAGCATTTAGTGGTTAAATGAACTTTGAACTTCATAGTCAAATTAAAAGCAAAACTAGAGAATGGTTTTCCAAGTACAAAGAAAGCAAAAACTTATGCAAAAAGGGAAACAGCGTTTTTGGTCTTGAAAGTTCTTATTCTCTTCAGCTTCTTTTTGCTTCAACCTGCAACAAAAAACAGTCGTAATCAATTATTCTTCAAAAAAAATAGTCTATTTGAAGAATCAAATTGTCCCAAGTCCCTGGTGCGCATCTCCTGTGATGCTGATAAGCCTCTTGCGAGCCCTCTCTTCGGGGGTTAATTTAACAGCCCTAATTTGTAACATTGGAGCTCTGAAACTGAGCTGGTTAATCATCATTGAACCTGCAACAATAAAAGAAATCGGAAACCAAAAATACACTCAAACCCCTGAGACACTGAAAATTTTGGAATAAGAAATCTACACTTTCGACAGAACCAGATTGCGCAGGATAAACGAACCATTAGGATCAAAATACCAAAGACAAAACGCGAATTTTCAAAGGCTGGAACTTTGGGTTTTCGACATAAGGAACAAGCAACGTAAAAAAAATAAGATAGGAAGGCAGATAAACCAGAAGACTATCACAAAGTCGATGGCTTTCTCCTTTAGGAATTAATCTGGATTAAGATCAAAATACCAAAAGACAAAACACGAATTTTCAAAGGCTGGAACTTTGGGTTTTCGACATAAGGAACAAGGCAACGTAAAAAAAATAAGATAGGAAGGCAGATAAACCAGAAGACTATCACAAAGTCGATGGCTTTCTCCTTTAGGGATTAATCTGGGTTAAGATTAAAACCCTACAAAACCCTTACAAACCCAGTTTCATGGTAGGGAACGCGTGAAAAGTGAAAACAAATGCCGATAAACCAGAGCACAAAAACAGCCTTCGAAATGAAAAGCAGTACTTTCCGAAAGTCAGAAACTTGTTTTTGCTTGTGTATTACGGAATGCAAAGAGAGAAAAACAGAAAAAATCGGAGAAATCCAGTACGAAAACAGAGTAAGAGAGAGATAAGAACAAAAAAAAAGTCAGAGCAGATATTAAACGATCCGGCATCATACCGTGAAATCAGTAGCCAACGGCGAGCTTTTGATGGTGAGAGGGGACGGAAAATGTAGAGAGAGAGAGAGAAAGAAAGAGGACTGGTGTGGAGGTAGTGTAAATAGAGAGTTGGGGAAGAGGAAGACGACAATAGAAATAAGATTAACGAAAGATAAATTGCAAAAAAGCCCACACCTTTTATAACTATTAAAAAGGAGCTCGCTTTTTACTTTTTGGGGATAATGCAGCCATAAACAACAAGCTTGTATCCAAGCCAAGTAAGTTGATTCATTTTTGGTGAAGTTTTTACTAAAACAGTCTCCATGGTTTGGCTTATAAAGTGGATTTACATGCTTTTATGTCACTAGCTCTCTATTTTCTGTGTTCTAGGTGGTTCTCGTTATATATGTAAAGTGATCAGTGGATTTCCCCCTGACGAATCAATACCATATATGTCTTTAACATTTACTGAATTTAATGAATCAAAAACTTTTTCAGAAATGCTTGATTTTTTCAGTACTCCTCCAATTCCTCATGTTTCTAACACTCTAAGCCTTTTGATGTTTGCTGTTTGCAGGTGACAGGTCCGGCATCTTTGGGAGACATGGAAGAAATTATCTTTGACTTGGGAAAGCAGCGTTTGATATACTCAAAAGGGTTAGGAGCATTTTCCCAGCTTCCTTGAAACATTTGGTCGTTATCTAAAATGTTCACAGAAGCTAAGGTTGCAACTGCCACTAAGTGAGTCGACTTGTAAATTTTTATGCCAGTGTGTTCAAAATAACAACCTTCATAATTCATAACTTGTTCTTTGACAAATGTCTCTGGGTTTCGGTTCCTGTTTTCCACAGTTTTATATTTGGCACTTTATCCTAAACATAAACATTTAGCAATCCATTTTATGGCAATGTCAAGTCTATTATGTGTTTCTGTAAGAGTCGACTAATTTCGTAACATTTCAATTTTGTAAAATGGATTAATTTTGTAACATTTTCAATTTTAACTTTCTGAAGATAATTGATTCTCACGTTGATCACATGATGATAAGTTCCAAGTTGAATTTCTTTGTAACATACAAAGTTAATTCACGTCATTATGGGAGATCAATCTTCACTTCTTCTTTTTTTAAAAATATATTCACTTTATGGGAGATCAACTTTAAAACAGTTTTTTGATTCTTCATCGTTTCCTTCTTTTAACATTGATTAAGAATAATCAAAAAACACTCTGCTTACAATTCTTTTTCCTCTGTTTTTTTCTCTTGAGATTACTAGCAGTATTTGGTTCGATAAAGTTCTCTTTTGTAATAAAAGAAAAACTTGTGACACGTATTGGACTATTGGGGTTTTGGGCCTTTTTCATACAGCCACGTAATTAAATCTTCGTCGTTATATCATAAGTTGTTTGTGGAAAACCTAGTCAGTCACTCAGAAAATGCGGCTCCTTTCGCCAGTAAAATCGGTTCCTACGGTGGCCAGGTTCTGCAACCCCTCCGTCCATCGACTCGCCTCTCCTCCTCTCCTTCGTCTCCGTCTCTCGAACAATTTCCCGCCAACATTAGCCCTAACCACGGATAATTCTTCCGGCGGATGTTGGTCGTTTCATGCTTCCACAGTATGCCATTACGCTTCCTCTTCTTCGTCTTCTGCGTCGCAAAGTGAGTCTGCACAAGAAAGGACGAGTCCTTTTCGTTTTGATGACGCCATAGACTCGCTGGTCCAAATCTTCTTCTTTCCTAGCACGCCAAAGCCTCTTGAACCCTGGGACAAGAGTGACTCTGAGGAAAAAGAAGATATCGGCTCTGGTATCCATTAACATCTCTCGCTCTCTCCCATATGTAGTTTTTACATTATTGACATTTAGGAGTGCCTTTGTTTCATCTTATTTAGGGTTTGTAATTTCCGGAAGGAGGATTCTTGCGGAATCTTTTACTGTGTCTAATCGTTCATCATCCTTGCGAGTGAGAAAGTTTCGTTCGCCCACTTTCTACAAAGCAAAGGTTGAAGCTGTTTCGGATGAATGTGGTTTGGCTACCTTAGTTGTTGATAGCGATGAGTTTTGGGAGCATACGCATGCTTTGGAGCTCGGTGAAGACGACGTACCCTCTATAGGCGAAACTGTCTCCGTTCTCACTTATGGTACGCCTTTACAAAGCTTTTGAATGATATGATGCTGGTTGAGTAAATATTGGCGACAATAAAAGAGAAAAAAAAAGTATTACGCCTGCCTCTCGCTTAAAAGATCGTAGTGGAATGTTCAACGGATACTCATAAGAATGACTAATGAGTGATGTTATGCGTTTATGCAGATAGGGACATCATCGAGCTTAAAGAAGGGACTGTATCCTCAGTTGCACCTAGAGAATATTTCGATGGCACCTCCAAACTATTGTCCATAGAAATTGATCATGATCGTTGCTACTGTAGTGGTCCAGTGGTTATGCGAGACGTGATTGTTGGTTTCTATACATGGTTGGGGAAATGCATAATTCCAACTCCAGTGATTAAGCATTTTCTAAATGGTCTTGAGGAAAGACACATTGGCTTCGGTTCGCTGGATATTCGGTATCAAACCTTGGAGGATGCTCAACTACGTAGACATTTTAAAATGAGTCATGACATGACAGGTGTTCTAATAACCGAAATAGATCCACTGTCAAATGCTCTCAAAGTTCTGGAAAAACACGATGTCATACTTGCAGTTGAAGGTCTTCCTGTAGATAATGATGGAGCAGGTAAAACAGTTTAGGTTTATTTTGCTGAATATATCCATGTGAAATTTAATTGTTATATTCTCTTTTTGCAGTTCATTTTCAGAAAAAAGAATGGCTCAGTCTCAATCACTTGGTTTCTATGAAGAAACCTGGTGAAGTAGCTTCTCTTAAAATATTAAGAGATGGAAAAGAGCATGCGTTCAACGTCGGTTTAAACTTCACCGTAAGCCATCTTTTTTTTCCCTCTTTATATATGTTATTTACCGTATTTTGTTATGTGAGTTCAATTAATTGCCGCTTTAGTTCTCTTTTCCTTTTCCTTGTTGGTTCGAACTATCAAAACGTGTTCTATTGTATACAGAAGCAGCAGATGGTTCCATACAACTTCCTTCCGAGCTATTACATACTTGGCGGTTTTGTCTTTATGGCTCTTTCTGAGCCATTCATTAGTAAATCAAGAAAAGTCATATGTGGCTGTAATTTAGAAAGGATGGCCAAGAAAGCCGGTGAGGAGATTGTCATCATTTCTCAGGTTTGTGTTTCACTCCTCACCTAATTTTTTTTAACCTAAAATCTTCTACTCAAGTATATATATTGGTAAGCTCGGTTGTTGAGTTGATAATAGCCTCAGCTTAGCTAACTGAATGAGATTTATTTTCTTCTTTTTGGGGCGTAGGTGTTGTTGGATGACATAAACAAGGAATATTCTACTTTCCAATATTTCGAGGTAATTTATTTTGTATTTGCCGATTTTAAAGTTTAGGGTTGCTTACTTAGAATGGAACGAATTATTACTATAATTCCCACGTTATAGTTTAGTTAAACATCTGATTGTTTTGTGGTGTATGACAGGTGAAGAAAGTGAACGGAGTGGAAGTTGTGAATTTGAAGCATCTAAGTGAGCTCATAGAAAATTGCTGCACCGAGGATTTGAGGTTTGACTTAGAAGATGGATATGTTATAGTCTTGAACAAGAAATCTGCTAAAGAAGCAAATTCTGTGATCTTGGAACGCCATGGAATACCATCGGCCATGTCCAATGACCTTCAATAAACAAACTCTGGCTAGTGAGCTGGCTTCTTCTGCACTTGAATTACTAGGGTTTTTTTTTTTTTGAACTAATTACGAGATCAAAATTCATTTTGTTAAATTTTACATAAACCAAATCTTATTTGTTGTCATTTGGGCTTAGAGTTTAACAAATTATGAACATTTTTTTGGAAATTTTTTGTAAGCTTTGTTTCGTTTTGGTATCATAAGCTTAAATAAGCGTTATTAACAAAACGAATATGTATCTTACCATACCAATGCAGCAACGCTGATATTAATGTTATCTTAAACTTCCACAACAGGTGGTAAAACCAAACAAATAAATATATGATATGGCATGTCTTGTTAATATGTTAGCAAAAGTAAGAATGTTGACAATAAAAAAAAAATTACAAAACTTATAATATATATACAAAATAATAAGTGGAAATGATCCAAAATAATTCATGATGGAAAAATAAAGCATAAACTATTTTGAGAGAAAATTATCAAAAGAAACTCTTACAATAAATATTTTATAGTATCAACACTATGGTTCCAGCGATTTTTCTAATGCAAACTAATGACTCACTAAAACCATAGGGTTGGAAAATACTAATTAAATCTTTATCGTTATATCATACTAATTACTTTTTATGATGGGGTTTTGGGCCTTTTTCATCCAGCCAGAGATAACCTAATTAAATCTTCTTCGTTAACTCATAAGTTGTTTGTGGAAAACCTAGTCAGTCACTCAGAAAATGCGGCTCCTTTCGCCCGTAAAATCGGTTCCTACGGTGGCCAGGTTCTGCAACCCCTACGTCCATCGACTCGCCTCTCCTCCTCTCCTTCGTCTCCGTCTCTCGAACAATTTCCCGCCAACATTAGCCCTAACCACGGATAATTCTTCCGGCGGATGTTGGTCGCTTCATGCTTCCACGATATGCCATTACGCTTCCTCTTCTTCGTCTTCTGCGTCGCAAAGTGAGTCTGCACAAGAAAGGACGAGCTCTTTTCGTTTTGATGACGCCATAGACTCGCTGGTCCAGATCTTCTACTTCTCTAACACGCCAAAACCTCTTCAACCCTGGGACAAGAGTGACTCTGAGGAAAAAACAAATATCGGCTCTGGTATCCATTAACATCTCTCGCTCTCTCCCATTATTGACATTTAGGAGTGCCTTTGTTTTATCCTATTTTGGATTTTATTTAGGGTTTGTAATTTCCGGAAAGAGGATTCTTGCGGAATCTCTTATGGTGTCTCGGCGTTCATCATCCTTGCGAGTGAGAAATTTTCGTTCGCCCACTTTCTACACAGCAAAGGTTGAAGCGGTTGCGGATGAATGTGGTTTGGCTACCTTAGTTGTTGATAGCGAAGAGTTTTGGGAACATACGCTTGCTTTGGAGCTCGGTGACGACATACCCTCTATTGGCGAGCCTGTCTCCGTTTTTGCTTATGGTACGCTTTTATAATGCTTTTAAATGGTACTAGGTATATATCCGCGCTAAGCTGCTGATTGTTTCTTAATTATTTTTTTATTAATTAATGCTATAGTTTGATAAAAAAATATATATATTAAAATGAATATTATATGTATATATTAAGAAATATATAAATATATATATATATGAATAATAAAATTCTGTTTTAGTTGTATTTTGTGTCCTAATCACTATTTATCTTTATCAGAGGTGGATGTAAGGCAACAAATACGGTGGAACATGTTTATGTGCAATTTTTAACTTTAGCAATTAGTGTAAAATTTATTTAAATATCCCTGATTGAAAATTAGTTACACACTTATCACTTGTGAACATGTAGGCATAGAAATATTATTTAGAATAGTGTTTCAAATTTTAAAGTTTTGAAGTATTTATGCCACATCATTTAAATTTTTAGTGTAAATGTGATTTTTCTTGAAAAAATATTTGTATTAAATGTTTGTTGTGGTTAAAGGGACATAAATGGTTGTAATGGTGAGTTGAGGTCGAATTAAAACACTAATAGACACTTGGATGATGTAAAACCATATTGAAGTTATGAATATAAAACATCAAGATTGAAATTAATTCTCATAAATATTCATTTTAAACAAAAAATATATTAAACGTAAAATTTCATAATAAAATTATTCTCTAATAGAAAATTTTATTTATTTTATAAAAACCCTTTTCATTACTAAATTTTTTTTTATGTTAATCTTTTTTATAACAAACAGAAATAACCATTTTTCATTTAAAACATGTTCATAAACGTTTGACATATTTTTATAGTTCTTACATTTAAATGTTATCAGCTTAGGGTTTATCCTTACTGTGTCTCATTTGTGAGCTGATATGTTATTTCAATCGTATAATATAAAATACTGATCTTACACATACTAAACTTATATCATCAGAAACTGTCGACAATTATAGTATAAATTTAAAATATTGAATCTGAAAAAAAATAAAGATGTCAACTATAAAACGCTAAAACTTCTCTTTTTCAGTAACTTGATATCTCTTTCTTTTGAACAAAAAAAATATCTCTTTCTTCAATCAAAACCATTTATCCATCATTATTATACGAAACAATGATCATTGTCCAACATCTGAAGTGAAAGAGTCAAATGGAGATTCTGAAACTATGAGTAACATGAATTTGTCAAGAGACACAATTGGAGGAAGAGATCTAGTGAGATTATGCATCTCATGATATCTTGTGACGACTATGCATCTTTTAGTCTCTTGAGACTCTGTTAATTGAGTAAGTATCTTCTTCATTAGAGTTCTTCACTGCATTATTAATTTTAAATGTTTCAATGATTCTTATGTTATTTATTTTACGTTATTTTTTTAACAGTAATCAACCTAGCGAACTAAATCCAATAGTAACCTCATCTAAGGCACTATAAATTGGTTCAACTTCCACTTGAAAACACATGTGTGTTTTGCCTTACAAAGGCTTATGAATAATAACTGGTTGATACTTAAAAAAAATGATAATAATAATTAATTAATTTTTTGTGTTTATAACTTCAAATAAAATTCCAAATTGGGTGTAGAGAGAACCAAAGTCTTAAAAAAATAGAGACTTAACACTTCAAAAGATCCACGATAGAGACTACACAAGAAGCCTCACACGAGCCCAATCCAAAACTTGGTTTCGTTTAAAAAGGGACACGCTTATTTTTTTTTATCATTCCCGTAGATTTATTTTTTAGTTTAGTTCGGTTTAGATTTTTAACGAATTTACTACGGTGAGCAATGCTTTGATAATTTAATGGAGATTACTACTATAGATTGAGGAAAGAAATATTCAAAAGCACAAATACAAAGCTCTATATTAAAAATACTTTAATGGCTATTACATTATAAACCATCTTTTTTTTTCTACTCATACAACAAACAAAGGATATATATATACGATTTTTGGATGATGCAATTAGTGGTGATGTGTTCGTGCTACATTTAGAGTTTTTTTGAGAGAATTACAAACCGAGCCAAGAACATTGCTTCCTCGTATGCTTAGGTACTAACTTAGCTACAATCTTCACTGTCACACCTTTCATCTTTATCCACGAAATTTTTTTATTTTTATTTTCTGTTGTTTATTATTTGGATTTTAGTTTGACAAAAAATAAAACAATTTTTTTACTGTTATTTATTATTTGGGTTTAATAAAAAGTAAAATAAAGATATAAGGCTTGATTGGTTGTTGCTGTAGATGCTGTACAAAGCAATATTTATGTTTAAAGCTCTAAATCATATTAATCATGCTTTATAAACTCTGTCTTTCATTTATTTGCTCACAACCAAAATATTTCCTTTTTTATTTTTTTGCTGTATAAAACATTATTTTCTAAAGTACATAAATTTATGCTTTCCAAATTTTACAATTCTACAGCCAAAATATTAAAGAAATAAAATCTACAGCTACAACAAAAAAATCTACAACCACATTTCTACAGCAAAAACATAAAGCTACGGCTGTTACCAATCAAGCCCATAATTTTTTATTTGATGTAGTTTATTATTTGGACTTGGGTTTGGCAAAATAATAAAACAAAGATTAACAGAAATTTTTTTTGTGTTTTTAATGAGTTTAATTAAAAATAGTAAAAATTAATAGATGATGTGTATTAATTAAAATGTTTTGATTGGTTGTTGATTTTGCTGATGTGTCAGTTTTTGGTAACTTGAAAAAGCTGAGTTGTCAAGCTATGAAGAGACTTTAGTGTTATTGTTGTGTTGATTAAGATGGTTGAGCAAATATAGCGACCAAACAAAAAAAAAATCAATTGTATTACGTATATCTCGCTCTAGAGATTTTAGTAGAATGTTTTAGTTATACTCATAAGAATAACTAATAATGAGAATGCAATATTATAGAATTATTAGATGGAAATACACAAAACTATTTATGCAAATTGGAAAAAAAAATTTATAAAAATTCAGCATAACTCTATGCAAATTTCTTTACTTTAAAAATCTATCAACTATAACTGAATCCAACTTCCACTAAATGAGTTATGCTTGTGTTCAAATGCAGAATACGGCACCATTAAGTTTTTAGAATGTACTATATCGTCTGTTGAACGTAGAGAGTATAGTTACGGCACTACCGACGCATTCTCCATACAATTCGATACTGAGACTATCTACAGTATGTGTCCGGTGGTTATGGGAAACAAGATCGTTGGTGTATATCAAAAGCACAATGACACCATAATCCCAACTCCAGAGATTAAGCATTTTCTAAATGGCATTGGAGAAAGACGACCCATTGGCTTCGGTTCGTTGGATATTTGGCATCAAGACATGGTGGATGCTCAACTACGTAGACATTTTAGAATGAGTCATGACACGACAGGTGTTCTTATAACCAAAATAGATCCACTGTCGAATGCTCTCAAAGTTCTGAAAAAACACGATGTCATACTTGCAATTGAAGGTATTCCTGTAAACAATGATGGAACAGGTAAACAGCTTTTATATATACACATATTTCGAATATCTTCTTATTCTTATTCATGTGATGTGATAAATTTTAATTGTTATATATTTTTCTTGCAGTTCATTTTCAGAAAAAAGAATGGCTCGGTCTTGATGAATTGGTTTCTATGAAGAAGCCTGGTGAAACAGCTTTAGTTAAAATCTTAAGAGATGGAAAAGAGCAAGCGTTCAACGTCAGTTTAAACTTCACCGTAAGTCATCTATTATTTTTTTCTTTCTAGTGACAGATCTGTTTGTTAGTGAATTCAATAATTGCCCCCATTAGTTCTCTTTTCCTTGTTGGTTCGATTTTTTTTTTCTTAATTTAAATGGAAAATCATCAAAACGTGTTCCACGGGTATCTAATGTACACAGACGCAGCGTCTGGTTCCGTACAAATTCCTTCCGAGCTATTACATTCTTGGCGGTTTTGTCTTTATGGCTCTTTCTGAGCCATGCATTGATAGATCAAGAAAAGACATATGTGACTGTGCATTATATAGGATGGCCACGAAAGCCGGTGAACAGATTGTCATCATTTCTCAGGTTTGTGTTTCCCTCCTCGCCTAATCTGTTTTTAAACCTAAAATATTCTACTTACAAGAAAAACAATAATTGTAAGCTCGGTTGTTGATAGTTGATGATTTACTGAGCTTAGCTTACTTGATAAGGTCAAGAATTGAAACTGTCGTCTTGTCTTTGAATCAAGAATTACGATGACGAACCCTAGATAGATTAGAGAGATTTGTTGTAGATTATCTTTGAATCAAGAATTACAATGAATATATAGATGATGGGTTTGTTGTTCTGATGTTCTCAATTACCAAATGCAAAGACCTCTAATCTGTTTAGTCTATCACTAACATGGTCCGTCCTTAGGTGCTAGTAATGTAAATAACAATCTATTTTTCATTATCTTGGCATTCGAATTAAGATTTGTTTTTTTTTTTTTTTTTGGTGTAGGTGTTGTTGGATGACATCAACAAGGAATACTCTAAATTTACAAATTTTGAGGTATAAGTCATTTGGATTTGCCTATTTCAAAGTGAAGATTGATTCTAAGAATATGGAAGGAATTATAAATATAATACCACGCTTACATATAGTTTACAAGAAAATGCTTGTGGTGTATGACAGGTGAAGAAAGTGAACGGAGTGGAAGTTGTGAATCTGAAGCATCTAAGTGAGCTCATAGAAAATTGCTGCACCGAGGATTTGAGGTTCGACTTAGAAAAAGGAAATGTTATTGTGTTGAACAAGAAATCTGCTAAAGAAGCAACTTCGGTGACCTTGGAACGTTACGGAATACCATCGGCCATGTCCGATGACCTTCAGTAAACAAACTCTGGCATGTCCAATGTTCAAGGATTATTAGATTTTTTCTCTTATCTTTTTTGGTTTAACTAATTACGAGAGCAAGATTCATTTTGTTATATTTTACATATAGCAAATCGATCGACGTGGTAGTGTATATATCTATTCATTCTCGTAGTAGTGCCTCCTATGTGTACCTTTATGATCCACCTTCTTGATCGACACGCCAAGTTATTCTCCTCTGTTTTTGTGTGTCTGGATATAGAGTGTGGAGCAAGAAAAACCAAATAATTTGAAGGCCTTATTGAAACTCTGTCAAAAAAATAAATAAATCATACTATGTTATTGCCGCGCGTATTCTGTTATATATTTTATATTATTTGTTTGAATTTGACGGATTAGAGTTAAACAAAATCTGAACATTTTGTTCGACGTTGTAATGTTGGCATTTTTTTTGTAAGCTTTGTTTCGTTTTGGTTTCAAAAGCGTCATTAAAAAAATCAATATGTATCTTACCAATGCGGCAACGCTGATATTTTTGTAAATGTTAACAAAAATAAGATTGTTAACCAAAAAATAATAATAATAACAAACTAATACAAATAATTATTAGATAAGCAATGAATGACTTACCAAGTCTGAAAACTAGATCTGTTCACGGAGTTGTATTCCAACAAACAAAAAAACACATCAATTACTTTAAAAAATGACACTTCCATTAAAAAATTGTTAATTAGTTTCGTAAATAATAGGTAAGAGATGATTCATAAAGTGGTTTGTATACGAAAAGAACAATTGACATGTGATGAATGACTTTTAAGAAACAAGACAACACAAATGAGAAGAGGTCCTAGCTTATCAATGGTAATCACTGAATCACATAATTAAAGACGCTGACATCAGATGAAACCATCTCATTGTTGCATGCAAATGATCTGTCATGCGTTTTACTCCTTCTCTGTTTAAGGTTGCGTACGTCAGCCTCTCAAAGAGAAAAACCAAAACATTTATCAATTTATTATTAGGCATATTACCAAGTAAATATATAAAATTCAATAATTACATATCTGTTATATACGTATGACGGTATGAGTATGACAGTATGTAGACCAGCCATATACATTAATAGGGGGATGCAGAAGAGTGAGATAGTTTTGAATGACTAAAATAGCCTTGGCCCCAATTCTTCCTCTTTAATCATTAGATTCCTAATTTAGAAACCATAACATGTTTTCTGCAAGTCTCTGACAGGAGCAGACGAGATGACTCACGAGTTATCTCTCTCTACTTCCTTGAAAAACATATGACCCAAAATTCAAAGGAAAAGACTTTACATTTCAAACAGATTTGACATAACATGTAATATTGCTTAGGACATTTGTGTTCATCACGTCCGTCTTTCAATGACCAATTAATGCTGTTTTGTTTGTTTGTTTTAACCACGTTTTAGCAAAAGTACATTTATACAGGACTTTTTTAATCCGCTCGTTACTTAATCGACAAATATATAATGTCCCTCAATACTATTTGGTATATATTTTTTACAAAACATGCCACTGAAAATGATTCAGTTGTATATGTTCATATCATCACATAATTGTGTTCAACCTGATGTAGCGGCTGATTACTCTATGCACAATGTTAGAAAATCTGAATATTAACTCGATGATCTAAATACCAATTTCTTTTCCAGAATTTTAATACGTTCGAGTTTCAGCATAAAAGCTTTTACTCACACCACTTGTTTCCCCTTGCGTTGTGTGGCAATGTCGCTGTATAAATGTACATATTCCTTTTGTTTTCCTCCAAAAAGTTTATTAATGAAATTCAGATTCTACGATATAATAATAAATAATGTTACTTCAAAAATAAAAGAGTGTGCCAATATGGACTGTGCTTTTACCATGAGGGATTTAAACTCGATTTTTTTTTTGTTACACTGAAGTTGATGAATATAGACATTAAATTAACTCGAATAGACAGGAAAAATCCGATGTCCAAAAAAAAAGACAGGAAAGAGATATCACAAATAATCTAACAAAACTATTATGGCTAAGTATCACATTTTTAGATATATCAACGGTTCAAAGCCCGATCCATACTGTCATACGTAAAAAAATATTGTTTTGGCAAAACTACATATAAGGTGATGTTACTATAGAAATAAAACCAAATTAAGAGGAAGGTGGGTAAGAAAAAATAAGAGAGAGTCACTTTCAAGTATTGTTACATTTTGTCTTTTCCCATTTGGCTATCTCTCTCTTTTGCCTTTTCCCTTTTGTGGTAACTTTATTTTCCCTATAACATTTTTTCATTAAGTTTCCATTTATGGATTATTTTCTAGTTGCGTCAAGCATGGAATATCAAAGAAATTAGTTCGAGATTTGACTAAAAAGGGTCATTTCTGCTAAATAAATTACTAACACTGCCATTAGGCCAATCACATGTCTAGTAACAATTTGACATTTCACTTACTATTGTAACTTTTGATAGATATTGAGACTTTACAAAAAAATATTTTAAGAAAATTTTGTTGAAGAAAAAAACTTGAATATCATTCACTATAAAAAAAAGGAAAAAATGTATAGGTTTTTGTTACAATACTGAACGTAAATTGTGACCATGATTCCATAAAGCAGTAACATTTCAAACTCTAAAAATTGTTGATATTAAAAACTTGAATATCATCCACTATAAAAAAAAGGAAAAAATGTATAGGTTTTTGTTACAATACTGAACGTAAATTGTGACCATGATTCCATAAAGCAGTAACATTTCAAACTCTAAAAATTGTTGATATTAATCTAGTTTACAGAAAAAGTAGAAGAAAGAAAAAATGAAATTAGAAAATGTTGAGCTGACATCACACGCCACACACAGAATTGTATAGAAAAGAGGAAGTGTAATTAAGCATATTCTTCCGCATTAACCTCTCTCCTCTCTGTGTCATCCAACCTCATATACTACTGATCTCCATTTCCAGATCCCCAAGAACACAACTCATCAACAAGTACTTTAAATACTCTATCTCTCTCTTTAGAGATCTCTCTTTCTCTCTCTCTCTCTCTCTCTCTCTCTCTCTCTCTTTCTCTCTGTTTCTCACTAATTACTCTCTACCTCTCTTACATACACAAACACAATCTCTCTCGCTTCTCTCTAATTCACACATCAAGATAAAAGAATCAAACCATCCTTGAAATGAATCCTGTAATTAATTATAGGATTTCAGTTTTTGAGTTTTTTGTTCTTAATTTGGTTTTGTAGTTAATTAGGGTTTCTTTATAGTTTATCTACCTTGCATATATATATGTATGACATAGACTTACATGACACTGAATCAGGAGGAAGAGGAAGGAACGAATAAGAGGAAGAGGAGAGAGATGGGAAGAGGGAAGATAGAGATAAAGAAGATAGAGAATCAGACAGCGAGGCAAGTGACCTTCTGCAAGAGGAGAACTGGTCTTATCAAGAAGACTAATGAGCTCTCTGTTCTCTGCGATGCTCACATTGGTCTCATCGTCTTCTCCTCCACCGGAAAGCTCTCGCAGTACTGTTCCGAACCCCTCAGGTTAACTTCTTCTTCCTCTCCCTCTCTCGAATTAGGGTTTCAGAGATCTATACATACATGTGTATGTATTATCTAATTAAATGAGTAAATAAGAGATATATAGCTCGTGCTTGTGAACAGACAATTCTCATCATTAGTTTCTGAAGTTAGCAGGTATCATGAATACTATGTTTCAGATTTTAATTTGACCCAGAAGTTAAGAATCTCTCTGATGCTATATATATATATATATATATATATATATATTTACTTTTGCAGTATTTGATTTGTATATATCTGTAGATGCATGTATATAATCATTGTTTATTGATATCGGTCAAATTCTGTAATTTCTACACCTGCCAAGCAAAGAGATGTTTTTTCAAAGATTTTTCATTTCTTGATCAACCTTTTTTCCCATATAATGTTTACGACATATATATATATATACCTAGTATATATATAAGTCTTATTTGAATCATTCGATATAAGTACCATTAATTATAAAGGATTTTTATTAAAAGTTGTAAATCTAAGTCATGAACCAGAAGACGAATTTATTCACATCTAGCCTAACAATATAAGAAGAAAGGTATGCTGATATAGTTTGAATTTTGCTATCATAAAACAAAAATGGGGAAAATGTATACTCTCTCCGTTTTTTTATATAAAATATTTTATGAATTGTTTTTTGTTCAAAAATAGTTGATGTTCTCACATATCTATGCAGAAATTAATTGCATTTTATTGATTTTAAGTGTTTAAATTTTGTATATTGTTTTTTTATTGGTTGAATTGTTTTGGAATTAATGACTAAAACATGTTTTGTTTTGGAAATATACAAAATTAAATGATTTCTTAATCTATATAAAAAAACCTTAAACATCGTATATAAAAAAACGGAGGGAGTATGTTATTTGATTTTTGTGTTCCTCCAATGATGATTAAAGTCTTGACGATGTACGATTAAAGATACTATTTGATAACAATTTATTATTACCAATGTTGAATAGGATGCCTCAGCTCATTGACCGATACTTGAAGACCAGTGGAATGCGACTTCCTGATCCTAATGACGGCCGGGTAATATATATATACACGCATACTTATTCCTTTGTCTTAGCCAATTCAAAACAAAGAATATAACATTCTCACAAAAATCAATAATCATTTGGAGTTTTTTGTGTGTATATATAGGAGGAATTGTACCAAGAGATGGAAGTACTAAAAAGAGAGACATGTAAGCTTGAGCTTCGTCTGCGTCCATACCATGGACATGACTTAACCTCCCTTCCTCCACACGAGCTCGATGGTCTCGAGCAACAGCTCGAACATTCTGTCCTTAAAGTCCGCGAGCGTAAGGTAACGTAATATATGTTCACATCAATATACATATTCTCTTAAAACTATAGTGATTATTACACTTTTGTTTGATCTCTCTTTTCTATCTCTACTGTTAATAAATTGAAGAATGAGTTGATGCAGCAACAGTTGGAGAATCTAAGCAGAAAGGTCGCTCTCTAATTAATCATTCTTTTGATAAGTACTCTTAATTTTATTTTCCTCTAATTAGTCATCTTTTATACCGCGGATTTAATGATCATTACCGTGTCTATATAAATATATGATCAGAGGCGGATGCTAGAAGAAGATAACAACAATATGTACCGTTTGGTAAGTTTGGTTACTAGAGAACGTTTAATTTGGTTGCACATTTTCGGTTTGTGTGACATAATTATTCAACGTATTAATTGCAGCTTCATGAGCATCGTAACGCGGTTGAATTTCAGCAAGCTGGGATAGAGACGAAACCAGGGGAGTATCAACAGTTTCTAGAGCAGCTTCAGTACTATAATGATCATCAGCAACAACCAAACAGTGTTCTTCAGCTTGCTACGCTTCCTTCTGAGATTGATCCTAATTACCATCTCCAGCTTGCTCAGCCTAATCTTCAAAACGATCCAACGGCCAAGATTGATTAGTCCTCAAAAGTGAATCATTTATGTCTTTTATTACTACCTATTTTGATTATAGCCAATGCCTTCTTCTGTGTCTGTTTTGTGTGGTTATGGAAACCTAATATTGTTTGAAGTACAATTCACTTGAAAAGCGTTTATGGTCTTTCTTTGATTAAATAATTTAATCTTCATTATCACACATTTGCCAACTAGAGATCAACTGTTTATGTAATCGCAGATTTTGAGATACATTTTTGGCCATAGAAAGAGTGGGAGACACATGAGTAAACTATTCTTAGGTTGTTGACAAAAGGAAGAACCAACACCTCAGAATCTTAATAATGTGTGATCGACAAGCTTATCAAGGACCTTCACTGAAAATAGATTTTATATATTTCAGACAGATTAGATCGCAATCCCAAAAATAGCTCTTATAAACTCAGCCAAGATTGCAAAAATTCAATCAACTTCTGTAGGGTATTGCAAGGGACGATCAAGAAGCAGGAAAAGAGTTCTGGAAGAAGAATCTTCCTTTCCTCTTTTCCTCTTCAATCTGTTTTCATCATAAAGACGAGAAAAAATTGAATACTTGGCTTCTTGATCGCTCGAATAACCATCATCATCATCTAGATCCCCCAAACGCTGCGTTTTTTGTTGGCTGAACCGTCTACATCCATGACAGGAGGATATTTTATATCCGAGAGTGGCCATGGAAAAGAGTACCAAGAAGGCCGTGTTACTGCTTTTGTCGTGATCTCCTGCATTGTGGCTGCAATGGGAGGTCTCCTCTTCGGTTACGATATCGGTATCTCAGGTTTGTTTCTTCCCAACCAAGAAACCCCAAGATTTCTCCTTCTCTCTTCTTCTTTCTCTTCTCATCATGGCGGGATATATTTTTTTCAGGAGGAGTGACATCAATGGATGAGTTTCTAACGAGATTCTTCCCCGACGTGCAACGCCAAAGGCAACACAATACAGGGCATGAAACAGAGTATTGCAAATTCGACAATGAGCTTCTCACTCTCTTCACCTCCTCTCTCTACCTCGCGGCTCTATTCGCTTCCTTCCTCGCTTCAACGATCACAAGGCTTTTTGGCCGGAAAATCTCAATGAAGATCGGAGGTCTCGCTTTTCTCTCCGGAGCTCTTCTCAACGGTTTCGCTGTCAGCCTCGAGATGTTGATCATCGGTCGGTTACTTCTCGGTGTAGGCGTCGGATTCGCTAACCAATCTGTTCCTCTTTACCTCTCTGAGATGGCTCCCGCCAAGATCAGAGGAGCTCTCAACACCAGTTTCCAATTAGCAATCACGTTGGGGATCTTAGCCGCGAACCTTGTGAACTACGCAACCCCGAAGCTCGAGAGCGGGATCGGATGGAGGTTTTCTCTCGGTTTAGCTGGGATTCCGGCTGCTCTGATTCTCGTTGGGTCCTTTCTCTTGCCAGAGACGCCAAACTCAATCCTCGAACGTGGATACAAAGAAGAGGCTAGGAACATGCTACAAAAGATCAGAGGAACCATGGAGGTTGAGAATGAGTTTAGGGATCTTTGCAACGCGTGTGAGATCTCGAAGAGAGTTAAGCATCCATGGACGGCCATAATGCAAGCTCGGTATAGACCACAGCTCACGTTCTGCGTCTTCATCCCATTCTTCCAGCAGCTAACCGGGATCAATGTCATCATGTTCTATGCGCCTGTCTTGTTTAAGACCATCGGTTTTGAAGACAACGCCTGCCTCATATCGGCAGTCATTACTGGTCTTGTCAATTTCCTGTCTACAATCGTCTCCATCTACTCTGTCGACAAACTCGGACGCAGACATCTGTTTCTTGTAGGCGGCATCCAGATAATGTTGACCCAGGTGCGTACAAACACTGAAACAATGGAACAGAGTACTATGCTCTGCTTTAAAAAAACAGAGTATCGTGCTCTGCTTTTAAGAAACAGAGTATCCAGCTCTGCTTTCAAAAACAGAGTATGTAACATCGATTCGTTTTGCTTTGGCTTCAGATCGCAATAGGATCGATGATCGCATGGAAATTCGGATTGAATGGCGACGGGACATTGTCACATCTTGAGGCAGATATACTCTTGGCCCTCATATGTGTCTACGTGGCGGGTTTTGCGTGGTCGTGGGGGCCGTTGGGATGGTTAGTGCCGAGTGAGATATGTCCGTTGGAAATCAGATCGGCAGGACAATCGTTGAACGTGTCGGTGAACATGTTCTTCACGTTCGTCGTTGGACAGTTCTTCCTGACGATGCTTTGCCACATGAAGTTTGGTCTCTTCTACTTCTTCGCCGTCGCGGTCTTGATCATGACGATTTTCGTCCACTTCTTGTTGCCAGAGACGAAAGGAGTTCCGATTGAGGAGATGGGGAGAGTGTGGAAGGAGCATAGATTCTGGGGAAAATATACTGCGGATGATAGTGGTGATGATGATGATGTTTATATTTAAGATTAAGGGTTTTTTTAGGATTCGATTAATTTTTTGACAGAACGCTTGTACTGACCCATTTGTTAAAATGAAACGAGGAAAGAAAAAAAAAATCAACAAAACGGGTGTACATATTTTAACTTGAAACCTTTCGTCTATTGTTCAGATTACTTTTGCAGCATAACAAAACTCTGTCATGTTTTGATTAAACCTAGCTTGATATACGGCTATTCCATGAAATGGATGAAAGTTAGAGCAAGAAGAACCGATCAATTGAAGGATCGTGAGCAAAGAAGTGTGAAGCCCTAGATGGCTAGATGAAACGAAGACGGTCGTATGTAGTCATCTAAGTCATGTACTCATGTTCGCCAGAAATCAAACGCGGAAAAAAATTCTCAATCGTTCTGATACCATATTAATTGTTTCACCACAACAAAGCGAAAACAGAAAATGGTTTTTCATATTCATGCTTACAAGTGAAGTGAGGATTACAGTGTTAATGTATTTTAATATGCATGTGTTATGTATAACGTAACTAACCAACTTACGAGTCAACTCCCTAACAAACGAGTCAACTTCCTGACAAACTATTTATCATCCTTCATTCAATTCATTAGTTACTTATTTGCAAAAATTAAATAAATGTTATCCAGATGATTTCTCAATTATCTATTATTATTTGCCTTATTCACTCCAAAACGTTTGTGTTAGATTGGGCTTCAACTTTTAGGTTTACGGTACAGTCTTTACAAAAAGAAAATCCGTCTGATTAGAATATTTGTTAAGGTCCGACGATAATTAAACAAATGCTCGGTGTATAGTCATAAATAAATTATTGTCATTTGTCACGATATGTGTATAAGAAAATCTCGATGAGACAAACGACATAACAAAATCTTGCGTATCTGCCAAGTGGACTAATCACTCTTTTTTTTTTTTTCTTGATGGCGACAAATCACTTCTTCTCTAAGTCGAATTATTATGTTAATGTTCGTTAAAAATAATGCATCATACTACCAGATATGCGATATGAAAATACAAAAATATTATGTGGTGTTATGATTTACGAATGTTCTTGGCTTGCAGCTTATTTTGTTTATTACGCTTTAACTAATTAGATAATTCATGAAATAGGTTTTGTGTCGACAAAGGAATTTTGAAGAATTAGAGGCATAGAGAGCTTTCAAGTTTTGCCATTTCACGTAAAACACGTGATACTGCAGATATTTAAATTGCTGGCAAAAACTATTTACCAGATATAAAGAAATATAATAAGATATATAAAGAACAAAAACTATAACTTAAATTAAGTTTTGATGTCAAAGTCTCTCTACTTACCAATCAATTACCTCACTGATTGTGCCTCCTTCTCAAACTTTTCAACTGTTAAAGGCAGGAAACAGCTTTAAACTAAAAGATTAGTTTCCATGTAATTTTCCACATCAGCTAAAATTAGTAGTCAGATTAGTCGTCTCAAAATTAAAAGTTTTGTGGCTTTAGTAAAACTTCACCATCTTCTATCCAGTGGATTCCTTCTTGTGCTAGTTTACAGATTCAAACCCAACAACCAATAATAACGTTATGAAGTTCCGATTCATCTCACAGCAAAATTACAACGTTACTCAAACTATAGTAAATTAGTGAAATTAATTACCCACCTCAAGTAAAACGATGGTGACGTGGCAGGGAGAAAAAAAAGCATGGATAAAACGTATCTTAAATGCACGAAGCAGCCTGCAGCAACCGCAGAAAGGACAGGGTCCCACCAAGCTTAAATTCTCCTGCCGGAGCGTAGTCCCCACGCGACGCTCTTTCACCGGCGGCAAGGAGCGTGAAATCCACCGCGTCGGGACAAAAAATATGTCCCCTCAAAAAAGCAAAGGAGGGGAAAGAAAAAAACCAGAAGGGGTGAGCTGTGAGAGGGACCCACCACCCATGTGCCCTCCTTCCTGTCTCCACCAGCTCCTGCCTCTCAATCATTAGCTTCCCCTTCTTCTCCTCTTCCTCCTCCTCCTCCTCTGAATCTGTCTCAGAGTCTAGTAAGAGACTGAGATAACTAAAACAACACACCATTCTTCTTCTTTCAAGAATCAACCCTCAGAGCCCAGATCGAAACCATGTCTAATAACGCCGACGGAGTTATGATCTCTAACGGAGCTATAATCGAACGCCAGAGACAACATCAGCAGCAATCATCCGACGGAGCTCTTGTCGTGAAGAAACCTCCGGCGAAGGATAGACACAGCAAAGTCGACGGAAGAGGGAGGAGGATCCGTATGCCAATCATATGCGCAGCTCGCGTTTTCCAGCTAACGAGAGAGCTTGGCCACAAATCCGACGGCCAAACAATCGAGTGGCTTCTCCGTCAAGCAGAGCCCTCAATCATAGCTGCAACAGGAACCGGCACTACCCCGGCGAGTTTCTCCACCGCGTCAGTCTCAATCCGAGGCAACTCCACCACCAATTCGATTTCCTCGACCTGCACTCTCTCCTCGTCTCTAGATCATAAACCTTTGCTTGGATCCTCGCCGTTTATACTCGGAAAACGCGTGAGAGCCGACGAGGATTCCGGAGGAGGTAAAGACGAGACAATGGGGTCTTTTGCTGCACCGGCTGGGTTCTGGGCGGTTCCGGCGAGGCCGGATTTCGGACAAGTTTGGAGCTTTGCCGCTGGAGCTCCACAAGAGATGTTCTTGCAACAGCAACAGCAACCAGCAGCTGCGCTATTCGTCCACCAGCAGCAACAGCAACAAGCTGCAATGGGTGAAGCTTCTGCAGCTAGAGTCGGGAACTATCTTCCGGGTCATCTTAACTTGCTTGCTTCTTTATCCGGTGGAGCTCCCGGGTCGGGTCGAAGAGAGGATGACCCACGTTGAGATGGTCTCATTAGGCCCCCTTTTTAGTTTGGTATATAAATCATATCTCTGTTTCTCTTTTGTCATCGATCAGTCTCCTGCTTTTTTTTCTTTACTCGAGTGACTTCTCTCTATGTGTGTGTTTTAGCTTTTAGAGATTGATTGATTCCATAAGTGATTTGAGAGAGTATCGTTAGTGTTTAAGTTAAGATTAGGGTTAGGGTTTAAGAATCGGGTCTTAAGCATTGTTCCAGAGAGATTTTTTGTTTTGTTTTTTGTTGTGGGAGATCGATTTCTCATCGGTTCCAAGATTACTTAGTAAGCTCATGTTTAGAAAAAGGGAAATTAAGAAACCGCGGAGGTTTTGCCCTTTGTGTCTGGTTTTTCCGGCGAAACAGAGCCGTCGTCTAAATTCCAGATATTATATACTCTCATTGTTTGTTTTTATTGCTAATTGTGTAATGTGTTATAATTGTGGAATTGCGCAAGCTGTTAACCACGTTTATTTTGAATAAATGTTCCCGACTTCGTATATTTGTTTGTAGGTTCCTTCTCATCTGCATTTATTGATAGACAAAAAAAGCTTTATGTGAGTGTGATTGTTTCGCTGAAATCGAACTGGAGGATGATGAACATATTTACTTGTGGATAAAAAGTATTGTGTGGTTTTATTAAGACACTCCTTTTCCTGGAATTTCGCGTCTTGATTTGAATGTAAGAACAACAGAGGATTAAGTTAAAAAAAAAAAAAAAAAAAAGACAAACCAGCTGTGTCGTCTGTCTGAAAACTTCAATTTTTTTAATGGCCTTCATGTTTCATAAGAATTTATGTCCTGTGTTTGGAAGTTTTCTTTGTCACGTAACTCACGCGTTAGTCAGAGAAAGATTGACTCATATTTTACTATTGAAAGTGGAAACCATATGGCGACACGATATCTCTTTAAATTAATTTCTCTATATTTTTTTCTTCTAAAAACTTGCTTAAAAGTTATAACAAAGTGAAAGAAAAAAGAGTTAGAATTTCTCTTGTCTCTCAGATGATTAGCTATTTAGAATTTCATTTGACTGAGATGATTAGCTCTTCAAATATGTGGCGGATCGACGATTAAATTCCATTTCTAATTATAACGTCGTAATTATGTTTAAACTAACTACACGTGATAACGAATGAATTCAATGCATGTCTTTGATTTTAAACAAAAAAAACACTGTTGTAATGAAAATCTTGGTGAATGACAGATACAAAAAATAAGGTGGAACAAAACTAAAATGAATAAATAAATAACGGGCAATTACGTAATAAATGTGTATTTTTAATACCTGAAAATAGTAAAATTTCGAATACAAAGCATATAAATTACTTGGCATATATACAGTTAATGACAAATGCGTAGATAAGTAGTTGTGGACTTGTGGTTTCAAATTGTGATCCTAACTATATCTGCTGAATGAACGTATTAAGCTTATTAATTTATTTATCACAATTATATTCGATGAATAGTATCAAAGTGATTAGATAGGTTTCAGTTGACAAGAAAAAAAGATTAGATAGGTTTCTTAGACTATTTAGGTCGCACTAGCCAATCCAAGAATCAAACAAATTTTGCCATTAAAATAAGAATCCATTAATGGAAAGATCTAAACTAAAAAGTTGGTGTTTGAATTTCTTAATTAGTAGCTAGCAATTAACACTTAGCTATATAATAAGATGCAAATAATTATAGGTGGGGATGCTAGTAATCAACCAACTCATATCAAAAACATCCCGTACCTTTTATTGTCGAATCATCTAAATGACCCAACCCCCAATAATTGATATGGTCCCATTCTTTTCTACCGTAAATAATGTCTATAGGTTGGCATATATATATATATATATATCAATAATTTGTTTTTAAAATATGTATCTTTTGCATTTTGGACCGACACACGTAAGTTAAAATCCCCCTCTCATTCACCTCACTCTTATGCCGTATTAAATGTACTGTCAAATAGTTTCCATGGAATCTTACTTTTCAGAAGAAATTAATAACCAAAAAATCATTATAGAGATAGATACGACTCAGATTTTTAAATTCTACGGACATAATGCCAATCGCACATTAAAAGAGATGAATCCCAAAAGAATATCGACTCTTATCCTTTGAGGAAAAAGAGTGGAGGAATGTGTAAACATCCGACACGTATCTATTTGGGTCGAATATGTTTTCATTTTTCAAATTCCGTCGCGGTTTGATGGAAACTGTAACCAAAGTGGCGCATTTTTTTGTTTACTAGTGCATATACCAAATAAACAAATATGGGCCTATGTACCGGAATTAATGGGCCAGACTTCATCTCTGACGCTTACTCAACTTAATGGGCCACACATTGTCTGGAAGCGGAGAGTGCTTTCGGCGCAGAGTTCAGGAACTCGGAGGACGCGGCTGAGAGAGAGAGAGAGAGAGAGAGAGAGAGAGAGAGAGAGAGAGAGAAAGAGAGAATGGCGTCATCATCGTCGAGAGGGGAGATGGAGAAGATGGGAATCGAACAGCTGAAAACGTTGAAGGAGCAAGCGGATCTGGAAGTAAATCTCCTCCAGGACAGTCTTAACAACATCCGCACAGCCAACGTCCGCCTCGAATCCGCCGCCGCAGCTCTCAACGATCTCTCTCTTCGACCTCAAGGTCCGTTTGCATCACCCCTCTTAATCATTTTATAGCCTCTCGTTTCTTCAAACTGATATTCAGTGATTGATGATTTTTGAATGACTATATATATAGGTAAGAAGATGCTTGTACCACTCACTGCCTCTCTCTACGTGCCTGGGACACTTGATGATGCTGATAAGGTTCTAGTTGATATTGGCACTGGTTACTTCATCGAGGTATATGCATTTCAATAACAATGGATTATGGAATCGTTCAGCCTCGTTCATGTGTATAGCTCAAGTGTTTTTCAATGTGTTTTGTGCATTTTTGTGTGGTTTGTAGAAAACAATGGAGGACGGCAAAGACTATTGTCTGAGGAAGATCAACTTGTTGAAATCGAACTTTGACCAACTTTTTGAGGTACGTTTTTGGTGGTAATATATCCGAATTAGAAATTCTCTCACTCTGGGAAATGTTCAAATGCCTGTGATTTAGTTTTTAGATAGTTCCCGAGGGGAAAGTAAAGAAAAAGGCCTATAGATTATGCTTTAGAACTATCCTTATACAGAAGAACAGCAAAGTTCTCATTTACATTTACCGAAATTGTGAATCTAGTAAGTGGAAAGATTCAGTTTTTTTTTTTATCTGAATCTATTTTAGTTCTAAGAAATGGAAGAGGGATGAAAGTTTAATGGCTGCTAAGAAATGCAATCGACAGAATCAGAAGCCCTTTGGTTGGTCTTTTCCTGCACATTATCAAACACTCCTTAGAGGACATACATGCATACACTAAGTTGTGTCTTCACTTTGGTCCGCATTTGAGTCGATGTTCCAGTAATTGTTATTAGTTTCGGAGTATTGTTTCCAGTATTTCAAGAATGTTCATTCAATGCAGGTGGCGGCAAAAAAGAAAAGCGTGGCAGATGAAGCAACGATGGTGTTGCAGGGCAAAGTTAGACAGTTACAGGCTGCAACCAAGTCGTGAAAATTTGTCTTTCCTAGTGACACTTTTTTTGAGATTGCAAATTGTTTTGTCTAATCAGTTTTGTTATGACTCGTATGATCTTCAGTCGGGCTGTGTACTGTGTGCTAGAAGAACTTGTGCTGTAATTCTAAGAAAACAAATGATAAAACTAGTGACTTTGTGGAAAAAGTGTTGCTAGTTTCTCATAAAACGAGCCATGATGTTATTGTTATGCTGTGTTTTATGTGTGCTAAAAAAGCTTTCTAGGAAAACAAGTGATTGAACTAGCGACTATGAGAAAAAAGTGTTTCTAGTTATTTCTCATAAAACGAGAGAGAGAAGAGACAAAAGCCATGATGTTACTGTCTGGAGAAAGAAACAGCTGAATCAATGAAACTAAATACAACTTTTTGTTGTTGTTGTTGTTTAAGAAAAGGAATCCCTCCTCTCTGCGTATTGTTGTTCTTCGTGATTTATCATCTGTGATCCGCACCAATTGCTTCTTGGATCGACTTGAACCCATCCCTTTCTAAGCAACTCACAAGTTCCTCCTGTTGTAACAACAAGACATGAAATCATTTGTAACAATGAAGACGTTATCCAACCTCAATATGCCAGAGCTGATTATGCTTTACAACAAAGAGATATGCTTTTCAATTTTTGACATCAAGAATTTCTCAAGGTAGATTTTTAGACTTTCTCTATGCTAATTAATCTCCCCTGATTTAAGAAAGGACCAGTCTTTATGGGAAAGGAGATACCTTTATTTGTGGGATGAGGGCGGGTCCTCCATAGGCAAACCCTGTGTACAGCTGAACAAGAGTCGCTCCGGCTCTTATTTTCTTGTAAGCATCCTCACCACTGCAACGATACAAAGATTCATCTGAATCAATATTTTTGTTGTGTTTCGTGTATTTTTTCTCACAATATAAAACATGATGAAAGATATGTTCAAAGACGTTTACCTGCTAACACCGCCACAGCCTATCAGTGGAATCTTTCCCTAAGTAAGAGACCAAAGGAAATAAACCAAAAAAAAGTCGAATCAGAAATGTTTTCGTTCCTCGGACGGGATTGTTTCTTGGGTACATGAAAGTACACTTACTCGTGTCAAAGTGTACATCTCTCTCAACATGTTGGTGGAGAGAGGAAAGAGCGGTTTCCCGCTCAAACCACCTGTTTCTGCTGCCACGGGGTTGTTGCTTACAGGATCTGGCCTCGAGACTGTTGTGTTTGATATAATCTATAGGAGAAACAAAGGCAGTTTCTTCATCAGTGGAAGCTTTATGGTTTGCAGCATAACCGTGACTCACAATAGAAAAAAAAAACAAAAAAATAGAGACTTCTCTAACGCTTGATCGCTTTTTCTAAACTATGTTAAAAAGATTGAAAGGCTTAAGAAGAGAACTTACCAGACCATCCAAGTGGAGAGCAAGAGCAACCTACACAAATTGATACAATGTTGTAAGAGCCATTCACTTGGAAAGTACTGAATTTGTTTCTGGTTTTTAGTAAAACTCACCGCTGCAATATCTTCGAGCTCTCCTCTGGACAGATCAGGAGCAATCTTCACAAGAAGAGGAGGAGGACCTTCATCACCCCATTGCATCTCATCCCGAGCAGCTTGAACCTTCTTTACAAGGTCCTTCAACTGTTTCCTTCCCTGAAGCATACGCAGTCCTGCTGTATTGGGTGATGAAACATTGATTACCTGTAGAGAAAAAATTGAAATGAGGAACAGAGAAATATAAGGTAGATTAGATCAGATAAAATGCTCGATATATCAACATTATGAGAAGAGGTATTTACCAAGTAATCAGCGTACTGTGACAAGTTATGAACTCCCTGGACATAGTCAGCAGCTGCATCTTCACTTGTCTTGTTCTTTCCAAGGTTGACCCCAAGTATACCAGGTCCAGATTTGCCCCCAGGTTTAACTTCATCGCTTGGAGATGACGAAGTGGCTGATGTCTCCGCCAACATTCTCTTACCATGTTGAGCACCCAACCGCTTTGCAACCACAACAATCCCTTCACTGTTAAATCCACACCTATTGATAATGGCTCTGGAAAGTACAATAACACATCAAAAAAAGGAAAGCATATTATGAATCTGTAAGTTGAAAACTTTTGATTATTCCATCAAAAAAGGTAGTTTTTTTCTCCATGAACAAGAAGATTGGATATGAGATTCTCACCCATCTTCGCGTAATCTGAAGATGCGTGGTTTCGGGTTGCCTTCTTGTGGAACTGGTGTTACGGAGCCTACCTCAACAAATCCAAATCCAAGTGCTAGCAATCCCTCTGTAGCCTCAGCGTTTTTGTCAAATCCAGCAGCAAGCCCAATTGGGTTTGAGAATTTCCTTCCCCAAACTTCAAGTCCCAAGATTTGTGGATCAGGCCTCTTTTCTCTAGGCACCCAACCGCGAGCAGCAGCCGAAACAGCCAGCTTATGCGCGAACTCAGCATCAAGAAGAGCAAAGAGAGGATTCACAACCTTTGTTGCTGAGAACAGCCACCCACTGTCCAACACACAAAGGTAAGAAAACAAAGTGACTACAAAGGTAGCCTTAGCAATGTCAACTGAAAAAAAGAAAGATATGTAATGTCTCAGGCACTTATTAAGCAAGTACCAGAAGGTTGCTTCATCTGCAGTACTCACATAAGCTCCTCCAGCTATGGCCAGACCAATTGTTGCTCCCGTCAATATCCTTCCCTAAGTTTTTTAAGATAGTCAAAGCTAAACACTTTTAGACATCTAAAATCGAAAACTGCTCTCTTCCAGAATAAACATTGGTACTATTATACTAGTCCGTCTCTAGATGAGAGAGAAAAAAAAGCATTAATGATCTTAATCCTAACTAATAGACCAGATACAGTAAGCACATGATCAAACTAAGAAACGATGGAACTCTTCTATTCAGCTTCATCTAAACGAAATCTCCGAAGCGAATAAGGAAGAGATGCGTCCCCTAAACCGCAAATGAGATTAAATGGTCAAAAGCTGCTTACTTTCTTGGAAAAATGAGGGACTTTAGGTGCAGGGGAAGCTCCAGGACCTGAAGAACAGTTTCGAATCGCTCCAAGAGGATTCGACGAGACCCTTCTGAACAAAAACTCTCTCGCCCATTTGGCCGACGATGTCGCAGCCCTTCCGGCCATTAAAGTGATTAAATCGAGAGTGGAAGCAAATAGAACTCGAAAAGGGTTTCTTTGATATCTCTCCGATTGCTTTTTGAAGAGGGTTTTAGGCTTTCAGCTCACGGCTTGACGTTTTGTTGGGTCGGTTTCAAAGGATCGTCAGTATTTGCTAAAACCCTTGCTTTGTTGGCTGGTGTTGCACAGCTTGAGCTTCCCTCAGGTTGATCTTTCCGGTTCAATTTACCGGTTTACTTTGGTTAACCGGAGGGAAATCTTCTAGGTTTTTATTTTATTTTATGACACTAACCGGATCAAACAAACAGACTGATAAGGCCAGTTCTCTGTAAAAGCGAGCCCAAGAGTGAAGCACTCTGTAGTTCGGGAAGCAGAAGCGAGATTGTGGCGACGACAGTGGGAGGCAGTAACAATGGCTTCTTGTGTTGTGACGACGACAAGCAGTTTCTGTGCTATTTCAGATTCTAGTATACGTCTGAAATCCTCCAAGCTTGCCCATCTGGTTCGATTCCTCTTTATGAGACATTTTGATTTCCCCTGTGGTTATTGCTTCAGTTGAATCTGTATCTTTCAATCACTAAAAGTTTTCAAATTTCGTTATTTTGGTCTCTGTTTAGAGTAATCAGCAGAGAAGACGCTCTCTTGGGTCCCGTGGTGGTTTAAAGGTTGAAGCTTACTACGGTCTGAAGACACCTCCTTATCCACTTGTAAGTCTAAATGAACCAGAGACCCTTAGTTTGGCAGTGATATGCGTTCATCTTCGTCTTGCATATGGACTCTCAGTGTAGTATCTTTGTCTTGGCTTCTATCAAGCCATTTGATGTTCTGTATTAAGCACAAAATTGTGTAAAGTTGGGTAATTTGGGTGGAATCTAAAGTGAATTTAGGGAAAAAATGCTTCTTGATCTGTGTATCTTCTCTCTTACAATCACATGTCTATGTGCCTTTGGTGATATCTCTAAGAACAGGATGCTTTTGTTGATATTCTAACCAAAATGTGAACAGGATGCTTTGGAACCGTATATGAGTCGAAGAACACTAGAAGTGCACTGGGGTAAACACCATCGAGGTTATGTGGACAATCTAAACAAACAGTTAGGGAAAGATGATAGACTCTATGGTTACACCATGGAAGAGCTTATCAAGGCCACATACAACAACGGGAATCCTTTGCCTGAGTTCAACAACGCTGCGCAGGTACTTGCTTTCTAAGCTGTTCGTACTTCACTCCAGGCGCAAGTTAATGTTGGGAAGATTGTCTGTTTAGGTCTATAACCATGATTTCTTCTGGGAGTCGATGCAACCTGGTGGTGGAGACATGCCTGAAAAGGGTGTTCTTGAGCAGATTGAGAAAGATTTCGGTTCTTTCACAAACTTCAGAGAAAAGTTCACTAATTCAGCTCTTACTCAGTTTGGTTCTGGCTGGGTCTGGCTCGTCTGTGAGAAACTCTACAAGCTCTTCGCTTGTGAATCTATAAACAGGAAATTATAAACCGTAAATCTTGATTCACTTATTATTTTTTTGTTTGGAATTTCAGTGAAGAGGGAAGAGAGAAGACTTGAGGTGGTCAAAACCTCAAACGCCATTAACCCACTCGTGTGGGATGATATTGTATGTTAAAGACTAGAGAGTTTCATTAGTTTTCTTGTTAAACTCGATGTTTCTTCTTGATGACATCTCTTTTGTTGTGTTGTTACAGCCAATCATCAGCTTGGATGTGTGGGAGGTAAACTATCTCCTCTCTTCCTTCATATATACTCCCAAAAACACTTATACACAAAAATGAGTCTTCTAATTTCTTTCGTTTTCGTAACTTACTTTGCAGCACTCTTATTATCTGGACTACAAGGTAAGAAGTAGCCTCAGTTTCGACTATTTCTTGTTCTTTTATATCCTTTCAAAGAGTAAATGAGAGTTTTTTTTTCTCTTCCGGTTGCTAGAATGAGAGGGCTAAGTACATAAACACGTTTCTGAACCATTTGGTGTCGTGGAACGCTGCCATGAGTAGAATGGCTCGTGCAGAGGCGTTTGTGAATCTTGGTGAACCCAACATCCCAATTGCTTGAAACTCTTTTTGTGAGAGACGATGTGAAAGCAAAAAAAAAAGCAAGTCCTTATAAACTTGGGCAGTCTCATTTTTGCCACAGAGATCCCAACCAACAAACAAGAGCTTTTCATGTGACTGATGTTTTTTGTACTTTGTAATTCAGCGATAGTTTTATCTTCTTTTGCCTTTGAGAGAATCTTAGATGCCACATACAGTCTCTTTTGTTATTTACTTGATTAAAAAAAAAGTATTTGCTCAGTGATTTTCCTTAACAGCCAAGTTAAAAGTGATGTACATTACAATTGCCCCTTCATGGGTTAAAAAAAAAAAGCTGTTCAGCTTTCATAATTTGTAATCTGTGTTTTACGACATGGGATCATTTCGTCAAATGAAAGCTTCCATAAGAATGACTAATCAACCATAAGAATGACTAATCTCAACCACATAAATAAATCTTAAACTTTATTTATCATCATTAATTTGATATATTTATTTTAATTTTTTTAATATAGTTTTTCTATTTGCACAAAGATATATTTTTTATACCTTCCAAAATTTTTAATATAGTTTTTTTATTTACACAAAGATCATTTCCTTTAAAAGAAAGCTTCCGACGATCAGATTAAAAAAGAAAAAATCTTCTCATGAGAATGACTAATCAACACAACAATAACACTAAAGTCTCTTCATAGTTTGACACCTCAGTTTTTTTAAGCTTTATAAACATGACACATCAGCAAAAATAATCACTAATCAAAACATTTTATTAATACATCTCATCTACTTATTTTAATTAACTTGATATATTTATTTAAAATCTTGTTTTTGATATAGTTTTTCTATTTGCACAAAGATATACTAGTTTGTATACCTTCCAAATTTTTTACTAAATATTGATTGAAAATATAAGGTTGATTTAAATTTAATAGATATGTATGCATTAATTTATTATTGATATCATAAGTTTATAATTTAATTATTATATTTTTTTTATAATTGTCAATATATACTCCCTATGGTTTCTTAGATCTCTCTGAACTCGTAAATCAAAACATTTATTTACGATTGCTCTATGAACTCGTAAATCAAATGGATAGAAGATGTGATTTTTATTTCTCGCAACAGCATAAATTAAATCATGATTTATGGCTTAATATTTGCGCGCACACACAAAAAAAAAAAGATTATTATGGCTTTTGTCTCGTACGTGAAAAAAAAACTCTACCGCATGATGAAACGAGAATGTGAAATACAAAGAGTAAATTATACGTAAAGGTTGATTTAAATTTAATAGATATGTATGCATTAATTTATTATTGATATCATAAGTTTATAATTTAATTATTATATTGTTTTTATAATTGTCAATATATACTCCCTATGGTTTCTTAGATCTCTCTCTGTCTACGAAACGAAAACTCCCATAAGAATGAAGAAGGTTTTGAACATCTTCATTTTACTTGTGTTCTCGGCTCTCCTTTCCGGTAATCTTTATTTGTATATTATATGCCAATTCTAAAAACCCTAACCTCTAGCATTATGATATTTCACCGCTTTTATTAATTTGTATAAAATTGATGGTCGTAACAATATAAATTACTTCTACTATATAATAAATTAATAATAGCAAGTAACTTACTCTTAACTGTTGTAGAAATGACATTTTCAAGTATTGGAATGGTAGAAGGTCGAAGTTTGCTTCAGAAAGAGATAATCTCAGCTGTGAATGTGATGCACGAAGAAGCTTCTCTGGATGTTGTGCATCCGCAAGATTCTTGTGTTGATAAAAAGTGCACTTGGACATGCAAAGACTGGTTTTTTTTTTTTGGAGAATGCAAATGCGTTTGTTAAATTTCTCTAGTATCATGCATATCTAATAATATAATATATATAGCTCGTTCGATCAAATAAAAAGAAAAACATTTATTTACGATTGCTCTATGAACTCGTAAATCAAATGGATAGAAGATGTGATTTTTATTTCTCGCAACAGCATAAATTAAATCATGATTATTATGGCTTATTTGCGCACACACACAAAAAAAAACGATTATTATGGCTTTTGTCTCGTACGTGAAAAAAAACTCTACCGCATGATGAAACGAGAATGTAAAATACAAAGAGTAAATTATACGTAAAATCTTGATTAATGATTTTTATTTTTTCGTTTATCTATTACAAAAAGAAGAAAACAAATAATTTTTAATTTTTTTATCAAGTATATGAACAAAAACAATTATTAAAAGGCTGGGCCACGTGACTCGCACGTGATGTCTCGCCGGAAGGTTTCTTCTCCTTGGTCATCTCCTCCTCAGAATACGATGAACACCATCGCTCTCTTTTCAACTTAAAGGTATAACCTTTCTTCTTTCTTTACCTTCAAAATTCCACGAGTAGAAGCTCTCAATTTCGATTAGGTACTTCTCTAATCCTCGGCTCTGTTCATTTCCGCGTCTCCTGATTTTTTGTATAACAAATTGATTCTTTCGCTAGGATTCGTGCTCGTAAAATGCGTGAATTTCAAGACAGGCCTAACTATTCACTAGTATATATTTTCGATCATTAATCTTTGTATCGAAATTTCACTGCCATTGTTTTGTGTAAAATCTCAATGTTGGCATATTCAGTGCCATTTCTAAATCTTGTCTGGTGAACACTGTAGTTTTAGTGCTCACTTTACATTTGATTGCTTGCTAAAATGTGATCAAATTGATGATACTAGGAGCACTCAGAGGTTACGAGGTGTCGATTTGGATCAAGATCATATGTTTCCTTGGGAAAGCTTAAAATTTGGATCAAAGATCATATCTTTCCAGATGACAAACCTTGTACTATCTTTTAGATTCATGCTGTGTTACATAGATTGAGTGTTTGGATAATTCAGGTTTTATCAATCTTGAGATTCCTCTTTCACAGGTCTGCCATAGTTCTCGAAATGAATCATCATAAGCTTTGACCAAAGAGGAGAGAAAAATCATTCTAAAATCCTTACTGATTGATAGAAATGACAGAGATCTTCAGTGACACCGGCTTCAGACAGTTATCTCAGATGCTCCTGTCAGTAATCTTCTTCCACACATCGGAATACGTTCTAGCCATCGCCATCCACGGAGCCTCGAATGTAACTCTAGGCTCACTTTTGATCAGCAAGCACTACGCTTTAGCAATGCTCGTGGCGCTGCTCGAATACCTAACCGAGATCATCCTCTTCCCGGAGCTGAAACAGCACATGTGGGTCAGCAACTCTGGGCTCATAATGATCATCGTCGGTGAAATCGTAAGGAAAACAGCGATAATAACAGCGGGAAGGTCGTTTACACACCTCGTAAAGATCAACCACGAGGAGCATCACAGGCTTGTGACTCATGGTGTGTACAGAGTAATGAGGCATCCGAGTTACTGCGGGTTTCTCATCTGGTCGGTCGGGACACAGGTTATGCTCTGTAATCCCGTTTCAACGGTTGTGTTCACGGTTGTCGTGTGGCGTTTCTTCGCTCAGAGGATACCGTACGAGGAGTATTTTCTGGAGCAGTTTTTTGGAGCAGAGTATGTAGAGTATGCAGAGCGTGTTGCTTCTGGTGTTCCATTTGTGAAATGACACTTTGAATCATTTTGAACATACATGTGTTTGTATTGCTTTAAAGTCATCACAAACACAATGTGGATACAAAAAATTAAGAATTTGCGAGACCCTCTCTCCGATGTAGAAGGTTTTGACGTGGACATGAAAATTACCACAGGGTTTGACTGTTTAAGCGACACCTGTCACCGGTGAGGCTTAGCTCCGGCGAAGAGATTCTGTGAGAAAGTTTGTTCTTTTTTTGTTGGTTTGGGAACTTGAGTTTGGAGACGATGTTGTGCGGAGGCTGTCGTGCCTCCGTGCACTTGTGGGACCACCGTCATCATCCTACTCCCTGGTTAGGGATTTTCGGTGGTAAGGTTTTCCAGAAATCTTCATTCGTGCTCAGACCTCCGTCGGCAAAATTGCAGCAGCGGATGAAATCTTCGTCTCGGTCTCACTGCAAAACTCCTGGCCAAATCTCAGTTCCTTACGGTGTTTCAGGTTTTTCGAATCTCACTGTTGTTTATATATATTTAGTTTCTCCCGAGATTGAAATCTGGATGCTTGATGTGAAATTTCCTGATAATTGCATAGCCGACAATTGTGTTCTTGGGTTTCAAGACGAAACAAGAGATAGATTTGTGTTAAAATGTTCTTTTTCAGTATGTTTCTACTCAAAGTTGGAGTCTTTACTAAAGTATCTGTATGTTTCTTCTTCCGAAGCCAGGGAGAAGATGATCCCGAGCTTCCAGTTGAAGGGCTTTCTCCAGTCGCAGGTATCTGTTTGCTTGTATTCTTTATTTTCACTTTCATTCAAGTTTCAATTCCATTCCATCAACAGCCATCGTGTAGTGAGATGAGACTCTTCTGGTTTTGGATTATGGATTAAACACTTTGTTTCAATAAAATTCCTTCTCATTTGGGTAGAGATTTTCTCTTGACTCTAGGAAAGTGCCTTGTTATAAATCGTATCACCTTCTTTATGCATTTTTTTGTTTTGAATCTTCAGGAGGCATTGTTGCTCTAGGGAAGTTTGATGCGCTGCATATCGGTCACAGAGAGCTAGCAATTCAAGCTGCAAGAGTTGGTACTCCTTATCTATTGTCTTTCGTTGGAATGGCTCAAGTACTCGGTTGGAAACCTAGGTAGCATCCTCCTTCCACTTTTCTAATGAACTTAACAACATCCCATCGATACGGAGATAGTTAAATTCATTAGACTGTGACTCTACTGATCTTCTCTGCTGTTGTATATGCGGCCTCTTCTATTGTATGAAATGAGCAGGGCACCAATAGTAGCCAAATGTGATCGAAGACGGGTGCTTTCCTCTTGGGAATCATGCTGTGGGAACATTGCACCAGTAGAGTTTGAGATAGAATTTGCCAGCGTTCGACATCTTAACCCACAACAGTTTGTGGAGAAACTGTCAAGAGAGCTCCGAGTCTGCGGAGTTGTGGCAGGTGAATACTGTAAAATTTCTCAAAAACTCCTGAAAATGCTCATTACGAAAAACCGATTTTTGTTTGTTGTTGTTTTCCCCACAGGAGAAAATTACAGGTTCGGATATAGAGCTTCTGGTGACGCCTCTGAGCTTGTGAGGTTATGCGAAGAGTACGGTATCAGCGCTTACATCATTAACTCAGTGATGGATCAGAATCAAGTCTGTGGAACCGCAGTGACGGAGGAGGACTCAAAGTCAAAGGAAAGAGGACAAGTCTCGTCCACACGAGTCCGTCACGCTCTTGCTGCAGGGGATGTGAGGTATGTAACAGAGCTTCTGGGGAGACCACACAGGGTTGTCTCGAAGGTGAGGACACAAGACATAACGGGCAAAAGAGGGATGATCTCGCTTCAGACATCGTCGCTGCTGAATTTACCGCCTGGGAATGGAGTTTACAAAGCATGTTCGCTTATAGTTGGTGACGAGCATCCAGTTTCGTGTAAGGTTGTTGTGGATTCATGGAATCTCCATATAGAAACAGAGGAAGTACGTTTCCGTAACTCAGATGGGTCTAAAGAGTTTCTGCTCTTAGGAGTTGAATTCGGTTGATTCACAGAATTGATAATCGAAAAGAATTTCATTTCCCATTTTTAAGTTTGGGTAACAGATTTAAATTGATGCTCTTTTAGACAAAAAATTTAAACTTTTTATAGCGAATTTTGAAAAAGTTCTGAGCTTTGAGGATACAAATAGTTATCGTTCATTATAACAAAATCGTGTTAATATGAGACTGTATTTGAAAGCCACCGTATCCTGATGAGAAGGTGGAAGAAGACAAACAGGAAAAGAAAAAGTGGGAAGATAACAAATGTCTCTCGCTCTCTCTCTATCTCAAAGTCGTTGACTTTCGTATGTTGAGTGTCTCTTACTGACCAAACACTACAAACCGCCGTTGGAATTTGGAAGTGCTCAACGATAAGACGCATTTCCTTGTGCCAAATGTTAAAATCCCTGAATTGCCCATCTACCGATCACGAAATGATTCCAGAGATGAGGATCTTTGCGTCATTTTCCCGAAATCTGTGTTGCTTTCCTTGTACCACACGATCGGTAAGGCTCATCTAATCATGCCTCTTTAACAGCAAGAGAGAAGAAGAAGAAGAAGATAGCAGCAGCTGAGAGAGAGAGAGAGAGGGGGAAATGGTTTAGATTGGATTAGGGTTTTTCATTTTATAGTATCCGTAATCTGAATTCGGATTTTTTCTTTGTTTGATTTGATTTTTATCTCTGTGATCATGGCGTCGGTCTGCGTTAACGACGCTTTGACCGACGACGAGCTGAGATGGGTATTGTCGAGGCTAGACAGCGACAAGGACAAGGAAGTGTTCGGTCTTGTCTGCAAGCGGTGGCTACATTTACAGAGCACCGACCGGAAGAAGCTGGCGGCGCGTGCTGGTCCACACATGCTCGGCCGTCTCGCCTCAAGGTTCACTCGAATCGTGGAATTGGACTTGTGTCAGTCAATCTCGAGGTCCTTTTATCCAGGCGTCACTGATTCCGACCTCGCTGTCATCGCCGACGGTTTCAGGTGCCTCAGAGTTCTCAATCTAAACAACTGTAAAGGTACTTCTTTGGATTTGAACATCAAAGACTTCTTTTTTCTTTATCTCTTTTCCATCTATTTGGGTTTCACATCTGATTGAACTTGAAAGGAAGAATTTTTAAGACAGTATAAGTATTAGATTTGCTCTCTGGTGATCTCTGTTAGGTTCTTGCTAACTTCAGTGTGGTTTGCCTTTGTCCTTTGTTACTTTCTGGGTGTTTACCTTATAGGCTAAAGTAGAAAGTGTGTTTCAGCTGTGTGTTTCTATCTATTTGTTAAAGCTTTGCAACCTCTCCGCGTGATTAGTCTATGATTCCTTGGCTCATTGTACTGGTATGGATGTTCCGGGTGTCTGAATGAGCCTCTCTGTCTCCCAAATAGATGGCTTATGTGTTGTCATGATGGTGAAACAGTCCCGTGGAAGATAGGTTTCTGTTAGTATCCTTGGGTGTTGTGAACTTTGGTAATGATTTTGACTATTTGCGTAAATTGTTTTTGACTTCTGAGAACAGGTATTACAGATACAGGGTTGGCCTCAATTGGACGCTGTCTTTCTCTACTGCAGTTTCTGGATGTATCGTACTGCAGAAAGCTCTCAGACAAAGGCTTATCCGCTGTTGCAGAAGGCTGCCATGATCTAAGGGTATTGCATCTAGCGGGTTGTCGTTTCATCACCGACGAGTCGCTGAAATCGCTCTCTGCGAGATGCCGCGATCTGGAATCTCTCGGGCTTCAAGGCTGCGCCAATATAACTGACTCGGGCCTTGCTGATCTTGTGAAAGGATGCAGAAAGATAAAAACTTTGGATATCAACAAATGCAGCAATGTAGGAGATGCTGGAGTATCCAGTGTGGCGAAAGCCTGTGCATCTTCCCTCAAGACGCTCAAATTGCTGGACTGCTACAAAGTTGGGAACGAGTCCATAACATCCCTGGCGCAGTTTTGCAAGAACCTGGAAACTCTGATCATCGGTGGATGCAGAGACATCTCTGACGAATCCATCATATTGCTGGCTGATTCCTGCAGAGACAGTCTCAAGAACTTGAGGATGGACTGGTGCTTGAATATATCAAACACTTCCCTTACCTGCATTCTCAAGCAGTGCAAGAACTTGGAGGCTCTTGATATCGGTTGCTGCGAGGAGGTTACAGACACTGCTTTCCTGGGTTTGGGGAGCGACGATATTTTGGGATTGAAGGTTTTGAAAGTGAGCAACTGCCCAAAGATTACAGTGACAGGGATAAGCAAGCTTTTGGAGAAATGCAGTTCCCTGGAGTATCTAGATGTAAGGTCTCTTCCACATGTGACAGAAGTAAGATGCAGCGAAGCTGGCCTCGAGTTCCCCATGTCTTGTAAAGTTAACTTTTCTGGAAGTTTAACCGAGCCAGATGTTCTGCTTTGATCGTTGCTGCTGGGATTTCGTCACTTGGAGGTCTGTCAGGACATTCTGGTCTGCCCTAAACCCTCTATGATCTCTATGTATCTCTCTGCCTGTCTCGAGTATGATCTATCAGTGAGTCCCCTCTCAAGCTCTTGTACATTTTTGTGCATTAAATATTTTGTTGTGGCGGCTCGTTTATCCTTCTTCAATTGCTTTGCAAACTTTGTGTGTGTGTAGTTTTTGTTGGATCTGCTTCTCCTTGAGAGTATAAAAAGATTCAGCACTTGTTATTTGAAGACACTAATTCTCTATGTAATACAATGGAGTAATATTTGTCCTAAAAGCTTTTGTTGTGATCAGTGAAGCTCTTTGATTTGCTTTGTGTTGAAAATGGAAGAAGACTCCTCATTCTTCTGCAGCCTCATTGTTGCTTTTATTTTGTCTTATGGGAAGATTCATCATTTGGATCTCAAAGCTTATAAAACAGATGGGAATTGTGATCATCTAAATATATTCATCTCACAGTGGATAACATAAGCGTTAAATAAATAAAAAATGAGTTTGTACAAGATAATAATAATGCTTGTTGTCTCTTCTAGGCTCTCTCGTAACATTCTCTGAGCAGAAATGAGATATTTCTTCTTCAACCCGAACTAATTAGCTCCTCTGAGAAAAAACCCCTGCAGGTTCATTGCTCATCATCGTTAAGCGCTTGCTTGAGACAGTTGAACGCTTTCTGGTAGCTCAAGAAGCCCATGAACCAGAAGTCAAAGTCATCGACCGTGACTACTTGGATGTACTTCTGAGATGGCTTCTTCGTGTTCAGACACTGGTTCACTCCCTTGATCTTGCACAATGGGACTGAGACTTTGTAGTGGACCCTGATGAGATCTCCCTTAGGAGAAGCCACCTTGATCGATCTCTCGCTGCAGAAAGCAATCTTCTTCGATGAGATGAAGAGTAAGCCTGCGATGGGACCTGCGGTTGTTGATAGGTAACATTGGTACGCCTTGTATAGTTTCTCTTCATCGCAAACCCTGAAGAGCTTTTGATATATCTTCTCTAAGCCTCCCATTTGAACGATCCTAGCTCCCAAGGACAGCTTTCTCTTGACTGTTTCGGTTAGCTTTGGTCCTAACTTGCTCTCATCTCTAACGCCATTCGTGAAGCTATCGCTTTTCTTCTTTCGCAGAATCGATTTTCCTTTGGCTGTTAAGAAAAGAAAACCATTCCTGTTAGCCTCCATATATATATATATTTCCAGGAAAAAAGAAGACAAGCAATGTAGAGATATAGGTAAAGATACTTACTTTGTAGTTCAGATTTCTTGGAAGAAGTTGGGATTTGGAGCTTGTTGATGGAAGCTGGATCAGGCAAGTAACACACCGGAGCAGTCTTGACTGCAGGAAATGCAGTAGTAACTTGTTGGTGAACTCTGCTCAATGTCATCTTGTAGGATTGAGTACTGATCTTGATTTTGAGAGAAAGAGAGAGAGAGAGATTGTGAGTAATGGTGATGATGAATCCGTGTTTGTGGGAAGGTATTTAAAGGGAAAGACAAGGAAACAAGAGGCACTTGAAACAAAGATCTGAATCGTTGAGAGTTGAGGACCTTTTTGTGGTAGTGGATGAGTCATGGATGGGTCATCAAGAAACACATAAAGCCACTTTCTTGTGGTTTGAAAGGCAATGAGAAGAAGATCAAGCATATGCTCTGTTTTTGCTTTTTGGCAAGAAATACATAATAAATAAAGGTTTTTGCCACTACCTAATCCGTGTAAGGAAACAATTTGTAAAGTGTATTTCAGTAACTGATGAAATGTTTAGTTATTTATGTTTTTGGCTTTTCCGAATAACAAAACAACTAAGGATTGTCCAAAAGGAACGATTTATAAAGTAATTTCTCTGTAAAAATTTGAAGATGCCATTTACACAAAGTGATGATCCATTGATCGTCATAAATATCATATCACATTATAAACTTTAATAATAGATTTAGAGATGCCAAAAAAGAAGTTAAAAGAAGAAAAAAGTAAATAAAGAAAGAAAGATGATCGCACATTCACACGGGTGTGACGTTAGACTCCGACATGCTTTTTAACCTACAAGTTGGCCCAAACATGAAGCTTTTTTCTATTTACTTTCCTCTATCTTCTTGCCTGTTTTTAAAATTTAACAGATAATTTATGTATAAAAGATACGATATGTTTCCTATTTAACTGGAACATGCACGAAGCAAGAAAAAAATCAAATCAACTATTAGGTAACGCTTTTTTAATCTGTGAGAGCAAATTGAGTCATGCAGAAGGAGACGTCGTGGCTTTGGAAGCTTTCTGTGTTGGCATTGTGACTTTCTGATGACTTTATTTCTTCAGTTTCATGCTAAGATAATAAAGATCTGTTACCATTTTTAGTTGCTAGTAACTAGTATAACTTTGTTGTATCTTTTGCACGTTTACTCTGAATTCCTTTTTTTGCCTTTTGTCAATAGAAACTTGATTCCTTTATTGCCATGGAAAGTGCGCTATAGAAGCTTAAGTTTTGCGTTGCCGATGGAACCCTTGTTCATAGACTCTTGGAATGTTAAAATAGATACCTCAAGGACTAACTACTTCGATTTTGATTCAGTCATTAGCTTAATTATTAATTATTTTGCTGATTCTTTGCTATGTCTTAATTATCTCCATTCATCATTAGCATTACTATAAATAAGAGGTAAATTTGATTACTGAAAATCATAAATTCGCAAATATATTCAGATTAATAAATATAGAAACACACAATATCCAAACTTCATAATTTTCTGTTATCTCACAGTCATGTTTGTGAGTTGTTCATTTTGCTGTCTCATACACATATCACTAGGACAGCAAAATAGACAACATTACGTGTGATATGTCGTTGTCGCTCATCACGTTCATCGATGTTGCATGTTGTTGGCATCAGATATCAGTGATAGTGAAACGAACAAAACCATATAGTTTTATCCTTGGACTTGGTTTTAAACTGTAGTTCATTAAATCAAGGGAATAAATGTCTCTATTATGGAGTTTTGTTTTATTTCGGTAGTCTTTTCTAAATTTTTATATTATTGTCTGCATCTCCTAGATGGTTTTAACATCTCGTTATTTCTTCCTTTGACATGTTCTGGTGCATGCAGGGACTGTGAACTGGGAAACAGATAAGATCAGCTAATCAAATGCATTCAATCTCTTGCTCTTGTCAACAATTGATAACAAAAGGGTTAAAGAAAAATAAAAGAGTTTGTACAATAGTGTCTATTTTTTTCTAGGGTCTAGCATTCTCTGATATTGAAATGGGTTAAAGTAGAAATGAAATATTTCCTCTTCAACCTTCGGCTTGTTATTGCTCGAAGCTCAGAGAACGCGCTTGCTCGAGACAGTTGAAAGCTTTCTGGTAGCTCAAAAATCCCATGAACCAGAAGTCGAAGTCATCGACCGTGACTACTTGGATGTACTTCTGAGATGGCTTCTCCGAGTTGATACTCTGGTTCACTCCCTTGATATTGCACAAAGGGATTGACACTTTGTAGTGAACCCTGATGAGATCTCCCTTAGAAGAAGCCACCTTGATCGACCTCTCGCTGCAGAAAGCAATCTTCTTCGATGAGATGAAAAGTAAGCCTGCGATGGGACCTGCGGTTGTTGATAGGTAACATTGGTACGCCTTGAAGAGTTTCTCTTCATCGTAGACTCTAAAGAGCCGTTTATAAATCTTCTCTAAGCCTCCCATTTGAAGGATCTTAGCTCCCAAGGACAGCTTTCTCTTGACTGTTTCCGTTAGCTTGGGTCCTAACTTGCCCTGATCTCTTGCTCCGTTCGTGAAGCTATCGGTTTTCTTCTTTCTCAGAATCGATTTTCCTTTGCCTGTTAAGAAAAAGAACTGTTAGCTTCCATTTTCCCAAGGAAAAAGAAGAACATCAATGGAGATATAGGTATAAGGATACTTACTTTGTTCAGATTTCTTGGAAGAAGTTGGGATTTGGAGCTTGTTGATGGAAGCTGGATCAGGCAAGTAACCAGCCGGAGCAGTCTTGGCTGCAGGAAATGCAAGAACTTGTTGGTGGACTCTGCTCAATGTCATCTTGGAGGATTGAGTAGTGATCTTTAATCTTAATCTTGATTTTGATCTTGCAAGAGAGAGAGAGAGAGAGGGATATTGTGAGTAATGGAGATGATGGAACCGTGTGGTGGGAAGGTTATTTAAAGGGAAAGACAAAGAGACAAGAGGCAGTTGAAACAAAGCTCTGAATCGTTGAGACTTGAGACCTTTGTGGTAAAGTATGAGTCATGGATGGGTCATCAAGACAGGCATAAAGCCACTTTCTTGGGATTAAAGGCAATTAGAAGATCAAGCATATGCTCTGTTTGCTTTTGTTTCGAGAAAATTAATCATATAGTTAAAGGAGAAATAAATAGATAAATAAATGTTTTGCAACTTCCAAATCAAATGTATGGACACAATTGATTGAGGAAATCTCAAGACCTGATGAATTGTTTTAGGTTTTCGTTTTTGATTTTCAATTTCTTTTTTGATACGTAGGAGTGCAGTTCTGTGGATTCTCTAAAAATATGCCCTTAAAATATCAAAGTTTTAACACTAGAGATGCCCCAAAAAATTAGAAAGATTTTTTTTTTAAAAAAGTTAAAAATTAAAAGGAAAGAAAAATGATCACACGGAATGACGTCAGTTTCCGATAAGCTTTTTTTACCTACAAGTTGGCTAGATAAGCTTTCTTACTTTTCTTTTCTCCTTTTTTGGACTGATTTTAAATTTTCACTGATATCATCCAACATATGAAGAAGATAAGATATGTTTCCTTATCAACTGGAACATGAAACAAAATAAAATCAAATATTACGTAACGCTTTTTGAATAGGTGAGAGCAAATTGACTCATGCAGAAGGGGACGTCGTGGCTTTGGAGCTTTCCGCGTTGGCATTGCGACATTCTGGTGCCTTTATTTTCATTAGTTTCATGCTATACGATAAGAAATATCGGTTATAGTTAATTTATTTAATATTTACAAAAAAAAGCAATAAAGAAGCAAGAAAATAGTTATTAAAAATACACAAAAAGAAGTTCCATTAGAAATGGATCCCACCATAGAAGTATATACATGTTTTTTCATCAATTCGTCACCCATGTGATATTCACATGGTGTATATACACATATATAGTTAATGACTATATATATTTAACTTATATATATATGATAAAATTTAGTGGACATTGTATTTCGTTATAGATGATTACAAATAGGTACATGTATTTCGTAAAGCATAAAAAGATGAATGATTAGTTAGTTGTTAGGACATGAATGATTCGGTAGTTGTTAATAAGACACTAAATTCAAAGAAAGAATACATGTCATAACGGCATCTAAGATGCATACATATATTTTATTTGAAGTGGGTACGTAGGGTCGATTCTACCAAACCTAAATCATTTTCAATCTATTATTAGTACAGAGCTAGTTCATACATATATACTATTGCATGTGTTGTAGAGGAGTTATGTTTAAAATAGCTTATATTATGCTATATTACCAGTTTATTACTAGTCTTTTAATATAAAACCCATAGTGTTCACCATCTTCGGGGTCCATGTCCTTTAGTCGAATAAGATATTTTGACTATAATATACGAGCAAAATTGAATATGTATAATGTCTGTCCACGTAATCTTGATGGTAAAAAGATACTTGGGTGGGGGGATTAGTGAAATGGGTGATTGGTCAAAGAAAAGTTACAAATAAAGTGAGGAAAAAAGAGAGTCCATACATAACACGACATGACGGAGCTCAGCACATTCATCTTATATGTAATTAAATAATTTAGTCCTGTAATCGTTAATATTTTCTGACGTGTGTGATGGAATTTGACATTAATAAAAAGAATATCTAAAATTAAAAATTGAAAAGGTAAGAAATGTGACGTGAGAGACAATTTGCCTTAGCCTAAAAGATATATATTTGGTCATTGGAGGATTCCAGACTTTTCCAGCATGTAAATGAGTTGGCCTTGCCATGCACTCTCTTCTGTGCTTTCTCATTTCCACGTAGGTTTTCTTAATTAGTTACATAAAAACTACAACAACCAAAAAACCAAAAATTAATCATATACAACAAAACTATCTTATATTTACTTTGTCGTATCTATTAATTCAGAGGAGAAGAAAGAAAGAAAAAGAACAAAGATGAACAAAATTCTTAAATAGAGAAAATTAGTATAATTGATGTGACTTTAATAAATTTTATTTGTTCTTGCTCTGTTTGGTGACTGTTGGAGAGTTGAAACGCAATGAAAATATGGAAGTGTATCCGACAAAAGCTTAAGCATAGACTGATGATTATGGTTTGACCAAAAAAAAAAAAAAAGACTGATGATTATGTACACTGTCTAAACTTCTTACACATAACGTTACAAACATACAAGCACAACGCCAACGAAAAAGACATCAATCATTATAGATACATGGAACTATATTAAACTCTTGTAAAGACGAAAAACACATGTCATACCCCTAAGGGCCCTAAGCCCTAATGTAACGGATAACGGATTAATTCAGCACTACAATTCCTCTTAGACGACACCAAATATTTACTGTAAATTTTAGATATTTCCTTATTATATCACTTTTTGATTCTCACACATAAATAACTCGATGTAGTCTTGATTCCGATCGTAGCAGCTCTACTTTCAACTTCAGTTCCAACAAAGCTTCTACTTCAACACTGTCTTCTCGACTCCACACATTCCTCTTTAATTAACGAGAACCTAAGTCGTAAAACACTGCTTTTGTCACAAAATCAGTCGCAAAATACTAGATATCAACTACTTTTATAGTTTGTGACATAATTTACAACCAGGAAACCGAACTGTACGTTAAAAATGAGTTTAGATACAAGAAATGACCTGACAAACAGAAACTCCATAAATAACTAGAACAAATACAATATATCATCAAATTAACTAACATGAAAAAGTTTCACGCTAAAACTGAAAACCATTTTATTCAATTTTTTTGTTAGTTCTTTTAGGTTGTATGAAAATAGAAACGCGCAGTACATTTTTGAAATATGAAAACATTATTTTTAAAAATTAAAATATTTTGGAAACTTAAATATATGGATATATATATCAAAACAATAAAACTAAATTATATTAAAATCAGATATTTATATCTATAAAATATCAGTACATAGTTATTATATAGTTTGACTAAAAATAAAAATTATAATGTTTAAATTAAATATTTAAATATTTTATTTATATTTCATTAGCTTCATCAATCAAAACCGTGTCCAACTTAACCCATTATTATTTTCAGTTTGATAAAACTATACTTAGTCATTTTTTATTATTATTAATTATTATTGTTATATATAAGACAAATACATAATGATAATTAGGAAAAAGGTAAAAAAAAAGTAAAGAAAAATACAATAAAAGGGCCACATTGGTAGTAAATAGTAATGATGAATAAACTTGAGAGACCAATATTTTACTATGTCAATCTTAGGAAATATTAAATGAAAAGTAGGAATTTATTTAATTTCCCTGGATTTGTTTTTCTCTCTCTTCATAGTTTCATAGTATTTATTTAGTTTTCACATTTCTCATACTCAATTTTTCATCTACCTCTTTGAAGAGTCTGGACATGATTTTTTGAACTCTCTCAGTTTCCATCAAACAGTTCTTTGTAACAAAAGAGAATATATATTTTAAAAAGCATTACTGCAATTATTTATTTGGTGAGAAGAACATGTTGTCAGCAGACGAATCTAATTACGAGAGATTTCTTCGATGTACTTCCCCTAGTGTCCGTGTTCATTATTATAATCAGGTATCCTTAATTCATTTGTTTTCATCTTTTTCAAAACTCTCGCGTGAATGAGCTTTCTCAAATTTCACTTGAATGAATAAGCACAATTAGTTGATTTTTTTCACTTCTGGAAATTCGTAAAATTTTAAAATCACAAAAAAGGAAAACCATTCTTTTGAGTAACAGAAAAATAATTAGTCAAACCCATGAAATGGACTTCCAACAAGCTTTACAAGAAGCTGTAATAACCTAAGTTTCAATTTAATTGTAAACAATCGGATAATCTGAACTCCTCTACTACTCTAATCTCTAATCTGTAACAATCACATTTGATCCGGAAAAGTACTAATGCCTATAGGCCTCATTTCTTAACTTGATTTATTGGGTAATTCTCTGATTAAAAATCGATTTACTCTATATTGATTTGATATCATTTGAATTCTTTAGAGAGATGTAAATCGATATCTACCATGTGTTCTTGCAATTTCACTCTTTTTTTTTTATTCTTTAACAAATAGATTGGTCAAAGTCTCACAGATACTGCCATAGTGTGGTAAAGAGACTAATTAATTACATTTTGACCTCATTGCCAAATAGTATTTTATGCTTTCAAATTTTTCAATAGAGAGGAGTTTTTATGTGTTTCATCTCCATCGGCTTCACTTTTTTTCTATCCCATTTCTATATGTTTCGTCAAAGCTAATTTACAATCAATCATTAAGGTAAACAAGTTTTGCATTCATATACATAAATCCAAATTCAGTTATACTTGCTCAAAGGTTAAATCGTGAACCATATCAAAGAAAAACTTGGAAACGTTAATACGAGGGTTTTTCAAGAAAATAACAACATATCCAGCCCGGTTACGGATCCGAATGAGACGTTAAACCCGACTTGAAAATGTGTGCAGACAAGTGGAGGAGCGTCTTCTTCATCAGCAGCAGCTCCAGGAGGTGAAGCAAGAGAAGTGAGAAAGCCTCGCATCGCTCTCAAAGATGTTTGGAGTGCCTATGAAGAGTGGAGCTGTTTTGGTGCTGGAGTTCCTCTTTTGCTTGATAACATCCACACCGAGGTTACCCAGTACTATGCTCCTACACTCTCCGCCATTCAGATCTTCACCATCAAACCCTTCTCTGGTGATTCCTCTTCAAGGTTAGCTCTTTTTTTGTTTGTGTTGTATTTTAGCGAGTTCCTGAGAGTCGTATGTGTTTGCATTTTGCTTAGAAGTTGACTATTGTATGTGGTGCTTGTTTCGTATATAAAAAGCTTCTTACTTTTATGAATGTAGGAGCTCGGCGATAGGAGCTTCTGCTATGCCTAACTATAGGCATCCCTTTTTACCTCCTGAGAATTTAGGCAACCTTTATTTTCAGTTCAACGAGACAACAAGGCCGTTTGAGAGGGATACTCTTACTCAAAAGGTATCTTGTATTTTCCCTTTTTAATGTTGGATTTGGTTCTCCAAGTGATTTTTTTTTTCTTGTTGTTGTTGCTTCTTATATGTTTTGTAGATTGGTACACTAGCTGAGCAGTACACTGGTTTGAATACTCTGACGAGCACAGATCTTTCTCCATATAGCTGGCTTTCCGTATCTTGGTTTGTCGAGTTTCCTATTATCTGATTCAGTTTTAGCCTGCTTTTACTTACTTCTTGAATATATATGTTGCTTAAGTGATTAGTTCATTAGTGTAGATTCGATATATTAACTTATTCGTAAACAAATGATGGTATTGAATTGGGGTTTATTTTAGGTATCCCATTTATCCAATTCCATCAGTGAAAAGCAGGAAGGATTTATCTGCATCTTTCTTAACGTACCATACATTGACGCCCTACTTTAAAGGTACTTTGGTCATTTGAGAATCAGCATTAGCTATCTTTATCTCATCTTTATGAAATATCAGTTGTACATAAGCTACAAATAGAGTAATGCCTGCTAAGCCGTGTTGCATAGTGCTAGTTGACAAAATATTACGTAAGGCACTACTTTGACAAATATGCACATATAAGCTAGTTGTTATACACTGATTCTCATATCCGGAAACCATTTGTGTATAACTGTGTGATCAATGATTTGGTGGAGTTAAATTTACTGAGATTGATTGATTTATAGTCCTATCTTAATCATGAGAGAATAAAAGGATTATTATTGAGTTTTTTTCTATTTGGGGTTTCAATATTAAATAAGCTAGTGAAGACCAGTAGGGTTTATGCTTTAAGTTGGGTAATAATTGGATTTTTTTTGTCTCTATCATAATGTCCTTTGGCCACAGAGAAAAGGGTTTTAGGCATCTATTTTATTCGTATTTATAACTCGTGGATTACAAGAGAAGGAGAAGTTGCATCTTAGGCTTAATCAGTATTAAGTAGAACTAGTCAGCTTATGGTGATCGAATAGGTGTTATAATATCATGAAGTGTTGGTTTAAAAAAAACACTGATTGCATTTTGTGGTTTCTTCATCATAATTTTCTGAGATGTAAACTAGTTTTAATTGCTTGTGATTTGGTGAAGATGATGAGGTGGAGGAACAAGGAATGTCAAGTACACAGGAAGGTGTGAAGGTGGAGGAAGAAGGAGTGTCAAGAACACCAGAAGTTGTGATCCCTCCATTTGGAGCAGTGAGTTACAAGGCCTTCGGTAATACGTGGATCATGCCTGGGACACTTGATCATCTTAATACTGTGAAGTACGAAGAAGCAGCTTCCACGATGCTGGGAACACTCGCCTTCTTCCAAAATGATTTCAACTTCTTCATGTCCAGCAAGTTCTATGGCCCGCCCCGGTGATGCTGCTAAAAATGCTAAGCCTAGCAGTGGCGTATCTTGTCATCATATATATGATAACATTCTGATGCCTTTTACCTATCGTTCTTTCTCTCTCATCAAGGCACTGAGAGAAGTGAGATGTTTAAATTATGACTTTGATCCTATGTTTGGCTTTTAATTGCTTTGACTTTGATCCTGTGACTTTGATTCTGCTTTAATTACATTGAGCATTTGAGTATTTATTTGTTTTCTTTTTTATTTTGACGAAGAAGCTAGTATATTTTGGGTCAACTAAATTATAAAGCTCTAGTTTATAAGATTTCACATCTTTTGGAGAGGATGATTCTCTGGATTAATATTTTCTTGATCCAGAGAAATGTTACCATTTTCGAGCCATGTAATATGTGACACTACTCTACAAGATGTAAAATCATCTTTCTCTGGAGTCTAGGTATAGGTTAAGATCGTGCTTAAATGGTCGCTTTAGCCAATTATTTGTTGACTATATTATTTACCCATAATGCAATTATAAAAATGGTTTCATTGACGAAACGAGTTTATGCGTGTCTCTCACATTTCCGAATGAACCTGAACATTACTTGAGAGGAAAAGCAAAATCTATCGGCATGATGATATTCAAAAGCATATATGTCTAGAGACAGAGACAATGATGTGTCATTTCTTCTTCTTGCTGTCATCAGCTCTAACGAGCTGAACCGGAGCTGCTGGTACCCTAAACCACCATTCTCTTACCCGCCTCTCTAACCGGTCACTACTCGCTTTCCTCCACCCAACTTCCCTCGTGAACCACTCTACAAACGCAATCGTTATTAAGTACTTCACCGGAACAACCGCCAATATAACTGCCGCAATTACAAGGGATATAGCCGATGTATCTGTTGCCTGAAAACATGCAATAAAGGGAGGTTATACTATAACCAGACACCATTATTCTCTTAGCCATCATCATTACTTTTTAATAATATACCTGAGGAAGAATTGCAAGAGTAATGGCTCTTATTTTGAGGAGGCCAACGTTTACGGCTTGGATTAACGACTCGAACTGGCTAATTGCGTCTTGCAGCACGAGTAGCTGCTCCACTGCGTTTTTACTTGGTGGAGCTTTCACTCGAACGGCTTTTGGTTCTTTCCCTTTGTTGAATTGCTTACGCCACAACATTACTATAGCCACGAGGAGTAATATTGACGGTAGTATGTAACCTATCCACCCACTGCACAACATAACAAGATTGTTGGTGTCATTACATTTCTTCGCACAACATATCAAAACTTTTATTTTCATCGCCTTCAAGAGTTTATCCTGAGATGGAACTCTTATAATCGTATGTCATCATGTTTTTGAAGCTGAAATCTTACCTGATAATCATATAGCTGACAAATATCATGAACACTGTTGATTTGTAAGGATCTTTCCAAGATGCTAGGAGTTTTATACGCAAGCCAAGTTTGATGAAAGGTAACAATAGCTCCTGCAATGAGATTATCACGGTTTAATAGTAACTATGAAGCAAGAAAGGGAAAAAAATGTGAAAAAGAGAAGTATCTCAGGATACCTTCATTACTGCAACATTAGTGTCAATTCCTTCTACTTTCACTTGTTCCACAGTTGCCTGAGCAGCTTCAGCCCTGTCTGTGTCTAGGATTGACTGCTTCAGAGCTATCTCCAATGGACTCGTCTCCCCAACACAAAAATCTCCTACGATTATCATCTCTTCACCCATATTTGTCCCAGTTTCTAGATTCAATCCAAAATGCTCAAGCAATATGAGTGAGACTGGAGATAAGCTAGAGGGCCATTTCATATACTGAACAGAACTGTCATCAGAAAGAACATCGGTGGTTATACGAGAAACTCGGCTGTATAGAGCTTCTAAGACCATATCTCCACCGGGAAGGCTTTCTGCTAGGTTAAATATAAGCAATGTTTTGTATTGGGAAGAGAAGACTTGGAAAGCTTCCTTTATTGCACGGTAACGGAATATGCCGAGGATTCCCCTTGCTAGTATTTCTGATCGTTGAATCCCTTTAAAGTTGTATTTTCGAATGAACCAATGTACACGAAGCATTTCCAGGCATATACCCAACCAGTAGTCTCGACGAGCATTGCCTTTGAACTCTGTAAACTCGAAATATACTGGCTCTGGCCTGTACATACAAAAAAGGATTAAAAAAAAACATACACATCCATGAGTACAGATTTTGTGAATGATCATAAATGAGACAGAAATAACATTGTATTCCACTAGCACACGTACACTATAATTGATTTGTACATGATGGCTTTATCAAAGATACGAGCACCCAATGGCCCAGTCAACTCAGGTTTGATGACCTGTTTTGTGTCTTCAGTGAGATCATATCGCATGGGCTTATCACCACCACCCATTGAATCAAAATATAGGGCACAGTTGGTAAGTGTCAGTTTCCCTACAAAAGGAAATGCTTGATAATTATTAAGATGGAAACAAGATCAACCAACATTAACCAAGATTATCTTGTTTCTCCTTCTGCTTAAGGCATAATATATTGCCAACGCAGAAGGTCAGCATAAATAAAATGATTTTATGCAGAGATCTCTCCAGAAGTTCACCAGGCCATGCTGAGATGCCCACGTGTTTGAGAACTGGTAGAACAGGATTGGCACCATCCATATCAAGAACTATTTCTCCCTTGGCAAGCTGAAGACTGGCAGCTGAAGGTCCTAGAGAGCTTTTAGCAGCCTTGAAAATTCTACAAATGAAAACGGGTCAGGAAAAATAAGAGAGGCCAGATATAGAAGCAAACATCCGCAAGAAAATGTGAGTAAAGCATGTTTCTCTGTGGATTTATCTCATTTGAAATCAGAGCAGTGTTATCCAAAAAAATCATTCCTTCGTTTGAACCCAATAATTTTTTTTAAGTGATCTTTAAGTAGACTCTAATTATAGTTAGCAAGCAATACGGTATTGACGTTATATGTTTCCAGCTAAGGGATCATAGGTGTGTTTGAGGTAAGAATCAGCAAATTGGTACCACCAAAAAAAAAGACACGAAAAATACAACACCATCGTTTGATAACCACTCAGATGGTGCAACAAGTCAAACAAATGCAGAAAAGCACATTGAGGGAATAGTGGTAAGTTCATACTTGTCAAGTGTGCGGATGTATTTGTCATATACTAGAAAATGAAGCCTGTGGCCTGACGAGCTAGTCAGTGCATCAAAAAGATTGTGTACAGTTATGGCATCAGCAATGGCAGGACAAACCGGAGCAATTCTTGCAAAAGCCTCTTGTCCGACAGACTTTTTGTCATCAACCTGTTTAAGCATATTTATAGGGAAATAGTCTGTAAACCCCCTTCCAAATATGACTAACGCAGAAGCAAATGAAGTATAAGATGGAAATAACCTGCATTGCCATATTTGTGGGACTTGAATAGAATAAAGACCACCCGTCCTCATCATCTGAGTCCTGCTTGGAGGGAGATGCTGCATCCTGAAGTCAGGAAATGGAAAGAGAGACGATGATATAAAGCATCAAATCAAAACATCTTTATTTTAAGAAAAATCAACGAGATAGATTTCTCACTTTGTTTGCATTCTCAGTTGTGACACTGGGGCTTTCCCAAGCAAGCATCATATCAAACATCAGCTGACGAAACTCTTGATCACTTAGGTAATTAGGGTGTTTCATTACTTGATGGAGTGCCTGAAATGAGCAGAACTCTAGAAAGTTCCTTGCGTATGTCAAGAGCTGCTTAACACTCTCAGGCAACTCTACATCAAAACGATGTTGCAGGTCTTCTGTTGGAATTTTAAGGATACTGAACAATTGCCAAAAAAATAATAAACCCATGAAAAAATTTCCTCAAATCAATTAACAGAAACACAAAGCTCTTGATACACAATGAAAACCGCTAATATACCCAAATTGCTTCAGAACAGTAATAAATTATATATCGCGTGTAATCCTAAATGGACCTATGCAATCGCCATACGAATGTCGATAATGTTCGAGAAACTGAAGGGAGCGAGAGAGAGAAATAGAAAGTACTTTGAACAGCGGGAGACGACGGAATTGGCGAGAAGGGAGAGCTGAGGGATGGGTTTCGGGGAAGCGATAGGCGACGGAGAAGCGTCTCCGTCACGACCGGCGGACGATTTCTTCCGGTGGAATAGGGATTTCAAAGAGTTCTGCTGGTTTCTCATGAAATTCTCCAGCACTCCCACTTTCGCAGCGCCACCGTCTTCTTCCATCGAAAATCACCACAGATAATCTTCAGATCAGAAATGGTACCGTGCCCAAGAGTGCCTCTCAGATTCCCGTTCCAATGAGATTCCTCTCTTCCTCTATTCTCCTTTCTTCCCGTGCAAGCTTCGCAGACTCATCATCATAGTAACGCAACTATGTTTATCTCTATTGAGTATTGAGAGAGATCTTCATTATCCACGACGCTTTGCATTACTTATCGAAACACACAAAAAGGAAAGAAAATAGCTGCGACCTTATTATCGAAACTAAAAGCAATTATTAACTTCTCATTAATGTCTCAATCATACCGAATTTAAACCGGTCGGTTATATTATGATGGAACCGAACTGAACTTAACTCTGTAAATTAACGCAAACGGTTGAGCTTCCGAATAAGCGATTGGTTTGGGAGAAAAAAGGCATGATTAGTTGATCATTATAAGATTCAGTTGGTCAGTTTATGAAGTTAACCAACTGAAAAATCAACATATTAATGTGATCTCGTCGTGTAACAACGAACACAATTCAAAAAGCTCAAGGTTGAGATTTGTAGATTACACATCATGGCTTCTTTTACTTTCTTCAATTTGTTGTGTGTGAAGACAACAATCAAAAGAATAGCTTCCTATGCTGACTCCATTGTAGTTGATCTTCTAAAGCTTGGATTTGCCACTGCGAGGCGGGTCCTTGGCCCAGAGAGGAGGGATGATTCTATGGTCTTGCACAGGCTGCTGCTCTTCTTTCTTCTCGGTCTCGGTCTCTTCTTTGTCCTCTAGAACCTCTTTAGAGAATGCATCTGGGTTGGCTTTGATACAGCTTTGCAGTGCCACAAATGGATTCACACAGTCTGATCCCTGCAACAACACCACACAGTCTAAGCATCCAAAACGGAAAAGAAAAGACAACAATCATCAATGTTTCAGTGACGGTTACCTTTTCTTCTGCAGTGCTCTTGAGAAAGCAAAGGAATGCCTCGGAGAACTGAGACCCGCAAGATCCGTTACGAAGATCTGCTATGCAAGGACAGTCGAGAGCTTTCTGTGCCTTTGCTTCGAGCGACTGAAGGAATTGGAGTTTGTCAGATAACTCGGTAACTCAAAAAAAGCTTGCGGATAAATGAGTAAGAGAAAGTTTGAGGAGTAACCTCGTTCTCATTGTCGTCCTCACCGTATGCTGCAGCTTCTGTGATATTGAAGAAGAGTACAAGAATGTCAAAATATCGCAGAGACCAACAAACAAGAGAAGAACATATACGCATCGAGCTACAAACTGGTCCAGAAGATGTAAACGAGAGAGCTTATAACTTTTAATCGAAGAGCTGGGCTAAAACTATACTATATAGAGCATATCACTATGATTTCCAAAATTTTCCACAGAAGCTATATAGACAAAGACTTGAGAATCTTCCTACAACTACAAGAAAGAACCTTTTTTGGCTTTGATACTCTAACGAAGGCTTGAAATGGCTTGTGTGCAGCTCATTTCGATGAACAATACTATGGAGAAAGGCAAATCCAATGCTAAGCAAAATCAAACCTCAAATCATCATCATCGCCAACTAAGCATAGATCCAAACGAATCCCCAATTCACAAAACTTGCCTACGCAACTAATATAGCATCCTTCAAATCGAGATACAGAAGAGAAGACCGAACCTGCAAGGAGAGAACCCATCGGAGATGACGAAGTATCATCGCCATCAGAATCCCGCGGCGAATTTGTAGAAGGAGAAGTCGTTGGGATTTCGGATGACGAAGAGTCGTCGTTACTCTGAGCTTGACCCATCTCTTCCTTTCTCCGTTCGAGCAATTCTGCCAAAACCTCCCAGAGAATTTGTTAAGCCGCCGACGAGAAGCAGATCCTTCAGATGAAAAAGGATTCAACTTGGGCCATATATTATTTTTACAAGCCCAAAATATGGCCCAAGTCGTAAATAGATAGCACAGGCTTTTAATTATGCTTAGGGGGCATAAATAGTTTTTATAAGCCCACAATATGGCCCAAGTTGTAAGAAGATAGCACAGGCTTTTAATTATGCTTAGGGGGCATAAATTGTTTTTACAAGCCCAAAATATGGCCCAAGTTGTAAAAAGATAGTACAGGCTTTTAATTATGCGTAGGGGGCTTGAATTCGAAAATGCTAGTCTTCTCGTGAAGTGATATTTGTTTTTCTTGTTATTTTTTTTTTTTTTTTGTATCTTTATGGGCAGAAAGATTTCAACTATTTTTCTTCAAAAGGACACCAAAAAGAAAGAAGAAAAGTTAAATTTATTCCAACGATAAACAAACAGCGAAAAAGAAGTACAATGATTTGAAACTTAGGTTGTCAAGGGAATGTAGGGTCAAAACTTTTTAATATAAAACCCAGAAACACACCAAAATGATTTTGTAAAACCCTTTCGACATATTCACCAGTAAACGACTCCCATTAGCTGTCAAAATCCACACACTTTACTCGCATTCAAATTTTGAAGACCTTTTTACTAAATGTCTAATCCAAATTTTTACTGCATCTTAAACACTAATGAATTTTTGTTTCTAATGATGTAGTTTATTGATTTAGATTAACAGAAATTTTTATTTTAAAAATAGTAAAACTTTAAGTTATTGAATCAAAACTTTGTTGATACCTTATTGAAAAACCGGTCTACGGTTTAGTTTGTTGTACTGAAAGAACAACAAAGGAAGAGAGTTGGTTCTAGCATGACGTCGATGTGGTTAATGAAACAGACATAGTTGGATCAATGGTGAACTAACCATATACATGAGCTCGGAGACATGGATGCATGATGAGATGTTCGCCAACACTTTCAAAAAGACTCTTTTTAGACACTTTATGTCTACATGGCATGTTATGTTTTGTCTTTACCTTTCAAATGGAAAATTACCCTCAAGAAATTTAATTTTATATACAATGCTTGTATTCGTGTGTATAATGCTTGCTTATGTCCTACATGGACCGTTTTTATATCAAGCCGCAATTGACGCTTTTCAAATACACTTGAGAGAGAAAATTGTAAAACAAATCCAAAATCAAAGCCTTACAGCGATGAACAGCAAATAAAGTTCAAAATCAAAAGTCCTATTATTTAATTTTTATGTTTCCATTTCGCTTATCTTCTCTAGATTTGCGATGAACAGAATCAAATTGGCCATGATTAATATATAATATTTCTTAAGAGGAAAAGAAAACAGTAAATATATACCAAATGATTAGAGGCTGATCTTTAGGAATTCATTTTTTTAGTTTAATGTTAAAACTACGTAGACTGCCGACCACGGAACTAGCATACCAATTCTTAATTATTAAACAGGAATTCAAATAACTTTTTATATTTGAAAGTAAATATTTCTCTCATACATTAAAAAAATATGTAACTTTATCGTAAAGAATAAAATATGCAATGGAAGAACAAATGAGATCAAGAGATGATCTGTAAATTTAAAATTTCTTAATGATTAAAATAATTTTGAAAGGTAAATCAACAAAAAGTAATAAAAATGATGTACACTACAGATATTAAATAAAAGAATTTGTTCTTGGATTATATACAGTTGATTATTATTTCTAGCATTCTTATTGGTGTGAAAAGTTGTCTTTTGTGACCACATAAATTGATGAATGGGATTGGGAGTTGTGTTACTGTCGATTACAAAAGTAAACCTGGGGGAATGGTCAAGAAATAGAGAATGATGTTTGTGATACGAAATTTTTGACGACTCACATATATGTATCAAATGTTTATTACTAAGAGATTTAATTCACATCTTGATTTGTCTTATAAAGGTAGTTTTATATCAATCAACAAGTTGCAAAAACTAGCATTTGATTTATAAAAGTAGCACCCCAAAAATTTCAACGACCATTCAATTTGTTTTTAATCATAATACAACGACACATATCTAACAGGTTGACACAATTCAACGATTCGCGAGCCATCCTCAAATGCTAGAATTCTGGTGTTCACTAACTAATGATCAATTTTCTCAAAAACAAATTTAATCTATAAATTTTATTTCCACCACAGTCGGAATTAAAAATGATCATGTGTGCATTTATTAAAAAACCAACATAACAAAATATTTTAACTATAATCATCTGGTTATCGTCAATTAATTTCCTTTTTCAGGCAAAAAGAATCGTTATGGATTTTTTCAAAATCATTAAGACTTTACGATCAACGGGTGGTATTTGAATAATGTTAATTGTTAACTAAAGGCAACCACAATTGCTAAAATATTTAATATAGCCTTATTTGAAAATTTATACTGTAGTGATTATTGGAGTATGACTTTTATTATGAGACAAATAGTGGCCTAAATATCACGAATTCACATGAATTTATTTAATGATGTACTCTTGAGAGCTTGAACAAAAAGGAAGAAGAATGCTTATAATGTAGTAAAAAAACAAACGAGTGTAAACAATTTTCAAACTGATTTGCGCTCCAACGTTCGAAAATGCAATAGGGATCCTCGTGATTCATCCAACGGTCACAATTCTCCATGTGAATCTCTTCAAGACGTTTTGTGTAAAATTTCAAAAAAAAAATATATACTCTTTTTTCACCACTCCTATAAGTAAAGGTGGGATAATTTTTCCAGATCCCACCAGACTTAAACCCACCAATTCTCAGAATTTTTTTTTTTTGATTAAAGTGAAAAGAAAATATCTTTTTGCAACTCTTTTTCTTTTTTTTTTTATGGATGGATCATTATACCTTCCTGTCTAAGTGAAGGAACAATAATAAAACAGTTTTTGTTTAATTCCCTTTATCCCAATTCGAGCCAAAGTTAACTCCTGTCAGATTCCTTTGTCTGAGAAAAAAATCTTATTTTTAACCATTTTTGCGTTAAAATGATCAAAACCCATTTTCCCAAAATGCAAAACCTGAGATGGGTTTTGAATCTCATGTTTGTTTCTGCTCTTCTTCATAATCTTGTTCACTCCTCATCACAAGCAATCTGCTCAAGCCAAGACAGAGCAGCACTTCTGGGATTCAAGTCCAGCATCATCAAAGACACAACTGGAGTCCTGGAATCATGGGTCGGCAAAGATTGTTGCAACGGAGACTGGGAAGGTGTTCAATGCAATCCGGCCACCGGAAAAGTCACCAGCTTGGTGTTGCAGAGCTCCGAGAAGGATCCTACTCTTTACATGAGAGGAACATTATCACCTTCACTGGGGAATCTCCGATCTCTCCGGGTTTTGATCATTACTGGAACCAAATTCATCACTGGTTCGATCCCTAACAGCTTCTCTAACCTAACTAGTCTTACCCAGCTCGTGCTCGATGATAATTCTCTACAAGGCAATCTTCCTTCTGGTTTAGGCCATCTTCCATCGTTGCAAGCTCTTACTTTAGCTGGGAATCGATTCTCAGGTCTTGTCCCGGCGAGTTTGGGGAACTTGAGAAGCCTTTCTATGATGAGTTTGGCTCGTAACTCTCTCTCCGGTCCAATCCCAGTGACGTTCAAGAACCTTCTCAAGCTTCAGACTCTTGATCTCAGCTTTAATTTGCTATCCGGACCAATCCCAGATTTCATAGGCCAGTTTCGGAATCTGACCAATCTTCATCTCTCCAACAACAGATTATCCGGGGGGTTACCAGTTTCTCTTTACAGCTTGGGGCAGCTTCAGGGCATGTCGCTGGAGAGAAATGATCTGACCGGACCACTCTCAGACCGTGTCAGCAATTTGAAGTCGCTCACTAGCCTTGACTTGAGCGGCAACAAGTTCATCGGTCACATACCAGCATCCATTACAAGAATGCAGAATCTCTGGTCTCTCAATCTTTCGAGAAACCAGTTCTCGGATCCTCTCCCTGTTGTTGTAGGCAGAGGATTCCCTTCTCTGCTGTCCCTCGATCTCTCCTACAACAACCTTAACCTTGGAGCAGTTCCTAGCTGGATCAGAGATAAGCAACTCACAGATATCAACTTAGCTGGTTGCAAACTGAGAGGAGCCTTTCCGAAGCTAACAAGACCACACGACGTGACCTCGCTAGACTTGTCTGACAACTTCCTCACAGGTGATGTTTCAGCTTTTGTCGCCAACATGACCAGTCTCCAGAGACTGAAGCTCTCAAAGAATCAGCTCAGGTTCGACCTCTCCAAGCTCAAGTTGCCAGAAGGGGTGTCTTCCATTGACCTAAGCTCAAATCTAGTGACAGGGTCGCTTTCAAGCCTGTTGAACAACAAGACAAGCCGCTTCTTGGAAGAGATCCATCTCACCAACAACCAAATATCAGGGAGGATCCCTGATTTCGCAGAGAGCTTGAACCTGAAAGTACTCAACATAGGGAGCAACAAAATCGGTGGGCAAATCCCAAGTTCAATATCAAACCTTGTTGAACTTGTGAGACTAGACATCTCAAGGAACCACGTTACGGGAGTCATACCTCAAGCTTTAGGACAGCTCGCGCAGCTCAACTGGCTCGACCTCTCCATCAACGCACTTTCAGGAAGAATCCCTGATAGCTTATTGAACATCAAGGCGATGAAACATGTGAGTTTCAGGGCCAACAGATTGTGCGGACTGATTCCACAAGGAAGACCATTCAACATCTTCCCTGCAGCTGCTTATCTGCATAACCTTTGCTTGTGTGGCAAGCCGTTACCACCTTGCAGGAAGACTTTGAAGTGAAAACAAACCCGCATTTTGAAGTGGCCAGTCCAACGCTGACTTGATCTTAATAATCCTATCACTCTTACGCATTTCTTCCAAATAGATGATATCTTCTATTTGCCTTTTTACTCTTTTTCTTACAATTCTATTGTTTCAA